AAGTCTGAAAATACGTTCAAATTTTGTTGCGCAGCAAGTACCCCAGAATGGAAGGGCCTAACGAAGATGTGACTCAAAAAGGGCATAATAGGCTATTCTAGAGGTTGATAAGTTAAGTTCCTTAGAAACTGATCTTAGCGCAAAACAGGCAGCGCTTAGTTTCTTTGATAGAGTAAAAGTCCCATTTTAACGAGTTGTCTACAACATGTCCTAAGAATTTCACAGAGTCCACGACGTCAATAGTGGTGTTATTATGTACAAAAGGTTGTATAGTACTTTTATAAAATATAATAGTAATTGTGACGCATACACTCTATTTTAAACCAAAAATACATTTTTAATTTAAACAATTTATTAGGAATCAAAAACTACTTTTTGACATTTTTTGCCGTGAATATATTTTCTTGTTTAATAATAATAAAATTTTCATATAAATAGCCTTTGTTTGGAGAGATAGATAACTTATTACAGTTGTAATAAAGATGTTTGTGTAGGTTTACGGATCCTTCAATGCATTAATTAGAATATTTATTAAATAATTCAGACATTTTTAAACAACGTTGATTTAACCACTAATTTTTAGTGGGCTACCTTTTACAGCGTCATCTTGTAATATTGTGTCTCAAACAAAAGGGTAAGCTCTGGATTTTATATATGCTTGTTAAAAATCAGGAAGGTTTCGTTTGGTCTTTTTTTCTTTTAATGTACAGGGTGGGTCAAATTCGACTCTTTTAAATGGAAACACCCTTTTCTATAGAAGATAGACGAAAACTAATATCGGTGTCTGGAGCTCAATTTTCATCAAAAACATGATGGTGAAAACCGCACATCAATATTTGTTACCGTTTCGGAGTTACGGAGTGTTTTTAAAAAATTGCTTTTTTAACAAATCGCTGTAACTTTTTTGCTATGGAAAATGGTTTAAGTATAATTTTTTAAAAATTAATAATTTAAGAGTTATCAACAGAAAAATTGATTTTTTATTTGGGACACCCTCTATATTTTTAATTAACTGAAAGGAATTTAAAATTACCTTTCCAAAAATATAGTACACTTGATATTTTGTTATAATCCCCTTCGAAATACAGAATTTTTAAAAGTTCGCCACTTTTAACTAGGCTTTGGAGCCCTTATTGATAATATGCCCTTAATGGAACTCGAAAATATATTTTTCCAGCAAGACGACGCACCCGCCTCTGAACGCTAAAGTTATCAGCAAATTTTTGCAGCCAATTTCAAGAATAATTGAATAGCTAACAAGTAGCTAACCAAGATCCCAGCCGTTGGCCGTCGAGGCCGCCTGACTTAGAGCCCATGGATCTAATCCTATGGATATATTTGCGGAAGAATAAAGGTTCCTTATTCTTCCGTATAATCTAGACAAGAATTAGAAAGACTTGCAGTTATGAGAGGGTATCTTTCACCCTACTGAGTTAATGAATTCCGCGAGAAATATTAAAAAACTGCCCCGTCTTTCCATAACAGAAGATGGTTGATATGTCGAACACCTGTAGCAAAATCTCATTTCTTAGTTTGCTATTTATTTCTATTGTTATTAGATATAGTTTAAATGTGTTGATGTTGGTTAAATATATTTTAAATTGTTATAAAATTCTGCATATCTCTCATAGGAAATATTATTTTCGTTTTAATTGATGCTCACAGCTAGAATTTTTTTACTGTACAGCCGGTGCCGTTCAAAGCCTACTTATTTAAAGCGGGCGAATTTTTATATCTCGAAGAGGAATCGAGCAAAATATCAAGTGTGTTATATTTTTGGAAAGGTAATTTTAAATTCTTTTCATTAAATTAAAATATACAGGGTGTCCCATATAAAAAATAAAATTTTCTGTTGATAATTCTTAAATTATTAATTTTAAAAAAATTATACTTAAACCATTAAATTCTACGTAAAAAGGTGCTATAGAAATGTTTTCATAAAAATACAAAATATTCCATAGCAAAAAAGTTACAGCGATTTGTTAAAAATGCATATTTTTTGAAAAACAACCCGTAACTCCGAAACGGTAACAGATACCGATATGCGGTTTTCACCATCATGTTTTTGACAAAAATTGAACTCCAGACACTGATATTAGTTTTCGTCTATCTCCTATAGAAAAGGGTGTTTCCATTTAAAAGCGTCGAATTTGACCCACCCTGTACCTACGTTTCCCTACGAAATTATTGAGTTATACATGACGAGTCTTAAATAAGTGCAACTATTTTTAGGGGTGATTTTTTGAAAAATAAATTGTATTTTTTTTTCATTTTTAGTTAAAAAATATCTTGACGTAGTAGATTAAATTTAGAAGAATAAAAAACAGAAAAAATGCTGTGGTTCTTAAAATTTAAGCAAAAAATCATTTTTCTATTTAATTTTCAAAGTAAATAAACTTTGTTACTTTGGACTTTATTGAAAAATGATTGACAATATAAAAAAGTCATTTTAACGCCTAAGCCAGCCTAAGCATAAAAGTACGAAAATATATTATTAAACTGACATAAAGTGTCAAATTCAACGAGTCGTAACCATAGTTTCTTAATAATAATTGTAAAGTATGACCATAGATAAATGCAACAAGTTTAGATTGGAAAGCCCGTAAAAAATTTACGTCGCGAAATTATTTTGGGTCGCGACCGTTATACGCGATCTGGCGCTGCTATAGCGGTTGCTAAGAACAACGGCAAACAAAAACAGAAATAATTTTCTCTTGTCAAAGTCAGAATCTTCAAAAATCATAATAATCTTTCAAAATCCAAACCGCTCTCATTAAAGAAATTCCGAAAAGTGTTTATAGCGTCCATTTTTAAAGTAATAATTGCTATCTTGTGAGTTTAATTCAAGTTTTATTTACTCCAACCGGTGATAATTGTGAAAAAGTGGCATTAAAACATTAAAAAGTTGTGCTGTGAACTGTGAACTGCAAAAACCATCGTGGATCGTGGCATAACGTCGGTTTCCAATGTTTCATAGGTATTTCATACATGCGTCCTCATATAAAATAAAGTTTCTTGTATGCAACACACTGTCTTTTATTTATAAAATTAAACGAAAATAATAATAAATTTGAATAAACAATATTTGGCGATATAATTCCGGAAAAAGCCGAACCGCTCCGAAATTTTCAAAAGTTTTGGGTCGCGACCGTTGCAAGGATAGCGCCAAATAGTGTTTACATTGTCCTTATGGGCACTTTCCAATCTAAACTTGTTTCATTTATCTATGAGTATGACTTTTAAATCTTTTTATATTCTTTGGAACCTTTGGAACGTTTGAAAGACACTTCTTCTAGTATTTATTATTTTGTGGTTTGAAATGGCTTAAAAAATTATTTGTAGCGTTTGAAAAAAATGGCATGTTCTATTCGGAGTAAAAATGACTTTTTGTGCCTCGGCTGTATGTCAAACGTATAGCTTCGCCACAAAAAGTGTCATTTTTACTCCTAATAAAACCATATACTATTCTTTTATCGAGATCTATCAGCCCAGAAAATATTTGCACTTATTTAAAACTCAAGCTGTAGAAGTATTGTCGACTTTTTTCAAAAACTAGTATATTTATTTATCAATATCACTTCATATAATGTCAGGAAAGAATAACGATTTTACAGTACTTCAATTTTTTTCGTGTTCGCCTATAGTCGTTCATACAAAACCGACTAGTAGACGAACTACAATCGGATGAGATTCTGGAAATGGTCTCGGATCTCACACCACCAATCCAACTGACGCGCACAATGGGATAAGTCGAGAAACGACTTATTACATGCGGAATATTACACGCGAAAAAATTGGATTTCGGATCCAATACGGATGGATCCGAAAACTATAAAGGATCTGGTGCAGGAATTTACTGCAGCAGTCCAAAGACTGAGATCTACCACAGTTTTGGAAAACACACCACAATTTTCCAAGCTGAGCTATATGCTATTGAAACCTGTGTGCAACTGCTGGTAGAACAGCAATACACCGGGAAAACAATAAGCACATTTTCGGATAGTCAAGCCGCGTTGAAACCGCCTGAGGCAACGAAAAGCACGTCTCTGACGATTCTTCATTGTAACTACTCAATATATTAGAAGATAGGAACAAAGTGTCGCTAATATGGATACCGGGACATGTGGGCTTAGAGGGAAATGAACGTGCTGATTCCCTCGCCAAAACTGGTGCAGGCTCACCTCCATTCGTGGGCCCAGAACCGACACTTTAGCGTACCAAAAAATCTCGCAAGAGTTTCGGGACTGGTATAACAGTCCCGGAATGGAACATGCCAAGACAATCCTAGCAGAGCCATCCAAACGTAGAACATATGAACTCCTAAAGGCTGGTATAGGAACGGAGCGTGTACGCTCACTGCAGTATACACGGGCCACTACCGGCTGATGTCACACCTACAGAGGATGGGACTGGTGGAAGACGCCGAATGCCGACTCTGTATGGAAGATGACGAAACAATGAAGCACGTTATGTGTACCTGCCCCGCTGGAAGCAGGACCAGGTTTGAGGTGTTTGGCAAACCCACGCTAGACCTATCAGACCTAGAAGACATATCACCCTCGGACATAACGACCTATGTTAAAATCCTGGATCTTGAGGGTGAATTTTAATGCTCTTTTGCAATACACTGCAATACAAATAGTCGCGAAATAGTCACGAACAACAGATTAGTATGACTGATTGCAACTAGTTCAATTCGAATCGATTGTGTGCGGCTACTACTCTACGTGATCGGCACAGATAACAGAGGTATTATGTTATCTGTAGTTACTGAGGTTGCAAAATAATTACAAGGCTTAACCAGTTTGCATCTTTTATCACAAAACTGTCGCATCGTATGCGGTGGGCCTTAGAGTTTCCAAGATCCCAAATGAACACTATACATTATGTGTAGTGTCCATGACACTATAGGTATATCTTGGGTATAATCTATCTGTTAGCATAATGATAAAAATGTATTGCAGAAAAAAAACAAGCGAGCAAATGAAACAGGTAAATGTGTTATGATTTTTTATTTGAATCCAATGGTTGACCTACAGTAATTTCACGTCGTGAATCTTGCTCAAATTTTTCGTTCATCGCCTGTTCATTAATGAGTTCTTTTTGACAAGTGCACGCGCTTCTGCGAATACCCAAAGTTTGGATCTGTCTGACCGACATTTCCAATTTTTGCTTCTCCCTTTGAAGCTCCTCTAACTCTTCTCTGAGTTTCTTGCAATCGTCATCGCTCGAAGCTCGAAAATATAAAATACGCATTAGTACGGTTTACATGCATCCGTCATGCGTCGTCTGTCGTTGATTTTATACAATCTTATTGGTATTATACAGGGTGTCCCAGGCTGAGCGTGCATTAGAAGTTTCTAAAGAACTACAATATCTAGATCGGAGATTTTTTGCACATCATTGTTTTACAACAAGATCTATCGATTAAAAATATTCTCAACATGGCGGCACTTCCGGAAATACCGGAAGTTAAATACCGAACCAAACCCACTTTTTTATTTCACTAGTGAAAAGACTTTTCAATTCGTTAATTTTTGACTATATGTTCCTATACCTAAAATAAATCGTTTTTAAGTTATTTAAAATTTAGTTTTAAAGCGTATATTTTTAATGTTATTTTAATGTTAGAGACTTTAAGTGTGTAATAAAAAATGGGGGTCCCCATTTAAAATAAGAAAGTTGCTGTCAACTTCCGGTATTTTCAAAAGTGCCGTCATATTGAAAATATTTTTAATGGATAGATCTCATTGTAAAACAATGATGTGCAAAAAATCTCCGATCTAGATTTGTAGTTCACTAGAAACTTCTAATACACGGTCAGTCTGGGACACCCTGTATTTTAAAAATGACAGTTCACAACTTAAACACGAATGGAGTGACGGAACGACGGACGACGAATGACGGATGCTTATAAACTCACCTTTACAGAAATAGTCGTTTAAAGAACATACTTAATATTGATTATAGTTTGGAGGGAATAGTAGGGGAGTCCAAGCGGAGATTTTAGGGATTTACTCAAGTTCGGCAGAATAAGGGGAAAAACCATAAACCCTTTTATGTACCCCCACCATATATGAACCATGATACAGGGACGTGGGTATATGGCAGTCGTTCAGTAGTAAAAGAATGATCATTAGACAAACTCGAGAGCGTCAGATTAAGGCAAGATGAATTAATGGCTTGCAGCACAAAGGAAATGGAAGATTCACAAATTTGCCAAAAAAACATCACCTGGTCATTCTCGAGCGTGGTTATTTTGAAGGAAATCATTCAATAATTACGGGAATAATACAATTTTCCCGATTCATACAAACCAAAGTAGCTAAAATCACCAATAAAGTGATGTGCTGAGAAGTATGTTTTAAAAAATCTTGACTTTTAGTAGCGCCCAAATCGTCATGTCCATATCGGCACATGCACTATTAATATCTGAAACGCCCAAGTATTTATTTGTGACTTTTGATTTTTGATTTGTGATTTTTGAAAACTTGTACATGCTCCCCCCTACTAGTAAAAAAAACATACATCATAATATAATCTATTTTTCTTTTTTTAGCATCTAATTTTCACAATAAAATCCACATAATGCTCGAGTAAATTCCCATTTAGCATCTTCTCTACTAGTATCAATTCAGCATTCCTGATATATATACAGGGTGTCCCAGAGTGAGCGTACTGCAATATCTAAATCGGAGATTTTTTGCATATCATCATTGCTTTAAAACGAGATCTATCGATTAAAAATATTTTTAATATGGCGGCACTTCCGGAAATACCGGAAGTTGACAGCAACTTTCTTATTTTAAATGGCATATAAAAATGACATAATAAAAAAACTGCATGTCAAAAATATGTGTATAGCCTAAACGTCAAATTTAGTGATTACCACAGCCTCTGTGCCATAAAGAGAACTATCTATTTCAAAAGTGAAATTGTCCGAATGTCATATAATAATGACCGCAGCTGTCATGGAATTGAGCAATTAAAAAATTATCATAAATCATTTTTTTTCAAATAGAAACCCACTTTTTTATTTCACTAGTAAAAAGGCAATTCAATTCGTTACTTTTTGACTATACATGTTCCTATACCTAAAATAAATTGTTTTTAAGTTATTTAAGATTTAGTTTTAAAGCTTATATTTTTCTTGATTTTAACCAATAGCATATGACTACGCCAAGTGATGTAAAACAATAGATCTGGCCATGTCATATTGTGACACTTTGTTCAAAAAGCTTAAGTTGATATGAACTTTTTGTTTTATTTTTGCAAGTTCTATCGTCTATTAAATTTTCCCGATTAACATCTGAGACACCCTATATATATATATATATATATATATATATATATATATATATATATATATATATATATATATATATATATATATATATATATATATATATATATATATATATATATATATATATATATATATATATATATATATATATATATATATATATATATTGATCTACAACTTCGAAACCTGCTATTTCTGTTGTAATCGTGGGTTCTCGATCGATAATCATTAATTTTGTCTTTTCTTTATTTAGTTTTAACCCATATCTTTTGCTGACAACCTCTAATTTATGCATAATGGATTTTAATTCATTAGCGGAGGATGCGAGTATAAGTGTATCATCTGCGTACCTTAAATTTGTTATTTGTTTACCGCCTATAGTGATACCGCCGTTGTAGTCTTCCATAACTTCCCTCATTATAGATTCGCCACATATATTGAAGAGTAAGGGAGATAAAGGGAGAGGTATATGAAGAAATACACCTCAAAATATCTTTATCTTAAAACAGTCAGATTTAGATATATCTATATTAGATCCTACTTTTCTTATGAACTGTTTTTAGTAAACTGGTTAAAAATATACGTTATTAAAAAAACTTTTCCGAAACGTTTAGGTCGAACAGAATATACTATAATCTAACTCTGGTCGAAACGCTGAAACTTTATGAAGAAAATCAACGCCCTCTAATGACCGGATATTCAATGGAACTCCTGTCATTTACCAATTTTGGCAGAAACCAGAGCATCAGGCCGGATATAGAGTATGATATTGCCACACCACCACCAAGCGGCAGCCAGTTAGAATTCTTCTTTGTGTAAAAATATCAAATTAACTTAACACTAGCCAGTATGATATATCTGAAAATTATTTTTAAAAGTGTTAATTACGAGACTAACAATTTAAATTATTTTATTGAAATTTTTGAAATTAATAAAAAATGCATTGACTAGAGTAGAAAGTCGCCAGTAAAGAATAGTAGTACTACCATACGAACGAAAAAAGAAACGGCGTTACAGAAGGCTGTGGAATGGCAATCGATGATAATTTTGGCAAGGTCAAGCCCTAGACGTCATTTACCTGTACCCTTCTTTATTTTTTAATGGCGCTTCCTGCCAGTTGCCCGTAAGAAGGGTGTAATTTATTTCTATATTGAGTAAAAATGATTTTTAAATGGTGTAGTTTAAAATTGGAGAAAAAATTTTGGAAATAGATTTGTTTGTTTGGAAACGTTTTACGGCAATTTTTAGTAAATGACGTCGTCTTTTACGTCGTTTTTTTTTTCATCATACCGTTACATATGATCGAAGTTGAATTAACTATTAATTCGTAATAAGTTCGTAAATTAAATATGTTTTAATAATTTATTATTATTTTTTCTGATTAGGTGTCTTCATTAGAACAAGTGATGTAAAGGGAAATATTACCGCGGGAATATTACGGGTAATTTTGGTAATATTATGTAATATTACCGCAAGATCAGTAACATTGGAAATATTTCTTTTTCCCGCTCTATTCTTTTCCTTTTTTGGTGTGACAAGATGGGGCTGCTTTGTTTCGTGTCTAAAAAGCATTTTAGAGACTAAACACTCATTAAAAAGTTTAGCAGTTGTTAATAGCCCAGATATGTTCTTTGAACAAACACATCGTCACACAACGTCATCGATGAGTATATCTAAAACGCAGTGTGTAGCTTTTGGTAACAGAGTATAGAATACGTTTGCACTTAAATATAAAACTGATTTATTACAACTAAGAACGTTTCTCTGCTTGGTGTTGTCATTGACATCAGATTGGATTGGAAAGCGCACGTTGAGAGTGTTGTAAAGACATGGCTTTGCTTTGAGGATTGTCTCGGAGAAGGTAGGCGAATAATCTGCATTGACAGCGTATTATGCTTTTGTGAAATCTAAAATGAGATATGGCTTGGTAATTTGGAGAAATTGTACTGATATAGGTAGAATCTTTCTGCTACAAAAAAGATGTATTCGAAGTAATAAGTTATTAAGTTAATTAATTAAGTTATATTAAATTCGAGTATTAAAGTTATCGATCATTTTCAAGCCAACTTTGCACTATTTTTTTTTTTGATCATATATAGGTATATTAGTATTAGTATATTAATATATGCGGTAATAAGTGGTTGTTATTAATAATATCAACTATTAGATATCACTAAAGAGCGAAAATACGAGATATATTTTTATAAATACGTTTTAAACTTTTAAGGCAGGCAGTATCTATAATACAGGAAATTCAAATAATTCGTTTCCTGACAGATGGAAATAAATTACCTGACTGTTTGACACATAATGTCAAAGGAAGCTAGATAAAATCAAGAAAATTATACGTTTTCAAACTAAATCTCAAATAACTTAAAACCGATTTATTTTAGGTATACTCAAAAAGTAACGAATTGGAAAACCTTTGCACTAGTGAAATAAAAAAGTGGGTTTCCAATTGAAAAAAATAATTTATGATAGTTTTTTAATCGCTCAATTCCATGATAGCTGCAGCCATTATTATATGACATTTGAACAACGAATTTAAGTATGTAATAAAAAATAGGGGCACCCATTTCAAATAAGAAAGTTTCTGTCAACTTCCGGTATTTCCGGAAGTGCCGCCATATTGAAAATATTTTTAATCGATAGATCTCGTTGTGAAACAATGATGTGCAAAAAATCTCCGATCTAGATATTGTGGTTCTCTAGAAACTTCTAATGTACGCTCAGCCTGGGACTCCCTATATAAAATAATATACAGGATGACCCGAATTGCAATATGAAAACTTATTATACAGGGTGTCCCAATATTCCGTGGACATAGAACTACTACGTATTTGTGGAATCAAAATAAGTTCAGTGGACGCAATTTACCTCTATACAAAAGTGCTTTGTTTGTCCGCTAGAGGGCATCAAGCTTAAAAAAACACATTTTTTAAAATGTTCTAAAATCTACTGGCTTCTATCAAAGCCTTGACACTGTATGAAGAGTTATAAGTGGTGATTAATTTCCTCTACAACTTATTCTAATTGAAAAATACGTAGTAATTCTATGTTCTACGGAATATCGGGACACCCTGTATATTCTAAACGTTGTTTGTTTCTAAAAATCGTTTTAATACTACGCCCTCTTTAGACATTACTCTGCTAACTGTATTTTTTCAGTAATTCTAAAACTTGATCATATTAGTGAACATCCAAACAAATGGCTTCTACTTTTGGACAATTTATTTAATGTTAAATTAATAGCACTACGATTGCATGTAACATATACTTTATATGACTAGCTTTTAAAGCTACCTTCCATTTTACACAGGCACTCGTGCACTCCGGGAGCGTACTTCCCTTTGGGAAGCTTGCCCTTCACGCCGTGATCCCACTCCTTGTACTGTTTGCCCAGCTCCTGCACGATCCGCTTCACCGCGCACTCCGACTGCTTCAGCATCTTCTTCATGTGATCGTCTCCGCTGGTGCACGCGATTTTGTTCGCGATCTCTTGCAGCCTCTTGTTCTCGTTAGTCGCCATCGCCAGCTCCTTCTTCATTTGCTCCAGCGTTTTGATTTCTTCTTTGTTCAACTTTTTACTCGCGTCTATGGTGCCCGTTTTGCATTTTAATTCGTCCTCTAGGCACCTAATGTGACATTCTTTTTGGAGAATGGTGTGCTCGGCGCGATGGAGCTGCTTTTCTAGTTCTTTTATTTTAAGCGAGGTTTGTTGGGCTTGAATCAGTTGTTCTTGGGAAGCCGCTATCATTTTATCCTTTGCCTCGATATCTTTTTTCATCGTATCGATCATGGTGTTCATTTGGCCCTAAAATAATATGCAATTACAAATGAGGGGCTTAGAATAAAAGGGGTACAAGTGACTTTTTGTTCTAAATGGACTGAAGTACAGATTTAGACACTTTAGGTACCAATTTATTTAGTATAAAAGGAAATTAAGTAAATTCTATATTCTACTCTACTCAGTACCACTGTAGAATATACTTAATTCCATTTTATACTAAATAAATCTGTACCTAAATTTTCTAAATCTGCATTGAGGAAAAAGTCACTTGTAACCCTAAGCGCCTCAAATGTACTACGTAGTAATTTACTTCAAGATAATTTTGATTTTATTACTTATTCAACTACAGTCTATTTTACAAATTTCGAGTTTTTCCGAATTTCTGAACTTTTTTCGAACCTCAAAATTAGTCGAATAAATTAGTTGTTTCAATTAGCGTAGAAGTTTGTTACTCTAATTTCAATGTGAGAAACGTCAAAATTAATGATAGTAATTTTCAATTAGTAGAAAAAGTTAACAAACATTTAACATTTTCCGCTAATTAAGCTTGATTTTCATGCACCCATTATCTGCTGATGTAATGGTCCGACGACGCTCTGATTGGTCATAGCGTTTTCGCGCCACTTTTTTTCATCAGTAATCTTTTTACTCCAGCTCATCAACGGAGAAAGATCGTACGATAACGGACGTTTTGACAAATTTAATCTAACCTTAATAAAAAATATAATAGTACAAGAGCTAGCAACGTTGGGAAAACGAGAATTTTAAATAAGCTGGCTATATCTTTTGCTATCCTCTCCTGACCAAAAAGTGTGGGTCGTCTGGCTGCCGGTAGACTACTGCGGTTCAATATTGCGCATCACATCTGTACAGGGTATTCCATTTCGTGTGTTTTATGGGATTTCTCGTTTATGAGTAGAGATACAACGAGGGGTAAACCGCTGACGAATTTTTTTTTACACTAATACCAAAGTAATACCAAAAATAATGCCAAAAATGCCAACTAATGCCACGAATAATATCAAGTAGGTAATGCCAACATCTTGTACACCAAAATACACCAGCGGTTTACCCCTCGAGATACAATAGTACGATTTTCACATTATTCTGCATATGTTTGTCCTAGCCTCCTAGTTCCTGAAATACAAGGAGAATTTGTGATGCGCAGTAGTGAAGAGATGTTGAATACAGATATGATGGGCAGTAGTAAACGCAACGTCTACCAGCAGCCAGACGGTCCGCACTCTGTTCAGAAGAGCATAACAAAAGATATATTAAAATACCAACTTTCTTAAAATTATCTCTTGAAAACGTTGCTAGCTCTGAGACTATATGTAATACAGCAAAATCGTTATGGCAATGAAAATATAAAATGACCCATTCATAAGTAAATCGTACATTCGATGAACGGATGCGTAAAAATGCAATAAATTTAAAAAAAATGCGTAATTTTCTAACCAATTGAAGTCTTTAAATTCAACCAATAAAATTAATATCGTATAATCGTATCGTCGGATAACGGATGCATGAAAGTCAAGCTTAACACTAACAGAACTAAAGATATTAAAAAAATAACTGACCGGATTGCAATTCTTGCACTGTACCTCTTTAGGATATTTCATAATGATTCGCCTTATTATTAATTTCATTTGGATCTTTAACACTTACATCTTTGCTGCTCTTATTCTTCGTTATACTGTCCACCTGTATCACCAGACTCCTAATTTCGTTCTCCTGTTCGCAGATGCAAGCCTCCAAATCTTCCACTTGTCTCTGCAGTTGGTCTCTTTCTCGACCTATCGTGCGGGCCTCATCCACCTGAGCCTTCAACATCTCGCATCGGCACTCCATTTCTAGAACCTCCTCGTACTTTTGCTTGTACATGTCCCTTTCCGCCTTGATGTTGTCGAATATTTTCATTTTGTTCATCATGTCTTCGTATTGGTTCTAAAATCAGAATGTAATGGGTATTTTTGAAAAGTGGTTCACCTCTATAATTTTTTATTTATTTAGATAAAATACCGAAATTTGATATGTTAGTATATGACATAAATCGGGATTGATTGACGTACTCAATTACTTTCGGTCACTTCCTGTTTCACCGGAAATGACTATAAATTTTGATTTTTAAATAATACCATTAGAGTGCCATGGCTGTGTTAAAACCATTAATTTTTAATCTAGGATCTTTGGAAAAATAAATTTGATCGTCTAATGTATTTCGTGTCTTTTCCTGGCCGGTTAAAAGATGCCCCAATCCTATTTTTAATCTTAATACATCTGTTGTAGAGGGGACAGGGTATTTTTTCAATTGGAATAAGGATGACTCATCAGCATAATTGGAAAAAAACATTTAAAAAAAACGAATAATTTGGTCGTTACATTAATGGCCATGGCACTCTAGAACTGAAATTTAAAACACAATTTAAAAGGCGTTAAGAAGCTCTTAACTCACTCAAAATGCGTGAATTAAGAGCTTCTTACCTCACTGTCGTAGATATAAAGTTTTATAAGTACGTATTTGATGACGTACACGACAACTTTTATTGATTTTTCTATAGCAAACATACCTGTACATCGCTTAATTCATTAAGCTTGATCTGCAACCTATCCCTCTCCAATCTCATCATCTCCGCCTCCGTTACCTTCGCTTTCTGATTATCCATCTCCTTCTTCATACTCTCTATCCTCTTAGCCATGGCGTCCCTCTCCGACATGACGTTTTGCAGTTCCCTCTCCAAATTGTCCGCCACCGATCTCGATTTCTTCAAATCCACCCCTGACGACCGATCACCTTTGGACATATTCCTCAATTCGCGCTCCAGTTCATCCACTCTTTCCGCCTTCTGTTTATACTTCATCAATTCTGACTCCACCTCTTTCAAGCTCTTCACCTTCTGACTCATCTTGTCTCGTTCTTCCAGAACCGTATCCAACATATCCGATCTGTTCTTCAATAGTTCCAAGTCTTCGGGGACGTTTTCGTACTGCATCAGTTGCTTTTCCAGTAGCTGAACTTTATTGGCTAGGGCGTCCCTTTCTTCAGTTAGGGCTTCTAAGTGATCTAATTTTTCCTTTAGGGTGTCCATTTTTTCTTGTTGTATCAAATCAGGTTCGCTGTCTTTTAGAGCGACTCTGCTACCCAGCTCTACCTTAAGTTTTTCGTTTTCAGTTTCCACTTCCTTAAGTTTGCTGCAGTACCGCTTAAGAATTTCAACTTCTCGCTTGATGATCTGGGCTTCCTCCTCAGGAGACGGGTTTCCGCTTCGCATGATCTTGATCTCTGCTTCTAAAGCTTCGATTTCTTGCTGACAAGATGCCGGAAGTGATGGGTTGGTGACCGTTTGTAATTTCTAATCAAGTAAACAAAAAGGAAAGAATTATTTTATGAATGAAACTAGTAAAGGAAAGCTAGATTCGGTTACTGCTGCATGTTCCTAGTTTAACAAAATCCTTCAGCAAGACTGAACATGCAGCAGTAACGCCTATCTAACTTTCCCCGATATCTCAATAATACAAGACGTCAAAGTATCGATTTTTATTCGCAATCGCAAAGTCTGCTACAATCACAGAGTTGTCTACAATCGCAAAGAGAAAATTTCGATCTGTTCAGCCCGCTAGTTCCAGTTAAACATATTAAGAAGCGCTGGAATAAAGAAATTTGAATAATTTAAAAATGCCAATTTAAAAATTTAAATATGATGATTTTCTGAAAACTTTGCCATAATATAGTCATTGGGGATCCAAAAAGGGGCCTGCTTGAAAAAAAGTCCGGAAGTTTTGAAACTTTGCAGGTTTATAGGTTTTGGGTTCCCTAACTAAAATCCATAAAATGCACATTTCCAGACTTGCCGCCGGCGCCGCCATCTTGCCAAGATGGCGCCCGAAATCGGTATTTTGTAAATATCTCGAAAACTATGCGTTTTTCGTAAAAATTTGAAGAGAGAAAAATTAAAGAGAATAAAATTTCCTATAAAAAATGTTCTATGAAAATTTTCGCGAAAGTCATCCGTTTAGGCACAAAATCCGTGGAAATTTTACAATTTGGCGTGAAGTATGATATACATATGTATAGTCGATTTTCTGAAATCAAATGTCAATTAGGGTTCACTAAAACTAGTTTTAGTTTAGTTTCTTCAATATTGTCATAAAACAGTGGCGTATCATTAAATCGCTCATCAATTTATGAATAATTAATTGTCGTGCTGGACAGCATTCATTGCGAACTTACCACCAGGTTCAGCATTGGTCTGGTTGTACCAAAGATGCCGAAGAATGGGGTTGGAAGAAAACAAAAACAGACATCATTCCAGTCACAACGTTGACAGATCCAGCTCCAAAATCCCTATTGGCATTTTTATCCTGTAAATGCAAAACTGTGATAAATCGTGCGGATGCAGAAAAGCTGGATTAAAATTTTCAATGATTTGTGCATACTGCAATGGGAAATATCCCTGTGACAATGTCACTGAAGTGTCACTCGAAGAATTCGATGAAGAAGAGTTGGACTTGCCTGTAGATATCCCTCTGGCGGCTGAAGATGAAGAGTTGGACGAATTGAGAGACCACTCTGATGAGCCCAGCACAGCAGACATGATCGACTTTACATCAATGAGCCAGGTCAGTCGGGCTCATTGATAAGTTAAGCAGATAAGTTAAAGTTTTTAATGTACCTAGTGGAATAGGCCTCCGGGAAGACCACGTTAAAATAAACGCGCCATGTACTTTATCTCTTGGGTGGTGTGGAAACAAGTACACATTTTCAATAATTAATATTAATTATTCATAAATTAATGAGCGAATTAATGATACGCCATTGTTTCATGACAAAATTGAAGAAACTAAACTAAAACTAGGTTTAGTGAACCCTAATCGACATTTGATTTCGGAAAATCGACTCTACGTAATATATCATATTTTACGCAAAATTGTAAAATTTCCAGGGATTTTGTGCCTAAACGGTTGATTTTAGCGAAAATTTTCATAGAACTTTTTTTATAGAAAATTTTATTCTCTTTAATGTTGCTCTCCTTAAATTTTTGCGAAAAACGCATAGTTTTCGAGATATTTACAAAATGCCGATTTTGGGCGCCATCTTGGCATTATGGCGGCGCCGGCGGCAAGTCTGGGAATGTGCATTTTATGGATTTTAGTTAGAGACCCCAAAACCTATAAACTTGCAAAGTTGCAAAACTTCCGGACTTTTTTCCAAGCAAAAATCCCCAATAACTGAACTATAAAGAGCGCCACAGGATTATGACAAGAATCTAGCACTCGTCAATTTTTTTGTGTCAATGCAATTCGGGTTAACAAATATTCAATGCAATGTTTTTTCACATAAAATATACAGGGCGATCCGAACTGTATTCCGGAAACTTCGGCAGCTTATTCTGTAGATAAAAATAAATAAAAAAAGTTCGTATATATGTATGTCCTAAATTGATTAATTTCGGAGATACAGGGTGTAGAAGTTTCATTTTTATTTCAATTTTTTCTGAAGTAACTTCAATATTTGGATGAATATTGGTGTCTCGGAGTTTTTTGACGTTCGAAACTTCATATGGATATAAATATGGCTCCTATTTGTAGGAGGTGCCACCTACATGTGTTTTAACTCTTTTGAAGAATAATAACTTTTCGTCCGTACCTATATAAAAGAACTGAGTGGAAAAATATACATTTCCGTGATTTTTTACGTAAAAAATGTCTCCTAGTAAAAATCGCTACGAGCAACCGTTCTCAAGATATTTAAAATGGAAGTAGTCAATACATGTCATTATTGACAAAAATAAACATGTTGACTAGATAGTTATTTGACTGAGATCATAAATTTGAAAACTTTTTATTTTTTTAAATTAATCAAAATTTTTCTTCGAAATAAAGATGATAAAACAGTTTCTGTTGAACTTTTGACACACAATCATTTCAAATTTATGATTTCAGTCTAATAATTATTTAGTCGACATGTTTAATTTATGTCAATGATGACAGGTACTGATAATTTAGATTCCAAATATCTCAAGAACCATTACCCGTAGCGATTTTAACCAAGAGACATTTTTTAACGTAAAAAACATCGTAAATGTATATTTTTTTACTCAGAAGTTTTATAGAGGTACGAAAAGTTATTACTCTTCAAACCAGTATACAAATATGTAAGTGGCGCCCTGTACAGGTAGGAGTCATATTGATATCAAAATAAAATTTTTCATGGCAAAAAACTCCCAGATACCAATTTTCATCGAAATATTGACGTTACTTCAGATATTATTTGGAAAAAATCGAAATAAAAATGAAACTTGTACACCCTGTATCTCCAAAACTAAGCATTTTAGGACATATATTTATTCGAACTTTTATACTTATTTTTATCTGCCGAATATGCTGCCAAAGTTCCCGAAATGTAATTTGGACCACCCTGTATATTACGATATTATTATCAAATTGATTTGACAGTAATATTTCTGGATTATTGCCGCACATAGTTTTATTCTGTCTTTAATCCTGTGACACTATCCATATAAATTTGAACTACTATAATATCTAACCACAAAAATATAATTTTTCGTAATTACATAATATTATAATATAGAAAAAATATAGGAAACCATTTTCCTCGAATTAAAAAAAAATGATATAGGAAGTAAATATTTTAATGCCTGAGACAAACGTTATTCTCTTTGCTTAAAAACGATTATTATCCTTTATTAACTATTGATTATGAGCCTTATTTAGTACTATTTGACATGTTTATTAGCTTACTTTAAATTGATCCAACTCATTTAGGCATGCTTCGAGTTTCTTCTTCAAACCATCACGTTCGTTACTTAGCTGTTGTATTTTGGCTTTTTGTTCCTCACACAAGGCTTCAGCTGCCTAAAACCGACAAAGCTTAATATACCTTTATCATTTTTAGTTAGTACTAAAAGTGTTAAAATCAACGAGTTTTGGTGTGTAGGCTTGGTGCATTTCTGTTGATTTCAAAAAATTCAGACCGCAGCGCTGTATACGGCAGAAATCAGAAATGTTCGCTATGTTCACGCCGGCGCCGCGCCGTCTCGGTTACAGTTCATGTTGAAAGCTTTGTAATAATAATAACGTATTTTAGTTTTTTGCTAGTGCAGTTATTGAGACTGTAAAACATTCAGGTGCGATGTGTGATATAACGCTGTTTCGGGTAGTAAAAAATAAATGAAAAAGAACCCGAACTAAGCGTCATGTTGTGTTGTGACAATTTCAAATGCTAATAAAATTGCCGAAAAAATGTTAACGCGTAAAGGAGAGCGTAATTAGGGCGTTGTTGGGGCCAATAACATTCAATAACTCAATTTTTCCGGATATTCAACTCTCCCGAAACAACATTTTATAGTTTCATAGTTTCTCCCACCGATTTGATCAAAAGCAAAAATGGATTCTAGCAGTTCGACGAAACAAGTGAGTAAACAAAATGCTCGTTACATAATCAAAAAATTAAATAGACATATACAATGAGAATATTAATGGAATACTTTTTTTAATCAACTAAAGATTAAATGTCTTATGAACAACTAAAATTATAAGTATGTACGTTTAAATAATTTCGTTACAGCCGAAATAGCCCCAATTATGACCCGACTAGCAAAACCGGTGGGTAAAACTATGCTCGCTACTGTAGTTGAACTCATCTAAAAAGTGTTTTTAACTGAAATAATAAACTATAATACAAGTTAGACCTTCTGAAGATATCAAAATATTTTCTTTTTTTTTTTATTGTTGTCGATCCAATAATATATAATGTGTTCTTTTTTTATAAATTGGATTAGGATCGAAAGAAATCAACAGAAGTCCTTTGTTTTAAATTTGTCGACGTTTCGCAAAATTTATTTGCATCTTCAGGACACTACAAGTTAAGAGAGCAAAAATTACAATCAAATAAAAGTTTTTTCAAAAATTTAACAAACAACTTAAAATACATATCAGTGGAATTCCACACATATACAATTGGTAAAACTACCCTAATGTTAACAATTAAATAAAATATATGTATATGTTACTCACATTTAAATCTGGACTTTCTTAGTCATATCCATTAATACACGGATGGTATAGAGGGGAGTGGTATATATCCCTTTTTTCCTTTTAAAACACATAACACACTTACATAAAAAAAAACATATAACACAATTATGTATAGAGAAATATCACGAAAATCTTTTCCTTTCACAGACAAGCAGTGCAGATGTACCTACGTTGACCGTATACAGAGAGCAACTAATTCTAGTTGATAAAATACTAATATAATTTTTACCTGGAGATAAAGAACAGTTGAAAAAAGAAACATATAAAAATATTATTTGGATTTAAACCATTATTTTGAAGTTATATTATTTAATTTTTGAAAGAATATTAAAATATGCTGTACTCAGGTTTTCTACGTCTGTTCTTTTATTAACGCAATTTTTGTTTTTTTGGATTTCTATCATCTCTGCAAATAATCTTTTCTTATAATTAGATTGTGTTTGTAAAATAGTGGTATTGTCAAAATCGAAGTTATGGCCTGTCTCTATTTTGTGTTCTACTAATGCGGTAGGATTAGATTTCAAAAGAAAGTTCCTTTGATCATTTTTATGTTCATTCAATCTTTGTTTTAAATATCTACCGGTCTGCCCAACATAGCTTTTAGGACATTGAGTACAAGGAATGTTATATATTATATCCAGATTTAAATGTGAGTAACATATACATATATTTTATTTAATTGTTAACATTAGGGTAGTTTTACCAATTGTATATGTGTGGAATTCCACTGATATGTATTTTAAGTTGTTTGTTAAATTTTTGAAAAAACTTTTATTTGATTGTAATTTTTGCTCTCTTAACTTGTAGTGTCCTGAAGATGCAAATAAATTTTGCGAAACGTCGACAAATTTAAAACAAAGGACTTCTGTTGATTTCTTTCGATCCTAATCCAATTTATAAAAAAAGAACACATTATATTTTCTTTTTTATTTTTAGAATTTTCATAAATTATACTTCCTAACAGCGTTTCCAGATAGAGCAGAGCGTCCGCGACTTCGAGCAAGTACCATGAGCTTATATGAACAATTTCACATGGGTCGCGTATGCTCCGTCCGGATGAGCTATCTTGAAAAACATCCGCACCAAGCTTATTGTGAAAAATTAGTGATTTATTTGGCTATTGTAACACCAAAGGTTCCAACCTCAACTGTAAAGTCATGGAATGTATTAAACAACAAAAATCGCAACTTAATCCAGTGCATTATCGGTTTATTGATTTACCGGTTAAATGTCCTAAAGAGCGATAAAATATGACTATGTACTTACAGCCAATCTATCAGGATCCGCCAATGCCTCTTTATCATCGTTAGGATGTCCCGTCTCCACTGACTCGCTGGATGTTTTGTGCCGATTCTTCGCACGTGCTTTTATCGTTATTCGGCCAGGCTTTGCCGGATCATCCACTGGTTCAAAGTCAGACGGAAGATCTTTAATTTTGGATACCTAAAAATCAAGCTAAAAATCAAATACCTTTTGTAACTAACTAACTAACTTTTTAATCCTTCATATTGAACTCTAGCTAAACCGCTGCGCCGGGAGCTGTCATTTTTTAAATATGACCTAAACTTTTTTTTAAATGAAATATCCTATATACAGGGTTCGGCAATAGTGCGTCGGGCATCTGTAGCTCCTAGAATAAAAAACGATGTTCGATTTAAAATAACGAAGAAAAAATATTTTTTATTTTAGAAAGTTTGGCGTGGAAATTTTTAAACCTTTTTAAACTTATTTAAAAATATCTTAAGGTTATGTAGAGTGATCAGAAAGGAAGCCACAAAATGTAATAATATACAGGGTGTTCCATTTAAAAAAAAAACCATCCTGATCCACTCACACTTTTTTGAGTCACCCTGTAGAGGTTAAATTATTTTCCTGAAATACATCCTAACATACTTTAGGTTTAGGGAATGCAATCCCGCACCAAAATCTCAATCCCGCAAACCCGGGGGATTAAGGCAATCAATCCCGCGGATCCGCAAAATTGCGGGATTGTAAACAATAAATGCTCTTCTTTTCTCTCTCCGATTTTCGAATGAGGTTTGGAGCAGGTTTTAGACGCATCGATTGTGATTAAGATGCTATGTGGTTTTCGAAAATATATTTAACGAATTCTCGTATACAGAGTGTTTTATAATAGTATACAAATTTGGTCAAGAATTTTTTTTACCGAAAATTTGCAATTTTTGAAAAATCGAAATTTTAACTATGTACAACTAATCTGTATTGAAATTAGAAAAAACAATTTGGTGTTTTTTTTTAATTTTTTGTTTTAAGGAAAATAAGAGTTTTTTTCGAAAAATCAGCATTTATAGTCATACATTTGGTCCTAAATGGTACAAAAGGCATTGTACATTTTGCATAGGCCCACAATATACTGATATAGCGTGTATCTTAAACTAGCTGAACAGAAATTTGGACCGATGTATACAGGGTGTTCAAAAAATATATTTAATATTAAATAAACTTAGATTTTATTATAATTTATCTACTTATTTTATTAATAAAAGTATTATTCTGATGTTGAAGGTTTTTTTTTCAATTTGTGTTAGTTATCTGCTTTTAGATACACTCTATATCAATAATTTTTTGGCATATGCAGAATGTACAAAGCTTTTTGTACCATTTAGGACCATCGTATGACTAAAAATGCATATTTTTCGAAAAGACGTCGTATTTTCCTTAAAACATAAAAAAATAAAAAACCGATCAAATTGTTTTTTCTAATTTCAATTACAGATTAGTTCGCTAAATATATTTTCGAAAATCACATAGTATCTTAATCACAATAGATGCATCTAAAACCTGGTCCAAACCGCATCCCAAAATATTTTTTAGTTCAAGAGATATTCAACTTTAAATTTACCCTAAAATTTTGCTTGTCCCGATAATTATGTCCGGCAGTTTATTTGACGAAATTGTCCACTAGTAGTACTAGTTAAACGCTTTTCTTCACTTACGCTCGCCAGAAAGAAATCTAATAACTAACCTGTTTGTTTCACTTATTTTTAATGGCCAAGCCGTAAGGGGAATCCCCTGGTGTCGATCCCGCAGATCCCGCACGGTAAATCCCGCAAATTTGATCCCGCGGAATCACAGAGGGATCCCGCATTTGCGCGATCCAGCATTTGCGGGATTGCATTCCCTATTTAGGTTTGAACTTAAACAAAATTACTAAGTTTTTATTTTATTTTAGGAGCTGCAGATGCCCGACGCACTATTGCCCAACCCTGTATTTTTTTTAATTGTCATATCAAACCTGACATGTCTTCTAAAAATATAATATACTTTATATTTAATTTTATAAAGTAAGTAAAAACATTATTTTTAAGTTTTTACCATTAGGCCACCGACCGGTATAAATTAAATAATATAATAAGAAAATAAGAAAATAATATATAGGGCGTCTCATTTAAAAAAAAACACATAAGGTTGCAATTGGCCAAGTGTAACAGTAATCGACACTGTACCAGTGTTCGTCACTTTCTTCACGTTACATCACAGTTTTTGTGAAAAATTAAAAAATTTTATATAGCACCATAATAAATTAAAATGTATTTTACAGATTTGATATTATTTGATCGATTTCGCAACATGTGGATTTTTAATAGCTGTCATAAATCGTTTCTGCACATCAGTAAATGTACAAAATTAAGTTTAGTTATGCATATTTTTTTATTAAATAACCTGTATGGATATTAAACTTGCTGTATTTAGGAAGTTATACAAGATTTAAAGAATATGTTTAGTTTATTTTCCTGTGACGAACACTAGGTCTAATAAAAGTGGTGTTGTCCTTTATTTAGGAAGTTATACAAGATTTAAAGAATATGTTTAGTTTATTTTCCTGTGACGAATACTAGGTCTAATAAAAGTGATGTTGTCCTAATAATCACATAACGGCTCACATGACGGTTACTGGTACATGGAGGTAAAACTTATAACTGCGTATAGATTAATTAGTTTTGTTAGTCTAGACCTTATTTTTAATGGTGTTATTTTAAGCAGTAAGAATATACGTACCAGTCTCCGTCATACCATATTGTTTCGACATTTCAAAGAAAATATATGTTAATTAGAGATGACGAATACCGGGACATGGGGTGAAGATTTCTGGTATTATCAGATAATATGGTAAGAAAACTTAAATATTCCGCAGATAACACGCTTAAAACGATTGAACCTGTTAATAATGGTTTATCCATTAAGAACAACTTTGTGAGATAAGATGAAAATGGGACACCAATCCGTTTTAAGCCTACCAGAGGAAAACATCTTAATTGACAATATATGGATAATAGATAAATTTCATGCCTCTCATTATTTCTTTTCGGAACTTAAATAATTATTAAACCCTTCGAAAGGATAATTATTAAACCCTTCACCAAACGTAGTATGAACTTTTCTTAATGTGGCGAGGACGGGTACATTTACCGTAAGTTTGAATCATATTTCAAAAATGACAATTACCAGCAAAAATCTAGTTACGCCTCTGGATTCTACGTGAAAAACTCTACGCGACTCAGTTTTTACCTATCCGATAAGATAAGTAAATCAAGAAACGAAAGGGTTCGAAAAATGCAACATTTTCAAAATCACACTGTATATCAGTATCTAAGAGGGACAAAATATCTAAGTAGGACAAATACTAGTTTGCAGCATCTTTAGTTCACAAAAAAATAGCACAGTGATGTGAAACCTGCATCTTTGTATTTTTGTATCTCTACTCATAAAAGAAAAACCTCATAAAACACACGAAAATGGGACATCTTGCACATTTTTTACCCCTAAATATTTTTGATAAAAAAAATACATTTTACCATTTTATGGGGCGACTGACTTTTAAGTTTTATAGTCGGTTGGTCCTGCAAGAACTTGCCGAGTTTAGCTCTTTCTCTCTCTTGGCGTGTTTTCCCTGTACATTCTTCTTTCTCTAAACATTCCTCGGCGGCAAGCGGTGCTCCAGAACCTTGCATATAGTCACTGCCCTGCTTTGCCTTCATTTTAAGCGGTGCCACAACGGTTTGCATAAATTCTTCACTAACCGCACGCATTTTTTCGTCGTCGGCGGAGTCCGCTGGGACAGCTGAGTCCGCTCTGCCCGCTGGAACAGCTGAGCCCGCTGGGTCAGCTGAGTCCGCTCTGCCCGCTCTACCCGCTGAAACAGCCGAGCCCGCTCTGCCCGCTGGGGCAGCTGGGTCCGCTCTGCCCGCTCTACCCGCTGAAACAGCTGAGCCCGCTCTGCCCGCTGTGGCAGCTGAGTCCATTCTACACGCTGAGCCCGCTCTGCCCGCTGAAACAGCTGAGTCCATTCTGCACGCTTGGACAGCTGAGTCCGCTATGTCCGCTGAAACACCTGACTCCGCTCTGCCCGCTGGGACAGCTGAATCCGCTCCGTCCGCTGGGACAGCTGAGTCCCGAGATACTTCTCGCCCAGAATCTTCCAAGCATACTTTGGCCATCCGACTAGTCTAGAAAAGAAATAAAGATTTTACTTATTGATATACAGAGTGAGTCTTATATATATAATAAGTGCAAATATTTTCAAAGGTGGTAGATCTCGTTAAAAGAAACATATTTTCTCTTTCCCGCTTTTCAAATAAGTACAAAATAACCGAGTTATTTGACTTTGAAAATTTAAAAATATATACATTATTTTTTTCTTAAGTATTGAGAACCACCGGATCTTTTCTGAATTTTCTTTCTTGTAAATTTAATCCTATAGTTCATATCGAATAAACTTTTAGTCACGTGATTAAGCTTTACCGGCTCAGCGTTGCCCACTTTTACAAATTTTCTTTTGATCAAAATATTTTAGGAAATAAAAATAAATTAATTATAAATATACAGGGTGGTCCTAACTGTATTTCGGAATCGGCAGCATATTCTGCAGATAAAAATAAGTAAAAAAGTTTTATAAATGTATGTCCTAAAATGCTTAGTTTGGGTGTAGAAGTTTCATTTTTATTTCGATTTTTTTCAAATAATTTTTGAAGTAACGTCAATTTGAATGAAAATTGGTGTCTGGGAGTTTTTTCACCTGAGAAATTTGATTTTGATGTCAATACGACTCCTACTTGTAAGGGGCGCCCCCTACATATTTTTTAACTGGTTTGAAGAGTAATAACTTTTGGTCCGTACCTGTATAAAACTACTGTAAAAAAATATACATTTACGACGTTTATTACATAACAAAGGTCTCTTGGTAAAAATCGATACGAGTAATGGTTCTCGAGATATTTGGAATCGAATTTATAAATACCTGTTATCATTGACATAAATTAAACATGTTGACTAAATAGTTATTAGACTGAAAACATAAATTTGAAATATTTTTGTGCCAAATGTTAAAGAGAAACTATTTCATTTTTTCGAAAAAAAATTATGATCAATTTAAAAAAAAATAAAAAGTTCCCAAATTTATCATTTCAGTCGAATAACTAACTAAAAAATAAATGTTGAGTAGTCAACATTTATTTTTTTGTCAAAAATAACATGTATTGATTATTTCCATTCTAAATATCTTGTAAACGGTTGCTCGTAGCGATTTTTACCAATGCGATTTTTTATCCTGCATTTTTTCAGATGATATTATAATAAAATAACAACTATAGTCTATAAAATTAATAACTTTAAATTTTGACCGTTACCGTTTTTTACCAACATGGCAAATAAAAAATCCATCTATCAAAAAAATTACTGATATTCTTTAAATTGGTCGCGTTCATCAGGATAAGTTGATCAGTGAGCGATGTGCCATCGATTGGTTGTCCTGCTGAACGCGCTTTTTAGCATCCCTTAGACAAGGAACTCTCTTTCCTTGTCTAAGGTCTATAAATCATCAGTAATGCATATAGTCTAAGTCATAAGTAAAGCATATTAAATTGTTTTCATCCATTTTTGGCACAAATCGAGGGGATTAGTCAACCGAGAACAATAAACAAAATGGTTTGTTTTCGTTTTCCAAAACATTTTGTGACATTTGGCTTATGTGACGTTTAATCCATCATGCATCGGTAGCGTAGCGTATTTTAAATCTGATGGAAAAAATGGCGACTGATCCCAGAGCGCTCACAACTAATCGGCGCGTTCAGCAGAAAATTAGTGATCGCTGCGGTAGCGCTACGTCCTGATGAACGCGACCATTGAGTGCCTGAACGAATCAGATAGGTAACTCTTTTTACTTTCGTGAAATAGAAAAGGAAAATAATAAAACAAATGACAGTTCTTTCTCTTCTTGCAAAAATCAACACGAAATGTCATAAGTGTCAAAAGTAAAATGTCATCAGCTTTTGACATTTCTAAATATCAGACAACAAACAAAAATGCATGGCCGCAAGTTGCTAACCCAGGGGGGTGACAGTAAACCGGAAAATTGGAAACAGTTGTGGCGCGGTTCTACCCAGGCAGAAAGCATGGCCTTCTAGACTGTCCTAGACAAAAATCTGAATATTTCTATATGATTTCTGTCAATTTCTGCTACGGAACATTTTTATGCACGTCGGCGTCCTGTTCTTTTGTCTTTTGTCTGTGTGTCAGTGTGAGCCTCCGAGGCCTCTGGCAAGGTCGGGCGCCATTTTAATTTTTGCCGTTTAGATTTGATTGGAAGTTTGTTTCTGATATTTCGGCTGAAATTTATAAGTACAAAGATGTTTTTTGATATAAAGTTCCTTGTTAACACTTTAATAAAGTATATATGATATTAATTACATGAAGAAAATGATGAAATCGACGTTTCGGCGTGTAGCAGGTATGGGCCATATTATAGGTAAAAATAGGTAATATATTAACTGTTTTTATATTTTTTTAGCTTTAAACCCAAGGATCTTGGGATATTCTTTCAAGGATTTTTCCGTATCTCTACTTTAAAGACTGATCGGTGATTTTGAGCAATTGAAAGCAAGTTATACAAGGTAAATTATGATTATTGAACTATTATTAGCCTACGTTAAATTTCTACAAGATGAACAGAAATGCGTAATTACATATCACATAGGTACCTATTATGTATTTTCATAGCAATAATGCTATAAATCTATGTATGTAGATTATTTTTAAAATACAAATGAGGTATTAGATGTATATGTATCATATTTTTTATTCATTTTATTTTCATTCAAGTCCTGTTTGATTTAATTCACAAAAGTCTTATGTAGGTACCTATATTTATATTTTTTACATATTTTTTTTGATTCCAGGTTTTGTGTGGGTTCCGGTTGCCTTTTTCCTGCTTCCAGTTATTTATCCGTGAAGCTGTGAAAACATTTATTTATCTTCAAGTTTCTGTAAGTCAATGCACTGTTACTTTACTAATTCGCTTTAACACAGCATCTCTGATATTATTTAAATATTTAATATTGATACAGTAGTTTATTGGTTTATAGCTCTTTAATTGTGTTGATTTGCATATTTACATTGTTCTAAATTCCAAATAAATATTTTTGAGTAATTTTGTTGTATTATTTACTACTAGAAAGAGTAAAAAGTATATTACCCTCATTTAAACCTCCCTGAACAGCCCGCCATTGAGTGCCTGAACGAATCAGATAGGTAACTCTTTTTACTTTCGTGAAATAGAAAAGGAAAATAATAAAACAAATGACAGTTCTTTCTCTTCTTGCAAAAATCAACACGAAATGTCATAAGTGTCAAAAGTAAAATATCATCAGCTTTTGACATTTCTAAATATCAGACAATAAACAAAAATGCATGGCCGCAAGTTGCTAACCTAATAAAATTAACACTAGAAAAGCCCGCGGGAACTGTCAGATTCAAAGTTATTCGTTTCACAGACTATATATTAACTTTAAATGATAAATCTATTAAAAATATTGTGGGTGTAGATATTAGAAATGCATTATATTTTAAACGTTATTTATTTAAACCATATAGTATATGGAATGGGGATTAGCATATATTTATTTACATTAGTCATTTTAATCCTTTACGAATACTTATAAATTATTAAGGAATAAAAAAACGTGCTCCTATAAAATTAAGACACATTAGATTTTTCATAATATTCATAAATAAAGATTATGTTAAAAATACCCTATGATCGAGAAAATACGCGTATTTCTCATATAATTTTACAAAAAATAAAATGATGACAGCTTCATTTTATAGCCATTGCTGACGCCGTTTTTTTTCGATCGTATAGTGTATTGTATATAAAATTTAAGACATGACAGAAAAACTTTATATCAATAAATTGAAAAAAACTTATTTATTTATCTTATATTGTGTATAATCCTAAAAAAATATATCAACTAAAAACGCTTTATCACATCTATAATCAAAGTACATAATATAAAATGATGAAAAATCATAAAAAAAAGTGTAAAGATAATCATAATTTAACCCTTCATATAAAGTGGGATTTGCGACTCAATAATTTGCTGGTTTTTGTTTTACGTTGAGCCAATAATTAATTGTTAAATACATAGGTATTAAAATTGATAAAAAATAAATTTTTAAAAAATAAATATTAAATGTATATATTTTTCTATATCTTACCAAAGAACTCAGCTGTTTCCTATTTTCATCGTTTAAATCCAAACTGGATATGAAAGTCCACAGTTGTTTTAAACAACTTTTGAGCTGTGTTATGTCAGAGTTGGCCATTGCTAATAGGGCATTTATGATTACTTCTATGGGTATAACTTTTCCTATGTACTGAAACCAAAAAGTAATATCAATATTAAGAACTTCACAAACTTATACAGGACCATAAATACAACCGGGCATAAAATTAGAGTCACCTCCAAATTTGCGATTATTTTTGAAATTTTCGGGTTTTAGAGATTTTTACTAAGTATGGCATAGTTTACTCACATAATTCAATAAGTTTATCGTGATTTCGCTTGGATAAAAAAAGTTGTTATGGTTTTTTCAAAGTTTTGTTAAAAAAGGGTCCCTCTCCGAAATTCCTTAGTCCCATTATCAGCGTATTTCTGCATTCCATGTATGGTTCTAGAAGAAGGCCATGGACAGCGTGAAACTGCAAGAAACCTGGATGTGAGTCTTTCCAGTGTGCAACGAGTGTCTCAACGGTACGAAGAGACTGGTCTGCTCACCCGAAGACCTGGTTCGGGACGAAGAAGGAATACAACAGTTAGAGATGATCGCTTTCTCATAACTAATGCGTTAAGAAACCGAACGAGTACAGCAGTTTCCCTACGAAATCATTTGCAAGAAGTTAGAAATGTAAACATAAGTGAGTGGACAGTTAGGAGGCGACTTCACGCTGCTGGATTATCCTCTCGAACCATGGCTACCGGACCGCCCCTTTCCCGTGAACACCGAATTGCAAGATTGACTTTTGCACGAGGGCACTTGGCTTGGACAATAGAAGATTGGAGCCGCGTATTGTTCTCCGATGAGGCGCGATTTTGTCTAACAGGTTGAGACAGACGTGTGAGAGTATGGCCACGACAAGGCGAACGATTATAGTCGAACGACCTGCATTTGGAGGAGGCTCAGTTATGGCATGAGGAGGCATATCCTTTCAGGCTCGCACGGAGTTAGTGTTCATCTTGAATGGGACTTTGAATGCGCATAGGTACATCCTAGAAGACCATAGGTACATCCTAGAAGACCATGTTATGTAGGAAATCCTAGGAGACCATGTTATACCATTCCTGGGTTTTCTTGGGGAAAGCGCAACCTTTATGCAGGATAATGCACGGCCCCACACTGCTAGGATGACTTCTACGTATCTCGATGAGGTTCAAATCACAGGATTTGTTTGGCCACCGCCGTCCAGACTTGAATCCCATCGAGCATGTTTGGAATGAAATGAAGAACCAAACCCCCAGAAACTGTCAAGAGCTTTGTAATGTACTGGTGCAGGAATGGGAGAATCTTCCGCAGGGTGTAATCCAGAACCTTATCCAAAGCATGCCGCGTCGTCTACAAGCGGTTGTCACAGCTCGAGGAGGAAATACTCGGTATTGAAAATTGAAACCTTGAGATGTTTTTTCTTTAATTTATGAACTATGCATTATTTCAATAAACCGTTAACAAAACCGTAACAACTTTTTTTATTCAAGCGAAATCACGATAAAATCATTGAATTGTGTTAGTAAACAGTATAGTAGTATAGACTACGTCAGTGGTCACGGGACGCGAGAACAAGGTCATATAAAGTGGCAGAAAAAGAACAAAGGATTTGACAAGGAGTAAAGCTATTATTTTCCTGATACTATGACCAAACTAAACCAAAAAAGAAAAAAAAAACATTTTAATTAAATAAATTTCGTTATACACTAAAGTTTGGTGATTTGGTTAAATTTTAGTCAAGTAGTAAAAACTGTTTTTTTTTTCAAGCCAATAAGATGCCTACATTCCAAAAGCAGTACTGCTAGATAGTCTAGATATAGAATCTTGAGGATGACACTAGCCTGAAACAGTACCTATAATACTATACATGGCTGAACAATTTTATTTATTCTATATTTTAATATAATTATTATCTACCTACTTTTGAAATGTCCTTTGTGGCCAATTCTAAGATATGTTGTCTGCGATCTTCGACGATATCGCACCAATTTCGGACATCGGTCGACGAAGGATAGGTTTTCAGTCTCGATTCTGATCTTCTCCGTTCCGGCTGTACATCTTTCGCTTTCCTAAACATAAGAGCTTTCTTTTGGGTGTATGTCGTCATTTTGGATAATGGATACTTTGCGATAGACGACGTAAACAGATACTAAAAAGATTAAACCAAAGTTACATTTCTACAAAAAAATCTGGCGTTAAATTTGAAAAATTTTGAGTTCCTGTCGATTTATGACAGATGTTTCAAAATATATTTTTTCGGGCTCGTTCATTTGACATCAAAATTGTCATTATTCGTTACTAAACACCAGTCAAAAATACTGAAAATCGTGTTTATGTTCAGGTGATTGTTTTATCGTCACTCAAGCTTTGGCGTATGACATTGGCATTTAAGAGTGTAATGGTTTTATGTTCAATTTCTATCGGTTTCCTGAAAGTTTTCTTATTACGGAACACGAATCATAAAAAACATCCTTTGACTATCTATATAACCCCTACTGGTTATATAGTCAAAGAAAATATCTATCATAATTGTCACCAAACTAACCAGCGCCAGAAGGCTGGTTTTTCTTGTTTTGTTTGTCAATTGTGTTGTCAATCAAGGTCATTTATGTGACAGATCTCAAGCAAATACTGGAAATTCGAGTGTAATTCTCATTTAATTTCTAAAATTTGTAATAATATTTTGTATTTATATCCAACAGCAATGCAGGTAGGTAGTAAAGGTAAATAAATTTCATTAACTAAATAGAATTACTTTTTAGGACCATTTAAACTTATCATGCAGCCATTGTTCCTTAAACTCAGGAGCATTTAAAAAAAAACATGAGAAACAAAACAAAAAGTAATCGTGAATGTTTTGTTAGCTATAAAAATATAAAAAATATTGATTAGATTTGTTTATTTATTATTGATCTGTTTCAATATTGGACTTGCAAATCTTCACTTGAGCTGTCTAACGAGTCATAGATAAATGAAACAAGTTTAGATTGGAAAGTGCCCATAAGGACAATGTAAACACTATTTGGCGCTATTCTTGCAACGGTCGCGATCCAAAACTTTTGAAAATTTCGGAGCGGTTCGGCTTTTTCCGGAATTATATCGCCAAATATTGTTTATTCAAATTTATTATTATTTTCGTTAAATTTTATAAATAAAATACAGTGTGTTGCATACAAGAAACTTTATTTTATATAAGGACGCATGTATGAAATACCTACGAAACATTGGAAACCGACGTTATGCCACGATCCACGATGGTTTTTGCAGTTCACAGTTCACAGCATAGCTTTTTAAGTTTTTAATGCCACTTTTTCACAATTATCACCGGTTGGAGTAAATAAAACTTAAATTAAACTCACAAGATAGCAATAATTACTTTGAAAATGGACGTTATAAACACTTTTCGGAATTTCTTTAATGAGAGCGGTTTAGATTTTGAAAGATTATTATGATTTTTGAAGATTCTGACTTTGACAAGAGAAAATTATTTCTGTTTTTGTTTGCTGTTGTTCTTAGCGACCGCTATAGCAGCGCCAGATCGCGTATAACGGTCGCGACCCAAAATAATTTCGCGATCCAAAATTTTTACGGGCTTTCCAATCTAAACTTGTTGCATTTATCTATGTAACGAGTTTATAATAAAGCATTAAGGAATGACATGTTACATCATTTTGACAGGTTTTGGTTATCCACGTCTATTCTGAAAATCCTTGTAAAACTATTAGAAGTCGCTAGTATGAATAAATTTTGAATATGTCATATGCAAATAGAAAAGAAAGAATATTTAAGGATGGAGAAAGATGGGATATTCCTCATTCGAGATCAGAAAGTCGTATGAAAAAGTATTGGTCTGCTACGGATAGGAGAGCTTGGTGCGATGAAGTGGAATTGAGAAGACAGCACATATTGGAATTAATTGCTAAAAATAGAGGGGTAAGTTTTTGAAACAAAACGAATTAATGTCAATATAGGCCAATCAAATTAGAAAGTTCACTTGGAAAAAAGTGTTGGAAAGCTAATTATCTTGATTTGTTTAGTTGACATGAAAGAGAAGTGTCACAGTTTTGCACGATTGCTCAACCGCCGCTTCACTCAGGAGAACCAAAAGATGGTAAAATTCTTGGATTTTTTTCAGATTTTCACCTATAGATCCGAAACGTTGCGTTTTAGCAAATATTTCACTATTACAAGAATTAAAGAGTATCAATTCGTTTAATTCGATCTAGGAGTATGGTAGAAATTGAAAGATGAAGAATGGTGATATTTACTTATTTTGCTGACAAACGCATTAAAGTGACATTTAAACGTTCGTCACACAGAACTATATCATTCTAAATAATAAACCATACAATAAAAGTTACAGAGCATCAAATTAGCATTTTACATGAAGTAATACATGGCAAGAAAATAAAAATTTTTGCGTTCCGTCGTCCAACAATTCTGCGTAGAATCATAAAGTATCAATTCGTTCAATTCGGTTCAGTAGTCTGAAATGATGCTTAAAAATAATGATTTTACCAGTTTTGCCGCTTCAAAAGAGCGTTTCTTATCCAAACGACCGTAATAAGAAACGTTTAATTAGCATGCTCTATAAAAAGCTAGATGATAAAGGATTTATTGTAAAAGTAGTGGAGGAAGATGCTGATAGATTCATTGTTCCGATTATTAAGTAATTATTAGTATATTTGTTACGATTTATAAGTAAGTAAGTAAATGTTACGATTAGCACCTACCACCTCAAAGATTGCACTAATAAAGGCTAGGAAAGATGCGAAGGAAAATAAATAATTGCACTCTCCCCGACACTTCAAATACTCGAAGAGTTTAAAATGAAACATTCTGTTCCTGCATGTTTTCAGTGGATATGATAACAACTGATCATTGTATCAGCAGAAGAAAATGAAGTTTGTCAAAACCTTGGACAGAAACATAGACTTGTTCTGGGATAAAATTCCCTGTAGCCATTTATGGTGACCCTCAAAATCAAAATCATTAGACGACATAAGATACGATATGTTCGCCAAAGTAGTAGCCAAAACAAACACGAAGATAGCAACCTTTTTCCTCTCTCCGCAGCAGCACGCTTTCCGGAGATACCACCAAGTCCAGACGTGGTTGAGGCAGGCTAAAAATCCAGTAGCACCTCTAAGAAGTACTCAACAGCGTGTCCTGCTTTACGGGATGCCGAGATCACTGCAGTTGTCAAAAAGCAGGAATGAAATGCAACTTTCATTGTATGGTTTATTATTTAGAATGATAATTTCCGTGTGACGAACGTTTAAATGTCACTTTAATGTGTTTATCAGCAAAATTGGTAAATATATTACCATTCTTCATCTTTCGATTTCTACCATACTACTGAACCTAATTGAACGAACTGGTACTCATTATACGCAGAATTTAATTTAAACAGGTCTTTAATTTTTGTAATAGTGAAATATTGACTAGAACGCAATGTTTCTATAGCCGAAATCTGAAACTATAGGCGAAAATCTGAAAAAGAATTTTACCATCTTTTGGTCCTCCTGAGTCGAGCGGCGGTCGAGCAACCGTGCAAAACTAGGATACTTATCTTCCATGTCAACTGAACAAATCAAGACCATAATTAGATTTCCAACGCTTATTCCAAGTGACCCCTATAATAGATCTTATTTTGACTGGCCTAACTTTATTTATAAGGTTATACTTACTTTAGCAATTCTGCTTGGAATCCCTTATCCCTCTTGGTATGATCTTGAATATAATGGCGGCAACCAGAGATGCCGAAAATGAGGATTTGCAAAAAAGAATAGATTCCCTAGAAGCGCAGTTGGCCGTATACAAGGACATTGATTTAACTGAGGAACAACAAAAAGAAGTTGATGCACTTATAAAGAAATATAACATTAAACCACCTGAAGATTAACTTAAAACATTTTAAGTACCTACTTATCATATTGTTCTGGATTCAAGTTTTTAAATAAAACATTATATTACCACAATTCAGATTTATTCTTACGGAAACTATGATCCCATCAAAAAGCATAAAGCCGAGGGCAGACGTTTTATTGTCCGTCTTTCTTGCCAGGTATCCTGCTCATTGCCACTTGAGGGATTTGACTGCCCATTGCCACTTGAGGGGGTATGACATTTATAACCTAGGTCTTTTGTCGTATCCACTCTATTCTGTTAGGTCTTTCTTGGTTATTCTCAGCACATTTCGTTCCATTGAATGTTGTTCGACCTGCAATTTCCTTATGATGTCCGTTTTAAGTGGTCAGGTTTCGCATGCATAGGTCATAACTGGTAGTACACATTGGTCGAATGTTTTCTGCTTTAGATAAAGTGGCATTCTAGATTTAAATATGATTGAGTTTCTTCTACTAAGGGCTAACAAAGGTTAGTCTTGGGTCGAGATTTCCGTATGTAAGAAGAGTACAATGCGTTTATAATGTACTGAACAAAGAGAGGACAGTAAACACGTTGCCAAACGTTGCAAAATATTGATGTGCAAAAAATCTTGTTACGGTTATATATTTTAAAGGGGAATTAATTTTCTTATATTTATTTTAATTAATATATCTTGACAAAATGGTGAATGTGGTGATTTATTATTTTGTTTATAACCTTGAAGATGGCACGTTAATAAAATATAACAATACATTTCTTAATACATATTAATTATTTATTTATTTTCTATTTACAAGTAAAGTAAATGTGCATTAACTTTAAATCATAATTTAACTTCATATTGTTGTATTTTTAGCCAAATGTAATATTTTGTAAATAATATCTTTGACTCGATCTTGAGGTATTATTCTTCAGGTTATGGAAGGGTAAATGCATCGTGTAAAGACTTCTTATTTATCTAAAATAACGTTAATTAAAGTAATATTAATAATAACCACTTTATATACTTACTTTTGGTATTTGTTTACTTCTGTTCAAGTGGAAATATTCATTGCATTTTGTTAGTTGTTTGGTTGCTACAAAGGGAAACCATATTATATTAATTATATTATACGAAACGATGTACATACCTTTTTAATAACAATAATACCTTCAATAATTATTATTAATAAATAATCTGATTGTGATTTTTGTTTAGATTAATTAATTTGTGGTTAGGGCAGAAACGTCAAATCATCAACGGGTCTAACGGTGTTGCCAGCTTCTTGAAGTTTTCTTAAATCATATTTCACCTCATTCATATTTAGTCTCTAAATAATTAATTTTAGCATTTAACTTATTTTAATACTTTTATTTATTAATGATCTTAAACTCTTATCAATTGTATCTAGTTGTAATTGCATTTAACTTATTATTATTGTTTGATTTATTATTAAGTTTCTTTTATTATCGGATTACTCCTGGCAACATTGGTACTTAACTGGTTGCGGATGTACCTAGGGATTTTATAGCTAAATTTATATCAGGAAGGGGTATCGATATTAAAATTCCAAGCGCCCACCTGTCTGGTGATTTCCTTTCTTTTCTTTTCGGCACGCTGGCAGTGAAGTCACGTTTTGAGTTGGAAAAATCCTTTCATTTGATTTTGGGAAAGGTTAATAATTCTCTACGTTTAATTGATATTATGTATATCATACAGCTACGGCTGGATTGAGACGAAACTAATAGCGTTGCATCTTTTGTATTATTTCCAAGGAAATCGCCCACAGTTTGGGTAAGTTAATTTTGGTTTATTAATTATCACGTGGGACAAATTTTTATTGGGTTAATTTTAAATTAGGCACCTTGGTTTGGTTTTCTTTTACGCACCAACTTGATTCCACGAGGGTTTTCACGACTGGCTAGCGAGGTTCCTGTTCAAACCAATTGATCAGCTAAGGGGAAGCCACGTGGTTGGGCCTTCTGGTTGTGCGGCAGATCCTGGCGTAGGGGATTTTTTTTGGGACCCTTACGAATAAAAGCTAAGTACCAAACTCTTTATTAGCTCCCTCTCGTTCCTGCGTACTTAATAAATATTGTACCTATTTTTTTTTGTTGCTTCTGATTAGTTTTAGTAAAGACCATTTATTTAGTAATTTAAGTATCATTTATATCGTGGGTACCCCGTTTTTCATATATATTAAATTTTAGTAGAGTAGGTAATTTTTTTAGTCTAGGTTACACTAACTGGTCATCTAACGGGTAACCAGGATTACCAATTATTGCAAATATTTAATTTATAATATAGTCATTTTAATTTCCCTATATTATTGTAATAATTATTTAAACCATTTTAAATTGTATTGTTTCAAATGATGAGCTACCCTACATCTGAATAAACGTCTGTCTTGTTAATCTGTGTTTTATTGTGTAATTACATTGAACTAAAATTTGGTGTTTTATATAGGTACAATTTTGAACCCACCTCCCAAACGGGAAGGTAGCAATCTCCGATCTAGATGTTGTAGTTCTCTAGAAACTCCCTTTGACTCCTAATGCACGCTCAGCCTGAGACACCCTGTATATCGGCGAGAGTTAGCAATTTTACCTTATTTGGCATTTTGTTGACGTACGTCATTGTCTCACGTAGAACTGTCCAAAAAATGACAATTCCCTTAACAATCCTTTGCAGAAACACCTCCACATCGCCCATTTGAAAGAAGATAAATTGAAATTCGTTCTGAAATAGTTCTTTAATTACTCCTCACCATGTCATACGTGAATAAGAAGGAACGAATCTTTAGGAAAGGCGAAAGAACGGATATCCCTCGAATAAGATCTGAAAGTCGCCTGAAGAAATACTGGTCAGAAACAGACCGAAGAGCTTGGTGCGATGAAGTGGAGTTAAGGAGACAGCACATTTTAGAACTAAATGCCAGGAACAAAGGGGTACGTATGAAACAATTCGTTTATTCTGATTATTATCCGTTTAAGAGTCCAAAGTGTAGCAAAATAAGCGTTCGGCATTTAACGTTTTATGTCAAACTGGCTAGGTATTTTTACACAAATGAAAAAGGAAATTAAAGATAAAGGATTATACTATATCCGTATTGTAGCACATTTATAGACAACTTCTTTATTTTTAAGATTTTGATGGTCAAACATCAACAAAATATTCCTTATGTTTGAACTAATTTTTCTCGAAAACAAAGACAGGATTTAAAATTCCGTTACAAAACGGAAATAGATTGGAATTTTTGTGATTACAGTGATATATAATTTATATGGTTTTTTTTTATGGCAAATGCTGAAGCTCCGCAAACCTTAATCTAGCCGTAATCAAAGCACGTGTGTTTGTAATTTTCAGTGTGGCTTAACACGATAGGACAGTCTATTACGCTGTACAGGGTGTCCCATTTTGGTTGAAATCATACGGTATCTCCGTTATTAGTGAAGATAGAAGGGTGCGGTTTGCACAAACCTGTCTCACTTTTTTGTCAAACGGAAGATGCCGTAAACAAAATTTTCATAGCCCTCTTCGTTTCTAAACTACAGGGTCTATTTGAAAGTTTTGCAATTTGGGACACCCCCTGTATCTCTGTTATTGTTAAAGCTATCGAGAAGGTGAAAACCGTTTATTCTAGAACTGTTTACGTAGAATACAGTGGCGTAGTCTGGTTTTCTACCAAAAAAATATTTTTGAAAATATGAACTAAAGTTATGTTTTTTTTAAATGGAACACCCTGTATATTTATAAATCATATGATCTCTCTTGCCATAAGCTTCTCAAAAATATATATCACTCTATATTTATTTTCACTATTTACTGCAATATTTAGAAGTTTTTATTAAGAGATCATATTTATTAGTAGACCATGATTGATAATAAAAGAAACTAAAGAATTATTAAAAGTATACTGCTATCTGTCTCTTGTTTTATTTTGGGAGCCGCTAATAAATTCTTTATATATTAGGAAAACTTATAGTCCTCATTCACTTCCACATTTGTTGGGTTCATACATGTAATGCCATTGCATTGACCACATGCCATAGTGCAGGTGAGTCCCATTCGCTTGCATGTACATGCTTTTTTACAGTCTCCCGAAAAGCAATTGCAATTTTTTTTTTCTAAAACCTGTGTAGGAGCAATGGGCTGATCTGAATGTATTGGATTCATATCTCGATTTTTCAGATTCCAACCCCAATCTTGCGGTATTAAATTGTTATTTAACCAAGTCTGTACCCTGCGATATTTTAAGATCTGTTTTCTCAATACTATAATTATATAACATATCATTATGGCAAAAATGTCATTGTTGTTTTTGATGGCTATGAAGAGATACAGACCAAAATTGTGGAGCAGAATCGCAGATCTGCAGGTAAAAAAATGGTACCAATTGTATCTTTCTTGAATTTATCTGCAGTGAAGGTACCAAAGACAGATTTTTTGTCAAACAACACCAACAAAAGCAACTTCATTCGTGCGCTCGGAAAAGTATTGTTGGAAAATGGAATCAATGTTAAATTCACTGATGATGATGCCGATACTCTTATTGCAACTACAGCGGTCGTAATAAGTGACAATTTACCAGAACTGACCGTAGCAGTAGTTAGCGAAGATATGGACATTATAGTATTACTGATTCATTATTGCCACAAGAGACTGTTTATGATTCTTCCGGGAAAGGTGTCAAAACCAAATAAAATAATCGACATATCGGCCTTACAACAAAAATTAGGGGATCTGAAGAATGTGATTCTTAGTGTCCACGTCCACGCTATATCTGGTTGTGACACAACGTCTGCTGTGTTCAATAAAGGGAAGATTAATTTAGTGAACACCATCCAGAAGAAAAAATTCTCTACAAAGGAGAAGTTAGAAGAGGTTACATCTCAGTTTTTATAGCAGCATATACATATGTTAAAAACTCGACAAAAAAAGTAGATTTGAATAGTGCCAGATACATGCTTTATCAACAGTACGTAGCTAAACGAAGTCTTAATACCAACATCAACTTGCCATCATTACCACCTACCTCCAATAGTGCGAAATAGCATGGACTTAAGAGTTTTTCATCAGGTAAGTTAAATTTATGTTGCATTCAAATGTTAAACTAAATTCTCATTTTTAACTTACAGGTACAGGCTTGGTTAAATAACAATTTACCACCGCAAGATTGGGGTTCGAATCTGAAAAATCGAGAGATGAATCCAATACATTCAGACCAGCCCATTGCTACTACATGGGTTTTAGAGAAAAATTTTTGCAATTGCTCTTCAGGAGGCTCTAAAAAAGCATGTACATGCAAGCGAATGGGACTCACCTGCACTATGGCATGTGGTCAATACAATGGCATTACATGTATAAACCCAACAAATGAGGAAGTGAATGAGGACTATCCTTAAGATAAGTTATCCTATTTTTGAGCTAAGGTTTTTCTTGTTTTGTTATTAAACGTGTAAATTTTTCAATATACCTATTTCATGGGAAATTATTTGTAAAACTGCAATTTTTCTTATTCAATATTTTTAAAATGTAAAAAACGCACATTTAAAAAAATTATCTTCGCCACTGGTAACTTACCTTTATTAAAAAGATCGATTTTATAAGAACTTGTATCCTAATAAATTTTTTGGTCTCGAGATTTATCTCAAAAATGCTTTCATTTGTAGTTAAACACAGAATGGTGGGTTATTAAAACAATCCTCCTAAATTAAAGAATTCGCACCTGCGCCACTGAAACTCTAAAAATTTTGGTTCTTTATCTATGTTGTAGGAAATTTTCTTCTATTCAATTTTTTACTCGTGACGTTTTTTCCTAAAATTCGTAGTTTTAGAGTTATTGAAGAAGAAGTAAAAAAGGGTCATTTTTACCCCTTATAGGGGTGGTTTTGGGGTGACGCATGACGGGCTCAACGCTTTATCGCTGGGGTTTTAGGATGTTTAAAAATCTACAAAATGAAGCTCCATGTCAAATTTCAGCTTGTCTCTAATTTGTTGAACCTCGGCCTGTATAGGCTCTGGGCTAAAAGCGGGTGTGTGACCGAAGGAAATATATATGATATTTCAGAAATCTGCCCTAAGGCTTAGCCCGATCCTGTCGTGTTAAGTCACACCTAGAATTCCAAACACGCGTGCTTTGATTAAGGCTTGATTAAGGTTTGAAGAGCTTCAGCATTTGCTATAAAATAATGAGCAATTTTGATACAAAACCATATAAATGATATATCACTGTAATCACAAAACTTCAATCTATTTCCGTATTGTAACGGAATTTTAAATATTCGAGAAAATTTAGTCCAAACATAACGAACATTTTGTTTATGATTGACCATCAAAATCTTAAAAATAAAGAAGTTGTCTAAAAATGTGCTACAATACGGATATATTATGTAGTATAATCCTTTATGTTTAATTTCCTTCTTCATTTGTGGTAAAAATACCTAGCTAGTTTTACATAAAACGCTAAATGCCGAACGTTTATTTTGCTACTTTTTCGGATGATTATATTTTTTGTAGCAATTCTGCTTAGAATCTCTTATTCCCTTGGACATGCTTTTTGACGTAATCAGTGGCGAAAAAGATGACGAAAGGGACAAATTGCAAAGTAGAATTGACTATTTGGAAGCCATGTTGGATATATACAGGCAAGTAAAGCTGACTGACGAACAACAAAAGAAAGCTGATAAAATGGTAAAGCAATAATCAGCTTAATTAGGAATTAATTTAAAATAGAGAAATATATTTCAGAACCAGGACTTAAAGAAAGAACAGAAAAAGCTAGCAGAGGCAAAACCAAAAAAAGAAGGAGACAGGGTAAGTTCTGGTAATCCTCAAATAATTTGGACTGTTTTGAAAAATACTTTGAACTTAACTAAAGTCCTTCTTAAAACTAAAAGAATTTCCGACCTCCATTTTCTTTATTTATTTTTGCTTACACAACGTTTCGGTCAGAAGTATCACTGACCGTTATCTATAGCTATTATACATAGTTATATACCTCTATATCGGTAGCTATTTCCTAATACATTGAGTAGCTTTCTGCAATGACGAATCATAGACGTGCTTTTCGTTGCCTCAAGCGCTTTCAACGCGGCTTGACTATCCGAAAAGATGTTTATTGTTTTCCGGTGTGTTGCTGTTCTAGCAGCAGATGCACACAGGTCACAATAGCAACTCAGCTTGGCAAGATTCCAGCGCCAGATTCTTTTTGTTCTTGGATCCGTCCATGTCCGTATATAATAAACCGTTTCTCGGCTTATCCCATTCGTCCCTATTCGGAAACAGGACGGTGTAGGTGCGTATCAAGAGATGGACAGGTGGTGTAAGATCTGATACCATTCTTAGCACTAGCATAAATAGCCTTTAGCCATCCAAGTATTCTTATTCGCAGATGCAAAAAAATCGCAACGGAACAATTTTTCGGCAAATTTGAATTGTTATTTCTCTTAACTCTGTTTTCATGATTTTTTTAGCAAACGGTATATAAATATATCAGCTGTAATTCGTAAACTTTATAAAGGTAAAAACTTTTTATCTTAACTTTAAAACACCCCGTGCAATAATTTCTTACGGAAATCTTACTAAAACGATATTTTTCAAGCAGATATATTCATACCGGGTGCGTCTCAAAAGTGGCTCACCCCTATAACTTTTTTATTTTTTCCGGTAAAATAACGAGATCCAAATCTTAATATTATATGACATTTATCGACGTATTCAATAATAATTATTGTTCTTGGTCGCTGCCTATTTCACCGGAAATAACTAGAACTTTTGATTTTTAAATGACACCATCGGTATTTTTTACTTTATTCGATAGAAAATAACACTCTGAATAGAATGACATATCATTAGTCAACTTTTGAAATTTTCGCATATGGTTTATTTGAAATTGTAACATGCGGTTCATAACGACATTTTGACTCGAAATATCAAGTGCGTGGTACCAAATTATTCGTAAAAAATGCTTTTTCCAAATATGCTAATGAGCTACCCTTGTTATATTAAAAAAAAAATGAGATATGATTAAAAAAACGATTTGGATATCTTTTAACCAGCCAGGATAAAACACGAAAAACATTATATTAATTTATGATCAAATCTATTTTTCCAAGGCTCCTTGATTAAAAATTAGTGTTTTTAACACAGCCACTGCACTCTAGATTAGTGATGGGTTGTTATTTAACTATCTGTTATTTTATAACAATTATTTATAAATAACATAACGCAACCGTTACTACTTCTAAAAAATAACAGATATAAAATAACGACACGTAGAGATCGGCCGCTCGTGAAACGAAAAACGAAGTCAGCGCTCTGCACCGCCACGAAATTCTATGCTGCTCGAAGCAATTCCAAAAACAACTAGTATGGATTTAAAACCTGTTATTTCGTCAACCATCGATACAGGCGGCGAGACAACGGACAACGGAGTGGGGAATGCGCTACGGCGAACGTAGCTGCTTCGGTCGATACCGCTTAAAAATAATAGGATATAAAAGAAGCAGGTTTTTGAAACAGTTGCGGGCATAACGCCTGGCGGTCGAGATAACAGGAGTGGGAAAGTAACGCTGCTGCATCGGTCGATTGTCGATGGAGGTTCGAAACAGGTTGGAGAATAACGCATCAGTTGTTTTAGATACATTGTTTTTCAACCTGTTACGAGCATAACAGGCGGAGGTCGAGATATTATGGCGCTGTATGTTTCAGTACTTACTTATTAAGTTTCAATATTTAGGTATTTATTTATTCTGAAAAATTTTCAGAATAATATTTTAAGATTTTTAAAAATGTATACAGGGTGTTATGAAAAATCTGGTCATTGATTAAACACGATCCTGCTTAAAGCACTTGACGTAAAAAGCTGATTTTTGGAAAACGGATTGACTTTAGCGTGTAGAGGTTCGATAAGAAGGTATTTTTCGAAACTAGAATTCTAAGGGGGTGAAACTACCCTCAAATATTAGAATATTTTGTTATTTAAAAACCGGTGAGTTTTTCGGAAAAACTCTTAAAACACGTAAATTTTATTATGTTGTTTTACATATTTTAAGATTTTTTAAAAATATATACAGGGTGTTTCGTAAAATATGACCATTGAGTAATCACTATTCTGCTTAAACTGCTTGACGTTTAAAGCTGATTTTTGGCAAACGGATTGACTGTGGGTTTGAGGTTCGATAAGGAGGGGTTTCTCGAATCTCAAATTCCAACAGGGTGAAAACGCCCCTCAAATATTACAATATTTGTTATTTAAAAACGATTAGTCTTTCGGGAAAACGCCTGGACACCTTGTTTTTTTACATATTTTGAAATTTTTTAAAAAATCATACAGGGTGTTCCAAAACGTTGAGTAATTGATTAACCACGATTCTGCTTAAACTGCTTGACGTTTAAAGCTTATTTTTGGCAAATGTGAGAAAATTTTATCCAGTTTGTATGTTAATGGAAATTCTTGTTTTGCTTTATCATCACCATTAGAAATTATTAATTCGACGCGAACGAAGTCGCGGGTACACGCTAGTTTAAGTGTAAAATTAATTCGAACTCTAGTGTGTAGTTGGTTTACTTATGAAGAATATACTACACATTTTCTTATATTGCTATTTTTTGACCGCAAATGGTAAAATCATAACTAAGAGCTTCTCGCCTGTCGCACCCTGTACACTGCTACGCAATTCAAGATCTACGCGGATCGAGGGGCAGGGCGTAGGTAGATCGGAATTTATAGATATAGACGAGTGGCGGAATTTTGGCTTTTTTATATCGCAATTTGTAAACAGCGCTTATTTGTAAACAACCACCGTTTTTAGAGAGGTATTTTAGATAACAATCGATATTTAGAAATGTTTTGACACCCTTGAAATACTACCACCGAGCACGTCATTGTTGCAACTTCCAACTGCGTTAATACGCCTGGCGGTGACCGCCTCATAATCTTTCAGATATTTAGCAGTAAAATAAAGAAACCTGTTATTTTTAAGCTGTTATTTTAAGCTGTTTTTTATAAATAACTATAACAGTTTCAACCGTTATCTAAAAATAACAGTTTTGCCCATCACTACTCTAGATTGAAATTTAAAACACAATTTTTTTGCAGTAATGTGCAGAGGGTGCCATTTAAAAATCAAAAGTTGTAGCAATTTCCGGTGAGACAGGCAGTGATAAAAACAATTGAATACGTGAATCAATCCTAATTTATATCATATACTAACATAGAAAATCTCGTTTTTTATGTAAAAGAATAAAAAAGTTATAGGTGTGAGCCAATTTTGAGACGCACTCGATGTACTTAGTTTACTAAAAAATCATGAAAAAAATAGGGCTTAAAATAAAAAATATATAGCACTTTAAATTTGACGAAAAATTATCTCTATGCTTTTTTTGTATCTGAGTGGATATTATTATAGAAACTTCCACAACAAGTAGGTGTTCTCAATGGACAACAGAAAACAGCAAACTTGACTGCTAATAAAAACAATGAAAATTCAACACAACAGTTTTATTACAAATAAAACTATTTCTAACACACTTTTAAACAAACTAATTAGCAAAATACACGTTCGTAGGATAAACCAAAACCCGATGAAAAAGCGAAACGAAAAAGACCCAGTTCAGAATACGCAGGCAAGCCGAAACCTGAAAAACCGAAACGGCGCAGTAGCGAGCCGCGACCTGCCAGAAAATCGGAAGACAGAACCGGACCTTCGGGCGAAGAAGAAGCGATAGCCCCCCAAAAGAAACCGCTGAAAGTACACGCAGCACCACCTCCTAAAGTGCGCGCAGCACCTCCTCCTAAAGGGAAGCCGGCTGCTGATAAAGGCGGAGAGGAGAAGGTTAAACTGCCCACTGATACCAAAAGCGATCGGAAAAAACCAGATGCAGGTGGTGTGAAAGGAGGTGATGAACCGGAAAGAGATGATGTGAAGGTCAGGGGCAGAGGAAGAGGAAGAGGGAGAGGAAAAGCTCCAGGAGAAAAGGTGGCACCAGGTGAAAGTCCAGGTAAGATAAATAGAAATAAAATGGACAGTTAAGCTCCATTCGGAACGTCGAAATTAGTGGTTTCAATTAGCGTAGAAGGTTTCTTCAATTTTCAATCTTCAAGTTTCTTCAAATGTAACCTAACCAAACCAAACCAAACTAATGAAAAATAAATATGTCAAGGCACTCAAACGACTTACCCCTTTTTGCCCACACTCTTCGGATGCACGTAACAATGTTTTTGAGAAAATAGCACAAGTAAAAAAGATCAGTGTTGGATTTCTGCACTAGTGTTTGCGACTCTACACATCAGCCGAATGTCTTCTTCTCCTGGTTGTACGCGCACTTAGATCGCGCGCACTGGGCAATAGAGAAACAATCTGAGTACGAGTTTGAATTTTGAAAAGAAATTGAATTTAATTTAACGATTTATGCGATCATTCTTAACCAAACAATTAACAATCCAATATTGTCAAGAGAAATAAACAAAAAATAAACTATTTATTTTTTATCATACCATTTATATTGTACTAATAATTAAAAAGTATTGTAATCCCAAACCCAATTAAAGAAAACTAAAAAAAATAATGTGATGCATGAAATTATTAATTTTCATAGACATTTTTTTCAGCATATACCGGGAGCGTCTCAAAAGTGGCTCACCCCTATAACTTTTTTATTTCTTCCGTTAAAAATACGAGATTTGGTATGTTAGTATATATGACATAAATTAGGATTGGTTGACGTATTCAATTGTTTTCGGTCACTTCCTGTTTCACCGGAAATGACTACAACTTTTGATTCTTAAATAGCACCCTCGGTATTTTTTTTACTTTATTCGATAGAAAATGACATTCTGAATAGAATAGTGTGTGGTATCAAATTATTCCTAAAAAAATGCTTTTTCCAAATATGCTAATGAGCCACCCTCGTTCCATTTGAAAAAATTGAGATTTGATTAAAAATACGATTTGAGCATTTTCTAACTGGCCAGGACAAGACACTAAAAACATTAGACAAACAAATCTATTTTTCCAAGGCTCCTTGATTAAGAATTAGTGTTTTTAACATACTCATGGCTCTCTAGATTGGATTTTAAAATACGATTTTTTATTAAGCGAGAATGTCAAAAGTTGACATATGATATATCATTCTATTCAGAATGTCATTTTCTATCAAATAAAGCAAAAAAATACCGAGGGTGCCATTTAAAAATCAAAAGTTGTAGTCATTTCCCTGTGAAACAGGAAGTGACCAAAAACAATTGAATACGTCAATCAATCCTAATTTATGTCATATATTAACATACCAAATCTCGTATTTTTAACCGAAAAAATAAAAAAGTTATAGGGGTGAGCCACTTTTGAGATGCACCCGGTATAAAGGGTTTTCATAGATATTTAGTGCGATAAAAATTGAAGTCCTTTGTTTATTTTTGTTTCGCTTTCTGGCAGTATAGGTAAAGTAGTAGGACAGTGCAGAAAATTTTGTACAGGGTGTCCCATTTTGGTTGAATTTTTTTGTATACGGTATCTCCGTTATTAGTAAAGATAGGAGGATGCGGTTTGCACAAACCTGACCCCTTTTTGTCAAACGAAAGATGCTATCAAACAAAATTTTCATAGCCCCCTTCGTTTCTGAGCTACAGGGTCCTTACGAAAATTTTGAATTTTGTATCTCCGTTATTGTGGATGGTATCGAGAAGGTGAAAACTGCTTCTTGTAGAACTTTTTACGTAGAATTCAGTAGCGTTTTCTACGAAAAAAATATTTTTGAAAATATAAACTGAAGTTATGTTTTTTCAAATGGAACACCCTGTATATTTATAAATCATATGATCCATCTTGCTATGAGCTTCTCAAAAAATCACTCTATAGTTATTTTCACTATTTACTGCAAGAAATGTAAATATATAATTTTCTTATTAGTAGGCCGTGATAAATAACAAAGAAACCCAAAATGATCTTTACTAAAATAGTCATACACTCACATACATAGTCATATACTCTCCCTATTTACAATAGTGAAAATAAATTAATTCATTCCCTTCTACATTCACTAATAACGGAGATACTGTATGATTTCGACTAAAATGGGACACCCTGTACATATGTAATTGTAATTAATACTCAGTAATTATTCTTGAAAAATTATTATTTAGGGAAAAAAAGACCTTCTATTTCTTTCGCCGATGATTCTGCAGAACCCAAAAATGGAAAAGTAGATGAGAAAACGCCCAGTATTGCTAAAAAAGATGGGAAACCAAAAGATAAAGATTTAAAAGCAGGTAATATTTACCACACCTCTAAGTAATATATATAATACTTATGTATTGCGTTGTGTGTAATCACTAGAATTAAATTTAACATAATTCTCTCCCAGCTGAGATAATACATAATATAAATTGCCCCATAGTTTCTTCACTTTACAAGCAAAATCAGCATTCGACGTAGTCCCATTTTAAGAAATCATATTTTTTATCATACCTACTAATTTTTTATTAATTACTTTAATATAAACACCAAGGAGGTCCTAAATCGCCAAGAGGCAAAGATAAAGGCGATACAGATAAACCTGTGGATAAAACAAAGAAGGATGATGTTGACCAACCCATAAAGAAAAAAGCAGCTGGTAAACAAGCATCTATATATTTGTATTATATGAACTGCGTATTTTATCTCAATTTTAGGACCAGGACTTGAATCTGCCAAACCGGTATCCAAAGCTAAACTTGATACAGATAAAACACCTGATAAAACTAAGAAGACACCAACTGGTACTGATGCTAGTAGAAAGCCAGGTAAAGTCCATAATATAATATATACTTGATTCCCGAGGATTTTCACACTATCGATCGCCATTTGCTTTCGCAATAAGTGTGTAGGAATATCAGGGCTCGAATTATGAAAATTCGACATAAAAACGTTACGCTTACAAAACGATGAAAAATGTCAACGTTACATGAATTTCATAACCTATTGTTGAGTTATGTCAACCTATTTTTCTATGCATATGTCATTATTCTTATTATACGAGGGAAAAGACGCTTCTCAGCAGCTTCGATGTTTAGAACAATATATAAACCTGCCAAGTAGTAAATTATCAACTACTTATTGAGGAATTTATAGAAGAAGTAGTTTTCACTAAAAAGCAAGAGAACGCACAAAATCACAATTTTTTCAATGTTTACTGACAGTTCAACAAGGATATATATCTTCCTCGTTTAGGATACGAATAATTTCTATGATAATTTTCAGAATTCTTGTGAAATTTTGCCAATTTTTTTTTGTATCCAGGAATGCACAATACTTATCACAATTTTGTCTATTATTTGTTTGAATGTAAAAATACACAAGTGGGTTTACATGCATCCGTCATGCGACATCCGTTTTTACATAATTTTATTGGCTTATTTCAAAAATGACAGATCATAATTCATCTTGATCGGAGTAATGGAAGCCGACACATGACGGATGCGTAAAAACTTATCAATATTATTTTTTTATAATCAAATATTATCATAATTAAACTTCTGTAAAGAGGAAAATAATGAATATATTCTAGAACCATCTGAAAAGCCACCTAAAGATGTTAAAGACGCTGGAAAACCTAAAACTGATGCTGACAAAGCTAAGAAACCTCTAGATGCTGAGATAGGTCCTAAATCAGGTATTACTGTATATATCATAGTTAAATCAATATTATAATCAAATATTATCATAATTATTAAACTTCTGTCAACAGAAAAAATAATACATATATTCTAGAACCATCTGAGAAACCACCTAAAGATGTTAAAGAGACTGGAAAACCTAAAACAGATGCTGCCAAAGCTAAAAAACCTCTAGATTCAGAGAAAAGTCCTAAATCAGGTATTATTGCATATATCATAATCAAATATCAAATATTATAAACAAATAACAAATATTATCATAATTAAAATTCGGTCAACAGAAAAAATAATTCATAATGTTCTAGAACCATCTGAGGAACCACCTAAAGATGTTAAAGACGCTGGAAAACCTAAAACTGATGCTGCCAGAGCAAAAAAACCTCTAGATTCAGAGAAAGGCTCTGAATCAGGTATTATTGCATATATCACAATTAAACTTCTGTCAACAGAAAAAATAATGCATATATTCTAGAACCATCTGAGAAACCACCTAAAGATGTTAAAGACTCTGAAAAACCTAAAACTGATGCTGCCAAAGCTAAAAAACCTCTAGATTCAGAGAAACGTCCTAAATCAGGTATTATTGCTTATATCATGGTCAAATCAATATTATAATCAAATATTATAAACAAATATTATCATAATTAAACTTCTGTCAACAGAAAAAATAATGCATATATTCTAGAACCATCTGCGAAACCGCCTAAAGATGTTAAAGACGATGCAAAACCTAAAACTGATGCCGACAAAGCTAAAAAGCCTCTAGATTCAGAGAAACGTCCTAAATCAGGTATTATTGCATATTATATTTTTCATAATTATATCAATATTATAATTAAATATTATAAACAAATACTATCATAACTAAACTTCTGTCAACAGAAAAAATAATGCATATATTCTAGAACCATCTCTGAAACCACCTAAAGATGTTAAAGACGCTGCAAAACCCAAAACTGATGCCGACAAAGCTAAAAAACCTGTAGATTCAGAGAAACGTCCTAAATCAGGTATTATTGCATATATCATAATTAAATGAATGTTATAATCAAATATTATAAACAAATATTATAATCAAATATTATCATAATTAAACTTCTGTTATCAGAAAAAATAATGCATATATTCTAGAACCATCTGCGAAACCACCTAAAGATGTTAAAGACGCTGCAAAACCTAAAACTGATGCCGACAAAGCTAAAAAGCCTCTAGATTCAGAGAAACGTCCTAAATCAGGTATTATTGCATATGATATCATAATTATATCAATATTATAATCAAATATTATAAACAAATATTATCTTAATTAAACTTCTGTCAACAGAAAAAATAATGCATATATTCTAGAACCATCTCTGAAATCACCTAAAGATGTTAAAGATACTGCAAAACCTAAAACTGATGCCGACAAAGCTAAAAAACCTCTAGATTCAGGGAAAGGTCCTAAACCAGGTATTATTGCATATATCATAATTAAATCAATATTATAATCAATTTTTTTAAACAAATATTATAATAAAGTATTATAAACAAATAGTATAATCAAATATTATCATAATTAAACGTCTGCAAACAGAAAAAATAATGCATATATTCTAGAACAATCTGAGAAACCACCTAAAGATGTTAAAGACGCTGCAAAACCTAAAACTGATGCCGAGAAAGCTAAAAAACTTCTAGATTCAGAGAAAGGTCCTAAATCAGGTATTACTGCATATATCATAATGAAATCAATAATATAATCAATTTTTTAAACAAATATTATAATCAAATATTATAAACAAATATTATAATCAAATATTTTCATAATTAAACGTCTGCAAAGAGAAAAAATAATGCATATATTCTAGAACCATCTGAGAAACCACCTAAAGATGTTAAAGACGCTGCAAAACCTAAAACTGATGCCGACAAAGCTAAAAAACCTCTAGATTCAGAGAAAGGTCCTAAATCAGGTATTATTGCATATATCATAATTAAATCAATATTATAATCATTTTTTTTAACAATTATTATAATCAAATATTATCGTAATTAAACTTCTGTCAACATAAAAAATAATGCATATATTCTAGAACCACCTGAGAAACCACCTAAAGATGTTAAAGACGCTGGAAAACTTAAAACTGATGCTGATAAAGCTAAAAAACCTCTAGATTCAGAGAAAGGCCCTAAATCAGGTATTATTGCATATATCCTAATTAAATCAATATTATAATCAAATATTATAAACATATATTATAATCAAATATTATAATCAAATATTATAATCAAATATTATAATTAAATATTATAGTCAAATATTATAAACAAATATAATGAAATATTATAAATAAATATTATAAATAAATATTATAATCAAATATTATCATAATTAAACTTCTCTCAACATAAAAAATAATGCATATATTCTAGAACCATCTGAGAAACCAACTAAAGATGTTAAAGACGCTGGAAAACCTAAAACTGATGCTGACAAAGCTAAAAAACCTCTAGATTCAGAGAAAGCTCCTAAATCAGGTATTATTGCATATTAAGGTATTATTGCATATAATGTAGTATTATTATTATTATTGTCTTTTACCTGCTGAGCAAACGTTTCTCTCATACAATCCATTTTATTGCTCAATACTACAGTGAGGTGTTTTTCAAAGTTGTACATTCTCGGTATGTCATCCACTGGGAGCTGTAGGAGTGGAATTTTACTTTTGATGGTTTTTCAAGTCCCTGACCTGATATATTTTCCAGTACTGTTTCCGCCAATGACCATTCTAATCATTGTCGCATTGGCATATCTACCGACGACCATGGCACCTGTGATGCAGATGCATCCCAGTCTCTGTACTTTGCAAAGGTCTTGTTCCAAGCAACTGCTCCATAGGTAATCATGGGTCATGATATACATCCAACGTAAAATGTTGGAACCCCATCTATTTCCTGTCAGTCTTCTGCAAATCATGAAAGCCTTTATGGCTCTGCTGGTAATGTTCTTAAACTGCCTGTTCCATAGAAGTTCACTGTCAAGGGTAATACCAAGACATTTGACTTCCTCTGATGGCAGTATTTCTTTTCCGTCTAGATGGATACTTACATAGGTCATAATGACTGGTGGTACACATTGATCGAATGTTTTATTCTTTATATAAAGTCAGATTCTAGATTTGCATATGATTGAGTTTCTTCCATATGTACTCCATGATAACTAAATTCTTCTGATGATTTGTTGTGGTCAAGATCTTAAACTGTGTAAGAGTTGTCCTTAGTGTTGCACAAGAGTCTTGCAAGACCAAGACTCTTGCAAGAAATTCAAGACAATCAAAATTTCTTGTCTTGAATTTCAAGACAAGACAAGACTTTAACATGCAAGAAATTTCAAGAGAAGAAGAAATTCAAGAAATTTCTTGAATTCAAGATTTCTTGAAAGTTAGAAATGATACATTTTTTTAAGTGATAATTAGGTCTTTGCGAAAGTTATGCCGGGTTTATACAACATTTACATAGTCGTAATTACAATCATAGTCATGATACAAAGAATACAAGGTATGATATTGCGCAGGTTGGTCATTACGTCACAGGTGATAAACGGCACCATTGGTCGGCAAGCTCCGCGCGCCAATTTGAAATTGTCAAACAGATGACATAAAAATGTGAAAATAATTTTTCAAATGTCAAGCTCCATGATTTTACATAACTTTTGGGGTTATGTCCTAATTCTTCCCTATTTTAGGTCTTTTTTATATTAATGGCAATTGAACAATATGGATATTTTTTGTCTGGCGTATGACGTCACAGGTGGTATGCGCAAAAACGAAATTGGGGCCGCTATCGATCATACCTTGTTTTCTTTGTACCATGAATCATAGTCATAATCATAAAAGTTAAACTATCCACCTGTTGACATCTATACCAACCTGTTGACTTCTACCATGAACTTAGCCTTTAATTATGTTACCCAACTTCACTGATATAAAAATTATGATTATGAAAATGTTCTCTAAACGCACATTTAAATTGCGTTGTTATTATGACGATGATTAAGACTGTGATTATGATTACGACTTATGCAAATGTTGTCTAAACCCGGCATTAATATTGACCAGTGTTCATTTTTTTTCTATCATAGCAGTGTTTTAGAGTTGAGAATGAAATAAAATAAAGTCGAGGCAACAAACCGTATATTGGTAATTGGTATTATACACAAAATTATATTGGTATAATAAAATTATAAAAAAACTAATGGTAGTTGAAACTAATGGTGGGTTCGTGGAGCACGCTATTTGCGCTGTTTGGTACTACTTTTCATGCACGAAATTGCTCCGCGATCAAAAAGTAGTATCAAATAGCGCAAATAGTAGGTACACTCTAGAATGACCTTTCCGTACACCCTATGTCCAAACTTTTCCAACCAATCTTCCATAATAAAAAAATAAAATAAATACCATAAAAAATAAAAGTAACAAACGGGTAACCAAAATAGAACATAATAAACTAACAAGAATTAACAACTAGAACTAAAAAATTAACTTAACCTTACTTATTCTTATTCTTTTACTTCTTTTATTTGGTAATGGCTCCTGTTTCGTCAAACGGGCGAATTGACGTAGTTCGTTTGCGGTCCGTTTGGTTTGGAGATTTTGTTCATTTTTCCGTATTACATTTTGTATACGAGGCTTTCTATGAAATAAAATATAGAAATATTATTACTTTTTTGTTAGAATGTAAAATTTTTCAAGACAAGAAATTTCAAGAGTCTTGCAAGACAAGACAAGACTTTGCCATTCAAGAAATCTGCAAGACAAGACTTTCTTGTCTTGAATTTATTATACACATTATTATTATACACATTTATTGATACAAATTCTAATAACGTCTAACGACAGGTAAGGATAAACTAGAAGAGTCGCCTATTGCAAAAAAAGCTAAGACCAAAGGGCCCACCGAAGCAAAACCTAAAAAACCCGAAGAATGCTCGGACGAAGAATGTATGTCTAATAAAAGTAAAGCAGCATCTACAACTAGTACTAAAAGTGGAAAAGAAGGTAGTTTCACATATTATCATACGTAAACTTCAGTCAACAGAAAAAATAATGCTTATATTCTAGAACCATCTGGGAAACAACCTAAAGATGCTAAAGCCGCTGGAAAACCTAAAACAGATGGTGATAAAGCTAAGAAACCTCTAGTTTCTGAGAAAGGTCCTAAATCAGGTATTGCTGTATATATCATCATTAAATCAATATTATAATCAAATATTCTAAACAAATATTAAAATCAAATATTATAATCAAATATTTCATAATTAAACTCTGTCAGCAGAAAAAATAATGCATATATTCTAGAACCATCTGAAAAACTACCTAAAGATGTTAAAGATGCTGGAAAACCTAAAACAGATGCTGATAAAGCTAGGAAACCTCTAGAGTCTGAGAAAGGTCCTAAATCAGGTATTGCTTTATATATCATAATTAAATCAATATTATATCAAATAGTATAATCAAATATTATCTAAAATTAAAATTATTAAATTATCTGAATTAAAATTTTAAAAAATACTAAATTTCTATCAACAGAAAAAATAATGCATATATTCTAGAACCATCTGAGAAACCATCTAGAGATATTAAAGACATTGGAAAGCCTAAAACAGATGCTGATAAAGCTAAGAAACCTCTAGATGCTGAGAAAAGTTCTAAATCAGGTATAATTGCATATATCATAATTAAATCAATATTATAATAAAACAGTATCACTATTAAATTTCGTTTAACAGAAAATATAATGTATATATTCTAGAACCATCTGAGAAAGCACCTAAAGATGTTAAAGCTGCTGAAAAACCTAAAACAGATGCTGATAAAGCTAAGAAACCTCTAGATTCTGAGAAAGTTTCTAAATCAGGTATAATTGCATATTATATCATAATTAAATCAATATTATAATCAAATATTATCGTAATTAAATTTCTGTCGTCAGAAAAAATAATGCATGTGTTCTAGAACCATCTGAAAAACCACCTAAAGATGTTAAAGACGCTGGAAAACCTAAAACTGATGCTGATATAGCTAAGAAACCTCTAGATTCTGAGAAAGGTCCTAAATCAGGTATTATTGTATATAAGATAATTAAATCAATATTATAATCAAATATTATCATAATTAAACTTCTGTCAGCACAAAAAATAATGCATATATGTTTTAGAACCATCTGAGAAACCATCTAAAGTTATTAAAGATGCTGAAAAACCTAAAACTGAAGCTGACAAAGCTAAGAAACCTCTTGATTCTGAGAAAGGTCCTAAATCAGGTATTATTGTATATAAGATAATTAAATCAATATTATAATCAAATATTATCATAATTAAACTTTTGTCAACACAAAAAATAATGCATATATTCTAGAACCATCTGAGAAACCATCTAAAGTTATTAAAGATGCTGAAAAACCTAAAACTGATGCTGACAAAGCTAAGAAACCTCTAGATTCTGAGAAAGGTCCTAAATCAGGTATTATTGCATATATCATAATTAAATCAATATTATATTCAAATATTATATCATAATTAAATTTCTGCCATCAGAAAAAATACTGTATATATTCTAGAACCACTTGAGAAACCACCTAAAGATGTTAGAGAGGCTGGAAAACCCAAAGCTGATACTGACAGAGCTAAGAAACCTCTAGATTCTGAGAAAGGTATTATTGCATACGAGTATATCATAATTAAATCAAATAATATTATCAAATTCTATCATAATAAAACTTCTATCAACAGAAAAATTAATGTATATATTCTAGAACCATTAGAGAAACTACCTAAAGATGTTAAAGATGCTGGAAAATCTAAAACAGATGCTGACAAAGCTAAGAAACCTCTAGATTCTGACAAAGGTCCTAAATCAGGTATTATTACATATATCATAATTAAATCGATATTATAATCAAATATTATCAAAACTAAACTTCTGTAAAAATAATGCATATATTCTAGAACCATCTGGGAAACCACCTAAAGATGTTAAAGAGACTGGAAAACCTAAAACCGATGCTGACAGAGCTAAAAAACCTCTAGATTCTGAGAAAGGTATTATTGCATACCGAGTATATCATAATTAAATCAATATTATCAAATACTATCATAATAAAACCTCTATCAACAGAAAAAATAATGTATATATTCTAGAACCATTGGAGAAACTACCTAAAGATGTTAAAGATGCTGGAAAACCTAAAACAGATGCTGATAAAGTTAAGAAACCTTTAGATTCTGAGAAAGGCCCTAAATCAGGTATTATTGCATATATTATAAGTAAATCAATATTATAATGAAATTGTTTAATCAAATAAAATCATAATTAAACTTCTGTTAACAGAAAAATAATGTAGGTATATATTCTAGAACTATTTGAGAAACCATCTAAAGATGCTAAAGACGCTGGAAGACCTAAAACAGATGCTGATAAAGCTGAGAAACCTCTAGATTCTGACAAAGGTTCTAAACCAGGTATTACTATACATATACTACACATCCTGAATTAAATAGAATGTATAACTACAAATATTTGAGATGAGCAAGTTAAAACTGCGATTTGCGTTTGTTTAGTTAGATCTCTGCTAATAATACCTGCGATTGGGATGGCAATTTTAATATTTCAATATTGTAATAGTTATACAATAATTGTCTGCGTATATAAATTAGTAAAATAATGTATCATAGATGAGGCACTGTGACCGCAATTCACTTCTTCTCTCTCTGTGCTCAGTTTTTTTTTCAGCGGTTCTCATTATTTACTTCTTAGAAAATAATAACCTCTCTATAAATTAGAGAGAAGATTCAACCGCAGTTTATGCATTCCCCGCCGGTGCTGCCACCGCCGGAGAATATCGTAAATAACGAATACGTACGTAATATAAGTTATAGGGGTGAGCCACTTTTGAGACGCACCCCCAAGTGACATTCACGGTAAAATCACAACTATATTAATATTTGCTGCCTAAAAACTCGCAGAAGAAGGTCGCAGTTTATAAAATCATGATCACAGCAAAAGCGCAAATCGCAGTTATATTAAATATTGCTTGATTAACAATTGAAACACGCAGATAGAAAAAAATCGCAGTCACAGTTTAGTATGAAAGCTAATCGTATGTTGCGACAGCGATTTAAGGGTAAAAACATAGTGAAGCGACGGGGCTAGAGGCACAGCGACGAGGTAAGAGACAAGATAAGCGTAGCGTATCGGAGACACATACATAGTAAGGAGACAAAAGTTGCGATTTATTGCTCGACTTTCCAAATTCAAACCAGTATGTACAATGTTCTCCGACAGTGTTACCTGTTATTCCACATTCTCTAGCCACTTCTGCCCAAAGTTCATCTAATGCATAGCGGTTTCTGTGGTCTGGATGGGATGCATTCCATAACGCACGTCTGTTGAATACGGATGGTATTATTTTATTGTCAGACATTGCGAATGATAAATGTTGTCTCCAAGTCAACTGAAAAAAGGCCACACGCATTCCAGCGCCAACGCGACAAGATATCATATTTTTATCTCGACGCGCATCTCCTCGCTTGTCTCGTCGCTTGACGCTTCGGCAATCTCTTTCCTATATTTGCCTCCATTACAATACACTATCAAATTCAAGTCGCGACGCTTATCTCGTCGCTGTGCCTCTAGCCTCGTCGCTCGACTATGTTTTTACCCTAAGAATCGCTACGATGAATACCAGTTTTTTATTTTTAGCTCAGCCCTGATTTTTAATTTAATGTTGCAATTGCAGCTCTTGATAAACCTGAAAAGCAAGCAAAACCAAAAGTTGATGCTGATAAATCACCAAAACCAGCCACAGAAGATGCAAGAGAACCAAAGAAAACTAAAACGAAAGATGATTTGCGACCCGAACCTACAGAAAGTAAAATTGCTGCAGATACTGCCAAAACCCAAAAACCTGAGGATGGTGAGAAAGCGCTTAAACCAAGTATATTTTTTGTTTAGTATATTTGTTATAGTATGTACAGGTTGGCGCCTCTCATACGACGCGAAGGCTCCAAGGAGGACGGTAGTTTATAGTTTCTATCGAAATGAAATTTTGGGAGCAAATGTAGGTTAACTGAAAGCATTTTATAAAAATATATACAGTTCTACAGGGTGTCTCCAAAACAAGTTACGCATCAAAACTGGGGTTTTCTATAAAACTCTATATTTTTAAAAAGTACTCTAAATCAACCTACATATGCTCACAAAATTTAATTTCATTACCAACTGTCGTTCTCTTTGGAGCCTCCGCGTCGTATGAGAGGCGCCACCCCGTATATGTTTAGAAAAATGATTTGTTGCAGTTCCTAGTGAGGATGTATCTGCCAAACAAGCAAAACCGAAAGATGCAGAAAAGGAAGACGCTGATAAGAGCAAGAAACCCATATCAGATCGTCCTGTCATGGATAGTAAACCAGGAGGTATAAAAAACCAAGTATATTATCTGCTTAGTTTTGTAATGCTCAAATCGTATTTTTAATCATATCTCAATTTTTTTTCACATTGAATGAGAGTGGCTCATTAGCATATTTGGAAAAAGCATTTTTTTACAAATAATTTGATACCACACACTTGGTATTTCGAGTCAAATATTCGTTACGAACCGCTAGTTATAATTTCAAATAAACCATATGCGAAAATGTCAAAAGTTGACATATGATACAGGTATATTTTTTGTTTAGTATATTTGTTATAGTATGTACAGGTTGGCGCCTCAACTACGACGCGAAGGCTCCAAGGAGGACGGTAGTTTATAGTTTCTATCGAAATGAAATTTTGGGAGCAAATGTAGGTTAACTGAAAGCATTTTATAAAAATATATACAGTTCTACAGGGTGTCTCCAAAACAAGTTACGCATCAAAACTGGGGTTTTCTATAAAACTCTATATTTTTAAAAAGTACTCTAAATCAACCTACATATGCTCACAAAATTTAATTTCATTACCAACTGTCGTTCTCTTTGGAGCCTCCGCGTCGTATGAGAGGCGCCACCCCGTATATGTTTAGAAAAATTATTTTTGCAGTTCCTAGTGAGGATGTATCTGCCAAACAAGCAAAACCGAAAGATGCAGCAAAGGAAGACGCTGATAAGAGCAAGAAACCCATATCAGATCGTCCTGTCGTGGATAGTAAACCAGGAGGTATAAAAACTAAGTACCTATATCTGCTTAGTTTGGTAAACTCTTAACTTTAATTCAGATAGTGAAGGCACAAAACCTATAAAAGATGCGAAACCATCAGCAGATGGTATAAAAATGGGACCAAAAGATAGTAAGCCCGACGAAATGCAAAAAGGTGCTGATAAATTGAAACCAGCTGCAAAGCCATCTAAACCAGGTAACTATAGGTATAAAGTTATTTAATCTGTCTAGGCAGAGATGGGACGATATTCAAAAATTGTGAGAAAATGACAATTTACTTTTGAATTACAATGGCATGCAACGACTGTTACTATCAAATGAAGACTTGAAACAAATAATGTTCTAAGTGCCAAAAAATCGGTTTAAAGCTTGATTTTCATGCGTCCGTTATCCGTTGATACGATCATAGTATAAGGAAACCAGTAGCTTTACTCCTTGTCAAATCCGAAGGTACCGAAAGAACCGGAAATTAATAATATCGAGTCCCGGTTCTTTGGTATCTCAAAAAAACCGGGAATTTACGGTTCTGAACCCTAGTTACCAAATAATCAAGAAATTATGTTTTTTAAATAAATACTAAGAATATTTCCAGATTTTTTTCCAAAAAAAAAAATTGCGCAGAAAAATCCATATTTCTGGAGTCAAAATATACTACCCCTAAAAATATTTGCACTTATTTAAGACTCACGTTGTATAGGGCGATTCACGGTTATGGTAAGTGATAACGTTTCCGGAACCGGAGCTGTATTTCGGAACCGGTAATTTCAGTACCATGCCTCTAAGGAACATGAATTTCCATTTTTTTTCGGTACTTTCGGTACTAGCAAATTTTTGTTCAATGATGGTGCAGTTCGTTAAACAGCAAGCAAGGAAGGGATGATTGTCAAAAGTAAAATCGATAATAAATTGAGGTTTAAATAAAAATAATATCAAATTATTAAGTAGTAATCAGTCATGAGAAAATTAACCTGATCACAAACATGATCACAAATGACTCTAAAAAAACTCAAAGCACAATTTATTATTACTACAACCAATAGCAGCACACAGTAAGACACTCATTTTTTGTCAATCCGTCTCTGTTCTGGGACGCAACGCTCGAACCTCGCAGGTCGACGGACGGAACTCAACTGAAAGGCTCTGCAATCTGCCGATATTCGACAGATTGTAAAAACTGGCAGAAAATATTTGAGAGGGTGCAATTACTCTTTTCCTTCTATGATACGATGGCGCGGCGCGGCGCTCTGATTGGTCATAGCGTTTTCGCGCCACTTTTCATCCGTATTTTTTTTTATTCAATGTCGTCAACGGAGAAAGATCGTACGATAACGGACGTTTTGACACTTTTTTGACAAATTTAATCTAACCTTAATAAGAATATAATAGTACAAGAGCAAGTACCGTCGGAAAAACAAGAATTTTAAGAAAGCTTGTTCTTTTATAGATCTTTTGCTATGCTCTCCTGACCAAAGTGCGGGTCGTCTGGCTACCGGCAGACTACTGCGCATCACATCTGTACAGGGCTCTCATCTCTCATTTTCGTGTGTTTTATGGAATTTCTTGTTTATGAGTAGAGATACAACGATGCGATTTTCACATTACTTTGCTACTGTTTTCTGAAACTAAATATTCTATACATAGGTTTGTCCTAGCCTCCTTAGTTCCTGAAATACAGGGCGAATTTGTGATGCGCAGTAGTAAACGCGACGTCTACCGGCAACCAAACGGTCCGCACTCTGTTCAGTAGAGCATAGCAAAAGATATATTAAAGAACCAGCTGTCTTAAAATTATCTCTCGAAAATTTTGCTAGCTCTTAGACTATAAGTAAAACAGCGAAATCGTTATGGAAATGAAAATATAAAATGACACCAATCACAAGCAAATCGTATATCGTATATAATAAAAATTGCGTAATTTTCTAACCAGTCAAAGTCTTTAAATTCAACCAATAAAATTAATATCGTATCATCGTATCGTCGGACAACGGATGCATGAAAATCAAGTTTTATTTGTAAAATGTCCTAAATTCAATAACCAACAACATATACAGGATGTTCAAAAAAAATATGTGTCATCTCTCGCAGGGAGATTCCTCTTGTAAGCAGAAGATTTTTTTTATATTAGCATATGTCCGATTCCGCTTTGTTTCATAGCTACAGGGGGTTAATGTAGAATGTAGAATGTTTAGGAGGGGAGCCAATCACCGCGACCTTATAGATCTATTGTGTGTTCCCCTTTCTTGAGTTATAACGAGTTATAACTCATCATACAGTCTCAGGGCTTTAACAAAAGCCAGTATCTGAGACGGCTCCACGGAGGCTAGTTCTCCATCGTCGACATCAGCCGTAACAAAGTTCATGGCACGAATGGTCGTCGTCTCGGCGTACTCAGTTATAAGGTATTCTGGTGTTTCCCCATTTTCCCCACAGAATCTGCATTCGTTGTTGTTTCTGAGCTTCAGCCTACTGAGGTGTTCGTTGAGAAAACAGTGTCTTGTTAGAAACCCCGTGATAATCCGAAAATTGTTTTTACTTAAATCAAGGAAAACCTTTGATTTTTCTCGGTCGTAAGTTCTGAGGAACTTTTTCGAGTGTCTTAGACCGCTGGAGGACACTCATTCCAAGTTACGGATGGAGTCTTCCAGATTCTTTAGTTCCGCTCTCAGTTGGTTCCCGCTTGGAAAACAGAACGGTTCTGGTCCAGTTAGTGGGAGTGTTCGCTCCTTTCCTAGCTAGATCATTTGCATTTTCATTGCCTTCTATCCCTTGGTGAGCAGGCACCCAGAGTAGGAGGACTTTATTTTCTTTGCCTAATTTGTTGAGCTTCTCTAGGCATTCTTTGTCCAACTTCGAATTGATGGTTACTGAGTTGATCGCGTTAAGTGCTGCTTGACTATCGGATAGGATGGCAATTTCCTGTTTTCGATAGTTCCTATCTAAGATAAATTGTACGCATCTTTCGATAGCGTAAATTTCTGCCTGAAGAATACTGGGGTAGGTGCCCATTGGTTCGGAGTATTTAGTTTTCGGCCCAAATACTCCTATCCCTGTCCCTGCTTTGGTTTTGGAAGCATCAGTATACCACGTTATGGTATCCACGTTATGGTATCTACGTTATGGTATCTACGTTATGGTATCTACGTTATAGTATCTTTTATATGCTGAGTAAGGGGCGTTTATTTCTTCCAATCCTTTTTATTACTTGCATTACATACGTATAAATACAGGGGGTTAAAGTCTTCATCATTAAGTGCTTTTTTTCATTTATTAAGTGGTTTTTTTCTTCTAAATGCTTTTAGCGATTCGAATGAAATTTTGAGGGTAAACGTTACTAAAGTGCGACATATTTTAATGCTAAAAAAGCGTCGACATATTCACCAGATCTTTACTTTGCATATAGCAGATGAAAAAGATGCTAAGGGAGTACCGAAGGGAGTACCATCAAAGGACGGTACGGCAAAAAGTGAAACAGCGATCAAAGATCGAGCAGATTTACCTGACGACGCCAAAAAACCGAAAGATGATGGAAAAGGTGTAAAAGGTAAAGGTATATATTTATAACTCAATTAATTCTTTCACAAAAAAATACTTACGATTTTTGTTTCGAACTGTTTTCACGATATATTTTCATTTTAGATGCTGATGGCGCTTTTCAACCAACTGAAGTTCGGGGTAGGGGTAGATTAAAAGCTCCACAAAAAGAACCCGGAATAACTCCTGGATTAGATGTGAAAGGAAGTAAACCTGAACCGCGTGAGTGGTAGATACTATAAATTTTACATTTGTTTCATAAAACACATTTTTGGTTTTGATTTTTTAAAGAAGGCGTCCATTCTTCTCCCATTCATGGACGCCTTGTCCATTCTTCTCAAAGAGACCTGGTTTAAATAAAAAAGAAATAGGAAAAAGACTGAAAGTCTCGGTCTCAACGTTTATATTAACTTAAACAGTGTCACTTGTTTCGCTCATACGAGCATCATCAGACCTAACAAGAAAATACCCAAATAAATAACAAATAATAAAAAGGTCATCGTAACTCATAAATACAATAATTAAACTCAATTCACACACTGAGATGAGGCTGAAATGACCGGCGAATATATGTCAATAAAAACAAACAGGAACAAAAAATCAAATAAAAACAAAACAAACTACAAAATTAAAAAATAAAATAACCCAGCGGGGATTTTGATTTGTTATTTATTTAGGTTCTTTCTTGTTAGGTCTGATGATGCTCGTATGAACGAAACACGTGTCACTATTTAACTTAATATAAACGTTAAAACCGAGACTTTGAGTCTTTTTCCTACTTCGTTCTGACTTTGATGTTTTTCCATAAAAAAAATTCACATATGAATTCTAACTTTTTTTATCATAGTTTAATTTAAATGATTGACAGCTGTGAATTGCAAACATGTAGAATGTAAAATGAGTAGAGGGGGGGGTTAATCACTGCGACCTTAAAGATCTATTGTGCCCCCCTTCCTTGAGTCATCACATAGTCTATAACCCATCATACCCCTGTTGTAGAGAAGACAAGGTATTTCCCATCCTCCTCTGACAACAGTTCTTCCTCCGAGGGTACACACCCTTCCAAGGTTGGAGTTTGGCCCTCCGTACCGCCCTTCACAATCGAGGAGCTTGCCTCCGGTTGAGGAACCCGTGAGGTGGAGGCTGGAGGATCTGTTTCCATTTTCTCCGCCTCTTTAACTTGATCTCTTCTTAGACCTGATACCGCTGTTGTCCCGTATCTATAATAGAGGATATGTCCCTCTTTCTCTATTGCCTCCTTGGATTTGAGGTCAATTTCTATTGTTATATTCCTATGGACCTGACCATGACCCTCCTCCCTCGAGTTGATAACTCGCCAACTCGATGTCCTTACATTGAAGTTCTGACCCTGGATAAGGCTCAGCAGGTAGGTGGTGTCTTTCCCCTTGCTCCTCGTCAGAAAGACTGTGATGGCCGCCCCTTTAGAGATGTTTTCTCCCTTCACTGCAACCAGTTCCGGCCCTTGCCAATTTTTAAGCTTAGGAGCGATTTCCACCAACCAATTCGCCGATTCTTGAGATACACAATCTATGAGGATCATGCCCACCCGAAAGTGTAACCCCGCAAAACGCAGCTGACACATTTTGTAGATCGTTGTGTTGCGATCCGTTCGCCACTACTTCGTCCAGTATAGCCTCTTCTAGAGACGTTTGCTGGTCGGTGGTCAGAGCAACCTCTGGGAAATCCTTTGGCAGCACCGCCATTTTCACTTGTCCAGCAATAGCGGCAGAGATGGTGACACGTTCCTGCTTGCCTCCCGGTGTTGGACGGCTTTCCATCCTGGCTTTTTTCTCTCCCTGCCGGAGAAGAGGTGAGAGGTTCTCGCTCCCTCTCTTGCCTTTTGATGGAGATGAGTCAGGTTGTTTCTTGGTTTCTTTACTTTTTTTTCGTTTTTCGGAGGAGTGTTTTTGCTTTTGCTTCCTCCGGAGCAAATCCTTCGTGGATCAGTAGGAGGTATCTCCGTGCTTCTGCTCCACTAAGACCTACTCTCAGAGGACCGTTGCCTGGTTGGTCCAGGCCGGGTAGGCGAAACGGTAGTTTGTGTCGCTTATTGGGTCTAGAGGTAAGCTCCCGACCCTTGCTGGAGAAGGTGTGTGCCACTTGTAAAGGAGGATCCCAAGCAAGTGTCAGCCGCCCCTCTTGTAGTTTCCTTTGGTTTTGGTCCCCTGAAACTTTCATTTGTAATGTTCCCAGTGTCGCTAGGGGGATTCCCCACAGCTTCACCGGTGGTGTTTTTAATGCTAGATCTCATAGTGTCTCTCATATTCGGTCCACTTCTACAGAGCCCCGCATGTAGAAGTAAGGAGTAAATACAATGGGGTGTCCCCTGATGCCCCAAGGTTGAGGCCAGTAATGGCTAGTCCTCTATCTAGCAACGCATCCCTTTGACCTAGTTCCGCCATCGTAGGATTTAGATTTTTGGTGAGGTTGTCTCCTATTAGTCCAGGCGATTAAGCCATGGACCCCCCCCCCACACCCTCTACCCGCGAGACATGACCACAGTCAGTAGAGGGTGCCTGGTATGACGGACAGGGGTAGCCTCGTCCGGCATCGTTATATGTCTTGGTGCAATTCCCTGGCCATGACACTACAGTCAGGGACAAGACGATGAGTGAGATGCTTGTTAAACCAAGCCAAGCCCTAGGGGGATTCCCCCCAGCACCTGACCAGGAGCTTCCCCACCAACGACAAGGTCTTGCATCTCCTAGGGGAAGAATTGCAAACATTGTCACTGTGAAACAACCACAGGTAGAGATTTTGTACCCACTTCTAATGGAAAAATCTACCTTTATAATTTTCGTTGACCCAGGTAAAGTGAGAGGAAAGAGAAGTACAATAGAAGAACCAGAAAGACAACCGAAAAGAAGATGGTGATATTAAGGATGCCAAACCAGGTAAAATATACTTATTATCATTATCAAACACATTGATTATAATTGGAACAAATTATTAATAAAAGAATAACCAGTAGATATTATATAATAGAATAACCAATATAGAGGATGTCCCAGGCTGAGCGTGCATTAGAAGTTTCTAGAGAACTACAATATCTAGATCGGAGATTTTTGCACATCATTGTTTCACAATGATATCTATCGATTAAAAATATTTTCAATATGGGGCACTTCCGGAAATACCGGAAGATGACAGCAACTTTCTTATTTTAAATGGGCACCCCCATTTTTTATTACATAATTGTGTGTTGAGTGTTGTTTTAATATGCAAATGTGTGTGTGGATTGACTTTTATTGTATTTGTCTGATGATGCTCGTATAAGCGACACACGTGTCACTATTTAACTTAATATAAACGTTGACACCGAGACTTTGGGTCTTTTTTCTACTCTTTTTAATTTAAACCAAGTCCAAGAATGGACGCCTTCTTTAAATTTATCCTCTGTGACACTATACAGAGTGGTCCGAACTGCATTCCGGTAACTTTGGCAGCATATTCTGCAGATAAAAATAAGTAAGAAAGTTCGTATAAATGTATGTTCTATATTGCTTTGTTCCGGAGATACAGGGTCTAGAAGTTTTATTTTTATTTCGATTTTTTCCAAACAATTTCTGAAGTAACGTCAATATTTTGGTGAAAAATGGTGTCTGAGAGTTTTTTGACATAAGAAATTTGATTTTGATGTCTATAAGACTACTTGTAGAGGGCGCCACCTACATATTTTTTAACTGATTTAAAAAGTAATAACTTAAATTACATTAATAACTTGATTATCAATACCTGTCATCATAAAGATAAATTAAACATGTTCACACTAAATAGTTATTAGACTGAAATCATAAATCTGAAATGTTTTGTGTCAAAAGTTCAACAGAAACTGTTTTATTATCATTTTTTCGCAGAAAAATTTATGGTTAATTTAAAAAAATAAAAATTTCTGAAGTTTATTTCTTCAGTCAAATAACTATCTACTCAACGTGTTTATTTTTTGTCAATAATGACATGTACTGACTATTTCGTTTTAAATTTCTTGAGAATGGTTGCTCGTAGCGATATTTACCAAGAGACATTTTTTACCTAAAAAGACACGGAGATGTATATTTTTTCACTCAGTAGTTTTATACAGGTACGGACGAAAAGTTATTACTCTTCAAAACAGTTAAAACGCATGTAGGTGGCGCGCCCTACAAATAGGAATCATATTGACGTGAAAATCAAATTTCTCATGTCAAAAAACTACCAGACACCAATTTTCATCCAAATATTGACGTTACTTCAGAAATTATTTGGAAAAAATCGAAATAAAATTGCAATTTCTACACCCTGTATCTCCGAAACTAAGCATTTTAGGACATACATTTATACGAACTACTTTTTTACTTATTTTTTATCTGCAGGATATGCTGCCGAAGTTTCCGGAATAGAGTTCGGACCACCTTGTATATTTAATTATTTCATCAATAGAAGAGAAGAAACCAGAAAAAGCAGCACCTGGAAAATCCGACCCTGCTTTATCAAAAAGCAAAGATGCAGTTGCAGGTTTGCATTTAATGTAATACCGTATAATAAAAAAAAACGGCGTCCAATTGGCTTGGGAATGACGATCGATGACATTCCCCATATAATTTTACATATAAAATGACAGCGATCTTCATTTCATAGCCATCGTTGACACCGTTTTTTTTCAATCGTATTGTTTATTGTTCATTTATTAATTGATCGTTTAAATTTCAGCAGAGGAATCCACAAAGTCCATAGTAGAACCCGATGAAGAGGAATTGAAGAAGAGAAAAGGTGAGGGCGAAATACAACAAAAAGTCAAATTAGTTTATAGTAGAGTGCTTTAAGCCCTTATGGGATACAACCCCCGGAATTCTTTTACTGTGGACGAACTTTTATAAAACTTTTTGCATTGTATTGTTAATAAGATATATTACAAAGTTTACCCATTTAAATTCGTTGCTTTCACTTTAGTATTTAAATAAACACACATATATGAATGCAGAAATATAAGATGGCTCCGTGTTTCGAAAAAGCTATGTATCAGGATTCCTATTTGAGATTTTACAAAATATGTATTTAATGGTAGTTCACATTTCACAAATATTTTTACAGATATACAGGGCGAGTCAAATATATTTTTACACTTAAGTTTTAGCTTTTCAAATGAAATGCTTTATGTTTGTGCAGTAAATTTGCTATAAAATTCCGGTTCCAAAAATACCTTAATACCATAGAGTATACTGAGTGGTTTTTGAATTATTACCACGTCCATGAGGACATCAATCTATATGTCCAGGAACCTTCGTATGAGAACTTCTAATCGAGACGATCCACTTATTGTAAGTTTACCGCTAAGAAACCGCCGTTTGTCAGCTTTTTCAAATTGTGCCTAAGGAACGTACATATTAAACTAACGGACTATAAGAAGAAGACTAAATGAAGCAATTCTTATGTCAAGAAGGCCTGCTTCGGGACCAGAACTTACTAGATCTGTCGACTAAGACTAAAAGCAAAGGCATGGTTTTAATGTAAAAATTACAAGAAAATGTTGGTGTCTTCTTCAAAAGCGAACGTCTCCAACAAAAATAAAGCTAATGAAATGAACCAAAAAACTAACTATCGAGAAAGGATGTATCTAGATGATAAATTGATTTTTAAATTTCTTGATGTTTTAACATATTCTACAAGGTATTTCAAAGTTTCACCAAAATATCAACATTTTGTTTTCCCTCATATAATTAACAGATGTGGAGTTTCATTTTTAATTTAGAAAGAGATACTAAAAAGTGAGATAATTTGGTTACATGCTGCTTAAAAAATCATCAAAGTCGGCCCACTAGAACAAAATATATTAAACTTTAAAATACCTTAAAGTTTTAAGGGGCCCATTTTTCGTACCGGTAAATGTATTTCAAAAAGTATACATTTTAGTCATATACTTTTCTAATGAAACTCGCCTTAATTTTTTTACTAGAATCTGAAAATCAATTAGTATAGGGTCCTCCATTACAAAAAACACAACTTTGATGTGTAACTTTTTTTGGGAACACCCTGTAGAACTCTATAATTTTAGAAAATGCTTTAAATTGACTTACATAAGCTCACAAAATTTCACTTCAATACAAACTTTTTTCTCCTTACAAAAACCGCCTCGTATATGACGTGCCACCCTGTATAATTCGATTTCAATCAAAATTTCAATGATTAGAATATAACCAAAATAGATAATATAGCTTATGCATTAGATTCATTTATGTCAATAAATTTACTTAGAAAAAAAAATTAAAAAATCAAAGAATTAAGAAAGAAATAACTAAGAATTTACTAAAATTACTAAAATAAAAAATTAAAAGCAACGAAAAAAAAATGGGTAAACATTTTAGTATTTTATCTACCGTGCTGACAACTGTTACTTTTGGGTCGGCATTTACATGTGTGTGGAAGTAAAGCGCATAGGGATCATATTAAGTCGGAGTTAGAGAAATGCGACGGTGTGCTGTTGCGGCGTTGCCGGTAAAATCACGATCCCAAACCGCTTATTTTTAAAAGACTTTTTTTCAAGAGATAACTAAGTAGATAAAATCATTAGACATGTTTCTGAGCATCTTAAATAGAATTATAAGGATATCGTTAGGGTGTCATTTTTTTATAACGAGAAAACGTCAGTAATCGCGATAATTTAAAAACTCTACTTTTTAACACATAACAGGCCATGACTCAACAACCACTTTAGATATTGAAACTTTTTTTTATTTTCAAGATCGGATATTTTACAATATGTTTACATAAGAAAAATTGGATAAGGTTGTTTTTTCTATTCAAAAATTGTATACAATCCATCCATTTACATTTAAAGCATAGCAATTTTCAGCAATCGTGTAATTTTTTTACTAATAAAGATTTTCACATACTGTCTACAAGGAAAATACAGCAGAAATATTAACAAAGTTCTTGAAAAACTACAATCTTTTATTTCTAATAGATTTCGAGATATCGATTTTTGAATTCAGAGTATTAATAGCGCAACCACTATCGAACACCCACTCAATTCCACTTATTTTTACCAAAAATGCAAGTGTTTCTAGCTTGCACTTAAAAATTTTCAACCTATAGGGAAAATTACAACGACTCGTTAATAAATAAACAAATTAAGTATCACGAGACGTAATTAAATCGTGAAGCTGAACGCATGACGTACACCTTTTCCTAGAACTTTAAGTACTGACAGAGGTCAGAGGTATTATTGGGTCGACCGGTCAACTGCGACAAATTTGCTATATCCCCGTCCACGTCTCTTAGCGATGTGCACAGTTTCTCGCTTTATTTCGTACGTTTGGCAAGGTGTTTACTGTCCTCTCTTTGTTCAGTACATTATAAACGCATTGTACTCATTGTACTCTTCTTACATACGGAAATCTCGACCCAAGACTAACCTTTGCCAGCCCTTAGTATAAAACACAATACAGAAGGTTTCACAGTAATTGAATTCCGAGGTAAAAGTCTCTGGACACTCCACTACTATTGAATGAAATATTTTAAGACAAATATTAGATCTACTCTAAATTTTAGCACTAGGCTTTTTTATTCTTTGCACAAATTTTTTTTATTGGGATATGACGCAACTCAAACTCGTTTGTTCTTTATTGTCAAAATACAATAAAATATCGAAGAGTATACGCACTGATTCCTGTTCTATCAGTGAAGTTAATCGACGTTAGACGTGACAAAGGTTTCGATGGGTAAACTTCGTCACTGTTTCACTATAGTTAATATCAATTAAACTTTTAGTCACGCGATCAAGCTTGACCGTCACAGCGTTGCCCACTTTTACCAATTTTCTTTTAATCAAAGTATTTCAGGAAACAAGAATAATTATAAATGTATGTATTATAACAGCTATTATCTACATCAACGAAACTCACCTCCTCAACTGCACTTAAGGGATATAAAGGACCATTATTACCGCTTTCCCGTTGAAAATATTCTAATAAGGTGGCGATGAGTTTTTTGCAGCGCCTATTAAGGTATATTGTCGCGACCTAGCTTGGGGGTTGTACGCTAGGGTCGCTATACCAGGTTCTCTCTTTTAATGAAACAACCATTAGAAAGATATAGATATATATTCACTAGCTCCTGACTAACTGACTGTCAACTTTGACTGACCATTCGACTGACTACTGATCTGATTGCAACTAACTGACTAACCCGCAACTGACTAACCCCGACTAACTGACTAAAACCCCAACCCTATCTTCAGCATACCCTTTTATATTTGTCCGCTCGTCCCAATCATCGGCGGGTGCGTCCAAGAGATCCGAAAAGAGCCACAATAAATCTGAATAGGAAATATAAATAATAACACATTCATATCCAAAAAATCCTATATGGGTATTTCGCCACTGCACTGCAAGAAAATCTACAAAATAAAATAGTTATTTTTTGTAAACACTTCTGCGTTAAACCCAAACGGAAACTATTTGTCAGAAGTTATGTTTACAGTTATATAAATTTGCCTAACAAAGAAAAAAATGCTTAAACTGTCAACAATTCCAAAATACTATCTATGTTTAATTTTGTTCTAACTATTAAATGTGTATCTTGTTCTAATCTATCCCAAATTGTTTTAAGTGATTTATCTACCGGCACATTAGTGAAAAGACTGACAACATCAAAACTAACCATTAAACTCTTGGTGTTATATTAATGTTTGAAATTTTTTCTATAAAGTGTGGTGTGTTTTTAATGTATGAGTCGGTGTTATTTGCAATCGGATTTAATATGTCTAGAAAACTTTTTGCTAACGGATGGGATGGAGAATTTATACTACGACTATAGGTCTAAAAGGTATCTGTTTGTGTATTTTCGGTAAACCGTATAAATGAGGTGGTTTACTGTAATGGGGTGTTAATAATGTTCGTTGTAAGTCTGTTAATATATGTTTGTATTTGTATAAAGTTAAGCATTTTATTTTATGTTTTAAGCATGTTTTTCTTTGTTAGGCAAATTTATATGTATAACTGTAAACATAACTTCTGACAAGTAGTTTCCGTTTGGGTTTAACGCAGAAGTTTTTATAAAAAATAACTATTTTATTTTGTAGATTTTCTTGCAGTGCAGTGGCGAAATACCCATACAGGATTTTTTGGAGAGATGAATCCGCCACATAGATATGGACATTTTTTACATTCATATATTTATCACTTAACACGATCTAGGGACATCGACTAGTATATTTAATAAGTAGCTCTAATAAATAATGTTAGTTTATTTTTTACTTTATGACGCCTTGTAATACAAAGGGAATCTCAGTCCAAAAAGATATATTTCATTTCTTTCCAACGAGTTTGAGTTACGTCAAAACTCGATAAAGTTTCCACAAAGTTCTGCGGTAAAGAAGGAATCTTTTATTTAGCTCCCCCCAAGCCAGGAGAAGTTAGAGGACGAGGAAGAGTTAAATCCCAGCAATCTGAAACTGGCCCAGTTGGTGTTGGAGACAAGGATAAACCCGTGGCAGGTAATATCGATTTTAAATATATACAGTTTTTTATTTAATTGTTTCTGTTTAAATAAGTGGTATTCCTCAAAGCAATTAAAGTGTTTTTAATTAAATTAAAGCCGCCCCCCCCCCATCCCTCTTAATTTAAAACCCTTCATATCCAAACTACCACTGGCCGGCGCGAAAAACAGACACAATAAAATTTCCATGTATTTTATATTTCAATAAAATTTCTAGAGGTACGAATTCACTTGCAACAAAACACTCCGAACAAACCAAACGCGCCGCGCACTCCAAACAATCTGCAACAAAACATTTTCCGGGAGCGCTCTGAACGACCTGCAACAAAACATTTTGCGCGGAGCGTCCCGCCTGTTTGCGGTGTTCGCTGCGTTTCCACCAGTAATCAGTGTGTGAATCAGTGTTAGTGTGTTTGCCGATAAGGATGCATCTGATATTACCATAGCCGCTGGTGCTTTTTTAATTATAGAGGCATTAGCGGGTAACAAAAAAGAGAAAAAAAGGAATGGACGAAAAATGTGGGAAAAACGCCTCTTTTTGCGCCATCAATATAATATGGCCGTACTTAGCGACCTAGATTATATGCATAAAAAGAATTTAATTATTTTAATAATTAATTATTAATTTAATAAAATAGGCCGCCCTTCAAACTCATCAATTAACTCTAAACACTTTTCTCTGTTCCACTCCATAGCCATGCCGATCTTAATAGCCGACCATACCAACAGGTATGGTAGGCTATTAAGATCGGCAAAAAAAAAGTTTTTTTAATTTCACTCAAAATGAGTTATTTGGGTCATAAATAACCTAAATACAAAATATTTTCATGGTCTGTCTGGTCTGTCTGTCTGTCTGTCCGTCTGTCTGTAACACGATAACTCAATAACCGCTAAACCGATTTTAACCAAATTTGGCACAAAAATCCTGTGGCACCCGAGAATCTGGCCATTAGTTTTTGGCGGGAGGTGGGGGTTGGTAAGGTGCTATGGGAGGGGGTTAAAAATTTAAAAAAAATCATAACTCCAAAATTACAGTAGCTAGCGAAACGCGGTTTTCAATTTAAGATTATGAATAATATTTGCAACAAAATTTGTAATAACATCAAAATCAGCCGCAGTTTTTGAGATAATTGAAACTAAAAAAACTGCCTACCAACTTTTTATTAACATATTTTAGTATGGGCGGCTATATGTGCCCCCCGGCGCCAATTTTTCTTTTCTTCTTCCAGTTGATGCTTTATCATATTCGAGTGAATTCTCCTTTTTTGTAGTAGGGTTGTCAGTTAATTAGTCTCTAGCGATTGCATAAAAGCTGTCTTATTAAGCTCTATGGTTTTTCGGATATTTAACCGAAACCTGCAAACCTGCTATTTCTAAATCATTGCTGTTCTTCACAAATTCCGGTTGACATAACTTCTTCTACTAAAATTTTAGTGAACAGTTTTTGTACGGCACTCATCAAGCTGATACTACGATAGTTTCGCGGATCTGCTTTTTCTCCTTTTTTAAAAATTGGTATCAAGATGCTTTTTTCCATTCAGATGGTATATTCTTGTCTGTAAGTATTTTTTCAGATAAAAAATCGCGATTTGGTATGCTAGTATATGACATAAATTAGGATTGATTGACGTATTCAATTATTTTCGATCAATTCCTGTTTCACCGGAAATGACTACAACTTTTAGTTTTTAAATGGCATCCTCGGTATTTGTTTCTTTCTCCGATAGAAAATGACACTCTGAATAAAATGAAATATCATATGTCAACTTTTGACATTTTCGAATATGGTTTATTTAAAATTGCAACATGCGGTTCAGAACGAGAATTTGACTCGAAATACCAAGTGTGTGGTATCAAATTATTCGTAAAACTTTTTCCAAATATGCTAATGATCTACCCTCGTTCCATTTGAAAAAATTGAGATATGGTTAAAAATACGATTTGGGCATCTTTTAACCGGCCGGAACAAGACACTAAAAACATATACAAATCTATTTTTCTGAGGCTCCTTCATTAAAAATTAGTGTTTTTACTACACACACACAAGACACACTCTAGATTGAAATTTAAAATACAATTTTGTTTTAAGTAAAAATGTCATAAGTTGACATATGATATGTCATTCTATTCAGAGTGTCATTTTCTATCGAATAATGTAAAAAAATATAGAGGGTGCCATTTAAAAATCAAAAGTTGTAGTCATTCCGGTAAAACAGGAATTGACCGAAAACAATTGAATACGTCAATCAATCCTAATTTATGTCATATACCAAATCTCGTTTTTTATCTGAAAAAATAAAAAAATTATAGAGGTGAGCTACTTTTGAGACGCACCCTGTATATGTATTTACCCGTTATATGTGATTATTTCTGTTTTTATTTCATCTATGCCTATAGAGCATAATGACAAAATACTCAAAGGTTTCCAATGCGTTTCTCTAATTAAAATTAGACGATGCTGAATAATAAAATCAAATTTCAGAGAAAATTGAAAAACCAAAGAAGGAAATACCTGAAAAATTAGATAAAATAACTGATGATGCCAAAAAAGAAGCGGAAAAGGTTGAACCAAAATCGCCGCCGAAAGAAAAAGCAAAAGGTGATAAAGGTAATATGTGTAAATTTCACGAAATTGTTAAATAGATATTTAAAGAGCAATTTTTAAAAGAGCCAGAACCCGAGTCTAAGATGGTACCTGGTATACCCCAAAAAGAACCTGCCAAAGGTAACAATGCAAAGAAATGGAAATGTTTTCCTTACTGGTAATTGATTATAAATTTCAGGCAAAGCTAAGGAACCAGCTGAACTTACTGATAAAGCAGGTATAGTTTTAAATACTACATTTAATTAGTTACATTTTAATATATTACAGATTATCACAAATAATTAATTACGGTATAGTTTATATTAAATAAACTTTTAGTAGCGTTATTAAGCTTAGCCAGCACAACATTGCCCACTTTTACATAGTTTCTTTTAATCAAAATATTTTAGAAAACAAAAAGAAATTATTTATAAATATAAAAACAGTTATTATTTACCATCAACAAAACTCACCTCCTTAACAGCACTTAAGGGGCATAAAGGGCCATTACTACCGCTTTCCCCTTCAAAATCTATACTAATATATAAAATCCCTAAGTGACTGACTCACTGATTAATCACGATCCTGCTCAAACCACTCAACGTAAAGGTGCGTATACATATGGCGAGCACAACGCGAGCCGAGCACGAGCCGAGCGCGCCGTGTTGTGCTCGTTGTTCGCCGCAAGCAGCGAGATCATAGTCCGAGCCAGCAACGATCCATATGAAATGTAAATGGCTCGCGAGCGCACAAGAAATATTCTTTTTTCAGTGTCAGTTTTTGACGCGACTTGGTTCAAATGTTCAGATAAATAAAGTTAAATATTTTAATCTAAATTATATGTTATTGAAAGTACAAACGAGTATTATGTAAATAATATGTAATGTACCCTGTACCTACAGTCAGTACAAAAAGTCTCCATACACCCCTTTTTTTCAAGCAAATTTTATAGCCTTTTTTATGTTTAAAAAAAAGCTGAAAAACAATTTTTTTTGAGTGATTTTAGATAAAAATACCATTACCATTCAAAAGAGAGGTAAAAGTTATAAACCTCCTAAAAATTACACAAGGATTGAACAAAAAATACTCCAGGTATAAAATTTTCAATTTAGCAAAAATAATAAATTTTTTGTAAAAATCTTAAAAATGTTATTATTTTTCGCAAATTTAAAAAATTTTAAATTGTACATTTAGCCCCTTCTTCGAATAGTACCAACCATGTTTACCTAAAACCACTCAAAAAATTTTCAGCTTTTTTTTAAACATGAAAAAAAGGGGCTATAACATTTTTTGAAAAAAATTGCAGACCCACGTCAACTGAGTAGATTTGAACGTATTGAAGATTTTAAATGTACCATTACTTTTTTTAATTATGGTCAAAAAAAGTTGCTACAAGAAAAAAAAAGGGGTGTATTCAGACTTTTTGTACTAATATGCTTTTCAGATGGTAGTTGAATAAATGTCATTCTATAAATAAGCATACTTCTTTTGCAAAGCACACCCTTTTCCTGTTCCTACTGACTCTTTTTCCTCTCTCTTCTATAAGTTGCCAACATGCTTATAATTTTTTTGTTGCATATCTCTTCAGGTTTGCCTATTAAAGTGGCGATTTCCTTCCAGGCATCCATTTTTGGTTTTTTAAAATTTTTCCTCTTTGGGGTCCCACAAAATAGTATGCGTCGTATACAACTCAATTAATTGAAGCAAAATATCCTCCGACCATGTAGGCTCCATGCTGGCCGATCAGACCAAAACGACGAACCTGTCACAACGCCGTCCAAATTATAACTGAGAACTCCTTTGTGTTCGTCGCAAAAACCGACAAGAAGTGGATTGCGACGTTCACACTGTGAGCGGCTCGCGAGGCGCTCGCGGGAGGCGTACACATATGACGAATTGAGGTTGTGGCAGGCTCGGCTCGCGTTGTGCTCGCCATATGTATACGCACCTTAAAGGTGGGTATACACATGCGAGACGATCGGTTTGTGAACCGCTCGTTAGCAAATTGTTTTTGTACGAACCTTCAACGATCCAAGGGAAAAGCGCGATCGCCGCAAACCAACCGAAAACATGCAGTCATTTTTGCGATGCGACGCGATGGTGCGAATACGCGTTTAATTATGTCTTCGCGAGAAGAGAATTATGCTCTGTTGGTGATGAGTGGTGCATTTTTAATGATGACTAGTTTAGACAAGAAAAGGAAGCAGCGACGTTGGTGGTAGGATGCGAATAAAGAAATAATTTTCTTCTTACATTGGTCTGCATTTTTTTTCAGTTCGACACCTATTTCCCTCCAAGCGTCCTCTTTTGTCCTCCATAATAAAGCTATAGAGATCAATTAAATCTAAATGATTTCCTCGGACCACTCCATATTTAAATAAACTTCTATACCTCTTCCAAACTGTAAACAAAAACTAAAAATTGAAACAGTGCGTCTGGATTGTCTGAAGGTTCGATACAAACAACGAACCACAGAATATACTAACGAAAAAGAAGCCCAAGTTCCTTGTAATAAATCGGTTCCATTTTCGTAACGCCATCTCTCGACATAGTTGACATTATAGGCTAGCCAAAGGGGTGCGGGGCCGGGGGAATTGTAAAATACACTTTTTTATTTTAATTATTTTTATTCGCTATTTGCAATTTTATTTTTAAAACATATTATGTAAAACAATCACATAATATGTCTTTAAAATAAAATTACAAACGGAAACAAAAGGAATTAAATAATCTGAAAATCTACAAAGTTTATTGATAAAAAAGTTAGGCTATGCAAATTGATAAGTATATTAAGTATAACCTCTTTGGTATAACATTGTTAAACAAACATTAACAAATCATAACATATCAGATCATAGAACTAAAAAAAGTACTATTACATAAAAACAGGTGATACAATACTTCAAAATTAATTTTAACATAATATCAAAACCGAAAAATCAAACTGCAAACACAACCACACTTATCACAACAGAAATTAACACACACTTTCGCGGCAAATGTCCAAGAAAGACTGATCATTCTGATTGGTCCTGGTCCGGTCGTAGCTCACGTCGTATTGTCGGTAAGCAAAATCCCTGTCCAAAAATTTTGACGATCAGCGCCATCATCCGTCATAATTGGGAAACTTTGGCTGGAACCATTTTTAATATTTCACTTACATGGCCCTGCAACGAACAACACAGGTGCCCGTCCACCGAGGGCCATGAATCCCTTTGTGTTCGTCAAAAAACCGACAGGAGGCGGATCGCCGCGAACGGTTTGCGAGCCGTTCGTTCGTTGCTCAAAACAACGTACACATTTGCGAATTTTAGGTTCACAAGCGATTCGCGAACCCCTCGGCTCGCATATGTATACCCACCTTAAAAAGCTCAATTTTGGCATACAGGCTGATTCTAGGGTGTAGAGGTTCGACAAGAAGGGATTTTTCGAAATTCCAGTTCCAAGGGGGTGAAACCACCCCTCAAATATTACAATATTTTTTATTTAAAAAACGTTTCCGAAAAAAAAAGCTTAAACACGTATATTTTATTTTGTTTTTTTACATATTTTAAGACTTTTAAAAATGTATACAGAATCAATCTTTCGAAAAATCTGGTCATTGATTAATCACGATCCTGCTTAAAGCGCTTGACGTAAAAAGCTGATTTTTGGAAAACGGATTGACTTTAGGATGCAGACGTTCGATAAAAAGGGATTTTTCGAAACTCTAATTCTAAGGGGGTAAAACCACCCCTCAAATATTAGAATATTTTTTATTTAAAAACCGGTGAGTTTTTCGGAAAAACTCTTAAACACGTATATTTTATTTTGTTGTTTTACATATTTTAAGATTTTTTAAAAATGTATACAGGTTGTTTCGAAAAATATGACCATTGTAATGACGATTCTGCTTAAACTGCTTGACGTTTAAAGCTGATTTTTGGCAAACGTATTGACTGTGGGGTGTAGAGGTTCGATAAGGAGGGGTTTCGCACTAAAAAAGATTCTAAAAAGAACAATGTTCGACTGCAAGGTCTGCTGGTAAAAAAAATTAAACCTAAAGTATCACAACACAATTCATTTAAAACAAGTAATCGTAATACAAAACTAAAGTGTCAAAACGAAAGACAATCTCATGAAATAAATAAATAAATGTATGGCAACTTGACATTTTTTACATCAGAGCTACCACTTGAATCTTCAGCGGGAAATTTAAATTCCAGTAAGACAGCCCGGCGCCGAATATGCCCATGGTTGGCAACAATGAATTTAATAATCGCGCCCTCGATGACTTAACTAAAAGTTTATTTGGTATCGCTTATACAGGGTGTCCCAGAAATAAGTGCAAGTATTTTAAGGGGTGGTAGATCTCGATAAAAGAAACATATTTTCTCTTTATCGTTTTTCAAATAAGTCCAAAATAACGGAGTTATTTTATTTTAAAAATTAAAAAAATATATATATATATATATATTTTGCTAAAATTTTGAGAACCACTGAATCTTTTCTGGATTTTCTTTCTTGTAAATTTAATCTAATACCTATGTTGCCATATTATCCAGAAATTATGTTTTTAAACTAAAAAAATTTCCAAAAAAATTTTCAAAACATTTCGAATTTAAAAAAAAAATCCCGAAAAAACCCTCATACACGTGTTTCTGGGGTTAAACTATACTACCAGTTAAAATACTTGCACTTATTTCTGGGACACCATGTATATACTAAGTAATACCGTACAATCAAGACAAAAAACCAGTCCAGTTAGCTTGGAAATGATGATCCATGATCCCCATATAATTTTACATATAAAATTTCAGCGGTCTTCATTTCGTAGCCATCGTTAACACCGTTTTTTATCATATTGTATAACACTATCATGTTAATATTTAGTAAATAATAAAGAAAATTGAAAATATGTTATTAACTTTAACGGCTTTTGTAAATTACGATTAGAGGAAATATCTATTTTTACTCTAAACATCAAACCTCGTAAATTTGTTGCATAGTCCTGAGCAAATATTTTAGAGACATCAATCGAATAAATAGTATTTAAATTCTTAATGCTATTAAAAATATATTTGAAATTTCAGATACAGGTCCAGATATAGACAAACAAAAATCAGATATAAAATATCCACAAGAGGCAGCCAAAAAGGCATCAAAAATACCGGAAGAAGGCGCAAAAAAAGATAGACCTGAAGGTAAAAGTAAAACAGAAATACCAGAGGAAGCACTAGGCAAACCTAAAGCCAAACCTTTGCTTAGCGCTGAGGACAAAACTAGAAAAGAACCTGCAATATCAGATTCAAAAACAGAACCATATGATACAGAAGCTAAAAAGACAAAAGAACCGAGTAAACAAGATTTAGAACCCAAAGAGGAAATGGGAAAGCAAGTATCATTTAAAGATGTAAGGGATGAGGATAAAGGTTTACCCGAAGTACCAGGTAAAGAAAAACCTTTGGTGAGCGCTAGGGATAAACCTAAAAAAGAACCTGAAATCTCAGCTTCAAAAACAGAACCGTACGATACAAAACCTAAGATAACCAAAGAGCCGACTAAGGAAGATTTAGGAGAGAAAATATCAGGTATATTTGACACCAAACCAAAGAAAGCAAAAGAACCAACTAAAGAAGATTTAAGACCAACGCCGAAGGTGTCTGAGAAAGAAATAGAATATAAAAAACCCGAAGAAAAAATTGAAAAGCCGTTATCAACTAAAGATATAAGAGAGCCACAACAAGTCAAGGGAGAACCATTGCAGCCAGAAAGGCAGCGAAGACTAACTGCCCAAGAACTTTGCGAAATGGAGAAAATATGCAAAACTCCTCGAACGTCCCTTGCTGAAAAAAGAGAGCCACAACAAGCAAAAGAACCAACTAAAGAAGATTTAGGAGAGAAAACATCAAGTATATTTGACACAAAACCAAAGAAAGCAAAAGAACCAACTAAAGAAGATTTAAGACTACCGCCGAAGGCATCTGAGAAAGAAATGGAATATAAAAAACCCGAAGAAAAAATTGAAAAGCCGTTATCAACTAAAGATATAAGAGAGCCACAACAAGTTAAGGGGGAACCATTGCAGCCAGAAAGGCAGCGAAGACTAACTGCCCAAGAACTTTGCGAAATGGAGAAAATATGCAAAACTCCTCGAACGTCGCTTGCTGAGAAAAGAGAGCCACGACAAGCAAAAGAACCAACTAAAGAAGATTTAAGACCAACGCCGAAGGCGTCTGAGAAAGAAATGGAATATAAAAAACCCGAGGAAAAAATTGTATCCACTAAAGATATAAGAGAACCACAACAAGTCAAGGGAGAACCATTGCAGCCAGAAAGGCAGAGAAGACTAACTGCCCAAGAACTTTGCGAAATGGAGAAAATATGCAAAACTCCCCGATCGTCGATTGCTGAGAAAAGAGTAACTAAGGAAATGGATAAGGCTCCGATTAAAATGGATTTCGATAAGCTAGATGAATCCCAAGATGAAGATACGTTTAGAACAGCAGAAGAAAGTCCAAAAGAACCGGTAAAAGTAGGTATTCCAGCAATGTGTATTATTGTTAGTTTTTATACAAGGTAACTCCAAAATACCTTGAAGTGAAGTTCGATCCTAGAATGATGTACAGGGTGGATGAAATTGGACGCTTTTAAAGGGAAACACTTTTTCTATAGGAGATAAAGTAATATCGGTGTCTGGAGCTCGATTTTTATTAAAAACATGATGGTGAAAACTACACATCGATATCTGTTACCGTTTCGGAGTTAAGGGGTGCTTTTCAAAAATGTGCATTTTTATCAAATCGCTGTTAACTTTTTTGCTACAGAAAATTTTGTATTTTTATGAAAACATTTCCAAATCACCTGTTTACGTAGAATATAACGGTTTAAGTATATTTTTTTTAATTAATAATTTAAGAGTTATCAACAGAAAAATTGATTTTTTATTTGGGACATCCTGTATATTTTTAATTAACTGAAAAGGACTTAAAATTACCTTTCCAAAAATATAGCATACTCGATATTTTGTTGCAGTCCTCTTCGAAATAAAGAATTTTTAAAAATTCGCCACTTTTAACTAGTGGGATTTGAACCCCTTATAGATGATCTGCCCCTAATGGAACTCGAAAACATATTTTTCCAGCAAGACCTGCCGCCTCAGAACGCTGTTATCAGCAAATTTTTGCAGCCAATTTCGAGAATAATTGAATAGCTAACCAAGATCCCAGCCGTTGGCCGTCGAGGCCGCCGGACTTAGCTCGTATGGATTTTTATCTTTGCGGAAGAATAAAGGTTCTCATTTTCAAAATTGCCTGTATAATCTAGACAAGAATTAGAAGTACTTAGCGGCTTACATCCTCGATATCAGCCGTACCAAGGTTTAGTAAGTGTGTTCTGTTGATTCCCCATTTTTTCCATCTGCATTTGCCGTTGTTTCTTAGCTTCAATCTACTGAGGTTTTCATTAAGGAGACCTGTCTGTGCCCTGTTAAAAACCCCGTGACAATCCGAAAATTGTTCTTACTTAAATCGAGGAAAATATTTGATTTTTATCGATCGTAAGTTCTGAAAAATTTCTTCGAGTGTCTTAGACCTCCAGAGGATTCCCATTCCAGGTTAAGAATGATTCCGTTTTAAGTTGGTTTCCACTTGGGAAGCAGAACGGTTCTGGTCCAGTTAGTGGAGTGTTCGCTTCTTTTCTAGCCAGATCGTAACCTATGTGAGAAGCCACTATTGTTTCCCGATGTATTTAGAAGACTGTCACAATCCCATCCTAGTCTAGAATTGACCTCTGTGAAATCGGGACCTTTTTGGTCCTATGATATGTTAAGAATATTGCAACTGACAACGGTGTGTTCTTTTTTGTTTGTTTCCGCCTGAAAATATATTTGGAGATCTACAAGCCCCTGAAATGTCTGGACTTTTTTTAAGAGACACTCTACTTATTCTATTTTGTTTAGTAACTGTATTTTTTTCAGGAGAAACTATCGGAAACAAAAATACAAAAAGAAAAGGCGTTAGCTGAACCAGAAAGTAGGCCTAAATTGGATGCTAAAGAAGAAAAACCGACTGGTCCATCCGCGTTAGAAGCTAGGCCAAAAATAGAAGCTAAAGATGATAGAAAAGCAGAACCTATTGGTCCATCCGAGTTAGAAGCTAAACCAAAAATAGAAACTATAGAAGAAAGGAAAGTAGAGCCGATTGGTCCATCCGTGTCAGAAACTAGGCCGAAAATAGATGCCGAAGAAAGGAAAGAAGAACCTATTGGTCCATCCGCGATAGAAGCTAAACCAAAAGTATATGCTAAAGAAGAAAGAAAAGAAGAACCTATTGGTCCATCCGCGTTAGAGGCTAGGCCAAAAATGGACGTTAAAGAAGAAAGGAAAGAAGAAATTCCATCAGCGATAGAAACTAAAGCAGAAATTAGTCGTCCATCCGCTTTAGAAGATAGGCCAAAAATTGAAGAAGTTAAAGAAGATGTGATTGAACCATCCGCCTTAGAAGAGAGAATATATATACCCACTAAAGTAGAAAGAAAAGAAGAAATAGTCGGTCCATCGGCGTTAGAAGGTAGGCCAGATATACCCGCTAAAAAAGAAGAAATGATTCGTCCATCCGCTTTAGAAGCTAGGGAAAAACTAGATATTAAAGAAGAGAGGCCATATATACCTATTAAAGAAGAAGGAGGAGAAGAAATACCTGGTCCATTCGCGCTAGAAGGTAGACCGGATATACCCACTAAAGAAAAAATTAAAGAAGAAATGATTCATCCATCCGCGTTAGAAGATAGGCCATATAAACCTACTAAAGAAGAAATAGGGGAAGAAATAACTGGTCCACCCGCGTTAGAAGGTAGGCCGGAAATACCTCCTAAAGAGAAAAGTAAAGAAGAGATGATTGGTCCGTCCGTTTTAGAGGAGAAGCCATATATACCGAGTAGAGAAGAAAGGATTGGTGTCCCGACAATCGGTCCCTTTTTTGGAAAAGATTGTAGAGCTCATTGTTCTATGAAAAAACTAAGTGAAATTAAAGGATTACCAAAAGAAATCCAGGAAACACCTGAAGAAGGTATACCAATAGTTCCAAGCAAATTATCAAAGGCTGATTCTAGAGAAAAGCCATCTCTTAGTTTCATTTTATCAAAGGAAGAACCTTCCGAGATCAAAAAAGGTGCGCGTGTGTGTAAAAAGCCATGTAAAAACGCTTTAGAACGGCCAGTCACTGTTTTTGGGGAGGAAACCGGTGGAGTTGTAGTAAAAGCCGAATCAGATACTCTAGGAGAATCTATTCCTACTGGCTACTACTTACCTGAAGATGTCAGTCCCAGACAAGCCATGCCAGAATGGACTGAAATAGAAGAGCTACCTGCCGATATTGACGACAAAGATCTATCGCTATCGGAAGCTGGTTTAACTACTTCCGAGACCGACAAGGCAATATGGCTAGTTCCTAAGTCGGAGGAAAAGATATTCGAACATCCTGAAGAGGCTCCAAAATTAGAAACCGAAACCGAAAGTTTGCATACTGAATTAACTACAGCTCCTGAGATGAGCAGAGTTATGTCGAAGGTATTGTCTGGACAAATAAGCCAGTTACCTCCTAGAGACTATATGCCTCTTGAGAAAAAGACTCCAAAGAATCTGTCGGAAGCATTATATAAACAAAAGTGCAGGGCGCGATGTATGCAAATAAAACTTAGCACAACATGCGAAGAGAGTCATACAGAAACCGTTGAAGATGTAAGTGATCTTGAAATGGACTCTGTATTATCTGATGAAGTCACTGACGAAATTAATATTGAGAAAGATAAAATTCCAGAAGAATCAAATACTCCGTTTGAAGATAGTTTGCCGTCTAACGTACCAGAGCAACAACCATTATATGAAGAACCTAGGTCTCGACAAATTGAACCAGAACAACTTCAACGAGAATTGCATAAACCTATGGAAGATGTTTTGCAAGCGAAAATTTCAAAACAATCAAGAATATGTAAAGCACCATGTGCTAAGCGGGCCCGAAAAATGCAGAGTGATCAAGAACAACTTACAGAAGAATCAACTACGCAATATGAAGATACTTTACCACCAAATATGTTACAGCAACAAATTTCGAGTGCAGCTCCAACACCACACATGGAGAATATTGAAGTAGCAGAAGAACAAGAAGAAGTACCAACTTCGCAATATAAAGAGAGTTTACCTGCAAACATTATGCAACGACAAATATGTAGAGCACCTTGTAGAACTCAGAGGGCGCTGCCTTCTGAACTAATTACTGAACCACCAGATACAACATCAAAGAAGAGCTTACCGAAACCTATTTCAGATCATCAACCAACTTGTAAAGCAACGCGTGTTAAATATTTCAAAGATCTTGACAAAATCGATGATATAGAAGAAATTATCGCTACTCACGAATCTGTCGAAAAATATGTTACTTTCGATAATGAAATATCTGAATTTCCATCTGAATTTGAGGAAAACGCCTCAGAAGACCAAAATATTATAGACGAAATAGACTTAGTTGCTGAAACAAAAATAAAGGAAGAGGATGACCATATCCAAGATGGAATACATGAAACATTTGAAGATGCCGAAGATGAATCATTGAGAGACCAAAAAGCTGATTTGGATATTCATAAAGAGTCGATACAAGAAGATACAGCTAAGGAAGAAGAACAAAAACAAATAGACGACATACCTGTCAAGGAAGCTATAAACACAGAAGAAGAAAAAGAACTTGACGATGCGAATATTGATATACAAACTACTGACGTGGTGTTAGATGATGAATATGCTGACGCGTCCCCTCAAATTAATGAAATGCTGCCAGAAGAGGTGATATCGGAAGTGCACATCTTGGAACCGATTCCCGAAGATGAAAATGAAGATAAATTGGCTGCCGAAAGTGTTATAGTTGAGGAAATTAGTAAAAAGGAAAGTGACAAAGAATTTGTAGCACCCACCGTAGAAGATCAGTTTGATAAAAAAGAAAGCGAGAAAGAAATTGACGAAGAAATTGTCAGACCTACCGAAAGCTTTATAGAGGATCAGATTGATCAAAAACAAAGCGAAAAAGATGTTGTCGAGCCCACAAAAGATTTAATAGAAGCTCAGATTGACGAAAAAGAAAGTGATAAAGGAGTTGTTCAACCTACCGAAATTTTAGTAGAAGATGAAGTTGACCAAAGAGAATCTGGTAAAGAAACTCTTCCAATTGTCGAAAATTTTGTTGAAGATCAAATTGAGCAAAAAGAAAGTGACAAAGAAATTGTTCAACGTACCGAAATTTTAGTAGAAGATCAAATTGACCAAAAAGAAACGCTTCCACCTACTGAAACTTTACTAGAGGATCAAAATGGTCAAAAAGAAAGTGTCAAAGAAATTGTCGAACCTGACGGAAGTCACTCCGAAGAAGAATTTGTAGAAGTTGAAGATATTCCTCCACACCCAGAACATATACTTGAACAATCCGATGAAGAAAATATACCATTAACTGAAGACTATACTCCTTTAGAAGATGAAGCTGAAATTATTGAAACTGGAGAGCAAACAGATGTACTACCAGTAATTGCCATAGGTAGTCAAACGTTACCCGTCTATGTAAGTACTCTAGAGCCAATAGTCGAAGAAAGTGAAGTAGAAAAATACGAGGATGCTAGTAGCGATCTATCTCCGCGTTATGATGTTAAACCGGTCCCTACAAAGGACGTATCCACAGTTTGTACTGAGAAACAAGTAGTGTATACAAGAGAACCACCAGTAAGATATGTTGAAACCAATTATGACAGGGCAATTGAGAAATCCAGACCGACCCCACAACCAGCCAGAGAATCTTCAGTTCCCCGATTTGCCAGCTGGTTCCTGCCTGTATCAAGAACCGAAACAAAGGCAAAGGTATGTCCCGCCCCATGCAAAACAAAAGACAAATCGGTTGGCGTTGTACCAACCTTAGAACAATCCGCTACTTCTCCTGAATATAATGAAAATCTGGACAATAGATTTATCCAAACTGAATTCGGTGTAGTTTGCGATAAGCAAACAGAATCTGAGATAATTGACGAATGTTCCCGCTCATGTCAAGTATTAGCAGAACAAGAAATCATTGTAATAAAAGCGCCAGTAGAGAAGAAACATACAATTTGTAGGGATGACCAGCCGACGTGTTCTAAATACCTAACTAAAGAAGCTAAGGAACTGGATAACAAAAATCAAACCAAATGTATTTGTCGGGCTATTGAGAGTTTGAAACTGGTTGAAGAAAGCTTGACCCAGTTAGCTACACAACCTGTCCCGACATGTCGTGCCAATAGAAATGCTGTGGTCAGTATGGAGCGAGAAAATGCTGATTTGAGAGCTCAACTAGCGGTAAGTGTATTTTTTAAACCATTCACCTGTTTCTTAACTTTTTGATCTTCTTTTGTTTATTTTTATTTCACTTTTTGGCGGTTCAGGTAAAACCTTAGAACTCCTATATTTATAGCTTTTTTACCACCTCCAATAAGTAAGCCTCATAAAACATCCTCTATAGAATTTTGACTTATATGTCAAAAAATGAAAGTAAAAGAAACGCCTCCTTGAGTTTGTTCGCGCACTAAATTCATGAAATAATAATATAACATATAAATATTCAATCCTTATATTTCATTTATTTTTTTTTAATATTACAGAAACATTTTTTTAATTGTAACGAAATAGGGATATTAAAATTACATTATACAGGGTGATCCGAAGTGTATTCCGGAAACTTCGGCAGCATATTCTGCAGATAAAAATAAGTAAAAAAGTTCGTATAAATATATGTTCTAAAATGTTTAGTTTCAAAGATACAGAGTGTAGAAGTTTCATTTTTATTTCGATTTTTTCCAAATAATTTATGAGGTACCGTCAATATTTGGATAAAATTTGGTGTCTGGGAGTTTTTTGGCATGAGATATTTGATTTTAATGTGAATATGACTCCTACTTGTAGAGGGCGCCACCTGCATATTTCTTAACTGATTTGAAGAGTAACAACTTTTCGTTCGTACCTGTTTAAAACTACTGAGTAAAAAAATATATATTTACGACGATTTTACGACCTAAAAAATATCTCTTGGTAAAAATCGCTACGAGTAATGGTTCTCGAGATATTTGGAATTGAAATTATCAATACCTGTCATCATTGACATAAATTAAATATGTTGACTAAATAGTTATTAGACTGAAATCATAAATTTTTGAAAAGTTTTTGTGTCAAAAGTTTAACAGAAACTGTTTCATCATCATTTTTTCATCAGAAAATTGATGAAATTAATCATCAATGAAAAAAAAATAAAAATTTCCCAAATTTATTATTTCAGTCAAATAACTATCTACTCAGCGTGTTTATGTTTTGTCAATAATGACATGTATTGACTATTCCCATTCTAAATATCTTGAGAACAGTTGCTCGTAACAATTTTTACCAAGAGTGATTTTTTAAGTAAAAAGTCACGAAAATGTATATTTTTCACTCGGCAGTTTTATACAGGTACGGACGAAAAGTTATTACTCTTCAAAAAGTTAAAACCTTGTTAAAACACATGTAGGTGGCGCCCCCTACTATTAGGAGTCATATTGATATCAAAATCAAATTTATCATGTGAAAGAACTCCCAGACACCAATTTTCATCCAAATATTGACCTTACTTCAGAAATTATTTGGAAAAAATCGAAATAAAAATAAAATTTCTACACCCTGTATATCCGAAACTAAGCATTTTAGAACATACATTTATATGGGGAAATTAAAATAATTTTGGTTGCACATCATAATACGACCACCAGCAAACTCCATAAGACGACGCATGGTGTCATTTGATGACGTGCAACGAAAGTTGTTTTAAATTCCCTATTTTTATCTGCAGAATATGCTGCCGAAGTTTCCGGAATACAATTCGGACCACCCGGTATATTAAAAATTACATTAAAAAATTGTAATTTATATGTCACTGTAAATGAGAGTTGGTTAGCAAGGTTAAAGAGTTGGTTAGCGTGGTTATTTGGAGGGTGTTATCACCTAATCGAACATTTATAAAAAAAACTAATCGACCTAATCGGTCGTTTATAAAAATAAAACAATTATTGATGATATTATAAATTATATATAGGTGCCCGGTGGCGTAGAGGTACAGGCTCTCATTTACCAATCTGAAAGTTAGTGGGTTCGAATCCCACACCCGGCATTTCATCAGCCGACTATTTTTGTTAAAATAAAAATAGTTTGGGTACCTAGGTCGACTCAGCCTTAAATGAGTACTTAGGATTCACAATCCTGAGATAATAATAGGCGGTTGAAGCGTAGTGCTAGCCACATTACCTTCCTTGTATACCGGACGGCTCTAGTATGGCAAGGTGTACCTTGCTACTCCCAAGGCTTTAAACGCTATACACGGGAGCTATTATTATTATATAAATTATATATTTTATTTATATATAAACTGAAAAAAAACGTACAAAACAAATTCCAATCTTTCCGGGGACTTGGAAAACCAAAAAGCTATCAATTTTGTTGTCGCAATTAGGAATGCTACTGTTCTTCTTCGCATGTTTGCGTTCTCGGTCGAAAAAATCCATTGCATTTAAATATGAATAATTAAAATAAAATGTACTTGGTAAAATAACTGCAAATACACCAGTAATTAATGAGGAAATTGCCAAAATCACACACCGAATATTCACAACGAAATAAAAATATTGACATATTTAAAAAACAAATGAATATTTGTTAACTTTTTAATGACTAGCAGCGCCTCTAGTGTTTGTTCGCACAGTATAGTTTTTACTTCCAGTCATTGCCATTACAGAAAAACGTTCTAAAGGGGGATGTTTTGCGGTAAGCCTGCAGGTATCGCACTAAATACTCTGAATACCCTGTACATTTTCTATTCTGATTACCTAGTTTATCGCAGGTGTACATTAGTAGTGACTTAAATTCTGACATAGGCTTCTATTTTCAAAATGAATCAACATGACATCGATGATTAAGACTGGATTTGTAAGTTTCCAACTATTTTAAACCCATTTTTAATGTTTGATTTAGCATTTTATTGTGACTCTCTGTTACTTTTTTTAGGCAAAAGACGCTTATTGCGCCGAACAAAGAAAAATTGCATCGGCTGCTCTAGAGCAACTGGAAAACATAAAAAATATCGTGGAGGAACGTGACAACCTTCGAAAAAAACTCGAAAATTCACAACATGAACTCGCCCAACTCAAGGTAAGCTTTCATTTATAATAATTTTGAAAAATTATTTGCAGTTACTGTGTAAAGATATCTCGCTATACCAAAAAATTAAAAGGCTTGCTAACGTCAATATAAAGCTAGGTTCATATGCATTCCAATTGCGAAATGCTAATTGCGATATCTAACTAAACTCGGCACAAAATTCCGCCACCCTAAAATTTTGACTAAGTTTGATGTTTTATAACTTTTTAATTTGTAAGCCGATTTTTATGATTATAGTATTAGTTTGTAGATAAATTTGTTGCAATTATTTTTTATTACTTTAAGGGCTCATATATTTCGGTTAGGTGAGCATATACCGGGGTAAATCAAAACTTTTCAACAAACTTTCATCAAACTTTTTTTGCAATAAATTCAAAACACCCTGTAGAAAAAATGGGACGGGCATTTTGGATAAAAAATACTTTCCCGTAATCTTAGATGTATTCCTTACATTTCATTTTACGTTTGGGCTATACATTTTTAGGTAAAGTATTGATATTTTTACAATCTTGAATTTGTTGAAAATTGAGCTCTTAATGCCCAACGTTATATTGAGGATGTCCTCCAAGAAATTGTCGTTCCATTTGCTCCTTTCGTTGGAAATCAGTTTATGATGCGTGATAATGCCAGGCCCCACGTTGCGCGGTGTAACGAGTTACGAGTACGAGTATTAACGAGTACCTGGATGGGGTTGGACTACGAAGTTTACGAAGAAGAATGACCTCCTTGTAGTCCCGACCTCAATCCAATCGAACATTTGTGCGATGAACTTAAAAGAGCTGTTCGTCGTCGTCCTATTCCACCGCAAACTTTACAAGAGCTATGGCTAGCAGCCTTAGCTCTTGTAAAGGATTTTCTTGATTTAGCTTGATATTTAACAAGCTATAGATCAAGGACGAATAAATACCGATATTCATTCGATAGGACAAATACCTCGAGCTGTTATTGCTGCGAGAGATGGACATACACGCTATTAAAATTATTATAAAATTATTGTTTTTGTCAATAAAGCAATCACTGAAATCAATACTTTACTTAAAAATGTATAACTCATAAAAAATAGAGATAATGGGATAATTCAAAAAATGAAATGTTAGGAATACATCTAAGATTACAGGAAAGTGTTTATTATCCAAAATGCCCATCTCATTTTTTGCACGGGGTGTTCTGAATTCATTGCAAAAAACAACGTTTTGATTTATCCCGGTATAAACCCACCTAACCGAAGAATATGAGCCATTAAAATAATAAAAAATAATGCCAATAAATTTGTCTTCACATTGATACCATAATCATAAAAATGGGATTACAGAATAAAAAGTTATGAAACATCAAACTTAGTCAAATTTTTTTGGGTGGCGAAATTTTGTGCCGAGGAGTATATCTATTTAAACATCTTCCATCGCTTTACATGGGTCTCCTCGAATCTCTTCCTATTTTCTCTGTCTGACGCCATCTAATGCCTACATGTTTCCTCAGATCGTCCGCCCACCTCATCTGAGGTCTTCCTCCAAGGACTGTATATATCCTAAAGGACTTTTCGATCGCGTCAAATCGCCGTTATCGTAGTCACCGTGGATGCTTAAGTCACGCAGGGACCAGCGCTCCACAGTGCGGCGGATGGTTATTCTAGCGGGACAAAATCTCAGGAGCGATATTATATGGTTGGTTGATAAAAATGTATCGAAACACAAAGAATATATACGACCAAAAAATAATTCATGCATTTTTATATTAATTGGAATGCCTACTATTTATTCTTATCAGTACACATTTTTGGCTTATTTCTAACCAAACGGTTTTGTCCCGCTAGATTTATCTTCCGCCTCACTGTGCGCTCGTCCGTCAAACGCAAAAATAACTGTCACTGTCTAAAATCTTTAGCGCGAACTTCAACTCGGTCCCTAGAAAACGGAAAAAAACTGACAGTACAGGAAGATAGGAATCGAACTATCCTTATCTCTATAGTATCATTGGTCTTCCTCTACTTCTTTTATTTTCCCAGGGCCTCCAGTTTATGATGCATTTGTTCCATCGATCGTCCCTTTGTCTGCAAACTTTTTGACTTTGACCGGCAAACTTTTGCTAGTTCTCTTCTACTCTTCTAACATCTCTGGCTTCTCTAACTATACCATCGTACTACAGTTCGTACCAAATAAACTTTTAGTTACGTGATTAAGCTTGACCGGCACAGCGTTGTCCGCTTCTATATATTTTCTTTTAATCAAAATATTTTAGGAATCAAAAATAAATTAATTATAAATATTGTTGTTAGGTTAGGTTAGTTATACTATTTACATCAACACAACTCACCTTCTTAACAGCACTTAAGAGACATAAAGGGCCATTACTACCGCTTTCCCGTTCAAAATATTCTAATAAAATTGCGATAAGTTTTTTACGACTATTAAGCTATCTTGTACACTTCGCACTAAAAGAGGTTCTAAAAGAACTATGTTCGACTGCAAGGTCTTCTTCGTCTTCTTCTTCTTCGTACGTTAAGACCAAGACCTGTGTTTTCTTCAATGGTTCCCTAAGAACAGTTTGGATGATGAAGACCAGCTTTCATACCACCTTGTAGGTGGTCGTCCCGGCGGTCGAGGCGTGTTGGGTCTCTTCTCCTTAGCAATTTTCGCTAACCGGTCGTTTGACATCCTGTCCACATGGTCTCTCCACTCTCTTCTCCTGTTTCTTGCCCATCTTACATACATCCTGTACTTCACATGTTTCACTTATATCCTCACTTCTTTTCCGGTCATATAAGGTATATCCTGTAATTGATCTTAATGTTTGCATTTCTGTTGTTCTTAGGAGCCGTTTTGTTGTTGTGTTCTCTGCTGTAGTCTCTATCACATATATGTCATAACTGGTCTCACGTAAGCCTTATAAATTCTAACTTTGCTTCTGACGCTCATATATTTATTTCGCCAAATTATATCCCTTAAATAGCCTGATATTAATGATGTCTTTGTTGTTTGGGTTTTTACTTCGTCTTTGAGATTCCTAGTGTTTGCTATATTTGACCCTAGATATTTAAATGACATCACTTGTTCTACACTCTTCAGGGATTTTTTTTTCACGGATATTTGCATGTTAAATAGTTTTGCCGTTTGTTGGAACTTATATAGAAGCTTTTGTAAGTTATCTTCGTCTTCAGATATGATTACTGCATCGGCAGCATAGCATATTATTTTTATTTCTTTATCTCCCAGTCGATATCTTCTCCCAGCTTGCTTTACTTCATTTATGATTTCGTCCATTACGATCGTTGTTTCGTCCATTACGTCGAACAGGGTTGGGCTTAAGCTATCTCCTTGTCTGATTCCGGTTGTCACAGCTATTTTTCTGCTTAATTTATTGGCCGCTCTTACATATGTGTAGTTCTCGACTGCAAGGTCTGGTAGTAAACATTTTCAAGCTTAAAGTATCACAATACTATTTATTTTATTTAAACCAAAAACTCGTAATACAAAACTAAAGATTACGCAACTAAAAGTGTAATTGATATGAAATATATATTTGAAGAACATTGTATTTTCTAGAAAAATCTAGAAGCCAATGTATCGGGTTTTGGAGATGCTGATAAGGTGGAACAGAAAGAAGCCCCACCACCCATCAAACCTTTGCGCACCTTAGTCAGTCCATTTCAACAAGATGATGAAATCGCACAACTCGAAGAGGAAGTTAAGGAAATGCGATCGACAAATCTAACCCCCGACCAAGAAACGAAAGTGATCAGAAAAGAAGTGGAAATGCTTAAAAGGTACTGCTCCAGGCTCTCGTCCATACAAGAAGAGAACGCCCAGCTGAAACAGCAAAACGCCGAGTTGCAAAAACGCTGTTTGGGTTCGGAGGAGAAACTTCGAACCCTCGGCTGCAACCAAACCAAAAACTTCGAAGAACTAAAGAATAAATTGCAAGTCCTGGACGAAACAGTAGCCGAAAGAAACGCTTTGCAGGACAGAGTGGAATATTTAGAAAAAGAACTGAGCGCTTACGAAGACCTACCGGAGGACATTGAGATATTTAAGAGGAGGTCTTTGTTACTGGACGACGTTCTCAAAGATCGAGATCGCCTGGCCAAACGCGTTGAACAAATGAGAGGAGTGGATGATAGCGTGATGTGCAACAAACTAAAAGCGGAAAGAGCGGATGAACTGGAAAGGCAATTGAGATTGGCCCACAAGGATCTGCAAGCCTGCGAAGACGAGCTGGACACTATGAGGAATAAGTGCACGATGGCGGAGATCGAGCTGCTCAACGGGAAGACGGAAACGGACACGCTCAAGTCGAAAATTGTTTGTATGGAGCACGAGATGGAGAGCTTGAAGTCGATGTGCAAAGAGCAGGAGCAAACGCATATAGAAAAAGAAAGGTTTGGTAGTTCTAGTATATTTTTTGCGGCCATTTCAATTTTCCGTTCAGTTTCAGTTCAGTTGTCAGTTATTGTATGTCTAAAACACAAAAAAATTACTGAGAAAAACTGAAACTGATACGGAGCTGCGGCTCGATGGATTTGCCAAAAGTTTGTGTATTAGTTATAAGTTAAAATGAAAAAATAATAAAAAATCAATGAGTAAAGAAATCACGTATGGGGCTACCAGCGCAAAAACGGCCTAACCCCAAAAAGTTTGTTTTTGCAAGTGCCATCTATCGTGAGGAGATTCCTCTTGTAAAAATAATATTTATTTTTCATATTAACATAGGTCCGATTCTGGGCCCGAATTATGTAACTTTAAAGAGAACTCTTTATTAGAAAACTCTCAGCGTATACTAGGGTCGGCATTTCTGGCCTTGAGTGCCGATTTTCTTGTGTACGAAGAGTACGTTCAACACGCTTAGTAAAATAAGATGTACTGAATATAGACGGAAGGCAAGTATTTTCCCAAGCGTATGGAATTTAGCGTTAGATTAAGTGGTTATGTAATAAATACTTCGTATTTTTGCTCTCTCCGACTTACTAGATTGCCATAGCAGCTCACTCCTATACATATAAACGCCGACCCAACGTTTCGCTTTCCAGCAGGGTATAACCATTAATTTTCGCTTATCGCGCACTTAACTACCGATTTGGGTATTCCCATCTGACGCTCTTAGCGTCTTTACACATTGCGCTAAGCGATTTAAAAACGGTTACCTTAAAGGGTCGCTTTGCTGGTCGAACTGTCAGTAAAAATAGAAAAACTGTGATTTTGTGCGTTCTCTTGCTCACTAGTTAAAACTATTTCTTCTTTTATCAGTTCCTCAATTATAAAATTTAAAAAAGGCGTCCATTGAACCCAAAGAGACCTGATTTGAAATACAAAAGCCAAAGCAATAAGACTCTAAGTCTCGGTCTCAACATTTAAGTGAACAACATTATAGTGTTGTTTTAATATAAGAGATGTAAATGTGTGTGGTGTGACCTTTTCTGTAAATTTGTCTGATGATGCTCGTGTGAGCGAAACACGTGTAACAATTTAATTTTTATCATATTAAATGTTGAGACCGAGACTTAGAGTCTTATTATTGCTTTGGCTTTTGTACCTCAATAATAAGTAAAGGATAATTTACCACCTGGCAGCTATATATAAATATTATTCAAAACATTGAAAATGCTGAGAAGGGTCTTCAACATTTTCCTCGTATAATAAGAATAATGTGGCCGGCCGTAGCTCCAGCGTTAGTGTATCGATCTGCGGAGCGGAAGGTACTGGGTTCGATCCCCAGCCAGTACGATCGCTTTAGTTATTTAAATAAAAATGTTTATTTATCTAAATAGAGCGACCAAGGAGCCACCACCTCAAGGAAGGCAATGGCAAACCACCTTGAGTATATTTGCCTTTTACAGCCTCTCAAATAGTGCCGTTCGGATTCGGCGATAAACTGTAGGTCCTGTGTACTTGTGAAACACTGATGACACACATCACAAGTACATGCGAGAGGTAGCCGACGCTCTATATAGAGTATGGCACTGTAAGAAGAAGAATAAGAATAATGACATATTCATAGAAAAATAGGTTGACATAACTCAACAATAGGTTATTAATTTCATGTAACATTGGCATTTTTCGTCGTTTTATCCCAAGGACTGTATATATTCTAAAGGACTGTTCGATCGCGTCAAATCGCCGCTATCGTAGTCGCCGTGGAATGCTACGTCACGCGCTGACCAGCGCTCCACAGTGCGGCGGATGGTTATTCTAGCGGGACAAAATCTTGGGGCAATGTTTGGGACTTAAAATCAGAAACGAAAAAAAAAAACGAAAGAAAAACGAACGTAGAACGTAGAACGTAGAACATAGAACGTAGCAAATGGTCTAATATATAGCAACTATATGGTTAAATTTATTTATTTATTAACAACTTAATTTAATAATAAATAAATACAAGATAATAAAACTATGATATTATTCGTACATGACACACAAAAACCGTATTAGAAACTATTGCCAAATACATAAAATTATGATATCAAGTGAAATACTTACAAAAAACTCTTTAGCAGTTATTTTTTAATTACTTTGTAATCTTGTGACACCCTCTATATTTTATTTTAAAAAATTATATTTTATTTTAAAAATATTAATTAAGATAGATATTTTAATTTTAATTTTAAAACACTCGGTAATTGTAAATTCATATATAGTAAGCATCTAAGACAATTTTTTAAACTCAGTGCCTTTTCATGGAGTTGTTTTGTTTTTATACTATCCGATTGAAATGAAACTTTTTGGGCATTCACCTGTTAAGCTTGAACTCGCTGTGACTGTGACTACCTGTGTTGGTAACTATTGGTAACTCAAAAGATCTACATCATTCAATATATCTATATGTGAAAAAAAGTAAAAGTTTGATATCTGCAGAACAAAGGCACGAAGGATTTTAACAAATAATATACGTACAGTAGAAAGTTACATACCTTTTGCAATCTTCAACATAATTTGGCTTTGGAATAAAATGTATAAGCACTTGTAAATATTTTGTTTTCGTATGATCTCTGCCTTGCTGAGCAGAAAACGACCAAATTTGGTTGATAAAAATGTATCGAAATACAAAGAATATTCATGCATTTTTATATCAATTGGAATGTCTACTATTTATTCTTACAGTACACATTTTTTGGCTTATTTCTAACCAAACGCTTTTGTCCCGCTAAATTTATCTTCCAACGCACTGTGCGCTCAAATGCAAAAATAACTGTCACTGTCTAAAATCTTTAGCACCAACTTCAACTCGGTCCCCAGATGACGTAAAAAACTGACAGTGCAGGAAGATAGGAATCGAACTATCCTTATCTCTATAGTATCCTTGGTTTTATCCTAAGGTTTTATCCACATTTGACTATTGGTAAACTATTATATACCTGAGAAATTGCGACGGTGCCAATATGTGCTCAACGCTTATCCAGAAAACGATTCGCATGGCAACAATAATACCAAAATCGATTGCTTGGCGTTCCGCTAATCGAATATTTTCGCTTGCCGCTTTGAAAGCGTAACGTTTTATGTCAAAGTTCCAGAATTCGGACCGTTTTGTTTTATAGCTACAGGAGGTTAAAGTCTTTGTCTTTTTTCGTTTTATTATAATTTTCTTCCAAGTGCATTCGACTGAAATTTTGAAGGTCAAACAACGCAGAATCGTGTTAATATGAAAAATAAATCTTCCCCACGAGAGATCGCACATGTTTTTTGAAACACCCTGTATTTAATTAATTCTTTATTTTTTTGAAGATTACAATCTAGCTTAGACGAACTAATACGAATGCAAGACGATTACGACCACATATGTCTACAAATGAAAGGCATGGACGTGGTGAAAGCGGAAAGAGATAGATACAAGAGGAAATACGAAGAGCTGCTGGAAGTGGAGTGCGAATGCCAAGCCCTTAGAGAAGCTTTAGAAAAAGCCAAGGCCATTGAAGAAGAGCGAGATGCATTGTCGGAACAGAACGAAGTTCTCGACAAATGCATTACGGAGCAAGAAGAAGAAATTAAACGACTCGTTTGTCACATCGACTGTTTGGCTGAAGGCAAAGAAAAACAAAGCGTAAAAATGAAAGCGGTGGTCTCAAATCTCAAACAGGAATTAGAAAAGAAAGAAAGTCTGCTGGCCCTGTCCGAAGAGAAAATGGAAACTATAAAAATCAAAGTGGACGAGTCCCTCAGTAACCTAACCGAAGAAACTAAAATTCTAAGAGATAAAAACAAAGCCCTAGAAAAAGAATTAAATAATCTAAGTGCTAAAAATGGAAAACTCGAAGAGAAACTTCGAACAATGTCCGAGAGAAATGATTCTTTAGTCAAAGAATTAAAAAGTAGGGAAAGAGTTATCGCTACCATGGAAGAGGTCCTCAATGACAGAGAATCAGTTCAGGACACGAACAAATCCCAACAAAACATGAAGGAAATTACTAAGTTACAAGACGAACTAGCTAATGCCCACCTTGAAAACCAAAGACTCCAACAACTGGCGGCCAAGAGCGAGGACGCCACGGGACTAGCGAACAACCAACTGAAATTAATGTTAGAGCAATCGAGATCGGCGGTGGAAAGAATCGCTCAGGAATTAGAACAGCAGTACACTGACTGGGATTGTCGGATACCTTACAGGTGCTGTCCCGGATGTAACTGTAAAAAGAAAAAGCAAACGCCAGAACCGAGAGTGATAATAAGGTGTTGCGCCGGTTGCAACTGTAAAAATAAAACTAAAAAACCCCAACAAACTCCCGATTACGGACAAACAGAACCATCAAGCAGCAAAAAGGAGGCTCCACTCAAAAACAAATGCATCTGTAATAAAAAGAAAGCTTCCACTAGTCCACAGAGAGAGTGCATAAGTCCATCGACTTGTCCGGCAATGGCCAAAAGCATGAAACTCCTTCTAGAACCAAACGATGAACCGGACGAAGACCAAATGTACACTGCTCGATCTGTCGAAGAAGGTAAAACCAAAATTGCCGAGTTGGAAGAGGAACTGAACAAAGCAAACGATGTAATTCTTCAGCTACAAAACAAGCTGGCAGCGGCGGAAAAGTTATCGGCTGAAAACGACGCTCTCAAAAGACACTCGACCGAAGTTCAAGACGTGGCCAAAGACCAAATCGAAGAACTGGCCAAGCTTTTGAAAAAAGCCCAAGAGAGAGTTACCGCTCTTGAAACGAGAAATTGTGCTTTAAAATTCAAGCTCGCTAAGTGCAGAAAGTCGGAGGCTTCTGCAGAACTTGTAGAAGACATTGGTTTAGAAGAAGCTCCAGAAAGAAGTATTCTTAGTTGCTTGCAAACAGATCTAGAAAAGTGTCTGAAGGAGAAAGAAACTTTACTAAGTCTCGTGGAGAATCTTAAGAAACAGTTAGCAGCAACTCAGGAAGGAAGTGACCTACCGGACTTGGCCGCATTCGCTAGTCTAGAATCAGACCTAGAACAATGTCTTAAAGAAAAAGAAAGGTTCATAGCGGAGATCGAGACTTTAAAGAAAATGCTAAAAGAAACATCCACGTCGGGAGATGAAGATTTGTTCGCAAATATTAAAGCAGATTTGGAGACTAGCTTACGTGAAAAAGAATCATTGCTAAAGACCATAAAACAGTTACAAGAACAACTGGCAGGTGAAACTACCGAAAAATTACCGGATATGGGTGAATTTACAGAGCTAAAACTTCAACTAGGTACGGTAAAAGGTAAACTCGAAGAATGCTTAGCTGAAAAGGAAAATCTATTAAAAACAATAGATGATTTAAAAAAGAAGCTCGCGGCAGCTGCTATCCCTGTAGATACAGATATGGATAAATATCTGGATAAAGATATGGATAAAGATTTGAAAAAGGATTTCGAAAAATTGAAAAGTCACTTAGAACATTGTGTTAGAGAGAAAGACGAATGTTTAGCTGATAAAGAGAATCTACTAAAAATGATAGATGAATTAAAAAAGAAGCTCTCAGATTCTGAAAAATTACCCGGTATGAATCAATTTGCTGAACTAAAAAAAGAATTGGAGAATTGTTTATGCGAAAAAGAATTATTGCTGAAAACCATAAAACAGTTGCAAGAAAATCTAGCAGGAGAAACAACTGAAAAATTACCAGATTTGGGTGAATTTGCAGAGCTAAAAAGTCAATTATTGACGATAAATAACAAACTGAAAGAATGTTTAGCCGAAAAAGAGAATCTATTAAAAATAATAGATGATTTAAAAATTGACACAGGTAAAAAGAAGCTCTCATGTGCTGACAAATTACCCGGTTTGACTCAACTTGCAGAGCTGAAAAAAGAACTGGATAATTGTTTACGTGAAAAAGAATTATTGCTGAATACCATAAAACAGTTGCAAGAAAAACTAGCAGGAGAAACTACTGAAAAATTACCAGATATGGGTGAATTTGCAGAGCTAAAAAATCAATTAGAGACTACCAAAAACAAACACAAAGAATGTTTAGCTGAAAAAGAGAATCTACTTAAAATAATAGATGAATTAAAAATGAAGCTCTCAGATGCTGATAAATTATCTGACTCTATAGAACTAAAGAAGGGTTTGGAGAATAGTTTACGCGAAAAAGAATTATTGCTTAAGACCATACAACAGTTGCAAGAAAAGCTAGCAGGAGAAATTACTGAAAAATTACCAGATATGGCTGAATTCGCCAAGCTAAACAATCAATTAGAGATGGTAAATAACAAACTCAAAGAATGTTCAGCTGAAAAGGAGAATCTATTTAAAATAATAGATGATTTAAAAATGAAGCTCTCAGATGCTGATAAATCACCTGATATGGCTCAATTTACAGAGCTAAAAATCGAATTGGAGAATTGTTTACATGAAAAGGAATTATTGCTGAAGACCATAAAACAGTTGCAAGAAAAACTAGCAGGAGAAAGTACTGAAAAATTGCCAGATATGGGTGAATTTACAGAACTAAAAAATCAATTAGAGACGATAAAAAGCAAACTCGAAGAATGTTTAGCTGAAAAGGAGAATCAATCAAAATTAATAGATGAATTAAAACAGAAGCTCTCTGCAAAAGAAGCTGTTGTCCCTGTAAAATTACCCGATACGGGTGAATCTGCAGAACTAAAAAATCAACTAGAGAAGATAAAAAACAAGCTCGAAGAATGTTTAGCTGAAAAGGAGAATCTATTAAACATAATAGATGAATTAAAAAAGAAGCTCTCGGCAGCTGCTATTCCTGCAGATACAATTATGGATAAACATATAGATAAAGATTTAGATAAAGAGTTGAGAAAAGATTTCGAAAATTTAAAAAGTCAGTTAGAAAACTGCCTTAGAGAGAAAGACGCCCTTTTAAAAACAGTCGGTGATTTAAATTCCGAAATACGCAAACTCAAAAAAGAAAATGAAGACTTAGATAAAATGTTAACAAGTAATGTTAAGACGAGCACTAGCAGAAGCTCCAAATTAGAAATAGAATTAGAAAATGAACAAAACAAAACGAGAAGACTTAGCTATGATAGTCAAAAGCAAAGTCAATTAAATAAAGAATTGGAAGAGAAAAATAGCAGTCTTCTTAAACAGATTGCGGACCTAAAAAACGAAAATAGTCGTCTAAAAGACGAATTAGCTAGATGTAAAGAGGAAAATATGAAACTACACGACGAAATACGCGATTTAAAGAAACAGATTCCCGATAGCTCAACTTTAAATGCACTAAAAAATGAAAGAGACAATCTCTTAAAACAACTGGAAACTAAAGAAGAGGCCTTAGAAAGAATTAAAGCCCCCGTTGTATCCAGTGCCGTAGCCGAAAAGGACTCCAAGGAGAAAGAAGCACTACAGTCCACCATCAACGACTTAGAAAGTCAATTAAAACGTATGGCAGAAGAAAAGTCACGGTTTGAAGCACCGAAACCGTCCGACGATTATAAATCGAAAATCGAGGAACTCACAAAACGATTGGAAAAAGCCCAAAAGCGGGCGGATTTGGCAGAGGAAGGGTTAATAAAATTGAAAGCCAGCGACCCAACAGCTATGATGAACGCCGAAATTCAAAAACTACACAACAAAATCGAGCAGCTCGAAAAGGAAATCCAGAATCTCGAAGCAGCTTTAGCGCAAGCCAAAGCCGAAAACGATAACTTGAAGAAATCCCTAGAGGACGCACGAAACGAAACCAAAAAAATGAAGGAGGACAACGACTTGTTGCGAAACAATCTCGAGCTCAGCAAGAACGAGAAAGATAAACTAAATAAAGAATTGCAGGAGATGAAAAATGAAGCATCAGGTGACTCCAGCTTGAGGGACGAGAATGACCGGTTAAAAAAGAAAATAGCAATGTTAGAAGGCGACATCTCTAACCTACAAAAGGAATTAGACCGGGCTAATAACGAGGCCAAGAAGCTTAATCAAATTTTAGACGAGAACAGAGACCTAAAAAAGAGTCTCGCCCAACTCGAAGGCGAAAACGCCAAACTGAAAAAGAATCTCGAAACGGCCCAACTGGAGCATGAAAAATCCACCCATAAGTTAGGCGAATTCGAAAGGGTTACCGACAAATTTAAACAAGTCAACAAAGAACTCGAGAACGAGATAAATCTATTGAAAAAAGAATTGGACAACGCTTTAAACGATTCAAAGAAAAGCGTCGGTAATATTTCGGATCTAGAGAAAGAAATCGCCGAGCTAAAGCATAAAATTGCCCAATTGGAAAGTACCAATTCAAAATTGGAAGGCGACAACGCCAAAGTAAAGAAGGAACTTGAACAGGCCAAAGGAGGGTCGAAAGCCGTCACTGAACTACAAGACGAAAACGCGAAATTGAAGCAACAAAACGCGCAAACGCAAACAGAACTTGATAGACTACGTAGCGAGCTCGAAAAGGCACTAGCCGACGCGAAAGCGAAACGAGACAAGGCCAAAGAAATCGAAGGCGACCTGGAAAAGCTCAAAAAGCAAGTCCAGTCTCTGGAGAACGAAAAGGGCGACTTGGCAGGTAAACTGAAAACAGCACAGGACGATTCGAAGATGAGCGACCTTCAAGACGCTTATAACAAATTAAAGTTAAAACTTGCCGAAATAGAAAATGAAAATTCGAAATTAAACAAGGACTGTCAGAGGGCTATGGACGAATCTAATAAACTAAAGGACGAAGTAAGTCAGTTGAAAGAGAACGAAAAGAAGCTGAAGGACAAAATGGCCCAAAGCGAAAGTGAAAATAGCAGCCTAAAAAAGAACTTGAATTCGGCTTTAGATGAGTTGAAAATAATGAAAACGGAAGTGGGAGGTGCGCAAGGCGAAGAGGCTAAACTAAAGCAAAACGTCGGATTCCTTGAAACCGAAAACGGTAAGCTTAAGAAAGAATTAGCGAACGCTTTAGAAAACGCTAACAAGGCTACCACCGAATCGTCCGCACTGAAAGAAGAAAACGCGAAACTTAAACAACGCGTCGCTCAGCTGGAATCCGAAAACGCCAAACTGAAATCCGATTTAGATTCCGCCCTTAATCAACTGAAGAAGGCTAAAGAATCTGTTAAAGAACTTACAGACGATAACAACAAATACAAACAAAGAATAGGTGATGCCGAAAAAGAACTAAAAAATGCTCAAGTAAAACTTGATTTGCTCGAAAAAGAACCGAAAGGTCCGTCTGAAGCTGATAAACTAGGTAAACAGCAAGTTATCGATGAACTGAGTAAACTGAAAAAGGAACTCGAAGCGTCTAGAGCTCAAGCCAGTAACAACGGGAAAGAACTCTCCCAGTGCAAAGACGAAAATAACCGATTAAAACAAAACATTAAAAACCTAGAAAACGAAAATGCCAGACTGAAAAAAGAGCTAGAAGATGCTTTAAATAATGCCAAAAATGCCGAAAAACAACTGGCTCAGTTACGAGACAACGAAAGCAAACTGAAAGACAAACTAGCAAAGCAAGAAGCAGAGCTAAACAAACTGAAGAAGGAAAAAGACGATCTTGCAGAGCTACTTAAAAAAGCTGACGCGACTGCCGCCGAACTGGCTAGACTTAAGGACAGCGAGAACAATCTAAAACAAAGAATAGCTAAACTGGAAGCAGAAAATGCTAGAGTGAAACTCGAACTGGACAACGCCGAAGGCGACATCAAGAAATTGGAATCTGAACTGGCCACTGTAAAAAGCGAAGATGCTAAACTTAAACAGGAATTGGCCAAAGCGGAAGGCGAGAGCAGAAGATCTAAAAGGAACGTAGAAGACGCTCTCGCTGAAGCTAAGAAAGGAACAATGGGATTAGACGATTTAAAGGAAGTAGAAGACAAACTCAAGCAACGCGTCGCTCAATTAGAAGCGGAAAATAAAAAGCTAAAGGCCGATCTCGATGGCGCGTTAAACAGAGCGAAGAAAGCTACAGACGACGTGTCCAAAATTCAAGAGGACGACGGCAAATTGAAGCAAAGACTGGCCCAGTTGGAAATGGACAACGTAAAAGTGAAGAAAGATTTAGATCGAGCACTAGCTGAGGCTAAATCGCGCGTAGGAGCTACCGATGAAATAAAAGGTGAAAATAACCGGCTTAAAGAAAAAATTCCCAAACTCGAATCGGATATCAACAAGCTAAGAAAAGACTTAGAAGCTGCATTAAACGACGCCAAAAATAAAACAGTCGGCATGTCAAAGCTCGATGACGAAATTAAAAATCTAAAACAAAAAATTGCTCAGTTGGAAAAAGAAAACGATAAATTAAGAAGAGACTTGGAGGCCAGTTTGAAGGATAAAAAAGCGGAAACGGAGAGCATAAATAAGCAGCGAGATGAGAATAAAAATCAAAAACAGAAAGTTATGGATCTCGAAATAGAAATTGAGCAATTAAGAAAAGAAATGTTTACCATAAAGGCTCTGCCACAGGCGAAACCGATTGACGATGTAAAGTCCAAGCAACAGTTGGAAAAAATAGAAAAGTTAGAGAATGATAACAACAAGTTAAAGAAAGATCTCGATTCCGCGCTAAAAGAGGCCCAAAAGATTCCCAAACTTCAAGAGGAAAACGCAAAACTCAAGCAAGAAATCGCTAAATTGCAAGCGGAAATTGACAAATTAAGAAACAATTTAAGCGCTGCCGAAAACGAGAAGAACAAGAAAGCGGGCGATTTGTTCAAAGCCAAAGACAACGAGGCAGCCTTAAAACAGAAAATTGCCCAACTTGAAGCGGAATTGGCCAAGAAGAAAAAGGAGTTGGACGATGCCAAGTCTTCTGATAAAGCGCTGAACGATCTAAGGGGCGAAAACAAAAATTTGAAAGATAAAATTAACGACTTACAAAACGAAATTGCGAAATTAAAGAAACAACTGGCTGCTGCAGAAGAAAAAGCGGGTTCGGCAGGGCCCACGGATGACACCAAGCCTTTAAAAGACGAAATCGCGACACTAAAACAAAAAATCGCCAACCTGGAGGGCGAAAACGCCAAGTTGAAACAGAAACTTGACGATGCTAAGAAGGACGCAATGACCGCTGAGGTGGCGGCGAAACAAACTATCGAAAAGCTACAGGCACAACTTGCCGACATGAAAAACAAACTACAAGAGGCGGAAAAGCGTAACCGAAATCTTTCCGAAGAAAATGCGAAGCTAAAAAAGAAAATCGAAAGTTTGGAAAAGGAAATTGCCGATATAAAGAAGGAACTGCAGGCCGCCAAAGACTGGTTAAATAAAACTACGGAAGATTTGAATAAAATGAAAGACGAAAATGGTAAACTGAAAAGCGAAAACGATAAACTTACAAACAATCTGAAAAGCGCCAAGAATGAACTGAACGAAGCTTTACGTGCCCAAGAAAAACTTGCCGGTAAGTAATAATAAACACACAGCGGTTGTTTAGACAATTATTTACCGTAGGTGTAATAATAACCGAGTTATCACCCTGTTAAGGGTTTTTTTTATTTTTCGAAAACTAAATAGCAACTGTAAAATAATGGCAAAAGAACACATTTTTCGAAGAAAATGAATATAACCGTTTTTAAAGTGTTTGAAAAGACCTTTTAAATGCTTTTTTGAGGTGACCATTTTATTTTTATCATAACTCCGCGAGTTTCTGAGCTACGAACTTTAAATCTTCATTTTTGCTTTATGTAAGTTTTACTATAAAACGCAAGGTTTTCGAGTTATAAAAAATATTATAATTTAAATAAGTTTATAAAAAATGACAGAAAAATATGCAATTTTAGATAAAAAATCAACATTTTCAATCCTAAATATCTAGGAAAATATTAATTTTCTGAAAAAATGTTATAGCTCTATTCACTGTTAAAATTTCACGTCAATCGGTGCAGGTGTTTTTGCAGTCCACAGTTCACACAGCTTTTTAAGTTTTTAATGCCACTTTTTTACAATTATTATCACGGGTTTGAGTAAATAAAATGTAAATTAAACTCACACGAGAAAATTATTTCTGTTCTTGTTTGCGATTAATCTTAGCAACCATAGCAACCGTTATAGCAGCGCCCTACAACGGTATGCGCTCCAAAACAATTATAAGATTTGGCGGCAAGCCGAGCATTCCAATCTAAACTTCATTTTCCTTTATCTATGACAAAATGTAATTATCAATATGAAATTACGACTCACCTAAGCCACATCGTGATATTGAAAAATATTATCAAAAAGTAATGCTAATAATTGAAAAAATTGCAAATTTTCAAGGAGTTGTTAGGTTACCAAGGAGTTGTTAGGCTAACATGATCCAAAAAACATAATGCTCAGAAGACATAGTTTTGACAAAAATAATGTTTTAGGAATATTTGCTAACGAAATTATTGCACAGGGTGTCTTAAAGTTAGGGTAAAAAACAACTCTTCGATTAACCCTGTATAATAAAACAAATACTAAAGTTAATAAAAAACTGAGTTTATAAAATAAAGTAGATATATTTATATTCAGTTTGCTAAAAAAATCATAAAAGTAGGACTGAAAATTAATAATAAAAAAAATTAATACTTTAAATTTGCCGAAGAAAATCACAGTTGCGTTTTTTTGCATCTGAGTGCATTGAAGTGTCAAAATACGCAGCATTTTTTCATAAATAAACCCGCCATAAAGGCACAGCCCGTTATTTAACTTTATGTCGATACAATCTTATTTATTTTAGACTACCAAAAAGAAATCGACGGCTACAAGAATCAAATTAAGAACCTACAAGCGGAACTAGCAAAACAGAAGAAAGAATGCCAAGATCTCATCGAGTCTTTGAAAAAACAGTTCGAAAGAGACATTAAGAACCTAAAAAAGAAAAACGAAGACAACATCAGTCAGCTGCAGAAAGCTCAGGGCGACTACGTTAAAGATTTGAACGACAAGCACGATAAGGAAGTAGCGGCGCTTAGGGAGGCCATCGAGCAACTAAGGGCTGAGCTTCAGAAGGCACTGAGAGAGCGTGACAATTCGAAAAGCCTGCTGGACGAGCAAAAGAGGAAAAGCCTCGACATCAAGGAAAAGGTGTTCTTCTTCTTTTTCTTTTACGTACTTGAGATCTTTCGATCTGAAAAAATAAATTCTCATCTGGGACTGATGGGCTTACTCTCAAAATGTTCTCTGAACTTCCGGAATGCACATTAATCTATCTTACTACTCTAATTAACGAGTCATTCCAAAAAGGTGTTTTTCCAAACTGTCTTAAGACAGCAATAATTATTCCTCTGCATAAAGGAGGAGATAAAGATCAAGCTTCAAACTATCGCCCAATTGCTCTCCTGCCCACATTATCTAAGATCATTGAAAGATTGGTTAAAAAAAGGCTTCTATCTTTTCTCCTTAAATATAAAGTACTTTCGACCCATCAATTTGGATTTCTAAGTAACAGTTGCAAAAATGATGATATGTTCGACCTTTTTAATAATGTATACTCTAGCCTGAATAACCATCACTCTACAGCCACAATTTTCTGTGATTTCTCTAAGGCTTTCGACTGTGTAAATCATAATATCTTAATTAACAAATTGCAATACTATGGATTCAGGGGAGTGCCGCTCGAATGGCTTAAGTCGTATCTTGGCAACAGAAGGCAGCTTGTGAGGATTGATACGTCTATGTCTTCTTGTAAGCCTATAGAATGTGGTATCCCTCAGGGTTCAGTACTTGGCCCTATTTTGTTTCTGCAACTCGTTTATCAACGACATTGCAAATCTAGACATTAGCGGTAAAATCTGCCTCTTTGCGGACGATACTAGTTTCACTTGGAGCGGCCCAGATGTTAAGGCACTATATAATACTATATCCAGTGACTTACACACCATTAAATCTTGGTGCGATTCTAATCTCCTATGCCTCAACCTTTCAAAAACTAAAGTTTTGTCATATAAAAGTACTATACAACCTTTTGTACTTAATAACACCACTATTGACGTCGTGGACTCTGTGAGATTCTTAGGACTTGTTGTAGACAACTCGTTAAAATGGGACTTGCACATCGAAGCTTTATCAAAGAAACTAAGCGCTGCCTGTTTTGCGCTAAGATCAGTTTCTAAGGAACTTAACTCATCAACCTCTAGAATGGTCTATTATGCCCTTTTTGAGTCGCATCTTCGTTATGCCCTTCCATTCTGGGGTACTTGCTGCGCGACAAAATTTGATCGTATTTTCAAACTTCAAAAGAGAGCAGTTCGATACTTATTGGGACTAAACAGTAGAACTCACTGCCAGAATTTCTTTAAAAATTTCAAAATACTGATTCTTCCTTCCTTAATTTTTGAATCCGTTTGCTTAATCCGCAAGCACATTTTCTCTATTCCGGAAAGGCCTTCTCACAACTATCCACTTAGGAATGCGGAGCACGATATTTATCTGCCAACCCCGAGCTCAGAACTAGTTAAGGGCTCAATACTGTACAATGCCAAGAAAATGTACAATCATTTGCCTTCGAATATCAAGTCACTTTCATTCTTTCCCGCATTTCGCAAAGCTCTGAAATCATACTTACTGGAGAGAGCCCTATATGCGGTAAACGACTTTTTTGTTGATGTTTAATCATGAACAATTTTGAATTTTAAAATTTTGATCATCTTACACACTGGTTAAAGGTCTAGTATTTTTTTGTAGCGTTGTTTTTTTTTTGTTAATTTTAAGGTTGCCTCTGTAGGAGTTCTTGGGAGATGGACTGCCAACTGTCCTTCCATCTTTTTGGAGGTATTCCCGGCTGTCCCTTACCCATGGGTTTCCCTTCAAGAGCTATGCGTGGTAGCCTGTTTTCTTCCATGCGTTTTACGTGTGCGAACCATTGTCTTTTTCTTTGCCTACCCCATCTCATTACGTCCTGTATTCCACATTGTTGTCTGATGTTTGTGTTTCTAATTCTGTCTCTTCTAGTCTTCCCCATTATGGTTCTTAGGTTCTTCATTTCAGCTACTCTTAACATGCTTTTGGTCTTGTTTGTTTCCTCTCGGATTTCTATGCCATATGCCATTATTGGTCTAATGGGGTTTGTCCAAACTATTTGTCTCAGACATCCTGGCCGTTGGTTGCTCTGTTTATCTGGCTTCTCAGATCTTTCTCTGGATTATGGTAGTGCGACATATCTATTCCTAGGTATCTGAACTGTGATACTTGCTCAATAATTTTGTTTTCTACTAGCAGTTTGCATCTTACAGGCTCTTTAGAGAAAGTTAAACATTTAGTTTTTTTTTCTGTAGAGATAATCATATTTAATTCTCGGCTTACTGGATAGAATTTATGAAGCTATCTCTGCATATCGTCCTCTGCGCAATAATGGCTGCATCATCAGCGTAACACACCATGCTAACTCTGTTGTGTCCCATTCGATAACCGATATTCATCGAGGTCACCTTTTCTATCATGATGTCCATTAAAAGACTGAATAAGAAGGGACTAATACTAAGGCTGTCTCCTTGTCTAATGCCTCCTGGTGTTGGTATGTCTCGTGTTAGATTATTAGCTTTCACTTGAGTTGTGTTATCAATATTTACATTTCTGTTTCTGTTTATAATGTCAGATAGGCGTACTTTATCGAATGCTTTAGTCAAGTCGATGAAACAGATATAGTCTGGTGTATTAAATTTTATTGCTTATTCTTTTTAAAAAGGTGTTCGAAGTGGAGAAAGTCATCTCGAAGGAGCGACGACGCAGCAAAGAGTTCGAAAAGAGACATAGCGATTTGAAGGCTATGTCGGCCGCATTGGAGGAGGAGATCGTTAAAGAGAGGAAGGCCTCCGAGCAAATGGCAAAGGAAAACCAAGAACTGAGCCAGAAATTGGAAGAATTGAAAAAGCGAAAAGATGTTGCGCCTTCTCAAGTCAAAGAGGCACCGATAAAAACTGGTAAAGTAGCACCGGTAAGAGCAGCTAAAGAAGCACCGACGAAAACTGGTAAAGATGCGCCAATAAGGAAACAAAGTCTTTTAGAAGAGGTAAAATAACAAGAAATCCCCAGATTCTCTTGCATGCATTCTTCATTAAAATTGTTGCTTGTCCTAAAATGGTTAATCCCGTTTATACTACCCAAATCTCCATACTGTTTTAGAGAAAATTTAAAAAAAAACATGAAAATATGGTTGAATTTCCTAAAAATCAAAAGACGTTTCTATGGTAAGACAATTTATATTTCATTCTTTGATAGATTACCATAGAAACCCAGTTACTTTTAATTTTTTCTAAAGCGGTATGGAAATTTGGAAGAATATAAACGGCATTAAACCATTTTATATCAAACAAAATTTTTTATGAAGTATGCATTTTTCTCAAAATGTCAATAATAAAAAAGATTTTCCTCTTGTAAAGACAATCCGGAGACATTCTGTAAAACTATTACAGTGGAGGGTTGGAACCTTTGGTATTAAAACAGCAAAAGATTAATCACTAATTCACCACAATACACCAAAACTTTTTACTTTTTGCACTTTCGTTAACCATGTTTGCATCATCAGCAGATGATGAAGAAACCGAACCAAACCAAATCAAACTAACACTAGTTATGTCTGCAGCGTGTTCTGTAGAAGAAAATAAATTTAAAAAAATCGTATAAATGTATGTCTAAAATGCTTAGTTTCGGAGATACAGGGTAGAGGTTGCATTTTTATTTCGATTTTTCCAAATAATCTCTGAACTAAGGGCGATATTTGGATGAAAATTGGTGTATAGGTGTTTTTGCCTTGAGCAATTCTATTTTCATTTGATTTCGGTGTCAATATGACTCCTACTGGTAGGCAGCGCCACCTGTCTGTTTTCTTAACTGTTTTAAGGAGTAATAGCTTAACCTGTATTGTACTGAGTGAAAAGATATCCATTTCCGCCGGTTTTTTTTACATAAAAAAGGTCTTTTGGTAAAAATCGATACGAGCAACTGTTCTCAAGAGATTTGGATGGAAATTATCAATACATGTCATCACTGACAAAAAATAAACATGTTGACTAGACAGTTATTTAATTTTAAGGCGTCTATTAATCCCAAAGAGACCTGGTTTATAAATACAAAATACAAAGCAAAAAACTTTCAAACTGTCGGTCTCAACATTTATTATAAAAAGTCAAATTGTGACACGTGTTTCACTCGTGCGGTGTGACCTTAACTGTATATTTGGCTGATGATGCTCGTATTAGAGGTAGGAATTCTAGTTCCTTAGTTCTAGTTCCTCCAAAGGAATAGTTCCTTGAACTAGGTCTTTAGTTCGCAATAGTTCCCGACGTACATTGACATCCCCGCTGCTTGCTAATGGGTTTCGTTGTCAGTCAGAACTATTCACGGTATGATATGTATAATTTTTATAATGTACGGGAAATACATATAATGAGACGCGTAATTGAGTAATGTTAAAAACATATAGGTAAGTTTTATTGCAGATAAAAAAATTAAAAAAGAAACTCTATCAAAAAAACTAAATCAAAAAACAAAAAAACTATATCACAAATCAATTGGAACAAATAATACAAAAATTTTACGAAAAATTGAATTTTTTTCTCACTTCAGCCTTTTTGTTTTTGTCTTAAAATTCAGAATATCTACTTCGTATTATAAGATATTTCTTAATTTTAGGGACCTAAAGTGAAACATTCCCATAAAATATTCAAAAAACAAACTAAAAATGAAAAACAGTATCCACGACAATTGTCTGTGGTAATTACGCCGGCTGTGGCAATAGACAAGGTCGAATCCATCGTCGTCGGCTTGTGTTATATCTCGGATCTGCCGATTGAATAGATTCCCATGAACTAGTCTTTTAATTAGTCACTATAGTTCCTCTCAGTCCTTTCGGGACAGGTAACATACGACTGGTACTATCCGCTCCCGCCTAGCATCGGGCTACCATCGCTGTGACCGATCCGTACATTAAACTAGTCTTTTATTTAGTTCCTCTAGGTCCGGATCCGATAACATACGGCTGACACTCCCCATCCTGCTTAGCATCGAGCTACGATCGCGCTGGCCGATCCGTCGCATTTTATATATCTGTCACAGTCTCGATCCCGGAATAGATCCCGAGGAACTAGTTCTTTGAGAAACCGGGAACTAGTTCCTTTCATTCCGGGGTCGGAATAGTTCATTGGAATCAGTTCGTTGACGAACTACACACCTCTAGCTCGTATGAGTGAACACGTGTCACAATTTTACTGTTTATAATAGATGTTTAGACCCAGAATTTGAGCACAGATAACATAATCTTTGAGTCTTTTTGTTTTGTCTTTTGTAGAGAGTTATTTGGCTGAAATGATTGATTTGGGAGCTTTCTTTTTAATTAATCACAAATTTTCCTAGAAAAATTTATGATAGTTGCTGTTGAATTTTGCCATAAAAAATCCAGATTTATTATTTGAGTCCAATAACTATTTACCAAACGTATTTAATTTTTGTCAATAATGACACGTATTGATTATTTTGATTCCAAATATATTGAGAACCATTACTAATAATCATAGCGTTTTTTAACAAGAGGACTTTTTTACGTAAAAAACGGCAAAAATGTGTATTTTTTCACTCAGTGGGTTTAATACAGGTACGGACTTTTCACTCAATACAGAACATTTCTCATGTTAAAAAACACCCATACACCAATTTTCATCTAAATACCGATTTTAGTTCGGAAATTAATTGGAAAAATAATTTTAGGATATAAATTACCTAACCTAACCACCCTGTATATGTATTTTTTGGAAATCGTCTGTGGAAATCTTTCCTGTCTCGGTAGACACGTCATTATCATCCTAATTATGAGTACCTACGCGGATATAGTCAGTCCTAACAGAATATGATCTAATCGAAATAACTTAATAGGTAATGTCAAGTAGAATAATTGAAGAACTCAATATAGAAGAAAGGAGACCAAAACACGACAAACTAACGATGGCCACGTTTGAGACGGTGTCGTTAGCGCCAGACGTTATCCCTATAACAGCTCCACTGTCCGACAGAGCGCTCAGGTTTTATGGTAAACGACACTGCCCTTGTGGCGATACCTTAGACGAACTCTTGAGGAAAGCTGCAAGGAAAGGATTACCAGTAAGTGAAATTCATAATTGTGAATAATGAGCATTCGTGGATATTTTATGGACTGCACGTAAAGTTTTTCGGCATGACACTCCTCGTGAAAGCAATATTCCTATTATGCAAGATTCATGCAGTCTCCGTACCTCTATGAGAGTGCAATGGTATTTCAGTGTCAATTCTAATGTAATTCTTATAATCTTCAGGATAGCTTTTATTAACTGTTTCTGTCAGAGCGTCCGCACACGGGTCGTCTAGCTTTCGAAGCAGAAACGTTTCGAACTCCGAGCGAATCTCCCTACATTCTACCTTCCTAAGTAAATAATAGTATAGTATTTCAGAAGTCAATTGAAAATATTGAAACTCTTAATTTCGTTGTCCCGACGATGCCGACAAAGGCGGCAACAAAGACAGTGCCGAAATTAAGAGTCTCAATCTATTCCAACTGACTTCAGATAAACTATATCAATCACTTCGACTCCACGTCGACCGCCAAACGACCCGTTCGTAGATCCATAAAATAATAAACCATAGATAAAAGAAACAAGTTTAGATTGAAAAGTGCCCATAAAGACAATGTAAATACTATTTGTCCAAAAAAATCCTTTATGGGTATTTCGCCAGTGCACTGCAAGAAAATCTACAAAATAAACTAATTATTTTTGTAAGCACTTCTGCGTTAAACCTAAACGGACACTACTTGTCAGAAGTTATGTTTTCCGTCGTCGGAAGCAAAAAAAATACAAAAATTAAAGAAAAAAACTATTATGCAGTGGCGAAATACCCATAAAGGATTTTTTTGGAGAGATGAATCCGCCACATAGGTATAGACATTTTTTAAATACTATTTGGCGCTATTCTTGCAACGGTCGCTCTCCAAAGCTTTTGATAATTTCGGAGCGTTCGGCTTTTTTCGGAATTATATCGCCCAAATATTATTTATATTCAAATTTGTAATTATTTCCTTTTAATTTTTTAAATAAAATACAGTGTGTTGTATATACAGATTGTTAACTGGACAGTTACTTATAGGGCAAGAGAATCTATCGACGAGCGGGCCGAGGTGGCCATATTTCAACCATAAAGCTCTTGCCGCGAGTAATAAACAAATTAACAACCTGTATAAGAAACCCTACGAAACACTGGAAACGTTATGCCACAATCAACGATGGTTTTTGCAGTTCACAGTTCACAATGCTTTTTAAGTTTTTAATGCCACTCTTTCAGAATGATCACGGGTTTGAGTAAATAAAATTTAAATTAAACTCACAAGATAGCGATAATTACTTTCAAAATGGACGATTTAAACACTTTTCGGTATTTTTTCAATGAGGGCGGTTTAAATTTTAAAATATTTTATAATTTTTGAAGATTTTGACTTTTACAAGAGAAAATTATTTCTGTTCTTGTTTGGCGGTTGTTTTTAGCAACCGCTATAGCAGCGCTCTACAACGTATGCGCCCCAAAACAATTATAAGTTTTGGCGGCAAGCCGAGAATATAAATATAAAAAATATAGAGAATTGCATTGTTTCAGTATCCATTACTTAATTATATGCAGTTTTAAAGTAAATTAGTAAGGTATAAGCATGAGCTACAGTAATTTCTAAATAAATATACGTATTCACAGCCTTCAAGGACAGAAAACGGAAACACGATCATGAAATAAACCTAATTTCCCTTTTATATTTTAAAACTCATTTTAAAATAAAAGTTCCTCAAACAATGCACGACTTTTAATAAAAAGTTTGATCAAAATTTAACTAAGTGCATGGGTGATGCAGTTGTGCAACGGAACGTTGCGCATCGCTTTGTTGCGCAACTTGTTTGATAGTGTATGGGCCGCTTTAGAACAATTTTTATTAGATTCATTTAAAATGTCCTTATACTATGGACGGCTTTATTTTGTTTTAGTCGCTGTCTATCGAAGAGCTTCAGTTAATTCACAGACACTTAAGCGAAACTGCTGCTAATATGTTAGAGAGATCAGGAAAAGCTAAAGGTGTCTTGGAACCGAACGAAGCTGGGGATAGATTGTCTTTGCTGAGAAGAATTGCTGAACTGGAAGGGGACCTGATGATGAAACAGAGACAAACTCAGCAAAAAAGTAAATGTTGTACACACTTTTCCTTAATTTTCTTCAAACAATTTTGTAAATATTTTGAATATACATATGAAGAGATAATTTTATCTTATTTAAAAAAAATGTGTATTCACTATGTGCGCATATTTGAATTGAAACTTCTTACTAACAGCTATTTAATTGAAGAATTTGAAGAACATTTTTGAAAAAGTGACAGTAGTTAGAAATGTTAAAAAGGTAATAAATTAAAAAAATACTTTTTTACGCGTAAAAAATATTTTTTTACGTGTAACAAATAGTTTTTTGTACCTAAAAAATATTTTTTTGTGGGTAATATATAGTTTTTTACGTGTACCAAATAGTTTTATACAGTTTTATACGCTTAAAATAAAATAATAATAAATAATTTGATTCTCTTTAACAAAATTTGTATTAAAATGTCAATATTTTTGATTATACAACTCTATGTATATTTTTCCTATATAGAAGGATGTGATTAATAAGTGATAATCATTTAAGTGATTACCGCTTTTGGTGGCCATATTGTAATTGTCATTTTTTGAAATATTAATTCAGAAGTAATTTCTGTCAGTTCAACAAAATATCCTTGTAGTTTTGTTATTAATAATAATTATTATAATAAAAATGTTTAAAATAAGAAGGATATATGTACTTTATTTCAATCTTTTGAATACAACTCGATGTTTCGGGATTACCTAATATTTTTGCCTGACACTCAATGCAATACCCGCAACCAGAGAGAAACTAATAACTAAAGTGAGAGGGCTTGTGGAATAGGGCATTTCGTAGGAAAGTTTATTTTGTTACCGCGCTTCCCAGACGCGCATAGCGTTTAGGCGGTCAAAAAAGGAAGTTTTCAACTTTGCAAGTTAAACACATGACTGGATTAATTAGATTGTCAGTAGCTTTTTCTATTTCTTAGCTCTAGAAGGAGATAACTAAAATCTGTTGATAATCGGGGTAATAAATTGTTTTTAACAGAATGTGCCCTGTTCTTTTAGCTTGTGAGAAGAGAATATTATTGTCATTATTGATTATTTCAGATTCCACGATTATTCGGCATTTTTGTAATTTTTGTTTTGTGGTTGAGATCCAGAAAAAACGTTTCCTTTAAAGGTAAGTTTTTTTCGGTAATTATTTTAACATACAGTAATAGTGAGTGCACATAATAATCGTACATTGCTAATTTATATAAGCATAACCTATAGGAAAAATCCGATTGTAAAAGTAAAACATCACATTCTTTTGTGATACCTATGGAACGACTATTTTTTTTCTCAGGTAAGATTTCGACAGACAATGACAGAAGAAAAGCAGATGACGTCCCATACCAATCTGTTTATTTTACTAAAAAAAGTTTCTAATAATTTTTAAGTTAACTATGGATGGGTTTAAATATAAATTCGTCATGCGTCGTCACTTGTTGTTTTTATCCAGTTTTATTGGTTTATTTCAAAAATGACAGATCGTATTTCAATTTTATTGGTTTGACGGAACGATGAACGACAAACAGACGCCGATGCTTATGAACTCGCCTTTAGATTTTTGACGTTTGTCAAAGTCTTGCCAAATTATAGGTTATAATTTTGTGACAACTTTTGTCAATGTGTTTGTCAAATACCCTGCGCTTTGGAAGATGATGCATTTTGATTCGTGTTATTACGTGTGTTTTGTGTCTTTTGAAGTCAAGTGGAGGAAAAATCGAGTGAAAATTAACTGTAAAACCCAGAGCACAGTTTATGGTTAATACTCGCTGCCCAGGCAGAAAGTCTTATACAGATACACCAATAAAGTTACTATCAATAAAGTTCGTATACCATCTCGTCGTAGATAAGTGCATCTCGAATATGGTAGAAGGACCATACTCTAAACACATACTAAAAACTGGAGCAGCTGTAAAATATCGACATCGCACGATAGGTAAATAATGGATTTTAGTACTGCAGAAAAATAATGTCAAAAGGTACTGGTTTAAAAAAATTAAGATTAAAGTTAATTAATCAACCTGTGAGGTATAAAATTTGGTAAGTGTTATTATTAGTAAAATAGTTTGTTTTATTTATGTTGTTTTATTTATTCCTGCGGAATATTACAAATTTGTATTTGTACATAAGTTATATTGATAAATATAATCATAAATGCGGGAAGTTTCATAAAGCTTGAAAGTAAGAAAGAGTTCTTTTATATATATTTTGGTATGTGGTGTCTTGTTTTTGATTGTTTTGTATTAACACATACCGTTTTTTATTAAATAAAAAAACTCGATTACATTTTTTCAGTTTTATACAGTTTTTTTCACAATATTTTGAAGTTACTTGTCAGTCAAATTTTAAATACATATATTTATTTCCTGCTATGCGTTCCAGTTGTACCAACTTATTTCTTTGTAAAATAAAATAAACTACTTTGAAATTAAAATCACAGACACATCTATCACTGTCAAGGATCTTCTCGTTGGACAGACTATAGGTATTATACCTGATATTATTACCAGTAATACAAATTATTTTCTTCAGCTGATAGGTTCTTGTTATAGAATATACTGGACGCGCGTTTCGCTAACCATGTTAGCATCATCAGCAGATGATTATAAACATATCATAATAAATAATAAATTTTCGTTGTCAACAAAATGATCTAAAAAAACTACGAAGATTTCTTATTATAAATTTTAAATTTTTGGCGCCAGTATATAGGTATGAATGCAACCTACAATATCGATAATGCGCTCATAGTTCGGGTTAGACGCCAAAGGCGGCGCCACTAACACAGTCTTCAAAAATTAACGTTGATCGGTCTCTCTCACTTTAATTATTAGTGTTCTCTCTGTCCGCAACACTACTCCACCTTCGGAGTCGTAGTGTTGCCGGGTTGCCGGGTAATCCCGAAACATCTTGTGGTATTACATTCGATAAACACGTGAACTGCTCACAAATACATGTCGCGTCACTACGTATTTCTAAGCCGTAGGCTGTCCTTACCACTTTTCGTCTCGCGCTTGTGTGTCACTACCGTCTCGCTAGCTTGTGTGTCACGGCCTTGAATTTTTACTACCAGCCCGCGTAAAGAAGTTTCACTTCAAAAATTATAAAAACGTAATTTTATTTCAAAAATATATAAATTCCAATTATTGCTTTGACGGATGGTGTCTTTTCATATTGAAAAAAGTTACGTCATAAAAACTCTATTTGATACAATACAATTATATAAAATATTATAAAGCATTTTTTGTTAATTTTGTTAAAATATAATGCCTAACATTCTCTTTTGAACTACGTAATTTTAATTCTCTCATAATATATAATTGCATGAAACGCATTTTCTTATACTACGTTAAGTAAGAAATTTTTCACTAAAATAAATTCGAGTTGTCTCTTCGTCCCTTCAGATCATTTGTAAAAACTATTATGTTTTAAACGAGATAAGGATACGATACGGATATATAATATTTTCAACAAATAATCACTCTGAATTTTTAGTTGACGAAATGCAAAACGCTGTAAAGCGCGAAAAGGACAAACTCAGTGAACTCAGACGAAATTTGCAGATGGATAAAAGAAGCAAGTCTGTTACTGGTTCGGATGGATCGAGAAGAAATCTCAACAAGGACTCTGAAATGTTAGAAGTACGATTATCATTTAATTAACAAAATTAATTTTATACCACTTAGAAGATATATTTTTTCCGAGGGGAATCCATGAAATACAACATTGAGAGTAATAATATCTAGAAAGATTTTTGAGATTTTGAATAATAAATTAAAATGAAAAAATGGACACTCATTTAACTACTCTAATAATTTATTTGCATCATTAATATCACATAATAAATTTACAAGAGAACAGTTTCATCGACATCCCTTACTACCTATAATATGCTTACTACAATATTTTTCTGTCTCAGCCACCAAAGGTATTTTTAATTTTTTTCTATGGTAATCGCAAAACAATTTCCGATGCACGTGACATTCTGATCAACTTTGAGTGACAAGCGATGGCGACAGCGCTGCCAGATTGTGATGGACTTATGAGACGAATCTTAATTTAAAATTGACAAACAACATATTTATTATATCATTTTTTAAAGAGTTTTACGTTTTATTTTTAATTTAATAACTAATATTTTAGTGATTAATTGATTTATTTGTTTTATAGCTTATTTTACTTATTACATATTGGTAAAAACTAGTCCATTATGAAGATTATTATAAGCATTATTATGGTTTATTTATTTATTGATGTACATCTTGCAACGCTATAAGTGGTAATAACAAGTAAGAGGGTGCTATTAATGCAAAAAACTAATAATCACAAAATTTAATAAAAACTAACTTTGAAAGTAGTATAATGTGCTTATCAATCAAACTCAGTTTTTTTACTGCAGTCAAGGGAATAAAGGACCTTTATAGTCACATTCTCGTTCAAAATAATTTAAAAATAACAGGCTACAAGCTCTTTGCTTCGACTGTTTAAATGCTTCGGCATATTTTCAACACACAAATTTCAAGAAATGCAATACAAAAACTCGAAAATTTAGTTCTTAAAAGAACTGTTTGTGCTTAAAAGTGCAATTTTTACGTATAGCCGCCCATACTAAAATATGTTAATATCTCGATAACTGCGACTTTGACTGAGTCTGATGTTATTACAAATTTTGTTGCAAATATTATTCCTAATCTTAATTTGAAAACCGCGTTTCGCTAGCTACTGTAATTTTGGAGATACGATTTTTTAAAATGTTTAACCCCCTCCCATACCCCCTCACCTCCCCCCACCCCCACCAAAAACTAATGGCCAGATTCTCAGGTTTCACAGTATTTTTGTGCCAAATTTGGTTAAAATCGGTTCAGCTGTTTTTGAGTTATCGTGTTACAGACGGACAGACGGACAGACAGACAGACAGACACCATGAAAATATGTTGTATTTAGGTCATTTATGACCCAAATAACTCGTTTTGAGTGAAATTAAAAAAACTTTTTTTTGTCGATTCTAATAGCCTACCATACCTATTGGTATGGCCGGCTAAAAGAAGAGAATTGCTTACAAAGATTCGACAATAACACCATATTATACAAGATAATGACTGACACTAGGATAATTGTCAAAAAATAAAGGACAACATTGCTGAACACGGCGCAATGTGACCAACATAGCGATAATAAAATTCGGTTTAAACTAATTTTTGCAACTTTAATCTAAATAAAATATTTGTTACAATCATTTGCTCTATAAAGTAAAACGAAGAGCTGCTCGGTATCGGGTATCTTAAATTATACAACAAATTTAAACATTTTTGTAAAAATTTCATTTAGTCAGGTTTATAGACTTTAGTGTCAATGTCGATATGATTGATGGCGTGCATCGGAAAATGTTTTGCGATTACAATATTTCTTTTCGTAAATGGATTCACTCGTAGGTGGAAGTAACGCCTGTCTTGCTTCTTCAGCCTCTTTTAATATTTCCTCCATTTTAATGGAAACGTACTCGAACGTGTGCCAAATTCGCGCAAAAAATGTTTTTTTACAAAAAAATGAACTCGATTGACAGTAACCGTCAATTTATAAACAGTACCTATTATAGTTTAAAGCTTCATTCAGAACCTCGAAATCAGTGGAATAAATTAGTAGTTTCAATTAGCCGTAGAAGTTTGTTCACTTAATTTTAATGTAAGCATTCAGAACGTTATAATTAGTGGTGGTAATTTTCAATTATTGGAAAAAGTTAACAAACTTTCGACTTTTCCACTGATTATACTTCAAAATTTGCGAAGAATGTCATTTTGGCCAGAGTACGTAGATCGCCGAGTAGCGACAGAAACCGTCGGCTCTTTTGATGTGGTGGGACCAAATTTTCTTTCTCTCTCTTTTGACGTGTTTGACAGATAGACTACGTATTTAACTGCTCAACTTATGAAGTGGTCCTATAAACATGGTATACACTGCTCACAATTTGAAGTGGAATTAATTATTAAGTTTTATACATATCTTTTTTGTTTTGTTTTATCCTTATTTCTAAATTTGAATGTATAAAATATCTAACTGCTAATAAATAATTAAAAAAACGATTCGTTGCCTCAGGTATACTTGAAATAAAGTATATAGAGATATTTGATAAATGGCAACAGTGGCAACTTCGCTTCTTCGTATGACAGATAACCTACTTATTTCGCGCAGCCGCAAAGAAAATTGAAAACGGGACTGTCGCTACTCGTCGGTTTAGGTACTCTGTTTTGGCCTTTGATTATCACCCGTCAAGAAAAATTTTGGTTAGAAATGAAAAGTTTATTGTTTTATAAGCTAAATATTATGCTTTCTCTATGGATACAACTGACCAAGGGCTGTATATATTCTAAAGGACTGTTCGATCGCGTCAAATCGCGGCTGTCGTAGTCGCCGTGGAATACCACGTCACGCGCTGACCAGCGCTCCACAGTGCGGCGGATGGTTATTCTAGCGGGACAAAATCTCAAGAGCAATGTGTGGGACTTAAAATCTAAGAACGTAGCAAATGGTCTAATATATAGCAACTATATGGTTAAATTTATTTATTTATTAACAACTTAATTTATTAATAAATAAATACAAGATAATAAAACTATGATATTATTCGTACATGACACACAAAAACCGTATTGTAAACTATTGCCAAATACATAAAATTATGATATCAAAAAACTCTTTAGCAGTTTTTTTTTAATTAATTTGTAATCTTGTGACACTTGTAAATTCATATACAGTAAGTATCTAAAACAATTTTTTAAACTCAGTACCTTTTGATGGAGTTGTTTTGTTTTTATACTATCCGATTGAAATGAATCTTTTTGGGCATTCACCTGTTAAGCTTGAACTCCCTGTGACTGTGACGACCTGTGTTGATAACTATTGGTAACTCAAAAGATCTACATCATTCAATATATCGATATTTGAAAAAAAAGTTAAGTTTGATATCTGCAGAACAAAGGCACGAAGGATTTTAACAAATAATATACGTAGAGTAGAAAAGTACATGCCTTTGGCAATCTTCAACATAATTTGGCTTTCTAATAAGATGTATAAGCACTTGTAAATATTTTGTTTTCGTATGATCTCTGCCTTGCTGAGCAGAAAACGACCAAATTTGGTTGATAAAAATTAGGGCTGTGCCGATACTACCTTTCAGATACCGATACCGATACTTTCGATACCTAACATCCGATACCGATACTATATCTGAAATTCCGATAAAAGGTTTTTTTACTTAACTTTCATTAAAAATCAAAACTCGTTACATAATATTTAGCTATAACAACTAACAACTTCAAAAAAAGTTTATCTCAACCTAAGGGGTAAAAATTTTTCATAAAAATATTAATCTCTGGACATTTTCTGATGTTAGTGAAGTTCTTGTAGGTTTCACAATATGCCCTGCTTCGGAAAAAGTTTGTTCAGAGAAGATAGATCCAACTCCTGATTTCCTGTTTTTAATAATCTAATGGGTCAGTTTCAAGTTTTTTTTGTCGGTTCATGTAAATATAGTTAAATTTCTTTGTCCAGATCATAGTTTGGATTTGGATTTGGACTCCACTGACTTTTTTGTAAAAGTTGTTTAGTAGCCCAAAAGATAGTAAATCATATTTAATACGAACTGTTTTAGTTTTAAAACTTTATATATACCTGCAAAAGGCTTAGATTAAAATTGGGACTAAGTGAACCAGAGGTTCCTGGGGCTTCATCAAAGTTCATATTTGTATTTGTATCCGTATCAGAATCAGACATCTGTTGTGATTGTGAAGCATGTAAAGCTAGCGGTGCATTATCTTTTAATACATTTATTATTTTCTGAATTATGGTTTGCTCATTTTCGTTTTCAGCTGTGAATAACGATTTGACACAAGAAAAAAGTATCTGACAGATACTTTGGTATCTGAAGTACTAAGTATCGGCTAGTATCGGAAAATAGACAATATCGGCCGATACCCGATACTGAGTATCGGTCAATTGGAATGTCTACTATTTATTCTTATCAGTACACATTTTTTGGCTTATTTCTAACCAAACGCTTTTGTCCCGCTAAATTTATCTTCCAACGCACTGTGCGCTCGTCCGTCAAATGCAAAAATAACTGTCACTGTCTAAAATCTTTAGCGCCAACTTCAACTCGGTCAGTAGATGACGTAAAAAAACTTCCAGTGCTGGAAGATAGGAATCGAACTTACCTTATCTCTATAATATCCTTGACAACTGACTACCGCAAGCTGTTGCTAGGATATTCTATTAATTTTAATTGTGTTTTTTAGACATTGTGAATGATCGTAAACTTGTCGTAAACTAAAAAAAGTAGTGATGGGATAACTCGAGCGAAAACTCGCTCGAGTACTCGATTATTGAAATAACCGAAATCGCTCGATTATGAACGAGCGATGCAAGTGACGAGTACCTACCAAGCGACGAACGCAAGCGATCCTAGAATGAAATAAACTGAAATCCGATTTTAATGTGACATACTCGATAAAAAGCCGAGCGAATTTTCTACATACATTGCAGGTAGCAAATTTATACGACGCCGTATATATATTTATATAAGATATTATATAATAATATTATAAATATAATATATATTATAGAATAAACATATATGTAGGGTTTTTTGGCCCCTTTTTCCGCTTCTTGTATTTTGTTTGTTTATATATTTATATATTTATCCGTTGCGTATCTGAGGGACAAAATTTTACGGCCTACATCGACAATGCTTCGAAATATACTAAATCAAGCGAATCGCTCGCTGCTTACTACTTGCCGTTCATTACCGAAAGGTGTAGTCTTTGCCGAAAGAATGTGCCCTGCGCACGCAACTTACTGCTTGGCGCTTGGCGTTAACGAGTACTTACAACATGCGACGGGTGAAAACCGTATTTTTAAATACGAGTGATATATCGCTCGAGTAATCACTCGGTTATTGCAATCGCTTGATCCTCGAGTACTCGATTATTGAAATTAATCGGTTTTTCCCATCACTACTAAAAAGTATAAGTGTAATTGAAACCACTAATTGGGAGGTTCTGAATGAAGCTTAATACTTGGAATAGTAACCTGACAACAATAATGTTCCTACCAGTAGCGTCAATACATATACAGGGTGAGTCTTAAATAAGTGCAAATATTTTCAGGGATGGTATATTTCGACCCCAGGAACACGTCTATGAGTTTTTTTTCCGCAAAAAAAGATGTTGAAAATTGTGCATTTTCTTTTAAATTTCTCTGTATATTTTTCGAAAACTTTTTAAAATTGCCTGTTCACCGCAAATTTTCCCACGGTATAATTTCTTAATCTCTGATATTACCATAGTTACGGCTTTACTCTATGATTAGGAAGTATATATGATCTAGGCTAAAAGGGATGCAAATACAGAAAAGATCGGGTGGCTCTCAAGTTTTTGTCAAAAAAAATCATTTTTTTAAATTTTCAAACTTAAATAACTCGGTTATTTTAGACTTATCTGAAAAATAGTAAAGAGAAAATATGTTTCTTTTATCGAGATCTACCAGCCCTGAAAATATTTGCACTTATTTAAGACTCACCCTGTATAGGAAAATTAATAAATCCAACATTTGTGTCGTTTTAAACAAAATATACTAAATTCAGTAAGAAATAAAATTATATATGCCACTGATAGAGATCTTTATTTCTTCTTCAGGAACTAAAGAAACAGCTTGAAAGTCGTCTCAAAGATGAACTGGCAACCAAAATGAATCTGGAACGGCAACTGTCGCAACACGGCAAATTGGGCCAGCCGCAACAAAGCAAATATCATCCAGAGTCGCCGGTTAGGGATGTGTGCCATGAGAGAATGAGCCCGAATTCATGTTCATTACGATCGTCGGGGAAATTTTAAACATATCATCTTGTCCAGGTATTAAATTGCAGTAAAGTCTGTCCAATGAATCGAGGAAAGATTTCTACAGATGACAGTCAAAAATTGACAGAAATTACAACTTACCTGTGAGCTAAAAGAACAGACATAACTGTCACTGTCATGTATTGTCTCGATGGACAGACTATATGAACAGTGTAAACGTTAATGTTTAGAATGTTTCAGGTCAAAAAGAAGTGCTCGTCTTAACAGAACATCGTGAAACTATGTTCTGCGTCGAAACTGTAACTTGTGTTTTAAATAAAAATATACACTGAATTATTTGTTTCCTTTCTTGCCTATACAGGGTGATTCACGGTCATACTATGATATACGTTTATGGAGAATCGGTAGTAGGATGTTTTTGAAAATTTGTGTTTTCGCATTTGGGAATATGCCAGTGGTCGGACAGTTTAGAAAAGCTGAGTTTAAATTGCTGATTAAATTTTCTTTATTGGTGGCATGGAAATGAAATTGTATGAAATAGATATTGTGGTTAATGGGCTTCACGTTAAATATAACAGTTTTTTTAATAAACCTACCTATATAGTTTTAATTATTTTTTTAAGTGATAAAAGTGCTGTTTTGTCAGTAGTCCGGGCCGGGTAGTTACCCGGAAAGTCGTCTCAAAGTCGGACACTTTGTGATTGGCTGATTCTGCACAGTCCCGTACTTAATATATGTATAATTTTAAAGCAAATTTAATCTTGAACGTTATACAGGGTGTCCCAGGCTGAGCGTGCATTAGAAGTTTCTAGATAACCACAATATCTAGATCGGAGATTTTTTTTACACATCATTGTTTTACAACTAGATCTATCGATTAAAAATATTTTCAATATGGCGGCACTTCCGGAAATACCGGAAGTTGACAACAACTTTCTTATTTTAAATGGGTGCCCCCAATTTTTATTACATACTTAAATTTTCTGTAAAATTCTGCGAATATTAATGTTAAACACTCTATACCTAACATTAACCGTTTTTGAGAAAAAAAAATTAAAATTTTTGGGCGAAAAAAACCACCAATCAAAAAAATTTCTATAACCTAAAAGTCAGATTTAGTGATTACCACAGCCACTGTGACATAAAGAGAAGACATGTGGCTATCTATTTCAAAAATTAAATTGTTCAAATGACATATAATAATAGCGGTAGCTGTCATGGAATTGAGCGATTAAAAAATTATCTTTAATAATTTTTTTTTTCAAATGGAAATCCACCTTTTTTATTTCAGTAATAAAAAGGTTTTTCAATTCGGTACTTTTCGACTATACATGTTCCTATACCTAAAATAAATCGTTTTTAAGTTATTTAAGATTTAATTTGAAAACGTGATTTTATCTAGCTTCCTTTGACATTAAGTGTCAAACGGTCAGACAATTTATTTCCATCTGTCAGAAAACGAATTATTTGAATTTCCTATATTATAAATACTGCCTGCTTTAAGATTTTAAAAATTGTATTTAAAAAAATATATCTCGTATTTTCGCTCTTTAGTTGATATTATTAATAATATTCCGTATGATCGAACAAAAACAGCGCAAAGCGTCACAATATGATATGGCCAGATCTATTGTTTTACATCACTTGATGTTTAAAGGCATAGGCTACTAATTAAAATCAAAAAAAATATACGCTTTAAAACTAAATCTTAAATAACTTAAAATTGATTTATTTTAGGTATAGGAAAATGTATAGTCAAAAAGTAACGAATTAAAAAGCCTTTTAACTAGTGAAATAATAAATGTAGGTTTCCGTTTGAAAAAAAATGATTTATGATAATTTTTTAATCGCTCAGTTCTATGACAGCTGCGGCCATTATTATAATATAATAATGTATGTTCATATTATGACATTCGAACAGTTTAATTTATGAAATAGATAACCACATGTTTTCTCTTTATGGCACAGTAGCTCTGGTAATCATTAAATTTGACGTTTAGGCTATACACATATTTTGGACAGGTAGTTTTTTTCGTTCAAAAATTTTAAATATTTTTCTTCAAAAACGGTGAATGTTAGATATAGAGTGTATTAATCTCAAAATTCATAAAATTTTACAGAGAATTTAAGTATGTAGTAAAAAATGGGGGCACCCCTTTAAAATAAGAAAGTTGTTGTCAACTTCTGGTATTTCCGGAAGTGCCGCTATATTGAAAATATTTTTAATCGATAGATCTCGTTGTGACACAATGATGTACAAAAAATCTCCGAGCTAGATGTTGTAGTTCTCTAGAAACTTCTAATGCACGCTCAGCCTGGGACACCCTGTATACTGTTTATTGTTGTATGTTATCTAAGTAAATGAAAAAAAAATCATCTTTAAACGATACCAACGCTGTTCATAAAACCATGCTTCTATTAGTAAACAGCGTTTTCAGTTTTTCTTCTTCTAGATACAGTTTTTTCAACTGTATTATGTAACACCTTTTTTTATTGGAAATCTGCAAATGGCTAAGTTTTCAATTCAGGTAACATTTTTTTTTTCAATTTCTCTGGTTAAAAAAGTTCTGGTTGCAAACGTCGCTTATTTGTCTTTAATACGGTCCTGTACTGACTGCATAATTTAGGCTTCATGCTTGAAAATAACCAAAATTTCATTAAAATCAATCTGAACGAAAGAGGGCCACTGTCCGACCTCTCAAATATATTAAATTTAGCGTTGACCGGTGGTCGGACAACTTTTATTTCCTTTGATCTGCGTTTGTGTTGAGTTTTTGCTGTCCGACCACTAAACAGTACCAAAAACTCATGTTTCATTATATTTCTAACGAAAAAGAAAGTAGATATTACATATCAATTATCAAGAAAAAGACTAAAACAAAATAGTTATTTTTCCAGTAGTCGGACACTCTACATTTTTGGGAGGAAAAATATGGAATTTTATGTTAGTATCACCAAATGATATTGGACAATAATCTTCATAAAAAGGGTTTATTTTTAATTGATGCCCTCTATCAGACAGACGAAGCATCTTTTGTATAGAGGTAAATTTTGTGTAATTAACTTATTTTGATCCAAAATATACCTAGTTGTTCTAAGTCCACGCAATATTGGAACTCCTTGTATATTTCGGAGGACTGATTTAGTAAAAAAGTATTCTTCAAAAATGTTTTTCTCAAAAACTATGCGATGTGACGGCGTTTTTAACAAGAGCCAAAAAATGTAGTAAATACTAGAAGGACCATTTTACAAAAAAAAAAGTTATCAGCGGAATTGGAAACTATTTCTACTAAAATTTATGTGGGGGTGGGGGTAGTTTTTACCCTTCCCGTACTTTTTCTTAATTTTTATAAACGTCAAATGTTAAAACACTTAGCAAAACATAGGCACCCCAAATCTCAAATAAATCGGAATATCGGTTCCAAAATTATTTTAAAAAATGTGTTATTTTTTTAAAGCTTTTTTTGATGCTCTCTAACGGACAAACGAAGCACTTTTGTAGAGGTAAATTATGTCCATAGAACATATTTTGATTCCAAAAATACGTAGTAGCGTTGATTGAAAGAAATTGGAAGATACGCAACCTAATGAGCGAATTCGTGACAAAGCTCATTTGATTTCCCCTTACGTCTCAAGTGCCGTATGGTGAAGTCACCAATCGTTCTGCGACCAATGCATAAAACACTTATTTTCTCTAATTCGGTTGCGGCCAGCGAATGCATTTCGCAGACGGAGTGGAACTGAAAGCGACAGTGTTGCCATATTAAATGTGTAATATTTGTAATACGTTTGACGAAAATATCTTGGGATAAAAAATCCGCGTTTATGTATTGAAAATTTATTCGTGATAAACATAGAATAAACAACAAAAATAAAAATTCTTTTATAGGTACTGAATATGTCATGTCGAAAAAAGCCATTTAGTTGGCTAGGAAATGACGATTATTGACATTTACCCTAATATATTTTACATAATATGAAACAACAGCGATCTTCTTTCCAAGCCAACTCTGACGCCGTTCTCTGTTTAATCATAAATAAGTATAAATTGTTTAAGGATAGAAAATCCATATTATTAACGTACTATACCCAAAATCCGTAAATCTACGGATTAATCTGTAGTTCTGGCAACACTGTCTCCCAAACCACTCACTCTGTCGACGAAAAGCGGAGTTACGGTACAGTATTCTTCATCTGCTGCGCTTTAAACGAATATCAACACGCAGCGGTGCAGAGCTAAACTAAATCTCGGACAGGCTAACGGTAACGCCAGCTACATCTCGGACATTGCCCATAAGCTACGAAATCGCCCATAAGATTGCACATCTTCCTATTTCTTCAATCAACGGTAGTAGTTCTATGTCCACGAAATATTGGTACACCCTGTATACATTAAAATAATTTTAAAATAATTCTAATAAACAAACCACTAGGTTATTTAAAAGAAACAGACAGATATGTCAGTTAAAAGTCCACGTTACCTTGCGACTAGTATGGGTCTCGAGGACAAACAAGTACAGCATAATTTCGATTATGACACTGAAGTTTTTAAAGAAAACGTATACTATTGCATCACTTACATCACCCACAAATGTACGGTATCGCTGGACGTGTTAGAAAAATAGAGCACGCGAAAAAATAATTTTAAAGAATTGCAGGTCCGCCGATGCAAGAGTTTTTCACCAAATGGATTGAACTGAGCTGTAGACAGAAAGCGTTGCTCAATTATAACGCTTTCTATATTTTGGAGAATCCAGAAATGAGTATATTCTCCTCTATTATTAAGGGAGTGAATTACTGGAATAATGTACAAGATACCGAAGGTATTGTATTATCCAATTTTTATAATTTCAAATATTCCAATACATTTCAGAACAGTTTTGAAAGAAATATATATATATTTTTTAATATTAGAAAACAATAAAATAAATATAACAAACTAGTGTGTTATAACTTCAGCCACACCATTTTATAGAAATTATTAAGCTTCGTTCATAAATTGCGAATTCAATTATTTATTTAAATTAACATTAACATTAAATGTCCCTCCACTATTTGAAATAGGCTCTGTCATTACACTCTGTCTCTCTGTCATTACACTCTGTTATTACACTCTGTCCCTGTCATTGTTCTGGAACATTTACAACACTTTGATTTTTTTGCGATCTCTATTTTATTGTTGATGGACTCTTCGATATATCCTTCCGCAACCGTTGCAGATCGCCATCCTCCGTGTCTTTTTAATGTTGTCATGTTCACTCCTGCATTTGCCGGTACTGCAGCGGATGATCTTCTCATACAAGTACGTAGCAATTTTTGATGGCATCCTTGACAAAGTATTGATTCCCACGCATCGCGTTGTGCATTTACTATTTTTATAAAACACAAAAAATCTTTTATGGGGAGTACCCTTTGGTATCAAAAGTAGATATTTTCTGCACAACTCCACAGGATTGACAGGAAATCTTTCCGGCATTATAGTAAAATTTCGTGGTTTATTGGACTTCATATCGGGTATCAGGACATACAAGTAAGAATCATTGTCTCTAATATTCTCCACATTTAAATTCGTTAAATCATCACCCCTGTCAAACACACAATGACAAATCACATTTAAATGACAATGGCAATGTCTGTCAATCACAATGACAATGTCAATGTCTAAATAACAATGTCTCCACCAATGACTAAAGAATTCAAGGACAAATAACACCCGAGAGCAAATTGTTACCATGGCACCAAACAGTGCCGTGGCCATATTTTTTTCTTAACTTAGCTAGTTGAAGGGATATTAAATTTATATTTTTGATTAATGTTTTGCCTACGCCTATGGTGTAGGTGGTGGCATCATACTAATTAATTACGAAAAAAACGTATTAAAATGTTAACAAAAGGTACAAAACTAGTATAGACGTATAGCACACATCAAGTACATATAATATAAGAAAAATAATTATCGAATTCAATAAGAAAACTTAAGAAAACGCTAAAAAGTTTGAGCGGACTGTTTATTTACCTATGAAACGTAACTCCTGGCTCTTTCTTGTCACTGCTGCTTTTACATTTGAAAGCTGAACAACTAATCAGCATTGTATTAAAGTTTATACAAAGTTCACTACACACAAACTATTAAAAATTGCTAAAATTGTTATTGGTGACCAGCTAATGACTCATTGTTTGCCACCAAAAGAAAAGGCGTCTAAGGTCACAAATTCTGCTGCAGCCCGTATAGGGGCGTTACATGTCCTTATATTCTTTAGTGATTGGCTCCACATAATTCGTTAAATCATCACACACAATGTCAAATCACCACACCTGCATGCTCCCGCCATTCCCATAATAAGTGCCGTTTTAATCAACAAAAACCCACCGTCCGGGGCTTCTTCCAAGAACTTGTTGATATCGTTACGTTCCAGGGTTTTTAATTTCCTTCGCTTATGATAGTTTCCCTTGATCTTGAGAGAATGTATAAGTATTGGAAATTCGAATTGAAAATTCGGAAATATTAGTATTTTTATAAATCTGTAGAGTTGACTTGAACATTGCATACTTAGTCCATAAGGATGATGGAACAAATTTCTTCTGTAGCTCAAAGAAGTAAGCAAGCAAGATAGTTTCTTTTATACCTTTGACATGTTTTACTTTCATCCACTCTTCAAACGACTTCAATTCCCTATCATATACGCCACGAGACTTTTCTGGCAGTATTTGTGCTGTAGCCGCCTATGCCTGGTTAAATTTTTCTTGGGGAAGATCTTCCTGAATCATTTTTCTTTAAAATCTGATTTGCTGGATGATAATTCACTATTTTATCGTAAAAAAATTGCGATTTATCTGAATGGTCAATCTAATAATGCAATAATGGTTATCTAATAATGTCAGTGCTTAAATAAATTATTCTTTAGAGATTGGACATGAAACAGTTCTGCTGTTGGATAAAATTTTGTATGGCCACTCGCGTGTTATAACCCTAGATCATATATACTTACGTAGATAAGTAAATCACTATGGAAACTGTCGCAAACATATCAACGACTTCCATTTATCTTCTTTTTTTGTTGCACACGCAGTGCTTCTACTCTGTCTATCTTTGTCGAGGACCTAGCGTCCACGCGCCACATTTAAACATTAATTTTAAAAATTTAATTTGGAAAATGCATATATTTGAACAATAAATTGCATGTTTACTGTCACAAAAATTAAATTATATAAAAAATACATTTAGCCACTCCGTACGAATATCAATATTCTTAGGAAACCTAACCAGAAAGTAGGCATGTGGTTTAATATAAATAAAAGAACAACTGAATACTTTACTTGCCTATGAAAAGATAATTCGGGAACATTTATATTAGAACTTCCACACACCAAACACTTTCTAGTCATTTTTACGAGTATTTAGAAAGTCCAACGAAAAAAAAAATAGAAATATAATTGTACAAACTTAAAATTAACTTCTCACTGAAGACACTTGCATCCTTGGCTATATAAAAACAGCCGATAAAAGAGTAATTAATACAATTTTTTAAATAAACGACGAAATAAACGAACTATAAATGGCCAGAAAATAAATGTTTACTCCCTTAATATTACATTATTTTCACATGCTTCAGGTGCTTGCGGATACAACAAAAACCCGTTCGAATTCAGGTTAGGCAAAGAGGAAGAAAGTCACATTTTGCAAGTTGTCGCTGATGCCAACAGAATACTTAGGACGGTAAGGCGCAAAGCTGTATTGTGCAAGGAAATAGACAATTATAACTTTTGTTATCAAAGCAACAAAGTAGTATTTCTTCAAAAGCTTGGAGAAGTAGGTGACATAAATAATTCAACCAATAGTTGGTCAAAACTATAAATAAAAAAAATAGTTTTTAATAAACTGCATTTCAATACTTTATTGTCTCTTATAGTTTAACAAAAAAAAACAGTTTCTTTAAATTACACCTCTTTCTTCACTGTACCACAAGAAAAGGCAAAAATTTAAGGAATGTATATATTCTGCTAATGCCACATATAGATAATATATCAATAAACAAACTTTTTTGTGTAAATATAATAAAAACAACCAAACTAAAGAACAAATTTCTTACGCTTCGGTTTGGCAGTAGGTCTGACTTCTTGAACATCTTCATCGTCAGATCTATTGAAATTGTCTAACTGGATAGAGCGAACATTGCCCACTGCTACTTTAGTTAATTGTTTTCGACTTATGAAATTCATCTGAGGTCTAAGAGGAGCAACCTAAAAAATTAATTTAACAAAGTGATTTGTACGACAAAAAAAATATTTGAAAATCCTGTTTTTATATCAAGGATCGACCCGGTTACAAAAAAATTATAATATGCACGAATAAACTATAAAATGCAATACAATAACATCGCCATTAGATATTATTAACACTAGTCTACGGAACCTGGCATAAAATTGTGGGTAGCACTGGCCAATAGGGAAACGCTACACGCATAACATGCATATGCGAAATTATGACATACTTTTTAAGTTAGGCAACTGTCTCGACAAGCATATTTTGATTGCTTCGGTTTCAACCTTTTTTTTCTTTTGCGTTTCTTTGTTCCCGCTTATTTTATTTTTTATATGAATTTGATTGGTTTGAATATCTTAATATTATAATTGAATATCTCACATCAAGTTTTCAGTCAACTGCTATTATTTCAGGATTGCCTAACTTAAAGGTTATGCACATGACTACCAAATGTCAACAGCAAATTGCAGTCCTTGTCCCATAGATAAAGAAAACAAGTTTAGATTGGAATGCTCGGCTTGGAAAACTTATAATTGTTTTGAAGCGCATACGTTGTAGGGCGCTGCTAAACCGCCAAACAAGAACAGAAATAATTTTCTCTTGTCAAAGTCAGAATCTTCAAATATTATAAAATCTTTCAAAAATTAAACAGCCTAAAATACCGAAAAGTGTTTAAACCGTCCATTTTCAAAGTAATGTGTGAGAATTCTTGTGAGATTAATTTAAATTTTATTTACTCAAACCCGTGATAATTGTGAAAAAGTGGCATTAAAAACTTAAAAAGTTGTGTGAACTGTGAACTGCAAAAACCATCGTGGATCGTGGCACAACGTCGGTTTCCAATGTTTCATAGGTATTTCATACATGTCCTTATATAAAATAAAGTTTCTTATATGCAACACACTCTATTTTATTTAAAAAATTAAAAGAAAATAATAATAAATTTGAATAAATAATATTTGGCGACATAATTCAGGAAAAAAGCCGAACCGCTCCGAAATTATCAAAAGCTTTGGAGAGCGACCGTTGTAAGAATAGCGCCAAATAGTATTTACATTGTCTAAACTTGTTTCTTTTATCTATGCCTTGTCCGGACACTCACGTCTTATAAATATTACAGAGAAAATATGATTTTTGTAAAAAGCTTATGCTATTTAGACTCAAAATAAAAATAAAGAATCGCTTTAAGAAAATATATAAAATCATTATAGGGAAAATAGTTTGTGCTTATAGAAACTCGTTTATACTCATACATGCTCTTATAAAGAAACGTCGGCTCGTCACAAATGGAAACATTCTCTCTATTATTACAGCACTAGCAAGGTCTAAAACGAATATAATAATGGAAAGATTCAAGCTGGATTTATAAACTCCGGAGTTCGCGTTCAGTTGAGGTACAGTTGCAGTTGGATGTTCGCGGCAGTTGAGGTTCAATATTTTTGCATTTATAAACTGTCAGTTTCGGTTGTAGGTTAGGCTTGGAATTGTGAAAATTTCGAACGTTTTTCTTTCGATTTAAAAACACTTTTGATATTTGTCAAAGTTCAAACACAGTAATCCAAGATTATGCAAAATATAAACATTACATTAACAGAAATAATGAAACAACAATAAGGGCCATTTTCCAATGCATCGGCGTCGCCTCTCTTTACCGTGCTTCACATGATCGACAGGCGCTTATTCATTGGCTGTCGCCGAACGTCGCCAACGGTCGCCAACTGCCGACATAAACATTGACCATCTTTGAATTCCGCTGAACGTAAAACGAACTGCCAACTTTTCGACCAACTGACTTTATAAATGCGCGCGTTCATTTCATAGCGTTGAACATTTTGAACGGCAACTGAACCTCAACTCCAGTGTTTATAAATCCAGCTTGACTGATTCCACTCCTCCAACTCTTGATGGATGCCTTAACAAAAATGTACAACTTTGAGAAACACCTTACTGTGGAATTGAGCAACAAAAAGAAATGAAAAAGAGGAGAAACGATTGCTCAGCAGTTAAAAGACCATATCATAACGTGGTATACTGATGCACCTACCCCAGCATCTAAGCTATCAAAAGAAAGGCTATCGAAAGATGTGTACAACTTATCTTAGATAGGAACTATCGGAAGTAAGAAATAGCTCTTATCCAATAGTCAGACAGCCTTAAGAGCGATCAACTCAGTAACTATCAATTCGAAGTTGGTCAAAGAATGCCTAGAGAAGCTAAACAAATTAGGCAAAGAAAATAAAGTTCTCCTACTCTGGGTGCTAGCCCACAAAGGGATAGAAGACAATGAAAGAGCAAGCGATATAGCTAGAAAAGGAGCTAACTCTCCGCTAACTGAACCAGAACCGTTGTGCTTCCAAAGTAGAAACCAACTTAAATCAGAACTCAAGAACCTGGAAAACTCCATGCATAACCTGGAATTGGAATGCTCCAACGGTCTAAGACAATGAAGAAATTGCTCAGGACTAACTACCATAACAATCTTCGGATTGTCACGGTGTTTTTAACAGGACACTGTCTACTCAATGAACACCTCAGTAGCTTGAGCTAAGAAACAATGGCAAATGCAGATTCTGTGGGGAAAATGTGGAAACGCCAGAACACCTCATCACTGAGTGCGCCGAGACGACAACCATTCGTGCCATACATTTTGGTACGACTGATAACGGATATGGAAAACCAACCCCTTAAAACCGTCTCAGATACTAACTGTAGACAGTTAGATACTAACTAAGACTGTATGATGAGTTATAACTCAAGAAAGGATGGCACGATAAATCTATAAGGTCGCGGTGATTAACTTCCCCTTCCCAGAGAATCTACAATCTCTATTACAAAACTAACAAAGCCTAAAGCTAATATAATAATAGAAGGTAAAAAAGTATATCACTTACTTTTCTGAACTTCTTAAAATTCTTCACACCAGACGCTTCAACCGTCGATTCGTTTATCGTCGACGTTGTACGTTCAAACGAGCATTCAGGTAGTAATTTGATCTGAACGCAGTCGGCAAACATTTCGACAATCTTTTGCAAACCTGGATCATCGATTTTCGATTTGTCCTGTTTGCAATGGGTCTGTTTTTTTGAAAACCACGTATCGTTGAAAATGCTCGTGGTTAAAGACGAAACCAGGGATCTTTCTACTTTTGGTACTTTTAGTGGAAAATCCACACGAGTTGTTCCTTCATTTCTCGTTTGGCTTTGCTGTAACATATCTTCCAAAGCTCTTCGCGATATAGTGGTGTTATCAGATATCGCTTTAGTGGTATTAGAATTTGTAGTGTCCGTAGAAGATAGAAAGGCAAATGGATTTCTTTTAACTTGTTTACTTGTACTTTGGGATTGTTTTTCTGATACTACGTTTTTATTAGTAGTACCTCTTTTACATAATGTAAAAGGATTGGATTTTTTAGATTGGGACTGTAGAGGTTCTTCGGCCTTTCTCTTATTTGATTCTACGCGTATCACCTAAAATGTTTTCATTCATGATATACAGGATGACTTGAAAATATTGTACAGGGTGTCCCATTTTCGTGCTTTATGGTGTTTCTCGTTTATGAGTAGAGATCCAAAGATGCAGTTTTCACATCACTTTGCTATTTTTTTATGAAACTAAGTATGCTACACATAGATTTGTCCACACCTAAAATACAGGGCGAATTTGAAAATTTTGCATTTTTCGACTCACCTCGTATCTCCATTATTCTATAACTTATCGAAAAGGTAAAAACTGAGTTCCATAGAGTCTTTCGCGTGGAATCCAGCGGCGTACCTAATTTTTCGCTGAGAGCTGTCGTTTTCGAAATATTACTCAAACTTATGTTTTTTTTAATGGAACACCCTGTATATTATGTTTTTATTTTATTTGTATTGTTATGAGCTTTCTAAAAATATACTATAATATATACTTATTTTCATAAATAATGTAAAAAATACGTTATTTAACGCGGTTTTTATTGAAGGGCTGGCAAAGTTGGACGTTATTATTTACGAATTTAAAAAGAAAAGGGGATATAGCAGATTGGTCGTTGCCGACCGATCGACCCAATCAGTACGATCAGTACTTGAAATTCAAAAGCATGATGTACACGCGTTCAGCTTCGCTATTTAATTACGTCTCGTGAAACTTTATTTGTTTATTTATTAACGAGTCGTTGTAATTTTCCCGATAGCTTGTAAATTTTTAAGTGTAAATTAGAAACACTTGTAAGTACTTTTGGTAAAAATAAGTGGAATTGAGTTTGTGTTCGACAGTGGTCGCTATTAGAACTCAATGAATCAATATCTCAACTCAATCTCTTGAATTCAAAAATCGATATCTCGAAATCCATTATAAATAATTGATTGTAGTTTTTTTTACAAACTTTCTTAATATTTCTGCTAAATTTTCTCCGCAGACAATATGTGAAAATATTTATAAATAAAAAAAGTTACACGATTGCTAAAATTTGCTATGCCCTAAAAGTAAATGGATGTTTTTTTTTAATTTTAAATGGAAAAAACACCTATCGAATTTTTCTTATTTAAACATCTTGTAAAAGATGCGAACTTCAAAATAAAAAAAGAAGTGTCAATATCAAAAGTGATTCTTGAGTCATCGCGTTTTAGGTATGTGTTAAAAAGTTGAGTTTATAAATGATCGCGATTACTGACGTTTTCTCGTTATAAAAAAGGACACCCTAACGATATCCTTATAATTCCATTTCAGATGCTCAGAAACATATCTAATTATTTTATCTAGTTATCTTTTCGAAAAAAGTCTTTTAAAAACAAGCGGTTTGTGATCGTGATTTTACTTTACTTGATAGGAAAAGACGTACTGGAGAAATGTGGCAACGTCGCAACAGCACACCGTCGCATTTCTCTCACTCCGACTTAATAAGATTCCTATGTGATTTACTTCCACACATGTAAATACCGACAAAAAAGTAAGAGTTGCCAGCACATTCAATATCATTTTACGGACTGTGAGTAGAACCTCACAAAAAGTGAAGAATAATTTTACCAAAAGTAATTCACCATAAACGTCCAATAGGAGCCCTTAAGTAACCCTGTATAAATATTGAAAATAATTTAAAACTAACCTGACTAGAATCGCCTTCTGCCATATTAGTTCTGCTGCGATTGAGTGTAGTGTCTACTTTACTGGTACTGGGTTTAGTGAACCAACTATCTAGATCCCTAAAAGTACAGACGGGTATACAGCGTGTCAAAAATAATAGTGTTTTATATCTTAAAAGTTCAAAAGAAAATTACACTTCCCCTCCTATACAATCTACACCCAGATGCAAAAAAACGCAACGGAGAAATTTTTGGTTAAATTTTAAGTGTTATATTTTTTCCAAAAAAATCCTGTATGAGTATTTCGCCACTGCTGCAATAAAATCTATAAAATAAAATAATTATTTTTTGTAAACACTTCTGCGTTAAACCTAAACGGACGCTGCTTGTCAGAAGTTATGTTTACGGTAATACAAATTTGCCTAACAAAGCAAAAAAAATGCTTAACGTTTCGGAAAGTTATCTCTTTCCGTCGTCGGAAGCAAAAAAATACAAAGAATAAAGAAAAAAACTATTTAAAATATTTAAATTCAACTATTCGAGAACACTACTTTTTTTTTCAACAGAACGTCAACGGTTTCTTGTAGACGTATCTGTTTTTAAAAAAAGTAAAGTGTTCTCGAGTAGTTGAATTTAAATATTTTTAAATAGTTTTTTTCTTTATTCTTTGTATTTTTTGGCTTTCGACGACGGAAAGAGATAACTTTCCGAAACGTTAAGCATTTTTTTTTTGTTTTGTTAGGCAAATTTGTATTACCGTAAACATAACTTCTGACAAGCAGCGTCCGTTTAGGTTTAACGCAGAAGTGTTTACAAAAAATAATTATTTTATTTTGCACATTTTATTGCAGCAGTGGCGAAATACCCATACAGGATTTTTTTGGAAAGATGAATCCGCCACATAGGTATAGACCATAAACTTAAAATAAAATATAGACTACACTATTTACATCTCAACGCGGTCAAACAATCTTTTTTGTACACATGTTTACTTCTGGGTACAGTCGACCGAGCCTTCCTCATCCAGCCTATGTTGTCACGTCTTTAATATTATCAATATTTTTTTTTCTTGTTATACACATATATTGAGATATTAATATTACAGTTTAATAAAGTAGGTTTTAATATTCCATAGATGTATTAAATAGTCCTTATACTACTAAATTATAAGTCGGATACTGTTTGAAAAGGATAAGTTCTTTACAATATGACAACACCGATTAGAGGCGAGGGAGCCTATTCATTCATATATTACCTTGCAGTACGCGTCGCACGTGTGCGGTAAAGCTTTGTTGCCGCTATGTCCCCGGCTGTATTAACGCATTTTCTTAGCTTGTAGTCCTTAAGTGTTTATTTTATTGACTTTTTCTGTTCAAGAACTATAAAATATGGTTCGCCAGTGCCAAATTTGCAAGAAATTTGACTTAAATAATCCAATTAAGTCTTGAAACGACTTTCGACCGGTAGGCAACTCTCAATTTACCCATTAGGAGTCAGTGGCGTTGTTGTAGAAAGGCGCTTATTTAGATAATATTTTAGTAAAATGTAAAATCTGAATTTTTCTCTTACATTACAATATTGACTTACTTACATTGTAACAAAACCATAATTATAACCCTGTTAATAATTAATAATGTTTTTATTAAAAATATATTCCGGTTTATTCTAAAATTATCTTCAGAATCTAAAATAACATACAAGAATTTTAAAATGATATTACATTATGAAACAATATTTTTAATATACCGGGTCGTCTCAAAAGTGGCTCACCCCTATAACTTTTTTATTTTTCAGATACAAAAAAATTGTACGTTAGTAGGTATATGACATAAATTAGATTTATTGACGTATTCAATTGTTTTTGGTCTCTTCCTGTTTCACCGAAATGATTACATCTTTTGATTTTTAAAGGCACCCTCGGTATATTGCTACTTTATTCGATAAAAAATGACACTCTGAATAGAATGACTATCATATGTCAACTTTTGACATTGTCGCTTAAAAACAAATCGTATTTTAAATTTCAATCTAGGGTGTCATGGTGTTGTTAAAAACACTAAGTTTTAATCAAAGAGCCTTGGAAAAATAGTTTTGATCGTCTAATGGGTTTCGTGTCTTGTTTAGGCCGGTTAAAAGATGTACAAATCGTAGTTTTAATCATACATATGTCAATTTTTTCAAATGGAACAAAGGAGACTCATTAGCATATTTGGAAAAATCATTTTTTTATGAATATATTGATACCACACACTTGGTATTTCGAGTCAAATTGTCGTTATGAACCGCGTGTTACAATTACAATTAAACCATATGCGAAAATGTCAAAAGTTGACATATTATGCTATGTCATTCTATTCAGAAATCAATATTATTATTAAAAATTAAATTGTTATCATTTTCTATCGAATAAAGTAGAAATATACCGAGGGTGCCGTTTAAAAATTAAAAGTTATATTCATTTCCGGTGAAACAGGAAGTGACCAAAAACAATTGAATGCGTCAATCAATCCTAATTTATGTCATATACTAACATACTAAATCTTGTTTTTTATTTGAAAATATAAAAAAATTTTGAAGATGACCCACTTTTGGAACGCACCCGGTATAATACAGTACCGTGTTAAATAAATGTAGTTTTCATATTATCCACTTCCTATCACCTTCCTTGCTTTAATGGAACAGATTTATGTTTTCTCTAATTTACATAATAAGACGTCACTTAACCAGAAAAAAAATTACAAAAATAATATTTTTTTTCTCTCCCTGTCGCCGATTCTGTTATATCTGTGAAATAGATCCTGTTTTGATTAATATTAGGGGTTGTAAATGTTTGACTAAAATTAATAATTTATTATTAATTTCAAAAATTACGTAATTTCGTTAATAAAATTTCTTCTATAACGTGTATATTATTATTTTTATCCTTTTTGGATTGTAAGACGTTTTTTTCTAAACTTTTATTCAAAAAAACCTGTCCTAAATCTTAATAAAATATAAAAAAGTTTAAATACGATATATTTTTAATTTAATTATAGCTTCATTAAAATAAAAAAGTTACCAGGCTATGATACGGAGAGTTCAGGTGTACTTGAGAAACGAAAGACAGTGTTGTGTTTCTCGGCAGAGTCGTCAGGGAACGACCGTTATGACAGAGACAACCTATCTATCGCTCGTGTCGCACTCGTTATAACCCAAAACAATAACACAACAATAACAAGACGTTGTCTCACCGCATGTTCCAGCTATTTATGAATGAGATGCTCAGTCTATATTTTATTTTAAGTCTATGGTATAGATATTTTTGTTATATTTTTGTTATTTTTAACCCTATTTTCATGAATTTGTTAGCAAACTGTATATAATTATATCAACTTTAATTCGTAAACTAAGTTTTTTATAAACTTTAGTATTTGGCATATTATACAGGGTTAATCAAGGGTTTGTTTTTTTACACTAGCTTTAAAACACCTTGTACAATAATTTCGTGTGTAAATTTTCCTAAAATATAATTTTACGGTCAGAACCATGACTTCTGAGCATTTTTGTTTTTTGATTCATGTCAATACATGCTTTATTGAATTTTTAAGGGCGAAATGAACTGATCACGATCAATTTCCAATTTTTTCAATTACTTCTTGATGTAATTTTTTAATATGACGGGATAGTTTTGGTCACTATTGTCGCAACGTCATATTACGCTGCATTGGATACTCTATACTAAATTAAAAAAAAATGTTAAAGACTAACTATACAGTCCTGATTTTAATAAACATTCATAACGATAACAGAACTAACGATATTAAAGAAAACATATACATATGTAATACTCAAGTACAGTCGGGTCCGCTTATAACGAGTAGAACTTATGACGAGCGACCGGTTTTAACGAGCTATTTTAGGTGTAACGGAAAATCATTCATTTAACTTAGCACATTTGAAATTCGGGTACAACGAGCGTGGATATAACGAGTACCTCTTTTAGTACGAGCAAATTTTCTTTGCAAAATTACCATCTTGCTTTGTATACAACGAGCGCCTTTTTTTCAATTTTAAATAATATTTGCCGCTGCGATTAAAACGAGAAGCCGACATATTTTTGAACTGTTAGCTTCGTTTACAGCGCGCGCCCACTGCGTATACCGCGAGTCAGGGGAAACAAAACTTGTCATAGTAAAAGGGTCTATAACCACTGACATACTTAATTCATTTCAACAAGTTGATGATTGTTTGGTAACTTGCGAGTATCCATCAGAACTTGAAATTGCAGCTGCAGTTAAGGAAACGTTGTTAACTGAAGAGCCAGAGTCAGAAGAAGAAGAAGAGCCAGAAAGCACCTTTGAACCACCGACAGCACAAGAAGTATTTAGTGCAATGAAAACCGTGTGCACATATTTAGAAATCAACAGTTTCGGAAGCAGTGTGAAAGAAAAGTTTGATTTTGTTCAAAGAAGAATTGAAAATTCCTTTTTAACAAAAAGTGTAATTCAAAAAAAGATTACGGACTACCATAAGTAAACTTTACATACCTAAAAATATGTATTATTATTACATATAAATATATTTTTATTTATCACAAATAATAATTATGTATGTATTTTGTTATTACATTCAATAAAAATTATATACAGTTGTACAATTTTAATTGTAATAAATATTGTTGTTGTAACCGACCCTGGCAAAAATCGCATATAGCGAGCGTTCGCATATAGCGGAGATACGAGTATTTTGTTGACACCAACGCGCTCGTTATAAGCGGACCCGACTGTATACAAACAGAAAAAAAATGTAAAAAATACCCTAATACTTGGTATTGCCTCCCTTGGCTGCTACAACTACCTGTATACGTCCGTTCTGTATACGATACTGTCATTGAGGCTGCATATATCATATTGCGTTATGCTTTCCCATTCTTCTTTAAGAACCAAGCGAAGTTCGTTTAATCAAGCTGGTACCGCTTCGCGACTTCTAAACCTCCCGCCAAGCATTTCCCAAACGTCGAATATGATGGGCAGTTCATAGTAGTATATTGTTCACAATAATCATCAAAGCCGCCTTGTCATATTGAAAAATAACTTAAAAAAGAAATGATAATTGAAAAAATTGCAAATTGTTGGTGGCAAGTTCATTTCGCTCTTAAAAATTAACCAAGGCATGTATCGGCATGATCCAAAAAACAAGATACTCAGGAGGCATGATTCTGACCGTAAAATTATACAGGGTTGTTCACCACATACGACACGGAGTATTGTAGCTAAACGATTAAATTTTTACAAATTGTAAATTTTGAGTTCGTTGAAGGACTATTAGAGCTACAATTTAAAAATATTTTTACAAGATACAGAGTGGCCCAAATAAATAAAAAATATCAAAGTTGTATTTTTTTAAATAGAACACCCTGTATATTATTACGTTTTTAGTGTCTATGATTAAAATAAAGGTAAATTTGATTAAGGTTTATCACACTTAAACCTTACCGTTTTTGAAATATTTTCAATTTTGTGAAATTGCAGTAAAAATTTTAAGGCTACATTTCTCCAAAGGTATCAAAGTTTTTAATATTCAATATTTACTGAAGATTATTTATTGATCAGTTATTGTGTTGCAATAATAAAAATAATACTATCTCATACAGAGTGTCTAATAAGTTATTTTAAATAATTTCTAGCTTTAAACGGCAATATCTTTTTTAATTTAAATGGAACGCCCTGTATATTTTAGGAGAATCAGATACACAATTTAATTGTATATCAACTTGTATCATACCACTTTTTACCTATCCCTTCAAGTTTTCGTAGATAATGCATTTTCTTATAATTTAGACCTCATTTATCAATATGCCCATGGAATATTGACATATTAGATTGTTTTTAAAGCAACAAATGTAAAAAATGTACAGTTAATATTATCGTTTTTAGTTGTAATATTATCGTTTTTAGCAAAACGATAACATTACTAGCCCATCTGTGTGCAAAAATAAAACTATTTAAATCTTTATACAAGAGTATACCATTAATTAAATATACCACCATTATTTACGCCCAAATACTAATTAATTACATACTTAAATGTGGATTTGAATCAGAATTCAATATAATAATAAGTTATGAAAATGAACGTTATACATAACGTGTTATAAATAAGCAAATTTGTCAAAAAATAAAATATCATTTTAAGGTGTTACTTTTTACCACACTGTCTAATACACATACAAGATTCAGTTTTTTAGTATTTCGAGCAATTATTATTAATCAATGCAAACAGTCAATTAATGTAGTTTGAGTACTGGAATCATATTAATTGGTCCTCTTTAACAAATAATATTTTAACTATAAACAGTTTTTATTTTATTTTTAATGAAATAAACGAACTATATCAACAATATTAGTATTTGTACCCTTTAAAAATTTGGTACATCTTTAAAAATAATCTAAAATGGCAGTATTCCATGGGTATATTGATAAATGAGTTCTAAATTACAAGAAAATGCATTTTCTAAGGAAACTTGAAGAGATAGGTAAAAAATGGTATATTACAATTTGATAGACAAGTAAATTGTGCATCTGATTCTCATAAAATACACAGGGTGTTCCATTTAAATTAAATAAGTTATTGCCGTTTAAAGCTAGTAATTATTTAAAATAAATTTTTAGACACTCTGTATAAGGTAGTATAATTTTTATTATTGCAACACAATAACTGATTAATAAATAAATTTCAGTAAATATTTAGTATTAAAAACCTTGATACCCTTGGAGAAATGAAGCCTTAAAATTTTTACTGCAATTTCACAAAATTGAAAATACTTCAAAAACGGTAAGGTTTAAGTGTAATAAACCTTAATCAAATTTACCTTTATTTTAATCGTAGAAACTAAAAATGTAATAATATACAGGGTGTTCCATTTAAAAAAATACAACTTTGATATTTTTTATTTATTTGAGACACTCTGTATCTGGTATAAATATTTTTAAATTGTAGCTCTAATAGTCCTTCAACGAACCCAAAACTTACAATTTGTAAAATTCTAATCGTTTAGCTACAATACTCCGTGTCGTAATTGGTGAACAACCCTCTATATTAGGAAAATTTACAGACGAATTTATTACACAGGGTGTTTTAAAGTTAAAGCAAAAAAACAACCCCTCGATTTACCGTGTATAATATGCCAAATACTAAAGTTTATAAAAAACTAAGTTTGCGAATTAAAGTTGATATAATTGTATACAGCTTACTAAAAAATTCATCAAAAAAGGGCTAAAAATAGCAAAGATATAACAATTTAAATTTGAGTAAAAATCGCTCCTTTGCGATTTTTTGCATCTGAGTGTATAATCTACAAGACTAGCCAATTATCAGCCATTTCCAGTAGACACTTCAATAAATAGGTACTTACTTCTGTTTAGCACCTTCGACTTTTTTCTTTTTAGAAACCGACTGGTTGGCATTCGAAATCGGCCTTTTTATCCCACCTCCATCATCAGCCTGACTTTTTCGCAATGACATTAACACATCCACATCATCCTCCAGCGTCGCTGGTATAATTTTTTCCGACTTGACAGTAACAGGCATAGTAGAGACCAACTGCGTCTGCGTATTTTTGGCGATTACTGGCGCATTTCTAGCAACATTCTTCGACGTGTTACCAAATATCTCTTTCGATTTATTAAAGTTAGGGTTGCAGCTGGTCTCGCACGAACAGTAAATCACCGCTAAGGCTATCTCGGTCAAAGGTATGGTTCTCCTGTTTTCCTTTGCCTCGACTTTTATTAGGTCGTTGAATAATTCGTTATCTTCGTCCGGTTTAATAATTAGATATTCTTTGGGGCTTGCTTTTATTTCTTGGTAAGTTAATTGCTGTTCGTCCCAGGCTATGCATTCTCCACCTAAATAAGAACTTCGCTATAGGCTTGGTGCATTTCAGTTCATTTAAAAAATTTCGACCGCGGAGCTGTATACAGCAGAAATTCATGTATTTCACGCCGTTCCGGTTACAGTTCATGTCGATTGTATTAAAATAATATTGAAACCGTGGCTTTGTCATAATATTTAAGTATTTTAGTTTTTTGCTAGTGCAGTTATTGAGACTATAAAACACTCAGGTACGAGGTTTGTGCAATGTAACTAGGGATGGGTAAATTAAATTTCATATTTTACCTATGTTGAAATTTCATAATGAAATTTTCACTGAAAGATTGAAATTTTGGAAATTTCAGTGAAAATTTCAAAATTTCAAATTTTCAGTGAACATTTCTTAAATTTTCTGAAATACTGACAATTAAATATTTCACCTTGGAAATTTCACTGAAATTTCATGAAAATTGTTTATAAAAATGAGGTGGTGAATAATTGGTGTATGGTGAAACACCAAGAAAAATATTTCGAAATACTATTTTTGGGCTTAACCATTATTTCTTTAAAAATTGGAATTGGAAAACACAGAACACAGGTCACAGGTAGGTAAACAGGTCACAGAATTCCAAACCAAACTTTATGAAATGTGAAACACAAAAAATGCACAAAAAAAACAAATCTAATAACATAACATCCACAGATAAGATACTACTCAACATTTTCAACGAAAATCATAACCTTTATCTATCTACTGCGGTTTTTCATTTGTCAAGGTCAAGCGTCAGTCCTCTACAGACGCGCAAGCAAATCGAGCAAATCAACGATCGATACCTACGTCGATACGGTCGGCATACGAACACGATAAAGGAGTTCGCAATGTTTATGAAAATTTCATTTGAAATTTCACCTGTAAATTGAAATTTCACGATACATTTCTGAAAAATTCGAATTGAAACTTTCACTTTTTTAAAATAGTGAAAATTTCAATGAAATTTCACTTTTTTAATATAGTGAAAATTTCACACTGGAAAAGTTGCCGACATGAGAATTTCATTTGAAATTTTCAAGTGATACAACCCCAGTGGCGGATACGGGGGGGGGTCCCATGGGGCCCGGGCCCCCCCTAAAATCTGTAAGTTGTGTTAAATATTAGGCTTTTTTGTTAAAAATGGCGCCCTAAAAAGCATATTCTACGTTACTTTTTATTTTGGGCCCCCTCTAAAATAAATTCCTGTATCCGCCCCTGCACAACCCTAGATGTAACGCTGTTTCGGGTAGTAAAAAATAAGTGAAAACGAATTCGAACTAGGCGTCGTGTTGTGTTGTGACAATTTCAAATGTTAATAAATTTGCCGAAAAAATATTAACGCGTAAAGGAGAGCGTAATTAGGGCGTTGTTGGGTGCGATTAGTGATGTTGGTAGCCAATATTTCCATTCGAATTTTGCAGGAAATTTCAGAAATTTCCGAAATATTCGGTCCCAAAATCGCGAATTTTCGCAAAAATCCGAATTTTGCAAGAAATTTGGTTTACTAAAAATTTAACGAAAGTATGCCTATTCTAAAAGCAGAAGAAAAAGAATGCTTCTCCGCCGTACAAAATAGAAAAGGTATGGCTCTTAAACCAATGCATTTTGCCGCGAATTTCTTGGACCCCTGTTTCCTGGGAGAGCACCTTAACAATGAAAAACACATGCCTTATGGAATTTATCAACATATCAACAATATCACCAACAAACATCCTCAGTTTATCAATAATAAAGAAGCCATTTTTACATATGTAACAAATTATTGCGTCAAATCTTAAGTCGTAATCGTAAGTGTATAGATACTCAGTTGAAATATTTAGCTGTTGCTCTGCTGTCCTTACCAACGTCATCTGCAGTCACTGAGAGAAGTTTCAGTACTTACAGTTTTATCCATACTAAAAAAAGGAATCGCTTAACTGCACAAAGAGCCGGCAAAATAATGTTCTTAGTTCATAACAATAGATTATTACTACACAAACAAAAAGTGGATATGGAGCATGATATTCAACATGAAACTCCTCCAGAACCACTAGAACCCGTAGAAGTAGAGGTCCATCCTTCAGAATCAGATCCAGATGATTTTACATCAAATATATCTGATTTGGAAATAGAAACTGACGAAGACAGTACTACTACTTGTAAATAATATATATAGTATATATAGTATATAATAATAATACCCTATGAAGATGGGACCAGCTCGGCGCCTGAAAGTATTCCGGAAGAGAATAATTCAGTTATTTGTGTTTTACGTTTGTTAAATTTATATTTGGTGCTTTTTTGTTTTTTTTTTAAGTTCATAGTCCTAGTTCATGGTTTATGTACAGGGTGGGCCAAATTCGACGCTTTTAAATGGAAACACCCTTTTCTATAGGAGATAGACGAAAACTAATATCGGTGTCTGGAGCTCAATTTTCATCAAAAACATGATGGTGAAAACCGCACATCAATATCTGTTACCGTTTCGGAGTTACGGTGTGTTTTTCAAAAACGTGCATTTTTAACAAATCGCTGTAACTTTTTTACTATGGAAAATTTTGTATTTCTATGAAAACATTTCTAAAGCACCTTTTTACGTAGAATTTAATGGTTTAAGTATAATTTTTTTAAAATTAATAATTTAAGAGTTATCAACAGCAAAATTTATTTTTTATTTGGGACACCCTCTATATTTCTAATTAACTGAAAAAAGTTTAAAATTACCTTTCCAAAAATATAGCACACTTGATATTTTGTTATAATTCCCTTCGAAATACAGAATTTTTAAAAGTTCGCCACTTTTAACTAGTAGGCTTACTCGAATACATATTTTTCCAGCAAGACAACTCACCGCCTCTGAACGCTGAAGTTATCAGCAAATTTTTGCAGCCAATTTCAAGAATAATTGAATAGCTAACCAAGATCCCAGCCGTTGGCCGTCGAGGCCGCCTGAGTGCCCATGGATCTAACCTATGGATATATTTGCGGAAGAATAAAGATTTCTTATTCTTCCGTATAATCTAGACAAGAATTAGAAATACTTAGCAGTTATGAGAGGGTATCTTTCACCCCCACTGAGTTAATGAATTCCGCGAGAAATGTTCAAAAACTGCCGTCTGTCCATAACAGAAGACGGTTGATATGTCGAACACCTGTAGCAAAATCTCATATCTTGGTTTGCTATTTATTTTTATTGTTATTAGATATAGTTTAAATGTGTTGATGTTGGTTAAATATATTTTAAATTGTTAAAGAATTCTGCATCTCTCGTAGCAAATATTATTTTCGTTTTAATTGATTCTCACAGCTAGAATTTTTTTGCATTACAGCCGGTGCCGTTCAAAGCCTACTTATTTAAAGCGGACGATTTTTTATACACTCTATATCTCGAAGAGGAATCGAGCAAAATATCAAGTGTGTTATATTTTGGGAAAGGTAATTTTAAATTCTTTTCAATAAATTAAGAATATACAGGGTGTCCCATATAAAAAATCAAATTTTCTGTTGATAATTCCTAACATATTAATTTTAAAAAAATTATACTTAAACCATTAAATTCGACGTAAAAAAGTGCTTTGGAAATGTTTTCATAAAAATACAAAATTTTCCATAGCAAAAAAGTTACAGCGATTTATTAAAAATGCATATTTTTTAAAAACACCCCGTAACTCCGAAACGGTAACAGATATCGATATGCGGTTTTCACCATCATGTTTTTGACAAAAATTGAGCCCCAGACACCGATATTAGTTTTTGTCTATCTTCTATAGAAAAGGGTGTTTCCATTTAAAAGCGTCGAATTTGACCCACCCTGTACAAAGTACAAATGTTACCAAATGATTTTTGTTATGTGTTATGTTTATGACTTTTATGAGTTATGAATTGTTTATTAAAAATATAACAACTAATATTATGTTTATTGTTTTTTTTTTCACTTACATGTCGGTATCAAATGTCTATCTAATTTATTTCTTTATTGTATCAACAAAAAATATGTAAAATTGTAAAATTTCATAAATTTCTGAAAGTTTTCGAAAGTTTCGGAAATTTCCTGCAACAATCAAAAATTTCCGAAATATTAACATCACTAGGTGCGATAACATTCAATAAGTCAACTTTCCCGGATATTCAACTCTCCCGAAACAACATTTTATAGCTTCATAGTTTCTCACACCGATTTGATCAAAAGCAAAAATGGATTCAAGCAGTTCGACATAAAGAAATGAGTAAACAAAGTACTTGTTACATAATCAAAAAAAAATAGACATATACTATGAGAAGTTAAAATATAATCTGCAATATTAATGGTATACTTTTTTAATCAACTAGTGATTAAATGTTTTATGAACATCTTCTAAAACTATAATTATGTACCTTTAAAAAATTTTGTTATAGCCGAAATAACCCAAAATTATGACCCTACTAACAAAACCGGTGATTAAAACTATGCTCGCTACCGTAGTTGAACTCATCTAAAAAGTTTTTTTTAGCTGGAATAATAAATTATAATGCAAGTTAGACCTTCTGAGGATATCAAAATATTTACTTTATTTTTATTTTTAGAATTTTCACAATTTACACTTCCTAATACTTTTAGATTAATATTGTTAACTCAAATAAAATTAATAACAAAGCAGTTGTTCTTTTGATTTTTAACATGATGTAGGTATGCCAGATTGGCATTCTTAAAGAAATATTTCAATTTAACTGTTTCTTTTTTCCTCTCTGATGCCTTACTAAGAATATAAATATCATAATTTTAGTTCTAATAACCAGTAACATTTAGAAAAAAAAACAGCAGGAATGGGCACTAACTTATTTTACTTACCACATGATTTGACTACAGTTTCAATCTGATTCTTAACATTTGTCTTTAAAAAGAGAAAAACTTTATTTCTAAATAGTGTTTTTCTTTTTGGATTTGCCTCACATTTAAAATCAGATTTCAATAGCTGTTCTGAAATTTCGGGTCGATTGTATTTATTGATATCAGGAGGTGGTAAGCCTTTGTCTTTACTATTCTTGTAGGCACTCCAATAATCTGGTGTTACAATTGGTTTTTCATCTATTAATGCTTGAAGGACTTTAACTGTCACGGTAACCATCTCCACAGTTAAATGTGTACATTCAGAACTCCATTTATCTACATACTTTCCACAACAATATTCAACGTTTTGTTTTAAAGCTGATTTCTTTTCTGATGATAATCCGCTTGCCGATACCACAAAATTATAGAATTCAAAACTAGAATTATAAATATGATTACCTCCATAATATATAAAATAAATATACATATATGTATAAAACAAACAACTAACCGAAATACATGATTAAGCATTCCAAACTTAATTAAATCCTTGTTTTTTAATTTAATTTCAGTTTTAGATTGTATAGCAGTATCATTGTGTAGAGTATGATATTTTGATTCAGAATCTTCCAGGGTTGCACCGTCTGACTGAAAAATGATATTGAACTTTAAAGACAGATCATTAAACTTGTGAAAAGAATGTTTTATATACCTTGACTCTTATAATAGCATGTTTCCTACTTATAGATGCATCATCACGTAATACAATATCACAATCTTTTCTTCCTACAATATATGTACCCTCCGATAATGCAATCTCTTCACCTATAAAAAAATAAAATGTAGTAAAACAGTTTCCATATATATTTTTAATTTTATGACTAAATACTCCCATATATTGGTAAAATTAGTATATAATAAAATTAGTAGATAAACTATTCTACCTAGTGATATTATTTAATAAAATATAAAATATCTAGTAAGCCTCACTTAATAATATTCAACAGCAAATAATATTTGAACCTGACCTGTTGAAATCCTTTTTAGTGAATATGTCATTTTTATAATGGAATAAATGTGTTAATAAGCAATGATTAGATTAATAATTATTATCAATAAACATTTTTTTCAAACCGCAAACCACAAAATATCAAAATAAGGAAGTAAGGTTAGATTTTTCTTTTAAATTCAGTGTAGTCAATAGTTAAAACGAAAAATCTCTAAAAGAAATCCTAGGGGAGTGAAAAAAACTAGATCATATATAATATTATTATCTTATATAAATATGATTTGCACCATCCACAGAATACAAAGTTTACACGACTTAAATCTTACTTAAATTGTATATGCTCCATCTCCTTTCTGTAACGTACGTCTGTTCTAGTCTTTATATTTCTATTTGTGAAAGTTTTTTAAAGCGGTGTCGAAGCGTCTTTAGATATTTCTTTAATATTTATTACGTACTAATTAGCCATTAAATATTACCTTTTTAATGTACAATATTGTTGAATATAATAAGTTTTAAATATAATGTAGAATAATTATACTTTAGCAAGAACTTTTTAAAGGAAACATAACCTATGTTTATCTTTTGCAATGGATCTGCATTTCAGAGGTGTTTTAGATTATATTAAAAATTTCTTTACAACTGATAATGAAAGAAATAGAAAAAGAAGGTAAGTTAATTTTCGTTTGTATAAGTTATGACATTACTTATATTTAAATCATCGTGTCAATTGCAATACATATTGTATTATTTTAACTTGTTTATTGTATGATAAATGCTCGTTTTATTTATTTCAGAGCTGTACCAGATCTAAATATTGCATTAAGCCCAAAAATCGGCAGATACTCTCCATACTATACCAAAGAAAGAATTATTCCTATTGAGAGAGGTAAGAAATTATTTATAGAATGACTCTTAATATTTTCAATTTTTATATTTAGAAGATAAATGGTTTTCGTCTACAAAGACGTCCATAAAGAAATCTCCCCGGTTTCAAAAACCTTATAAGTCTCCCATGAAACCATTTAAAGTCATCGATACAGTGAATTTAGATGATAATGATACATTGGATATTAGGAAGCCTAACTTTAGGCCTGAATGTAGAAGCAAAATAACTTCTTCCACGCCATTAGAAACCAGAAAGAGTTTATATATGAATGGAAATTCTACAAGAAATGATGATGAAGATGACGTAATTTTTGTTACCTCGCCTGAACAAAAGCGAGATGAGGCTAGATTGGCAGGTTTTACCTATATTAAACCCAACTTCAAAGAGGATAAACCACTGTTTCATATTGGTAATATAATAATAATTTAATATGCTATAATGATTATATTTTTTGGTAGGATCGGGAAGTGTACAAAACGGAACAAGACCAAAGGATCGCAGCAAATTAAATTTTTCAAGATCCTCACAAGATAATTCGTTCCTAAACTACTCCTACAGATTAGATGATAAATTAAAATACAAGAAACTCTTAGAGCAAGTGAGTGGTTCTTCTTTTAATTCTTCGGTCTATCACACACCACAAGGAAAATTGTTTGATTCTTATGACAAGAAAAATATAGGGGACAGATCGATTGATAAACCCAAGGAAACTACGAAAGAGAGAGTTTTGAAAGTATTGGATAGTTTGGAAAATGATGCTGTGGTTGTTAAAGATTCCGATTCTGAGGAAAGTGTGATTCTAGTGAATCCGCCATCTCCAAAACCAGACATTAAAGTTGACCCTGTAAATAGTTTTAAGAAAATCGTTGATACCTCTAAGTTTGCAAAGAAAGACTGGCTGGATGATATGTAAGTACTGACATTTGTTATGTCTAATTCACAATATGATCTTAAATAAATATTGTATGTTACTTTATTTTCCAAAATATTTGATATTTTTTGTCAGAATTTTTTCATTGATAAATTATTTTTTGTTTGTTTGTCTGATGAGAATTGAATAGATGACAATTTTTAACAGATATACCGTGTGCGTCTCAAAAGTGGTTCACCCCTATAACTTTTTTATTTTTTCAGATAAAAAAAACGCGATTTGGTGTGTTAGTGTATGAAATATGATTGATTGTCATAATATTCAATTGTTTTTGGTCACTTAGTGTTTCACCGTAGTCATTTAGTCATTTCTTTCTTTTCATTTAGTCTTTTCACCATAGTCTTTTTAGTCATTTCTACAACAAAATAAAAACACTAAATCACCACAATACATGTGTTAGTTTATTGTAATATAAGTGAACTGTTAGTTTATAATCATCTGCTGATGATGCTAACATGGTTAACGAAACGCGCTTCCAGTGTAAAAGTAAAAGTGTTTTGGTGTATTGTGGTGATTTAGTGTTTTTATTTTGTTGTGTAACACCAAAGGTTCCAACCCTCAACTGTAATCATTTCTACAACTTTTGATTTTTAAAAGGCACCCTTGGTATTTTTTACTTTATTTGATAGAAAATTACATTCTGAATAGAATGACATCATATTATGTCAACTTATCACATTCTCGCGTAATAAAAAATTGTATTTTAAAATTCAATCTAGAGTGCCATGGCTATGTTAAAAACACTAATTCTTAATAAAATAAAATAAAATAATATATTTACGGACCAGCCATTTAAATGTACAGGGTGAGTCAACGATAGAGTAAAGTCCATTATTTCATTTGTTTCAAGGTTTACAAAAAAATGTTAAATATAAAAGTTATAGAGAAGTTTAAGATACACATTTTAAAATTATTATAGAGTATACAGGGTGCTTCAAAAAAGTGTGGCGAATATAACATATGTTTTTTTAAATGCAACACCCTATTTTTTATATAATTTTTAGATTCTGCGTAAAATTCCATAACTTTGTTATATATAATGTTATATACCTAAAATTAATAGTTTTCGTAATATTTAAATTTGTTTAAACAAATGTTAGATTTCAGTGTGATAAAAAATTGTCAGTGACGCCGTTGTTTCTGAAGTTGGACAACTAAAATTTGGTAGGAAAAATTTATAAAGAGGAAGAAAAAGATATATGTTAGATGCTACAGGGTGTTCAAAATATATTTATAAATTTCAACTATTTAAAATTAAAACAATTCAAATTTTTTAAATGGTACACCTTATATATTATCATTTTTTCTGATAGATTTTGCAAAATTCTACAACTTTTATAAGGTAAACTAATATACCAATTTTTAATAGTTTGCGACTTATTCTGAATTATTCAATTTTTACTCTGTTTTTTTTTTAATTCATTTATGGCTAAAACATCATGGTTGCCATGACAAAACAAAAATATATATTATTAATCATTAACAAGTAGTTTAGTAACTAGTTACACACAATTGTTATTATCAGTTTATGTTAATTTACTTTACTCAAGTAATAAAAAATCACTGAATTTATTCGTGTATTTCTATATTATGAAAGATGACACTTGGATTTTCCCTTGGGGCGAATGCTATAGATTAGGATAATACCAGATTACCTAGTTAGAGACTACTGATATAGGAGTTTTCTTCGATATAAATTATGTTTTTTTCTTGTAGCAAATTGCAATTGCAATTCTGGTTTATAATTAATTTCGTAAAGCTAATATTACTATTGCCGCGAAACCGTCCCATTACACACTGAAAATATTTTCTAGTTAATCTACATCTATTCTTATAGTACTTAGCAATAATATATAATCCTGAAACAAAACATAATTTTTTCTTTTTTGTGTATATCAGTCAAATTGACTAATTCAATTTTCAGCAAAATATGTTACTATTACTTCGTCCATCTATACTTATTGTAACAAATTAAACTAAAATTCAAGTTTTGTTCATAACTTGCTTAACAGACATATCAAATTTTGAAAATTATTACTTTTTTTCATGGTAACTATGATGTTATAGCGTAATTGTATTAAAAATATGAATAAAAATAGAAAAAATTGGAATAAATCGCAAACTAGTAAAAATAGGTATATGACATACTTAATAAAAATTCAAGAGTTTTGTAGAATATATCAGAAAAAATGATAATATATAGGGTGTGCCATTTAAAAAATTTGAAATTTTTTAATTTTAAGTAGTTGAAATTCATAAATATATTTTGAACACCCTGTAGCATCTAACTAAAATATCTTTACAAATATCTTTTTCTTCATCTTTATAAATTTTCCCTACCAAATTTTAGTTGTCCAACTTCAGAAACAATGACATTACTGACAATTTTTTACCACACTGAAATCTAACATTTGTTAAAACAAATCGAAATATTTCAAAAACTATTAATTTTAAGTATATAAAATTATATATAAAAAAGTTATAGAATTTTACGCAGAATCTAAAAATAGGATAAAAAATAGGTTGTTGCATTTAAAAAAACATATGTTATATTCGCCACGCTTTTTTGAAGCACCTTGTATATTCTATAATAATTTTAAAATGTGTATCTTAACCTTCCCTATAACTTTTATATTTAACATTTTTTTGTAAACCTCGAAACAAACGAGATAATGGACTTTACTCTATCGTTGACTCACCCTGTACATACAACAATAATTATAATTACAACTAGAATAAAATCCATCACAACAGAAACTTTACAATAAATTACTACAAAACCACCGCCTTTACTTTATTCTTGAAACTATTTATATTATCACAGAAGAAGTCGATATCACAGTCTTTATCAATAATCTGATTAGCCTCTACACAAAATCTTGTAAGCGCAAATGACATTCCATAATTAGTTCTGTGAAAAGGTAGTTCGCTTAGTAAGCTGGGACAGTCAATCTGAGAGTTGAGAATCTTGAAAAGTGTGCAAATATCTATAAATTTTCTCCGATCTCCCAAACTTGGCAAATTCAATGAATACATTATTTCCTCAATTGCAATATCTTCCACGGGGATACCCATCTTAAAGCCCACAAACCTCAACAATTTTCTCTGTATACGTTCGATCTGCTCCACATAGATTTTATAATATGGACCCCAGACTGGGCAAGCATATTCTAGTATCGATCTCACATAGGCAATATATAAAGTTTTGATACAGTTTATGTCATTAAAATCAGTTAACGTTCTTTTAATAAAACCCAACATCTTTAACGCTTTGTTTGTCATGAAGTTAATATGATAATTAAAATTCAGATCCTTAACAAAGTATACACCTAGATCTTTCATCACATCAGTTTTATCTAAAATATCATCTTGAATCTTATAATCATAAAATAAAACATTTTTTCTTTCTGTAGAACTGCATTACTTTACACTTTGATATATTTAATGACATCCCATTCAACCTACACCATTCACTCAATCCATTCAAATCCTGTTGCAACTAAAGCAGTCATCCAGTGACTGAATTACCTTGTAAATTTTGAGATCATCCGCGTATAACAAAAATTTAGAGTGTGTAATAAAGTCGGTTACATCATTAATAAATATATTGAAAAGCAGCGGAGATAAATGAGACCCCTGTGGAACTCCGGACTCGACTAAAACCTCCCTAGAAGTGAACCCTTTAATTTTAACAATTTGTCTTCGTTCCATTAAATAACTTTTAAACCATGACAGAAGATTTCCACAAATTCCACACCTCTCCAATTTCTCCACCAGCAGATTATGATTGATTTTATCGAATGCTTTAGAAAAATCTGTGTAAATAGCATCGATTTGTTGTTTCTTCTCTAGAGATGTTTTTAATTCATTTTCATAGACTAATAAATTTGTAATTGTAGATTTTCCTTTTCTAAAGCCATGCTGATAATCAGTTAATATATTTTGAAATTCCAGTTTGATTTTGCTATCAATAATTGATTCGAAGATCTTGGCAAGTATGGAATTCTTAGAAATCGCTCTGTAATTAGTAATCTCAGATCGGTTACCACTTTTGAAAACTGGTGTTACATATGACACCTTCCATTGGTCCGGATATTCCCCTTTGGCAACAGATAGCTTAAAAAGAATACATAAAATGTGAGACAGTATGAAACAACATTTTTTTAAAAACATCACAGGAATCCTGTCGGGCCCTGCAGATAAATGATTATTTAATCTAAAAATAGCATTATATATATATCAGTTTCCTCAACATCACATCTCTCAATCACTACACTGTTGGTTACATTAAAATCAAGTGTGGCATGTTACATTACTATTATAGACCGAAGAAAAATGATCAGAAAAATAATCTGATATTACAGTACCATCATCGGAGGTTTCAGAATTGTAAGACATTAGATGTGGCAATTCAGAGTTCTTACTTTTTGAATTAACATAATTCCAAAACTGCTTAGAGTCACTATTTATCGAAATTTGTATGTCTTCAATATATCTCTTGTAGCATGCCCTAGCCAAGGCCTTACACTCCCGTCGAAAATGAGAGAAAACTCCATAATTATTCAACGATTTGGATTCCTTGAACTTTTTATGTGCAATCTTTTTATTGAAGATTAATTTTTTAAGTTCATTATCATACCATGGTGATGAGAATTTGGGTTTTTTTGATTTTTTTATGGGGATATATAAATCAAAAGCCATATAAACTATGCCGTAAAATGAATAGATATTTTCCCCAAGAATATTAGAATTCAACAAATTCTCCCAGTCATACAGGCCTAAGAAATCATTAATAGCTCCAAAATCCCCATTCTTGAAATCATAATATTCATAATCAAAGTTCAAGGTCTCCCCACGCTTCTGTGAAATACCAAATTCAAATGTTAAAGCCGGATGATACTTATCCAATGAAAGTAGAGATTGCTCTGCTAAGACTATCTCCGTCTCAACATTGCTGAGAACCAGATCGAGGTAACCCCCCAACACATTTGGAATTGATTAATCAAGGAGCCTTGGAAAAATAGATTTGATTGTCTAATGTTTTTAGTGTCTTATCCTGGCCAGTTAGAAAATGCTCAAATCGTATTTTTAATCATATCTCAATTTTTTTCAAAATGGAACGAGGATGACTCATTAGCATATTTGGAAAAAGCATTTTTTACAAATAATTTGATACCACACACTTGGTATTGCAAGTCAAATTTTCTTTACGAACCGCAAGTTATAATTTCAAATAAATGTCAAAAGTTGACATATGATATGTCATTCTATTCAGAGTGTTATTTTCTATTGAATAAAGTAAAAAAATACCGAGGGTGCCATTTAAAAATCAAAAGTAGTAGTTATTTTCGGTGAAACAGGAAGTGACCTAAAACAATTGAATACGTCAATCAGTCCTAATTTATGTCATATACTAACATACCAAATCTCGTTTTTATCTAAAAAAATGAAAAAGTTATAGGGGTGAGTCACTTTTGAGATGCACCCGGTTTATACAGTGTAATTAACTTTGAAATTAATAATAAAAAAAATGATTATGAATCGATTTTTTAATTGCTTAATTTCCGACAGGTGCGGCCAGTATTATATTATGACATTGTATAATGTATAATCTTCTCTCTATGTCACAGTGGCTGTGGTAATCAATAAATTTGACGTTTCGGCTATACCGGGTGCGTCTCAAAAGTGGCTCACCCCTATAACTTTTTATTTTTTCAGATAAAAAAACGAGATTTGCTATGTTAGTATATGACATAAATTAGGATTGTTTGACGTACTCAAATGTTTTCGGTCACTTACTACAAGTTTTTATTTTTAAATGGCGCCCTCTTTTTTACTTTATTCGATAGAAAATCACACTCTGAATAGAATGACATATGTGTCAACTTTTGACATATTCGCTTAAAAACAAATTGTATTTTAAATTTCAATCTAGAATGCCATGGCTGTGTTAAAAACACTAATTTTTAATCAAGGAGCCTTGGAAAAATATATTTGATTGTCTTTTGATGTTTTTAATATCTTGCCCTGGCCAGTTAAAAGATGCCCAAATCGTATTTTTGATCATATTTCAATTTTTTTCAAATGGAACGAGGGTTAATTTGATACCACACACTTGGTACTTCGAGTCAAATTGTCGTTATGAACCGCATGTTACAAATTCAAATTCAATTTCAAATATATAATATGGGAATATGTCAAAAGTTGACATGTGACATGTCATTTTATTCAGAGTGTCATTTTCTACCGAATAAAGTAAAAAAATACCGAGGGTGCGATTTAAAAATCAAAAGTTGTAGTCATTTCCGGTGAAACCGGAAGTGACCGAAAACAATTGAATATGTCAATCAATCCTAATTTATGTCATATACTAACGTACCAAATCTCGTTGTTTTATCTGAAAAAATAAAAAAATTATAGGGGTGAGCCACTTTTGATACTCACCCGGTATATTTATCCGTTGCGTATCTGAGGGACAAACTTTTACGACCTACATCGACAATGCTTCGAAATAAACTAAACCAAAAACCAAGCGATCAAGCGAATCGCTCGCCACTTACTACTTGCCGTTCATTACCAAAAGAATATGTGCCCTGCGCATGCAGCTTAAGCTACGTTTACGCGATGCAAGTTTTGCTTGCGCAAGAACTTGATTGCAAGTACTTGCTTAATGTAAACGGTGTTTCAAGTAATTGCTCAACTGATTGTACAAGAAAAATTACTTTGCAAGTAAAGTTGATCGACGGTCTACTTTTCTTGCACGCTAGTACTTGCAGAGCGAAAATTTTACATGTAAACACGTTGTCAAGTTCTTGCAGTAGCAGTTGCATGAAAAAATGGCCCCAAGCAGGTTGTCTCACGACCAAATTATGAGGGTTTTAACTATTTACGAAAAGCACGAATGTTTATAGATCGTTAGAAGAGTACACCTTAGTGTACACTATAGAAATAAAATTATGAGATGCTGCCTCTGAAAGAGTTTTGGAATAAATAGTTTTTCCTCAGATTTATCCATGGTTTTACCCATACTCTTGTTTTTTGATTTTTTCTAACAAAGTACGCAATTCATCACTTAACGTATGACATAAAATATTTACACCACATTTAACAATCTCTGTGGTATCCATAGTTCTTGCACAATAACTTGACTAGTGTAAACATACAATTTTAAAATGTTCAGTTGCAAGTACTTGCAAACAAGTAATTGCGCAAGCAAAACTTGCATCGTGTAAACGCCGCTTTACTGCTAGGCGCTTGGCGTTAACGAGTACTTACAACATGCGACGGACAAAAAACCGTATTTTTAAATACGAACGATATATCGCTCGAATGATCACTCGGTTATTGCAATCGCTTGATACTCGAGTACTCGATTATTGAAATTAATCGGTTTTTCCCATCACTAGAAATTACTCCCTGTAATGTTTATACTATATAGGAAACACCCTGTATAGTTAGGTATTAATGAGATCTTTTTGACAATAGACACCTGAAGAATAAGAGACAACAACATGATAACAGCTGAAATATACTGACATTAGATATTAGAATTTCCAATAGTTAAAATTTAAAATGGGAAACACATTATTTTTTCTATTGCATTTTTTTGGGTTAGTAAGTTGAAAAATGAACTTTCTGTTTTACCAACAGAATCGTTGTTTTAATTGTTTCATTTAAGTGGAAAATATTGATGGTCCTCTACAAAATTGATGTAATTCAAAATTATTTTGTGTGTTAATTTTATAATCATAGACATTAAAAGTACGAAACTATTTACAGTTTGGAAAAGCACAAGCAACAAGCGGAAATTCGCCAGAAGGAAATAGATGACTTAAGAATTTGTTCCAAGAAACAAGAAGAAATCAACAAGGACATAAACATAGAACTTCTGAGGCGCAAAGTAAACGATTGTTTACAACTTAAAGATGTCATTCTTCCTGTTATCGAGTCGGAACCAGAAACCGAACTACCACCGCTTACTGAAAAACAACAATATATGGTCGAAAGAGCGTTTAGAGGCGATCCTAGCGAAGTCTTGGCCAGGAAATTCAACCTTAACATAGCTAGGAGGGATCTGCTCACTTTGGCCGGGCTAAATTGGTTGAACGACGAAGTCATCAATTTCTATATGAATCTCATCATCGACAGGGCGAAGGATTCCAAATGGCCGAAGAGTTACGCTTTTAATACGTTTTTCTATCCGAAACTCATTAGCAGCGGTCCACAGTCTCTGAGAAGATGGACGAAAAAGGTGGATTTGTTCTCTTATGACCTTGTGTGTATACCGATTCATCTTGGTATGCACTGGTGTATGGCTATCATCGATTTTCGGGAAAAATCGATAAGGTAAGTTTTATTGAATTTGTTACTGTATTGTATAGGCTTGGTGCATTTCAGTTGATTTCAACAAATTCCGATCCCAGCGCACTCTACGGTAGAAATCAGAAAATATCAATATATAGTTCACGACGCCGCGCCGTCATGTCGATCGCATTAAAATAATATTGAAATCGGTGTTTTGTCATAATCTTTAAGAATTTTATTTTTTTGCTAGTACAGTTATTGAGACTATAAAACACTAAGGTAGAGTAAACGCCTCGAATGTTTGGGAGTAATTCATCGCTTGATGAAGTTAGAATCGACACGCGCGTTATCATTTTTACATTAAAAACGTAAATTTTTACCGCAGACATAGGTTTTTAAAGGCCCGGTCTAATCATCTGCTTGCGCTCCTCCTACTTATTCTAAAATGTTAGCGTGATTGAGAAAGGCAATACTATATCGCGTTTCTTTGATTGATTCGTTTTTGTGCGTCAGTCCATTGGTGTGCTTGCAGTGCGACCAATGGGACATTCCATTTTATATTTATAACCAAATATATGTTTTGACAAGACTTTGACAGTTAATAACAACAAATTACAACAGATTAAATATTGATTATTATATGATTTGAAAGACCATGGCACTGGAATTAAGTTTTATGTGACCTTGAACCGATTAGTTCACATGGTAGCGACCGATGAATCACTCCCAAACATTCGTGGCGTTTACTATACGAGATTTGTGTGATGTAACGCTGTTTCGGGTAGTAAAAAATAAGTGAAAAAGAATTCGAACTAGGCGTCTTGTTGTGTTGTGACAATTTCAAATGTTAATAAAATTGCCTAAAAAAATGTTAACGCGTAAAGAAGGGCGTAATTAGGGCGCTGCTGGGTGCAATAACATTCAATAACTCCACTTTCCCGGATATTCAACTCTCCCGAAACAACATTTTATAGCTTCATAATTTCTTACACCAATTTGATCAATAGCAAAAATGGATTCAAGCAGTTCGACGAAACAGGTGAGTAAACAAAGTCATCATCATCATCAACCAGCCTGAAGTGTCCACTGCTGGACGTAGGCCTCCCTCAAATCTTTCCACTCTTCTCGGTCCTGTGCCACTTGGATCCAGTTTCCCCTAAATCTCTTTAAGTCATCTGACCATCTTGTCCGAGGTCTGCCTCTGTTTCTGAGAGCATCCTGTCTTGGCCGCCATTCTAGTATTAGCTTGGTCCATCTATCATCCGTTCTTCTGGCAATATGCCCAGCCCAGTTCCATTTGAGTTTTTTAAGCAGATATATAGCAACTGTTATTCGTGTACGCTGTTTTATAACTGTACTGGGTATCTTGTCTCTTAGTGATACACCAAGCATTGCTCTTTCCATAGCTCGTTGGGCTACACGGTTTTTTTCTATGGACTTTTTCGTCAGTGTAAGTGTCTCTGCGCCATATGTAAGTACTGGCATAACGCACTGATGGAACACCTTCCTCTTTAAGCACATTAGTACACCGATTTTAACACATATCTTAGTTTGCCGAATGCTGCCCATGTTAGTCCTATTCTTCTTTATATCTCGTTCGTCTGGTTATCGCGACCAATTGTTATTTCGTGCCCCAGATATTTATATGAATATACTTGTTCTATATTTGCTCCGTCTACCGAGACATTTCCACTAATAACATTAGTTTGGTTTTTGAATAATTTATGCGTAGTCCAATTTGATCTGACGCCCGTTTAAGTGTTTCTAGCATATTTTGTGCTTCGTGTATTTTGTCTGTAATCAGCACCAAGTCATCAGCAAAACGCAGGTTATTGAGCATTTCCCCGTTAACATTAATGCCCATTTCCTCCCAGTTTAGTCTTTTGAACATATATTCTAATAGTGCTATGAACAATTTGGGGGAAATGGTATCGCCTTCTCTCCGTACTCTTTTAATACGGAATTTATTTGTGTTTTCATGTAGCGATACAGATGGTGTTGCATGGTCGTATATATATTTTAAAAGGTTAGTATAACGGGTGTCTATACGACATTCGGCAACAGTAAACAAAGTGCTTGTGTTAAATAGACATAATATACTATGATAGGATGAAATATAATTTACAATATTAATGGTATACTTATTTAATCAACTAGTGATTAAATGTTTTATAAACATCTTCTAAAATTATAATTATGTACCTTTAAAAAATTTCGTCATAGCCAAAATAAACAAAAACCGGTGATATGCTCGCTACCGTAGTTGAACTCTTCCAAAATTTTATTTTAACTGGAATAATAAATTATCATGCAAGTTAGACCTTCGGAAAATATCAAAATATTTACATTTTTATTTTTTTGTTTGGAATTTCCACAAATTACACTTTCTAACACTTTTAGAATTATTATACACTAACTTTTTCGTTTACTCGCCTTTTAAATCCGTGTATTTGTATGTGTTCGTTATTTACGAGTTGCGGAGAATGCACCAAGCCTATAGTCCTCCATACACCTGCGGACTTGGTCGGTCACGTACCAAAACTAGTATTTTGGACTGACCAATCTTACCCGCCGATTAGATCTTTGCCTGATTAAATCTTCCCATTTGGGACAAAATTCGACTTTTTATTACAGTTTTTATATAGATAAATGTTTATCGGAATAAAAAATACTGTATTTTCGCTAAAGAAAGAGCGTCGTAATAATAAAAATATGCTGAAACACCAATTGAAACCAAAATGGGACACTGCATAACTACACATTGTTCTTTTTTTAGATACTATGACAGTATGGGCGGCCCGAACAACAAATGCCTAAACGCGTTGGCCAATTACCTGGTAGCGGAACACCTCGACAAAAAGGGATCGAAGTACGACGTGAGCGACTTCATTTTGGAAAATATGGACAACATTCCGCAGCAGATGAACGGCAGCGACTGCGGCATGTTCTCCTGCACGTTCGCCGAGTTCATAACGAGGAACGCGAAACCCACGTTTAAACAGGACGACATGCCATATTTGAGGAAGAAAATGGTGGTCGAAATCTTATCCGGCGAGCTGTTGATCAAATAAAGTCTACGTAACAAACTTGGTTCGATTTGATATTTTTTAGGTTATGTAACATCCACAGACGTATTAAATGAGAGACAGTATAATTTATAGAGTGATGTCCTGATTTGTTTACACCATATAAATTTTATTTTCCTAGAGTTTTGTTTTTCTTGTAATTTTGTAGAGTGGTCGCAACTAAAGAGGGAGCTAGGAGCGTCAACAATGACGCGACTGTACCCGGTGTGGGTCAAATTGGACGCTTTTAAAGGGAAACACCCTTTTCTATAGGAGATAGACGAAAACTCATATTGGTGTCTGGAGCTCAATTTTTATCAAAAACATGATGGTGAAAACCGCACATCTATATCTGTTACCGTTTCGAAGTTACGGGGTGTTTTTCAAAAATGTACATTTTAAACAAATTGCTATATAATCCTCTTTTGCTATAGAAAAATTTTAATTAATAATTTAAGAATTATCAACAGAAAATTTGGTTTTTTATATGGGACACCCTGTAGTAGTGAGGCATTTGTGAGTAGTTGCAAATAATATTTGCAATAAGAGAGGCAGAATTTTATAACAATTTAAACTATACTTAACAACATCAACACATTTAAACACTATATTAATAAAAATTCAAATTAATAGCAAACCAAAACATGAGATTTTGCTACAGGTGTTCAAAATGTCGACCGTCTTCTGTCATGGAGAGACGGGACCGTTTTTAAACATTTCTCGCGGAATTCATTAACTCAGTGAGAGTGAAAGGTAATTTTAAGTTCTTTTCATTTAATTTAAAATATACAGGGTGTCCCAAATAAGAAATCAATTTTCCTGTTGATAACTCTTAAATTATTAATTTAAAAAAAATATACTTAAACCATTAAATTCTATGTAAAAAAGTGCTCTGGAAATGTTCTCATAAAAATTCAAAATTTTCCATAGCAAAAAAGTTACAGCGATTTGTTAAAAATGCACATTTTTGAAAAACACCCCATAACTCATAAACGGTAACCGATATCGATGTGCGGTTTTCACCATCATGTTTTTGATAAAAAATGAGCCCCAGATACCGATATTAGTTTTTCTCAATCTCCTATAGAAAAGGGTGTTTCCCTTTAAACGCGTTGAATTTGATCCACCCTGTACAGGGTGTCCCATTTTCGCGTGTTTTACAGTTTTTCTCGCTTATTGGTATTAGTGTAAGTACAAAGATGTGGTTTTCACATCACAGTTCACAGTACTTTTTTATGAAACTAAAGGTGCGGCAGGCAGATTTGTAAGCAGATTAGCCTTCTTATTAATTACAGGGTGAATTTGAAAATGTTGCATTTTTTGTCTCCGTTCGTGTTACAATTTATGGAAAAGGTGAAAACTGAGTCCGAAAGAGTTTTTCACATAAAGTAACGTAACTATAGATTTTCGCTGGGAACTACCATTCTTGAAATATAAGCCAAACTTTTATTTTATTAAATGTGATAGCCTGTATATTATTTTATTTTATTGTGTTTGTCTTGGTATGAGCTTTCTAAAAATATTATATGCTATAAACAACATAAAAAATGCATTATTTAACTTTTTAACATTAACAACAGCCAAACAAACCAATCAAATAATTTAGTCAACGTTAAATTTTGGTTACTGGCTATTCCACGCTAGTTTCTGTGTGTAGAATTATTGCACAAGTGCATCAAAAATATCAGTAACACTTATTAACAGCGTGTTATCTAAAAGCTGCACACACTGTTTATTTTCTGTGCAGTTTATTAAGATAACACAATGGAAAGCAAAATTATATGGTTAAATTAAATAAAATGAAAGAATACCTAATACTCTTAAATTAGGTTGATTTATGTTAAAAAGTTAAATAATGCATTTTTTGCCTTATTAATGAAAATATATATATACTACCGTATGTCCCCGGATAGCCTTTACAAGAGGAAAAACTTTTTATTATTGACATTTTGAGAAAAATGCATTGTTCATAAAAATTTCCGCTTGTTCTAAAATGGTTAATCCCCTTTATACTTTTCCAAATTTCCATATCGTTTTAGAGAAAATTAAAAAAAAACTTAAAATTATGGTTGATTTTTTCCTAGAAATCGAAAGTCGTTTGTATGGTAATATAATTTAGATTTCATTATTTGGTAGATCATTTTTGATTAACTTCATATGTTTGCTGTTGTTAAAGTAAACATTTTCCGATAAGTATTATCACCCTTTCTGTAGCATTAAACTAAATAAATTTTGTGCTTCTCTGACATTTTAAAACAACGAAAACTATGACGCTAATTAAAATTCTATCAATAAAAATCCATAAAAAAAAACGAAATTATATTACCATAGAAACACGTTTTGATTTTTAGGACTTCAACTGGAAAATTCAACTATATTTTCATGTTTTTTTTTTACTTTTCTAAAACGGTATGGAAATTTGGAAAAGTATAAACGGGATTAACCATTGTAGAACGAGCAAACATTTTTTAAACTTTTTTCTTTTGTAAATTGATTCTACTTGAAAAACTACGAAATTCAGTTTTCACATTTTCGATAAGTTATAAGAAAACCGCGATACGAAGGGGTCGAAAAATGCGACATTTTCAAATTGCCCCTGTATTTCAGAAACGCTGTGTCTAGATGCGCGTTAACGTGTACGAAAAATAAAGCTTCGGTGCACGCGAAACGGGTATTTTGCGTGCAATCTAAACAAAAAAAAACGATTAACCGACGCAACCAAAATACGCCGCAGGCTATTTAATTACCGACAGCTTCGAAAAAAATTAAAAAGCTGTAAAAAAAACAAAAAAAGTTCTACATTTGTCGGGGATCGATCCTAGGACCCCCTCTCTCCTGGGTGAAGCACAGGCTGCTTTCGTAACCAGGCTATAGCTGGGCATTACTTAGTGCAGAAAGCTTTCTAGTTTTTCCTAACCTAACCTAACGTGCACCTAGACATAACGTTTCAACCAGAAGGCTGGGACGAAGCTGTGTATAGTACATTTTGTTTCATAAAAAAGTAACAAAGTGATGTGAAAACCGCATCTTTGTATCTCCACTCATAAACGAGAAATCCTTTAAAACACAGCAAAATGGGAAATCTTATCAAACACATCCCTGTATAGTGACAGTGACCGCACTTTGCTTGCGTTTCGACAGTTGGGTAAGCCATGAGTGTGAGTTTAGTTATTAGTTTGTTCTAATGCTATAAAATAACATTTCGAATTATTTGGCGCGGCACTGCCTAACGCTTTCACCGGCAAAACATTTGACGCTCCTAGCTCCTTTTTTAGGTGCGACCACTTTAGTGTAGATCTCTAAAATCACATCAGCTGTCACTCGGTAGATATGTAAGATAATTTTTCTATTTTATTTTTTTAAAACAATTTTTCAAATGAAACAAATTAAAAGCTAAGGGTATTTGTGTAAGACAGGCTGTTAAATTAAAGTACAGTTTAACATCATAAAAAGTAAAAATATGATCTTAAAAATGTACTAAAGATGTGTTAAGTCAGTTTTGATTAATTAAAATTAAGTTATAATGTAGGATTATTGGCCTTTCTTTGTTTTTGTTATTAAATCCATTATTTATAATAATTTACTTGTAATTATTTAATAGTTTAGTTTCACGATACGACTCCTAAATTATTCTACGTAAGAAAAAGCAGTGTTACATTTTTTTATTAAAAACGAAATTTTTTCCTAATATTAATAAATTATGTACTTTCCAGAACTCTATTTGTTTTATGTTTTGTCCTTAATAGTAACTACCAGGAATGACCTATATTTGATACTAATTAAACTTTTAGTTACGTAATCGAGGGCGCGATTTTTAAATTCGTTGTTGCCAAACATGGGCATATTTGGCGCCGGGCTGACTAACTGGAATTTAAATTTCCCGCTGAGGATTCAGATGGTAGCTCTGCTGTAAAAAATATCAAGTTGTCACATTTATTTATTTATTTCTTGACATTTCATTCGTTTTGATATTTTAATTTGGTATTACGAGTTTTTGGTTTAAATGAATTGTATTGTGATACTTTAAGCTTAAAACTTTTTACTAGCAGTCCTTGCAGTCGAACATTGCTCTTTTTAGGAACTCTTTTAGTGCGAAATGTACAAGACAGCTTAATAGCCGTAAAAAAACTCATCGCAACTCTATTAGAATATTTTGAACCGGAAAGCGGTAGTAATTAATGGCCCTTTATGTCCCTTTAGTGCTGTTAAGGAGGTGAGTTTTGTTGATAAATAATAACTGTTTATATATTTATAAATAATTTATTTTTGTTTCCTAAAATACTAGCGTGTACCAGCGACTTCGTTCGCGTCGAATTAATCATTTGTAATGGTGATGATAAAGCAAAGCCAGAATTTCCATTAAAATACAAACTGGATAAAATTTGCGTATATTTATGTCAGCATGAGAAAAAACAATATGGCGATATTATTATATAACTTGGTAATATTTGAGGGGTAGTTTCATCTCGTTGGAATTTGACTTTCGAAAAATCCGTTTGCCAAAAATAAGCTTTTTACGTCAAGCATTTTTAGCAGAATCGTGGTTAAGAAATTACCCAACTTTTTGGAACACCCTGTATGATTTTTTAAAAAATTTCAAAATAAATAAAAAAAACCAAATAAATTATGCTTGTCCAAGCGTTTTCCCGAAAGACTAAGCGGTTTTTAAAAAATAAATATTGTAATATTTGAGGGGCGTTTTCACCCTCTTGGAATTTGAGATTCGAGAAACCCCTCCTTATCGATCCTCTACACCCCACAGTCAATCTGTTTGCCAAAAATCAGCTTTAAACGTCAAGCAGTTTAAGCAGAATCGTGATGACTCGATGGTCATATTTTATGAAATACCCTGTATAAATTTATAAAAAATCGTAAAATATGTAAAACAACAAAATAAAATATACGTGTTTAAGAGTATTTCCGAAAAACTCACCGGTTTTTAAATAAAAAAATATTTTAATATTTGAGGGATAGTTTCACCCTTAGAATTCTAGTTTCGAAAAATCCCTTCTTATCGAACCTCTACACCCTAAAGTCAATCTGTTTTCCAAAAATCAGCTTTTTACGTCAAGCGCTTTAAGCAGGATCGTGATTAATCAATGACCAGATTTTTCGAAACACCCTGTATACATTTTTAAAAAATCTTAAAATATGTAAAAAAACAAAATAAAATATACGTATTTAAGGTTTTTTTTCGGAAACTTGACCGTTTTTAAATAAAAAATATTGTAATATTTGAGGAGTGGTTTCACCCTTGTTTCACCCTCTTGGAATTGGAATTTCGAAAAATCCCTTCTTATCGAACCTCTACACCCTAGAATCAACCTGTATGCAAAATTGAGCTTCTTACGTTGAGTGGTTTGAGCAGGATCGTGATTAATCAGTATGTCAGTCACTTAAGGATTTTATATATTAGTATAGATTTTGATTAACAGAAAATAAGTGGGCAACGTTGTGCCTTCTATTGTTAATCTAAGGTTGTGCCGGCCAAGCTTAATCACGTGACTAAAAGTTTATTTGATATGAACTATATTTTATATTTAAAAGTACACAAGGTTTTTAATGCAACTTATTCATTAAAAGTTTTTTAGGATCAAATTTAGAGACAAATTTGAATGTTTAAATGATAATAAATTATTTTCCAGTTACTGACATATCCGATTTAATAAAAAGTAGCTGTCATATTTGTCTATATATTTTTTGATTTTTGGTTCTAAACATTTATTTGTAAAATGTCATACCTAAACATCGATCTATTTTATAGAAGGGGCACATTTTAGGCATATACCTTGCCTCCAGCTTCACCCCCTGAGTGAGGGCGAGTGACACCCTTAGTTTTTGTAATGGGAAGAGGGTCGAGTGATACCTTTTTAAAGGTCTCTCGCTCCAGATTATATAGTCCTAGAGTTTGAAGTTGCTAGTGTCATCTTTGTTAACACGACAGCTTGTCAAAATTCCTAATTTTCTTAGTTTTGTCAAGCTGCCATATTAACAGAAATTACGGTAGCAACTTCAAACTCTAGGGTTATAATCTGTAGCGAGAGACCTCTAAATAAATAGAGGAGATGGAGAATAAGGTCGAATAATCACTCGACCCCCCTTCCCATTACAAAAACTAGGGGTGCCACTCACCCCCTCTCAGGGGGTAAAGCTGGATGATGACGATTTCAAATGCTTAGACTAGTGGATTTATTTATCAAGAGAACAGGTTTTAGGCATATTACCCAGGATCCAGCTTCACCCCCTGAGAGGGCTTAAGTGTTTAATCTGAAAAATGATACCTCATATGTTTCCACATTGTAACCCAAAAGTTTGAAGCTGCTACCTACTGTAATTTCTGTTAATATGGCAGCTTGACAAAACCACAACAAAACTAATAAAATTAGGAATTTTGACAAGCTGTCATGTTAACAAAGATGACACTAGCAACTTCAAACTCTAGGGCTATAATCTGGAGAAAGATACCTTTAAAATAAGGTATCACTCGACCCCCCTTCCCATTACAAAAACTAAGGGTGCCACTCACCCCCGCTCGGGGGGTAAAGCTAGAGGGAAGGTGAGATGCGTAAAAAGAGCCCCTTTTAAAAAATAGATCGACGTGTTCATTTTTTGTACTAAAATCCTAGTTTAAGAAAATGAATTTATTCCATACTTTATGTACACACTGTATGTAAAAACTGCCTCCAATTATATGTAATAATTGCAACTATTAATAAAACAAAGGTTTATTTTAAAAAATATAAGCATAACCATAATAAATATATACATAAATAAATTACATAAAAAAAGGCATAACACAATATGATATGAATACATATTATTTTAACATATTAAAAATTGTACTTTATTGACTGTCTTCAGAAAGCTCGGCATCCAACTTTGGATACATCTTTCGCTTTTCTTTTTTCTGAACGTAACCAGGCCCTCGTTTTCCTTTCCTAAACGTTTCGATCGCTTTCAACTTATTCCTCAGAAGCAGGCTTTTGTCCTTTTCCTTCTGGGGTATAACTTCTTTTTTGGGAACCTTAGTCGATCTAGCGATTGGTCTCTTGGGTGGTGGTTGTGAGGTTGAAGTTGATGGACCAGGAAGCGACTCCTGTAATTCAATTTAATATTTACACAGTGTCCATCTTTCGAAAATGTTTTGACTCATATCATTGAAATCTCGGAAATGGTCATAATTTTTTTGGGTTGGTTTTAATAAATAGACATTTTTTAAAACTAATAACTGAAAAATCTACAATCCAAAATCTTTGTTAATTTTTAAACAAAAATACTCTATAATAGTGTCCTCTTTAAAATTTAGCATACTGGAATTTGTAATGGCTTTTGTGATATACATAGGCAAAACTAAATGTATTTTTACTCCACTGAATTGAGAATAATTTTAACTTCATGAAAGATAACGCATCTCCCCATACCAGCAGAGTGACTAGAGAATGTCTTGAAACGGAATGTGTCATAGTTTTGGACTGGCCTGCATGTTCACCAGATCTTAACCCTATCGAACACTTGTGGGACCAATTCAAAAGAGATAGAGCTGGTCAAAACAATCCAGGAAATGTTGCATAGCGTATTCATGCAACATTAGCAGAATGAGAAAACATATCCCAAGACAACGTTGATAATTTAATAAGAAGCATGCCAGCGCGGATAGAAGTTTACATATGGGCTAGAGGTGGCAACGCGGATTATTAAAATTATCAATTTTCTTTTTGTTTTTGCAGTGAAACTTGTTTACGCGCGCTGGGAGTAAATATTCAAGGCCGTGACACATGAGCTAGCGTCATGAAAAGTGGTAACGATCGAAAAAGTGGTAAGCCCAATGATAATAAAGGATAAAACAGTTTTCCCCATCAATAGTTTTTTAATAAATGTATAGTAGTAATGAATGTATAGAAATTTACTTATAAATTAATGAATTTGTTACAGGATGTTTATAAAAATTTAATAAAAAGAACAATTCAAAAAATACACTTTATTTTTAAAATGAAAACCTCAATTCTTGTTTATTTAGTTTATTTGCAGTAAAAAATAAAGGTAACCTTTATTTTTAACGATTAATGAACTAAGAAGAAAAATGGGGGTTTCCAGTTAAAAAAATCAGTCGAGAAGAAATTATCTAACATAATATACTCACCAATAATTTCCCTTCTAATATTTCAAACTGTTTTTCGGCATCTTTGTTAATCTTCTCTGCCTTTTCCTTAGATTCTTTTAATACTTGTGACAGTACTTTCATTTCTTCATCCACAGCTAGATCTTCTGTAATAGCCTCTTCAATTAGTTTCTTCGCTTTTTCTTTCCTACAATTTGCATCTTTTTTACCAACTGAAGATTTTGCTTCTTTCAGTGCCCTTCTCTTCCTAATTATGTTAATTTTTTCCGTTATAATATCATCTTCATTTTCTTCGTCTGGTTCAGTTGCTTCTTGAAGTGGCATGGCAGAACTTGTAGGGTCTTCTGGCTTTTGAACTGCATCAGACTGTGGAACTCTAGAAATTCTTGATCTTTTTTGTGGTACGACATTCTTTTCTGCATCTTCAATATCAGTTTTCTGATTAGTTTCATTATTTTGAGAACTAGCTCCTCTCACTGGCCTTTTCTTCCTAATTGTGTTATTTTTTTCCATTATATCATCTTCATTTTTTCCCTCTGGTTGAATTTTTTCCTGATGTAGCATTGCAGAACTTGAGGTTTCTTCTGACTTTGGAACTGTCTCAGATTTGCGAGTTCTAGAGCTGCTTGATCTCTTTTTTGGTGCTTCATTATCATTTTTCTGATTGGTTTCCTTATTTTGGGAACTATCATTTCCCATTTCATTAGATATTGGTTTAGATTTCAGTTTCTTCAATTGAACAGGTGCTGATTTATCTACCTTTGATCTCTTCTTTGAGGTATCATTTTTTTCCTCAGCTTCGTTATCAATTTTTTCCTTGATTTCCGTATCTTTTAAAGTACGATTTTTCTTAGTAAACTCAGGAGCTGTGACTTCTTCACCGTTTTCTGGTTCCTTAGATTTCTTTCCCTTTGTTGGTAGTTTTTTCTCCTTTTTCTTTAATTCCTTTTCATTAGTTGCTATTTCTGAGGGATCTTTTCCCATACCTATAAGTGCGGATTTGACTCGTTTACTTAAATCTTTGGTAGGCTCATCTGAAAATTAAAAAAAATATAAACATTTAATTTATTTATCAATATTTATAAGATATTGTAATGTGTATAGGGTGGGCGGATGTGCCAAATTGGACACTTTTAAAAAGAAACTTAAAAAAAACTAAACTTAATAAATATCGGTGTCTGGAACTCAATTTCTATCATAAACATGATGGTAAAAACCGCACATGATATCTGTTACCGTGTCATTAGCATTTGTTAAAAATGTGCATTTTCAACAAATCGCTGAATTTTTTGCTATGGAAAATTTGGCATAATATTTATGAAAACATTTCCAAAGCACGTTTTTACGTAGAATTTAATGGTTAAAGAAGAAGTAATTTTAAGTTCTTTTCAGTTAATTAAAAATATACAGGGTGTCCCAAATAAAAAATCCATTTTACTGTTAATAACTCTAAATTATTAATTAAAAAAATATAACCATTAAATTCTACTAAAAAGGTGCTTCGGAAATGTTTTCACAAAAATAAAAAAAAAATCCGTAGCAAAAAAGTTAGAGCAATTTGTTAAAAATGCACATTTTTGAAAAACACCCCGTAACTCCGAAACGGTAACAGATATCAATGTGCGGTTTTTACCATCATGTTTTTGATAAAAATTGAGCTCCAAACTCCAATATTAGTTTTCGTTTATCTCTTATAGAAAAGGGGGTTTCCCTTTAAAAGTGCCCAATTTGGCTCACTCTGAACTTTTGTAGTTATTTTTTTTTAAATATTACTCTTACTACTCTTCTGAAAATATACAGGATGATGCAACTAAAGGTAGGTTCATTGGTCGATTTAAAAAAAATACAGAGGTGGAAAAATTGACACAAAGTTGTTTTAATATTTTGCGAATATTCGCTGCGAGTTTTGAGTTTTTAGGTTATAATATATTTTTTTATATAATTATGACAATATAAACATTGGTTGAGAGGGAATAGACTAAAAAGGTATGAAAAATTGTACATAATCATTATATTTATTTTTTTACAATCTAATATCATTTTCTTTAAATTTATAGTATGAAATTCAATGTTTTGACTGCAAACTGGTAATGTTGTTGGAAAATTTCCAAAACCATCGAGAATAAAATCCTTTACAGATATTCTATGGTAGTTTCTAAAAAAAATTTCGAAGTTTCATCTATTGCACTAAATTGTGATATTCTCCTTGCTGTTTTTACTTTTTAAATCTTTCACATGTTCCAGTTGTTTTATGTATTTTATTTTTGTGGTATTTTGTTTATTTTTTTATTAATAAATATACAGCAATAGAGCGTCTTCTACGCCAAAAATAAGTAGCTTCATCTATTACACAAGAATATACTTATAAAAATAAACCTGAAGTAAACCCATAAATAAAATTCTTCATTCAAGTGACCTTTTCAACATGTGCTTAAAAACACAAATATTCCTAGAATTCATTGCGAATTTCGTTATTATATGAACTACGTAAAAAACGGGTTTTTGCGATATTTGCAATTAGCGTATATATGAACCTACCTTAAATCAGCGTGGACGATTATACCACAGATTATAAACTTATCGTCAAAAGCATTGTTTTTCGTGGTTCCAATTTTCGGAGTAGCGCACTAGTTAGGCTACTAGTTTGCGCACAAGCGGCCTCTAAAATTGAGCATAGCGCCTGACCGGCCCAGTTATTACGCTGTTTAAACGGGAGTTTATTTTTGCGCACAAGAAAATTTACTCGTTTGCTCATCGTCATAAAAAACAATTTTCGTACCACGAATTAGGGACAAGATTTTTATCTGTATACTTACAGGATACCTAATCTGTGATTATACAGTATACAGGGTCGCTTTTATGTATGGAAACGGTCGATTATTATGTAAAATATAGGAGGTACCGCAAAAAGTTAAATATAAAAGTTATAGGGTTTATAAATATCTATTAACGGGTATTAAATTTAGGTATACAGGGTCGGTCATAAAGTCGTAGCACATCGAAGTTTCTTTTTTTTTAAATAGAACCCCCGGTATATTATTGCATATTTCGGTTCTTCCTTCAATTCTAAGCAAAAATCAAAATACACACAATGTAGCTCATACCAACCGTTTCCGAGTTATTGACTTATGAAAATATCACTTAAACAATTTGATTTAATTAATTTCGATATGTTCAGTTTCATTTAACGATGCCATATGCCATTTTGCCGAAACTGTGATACTTAATACTATTTGACATTAATTCTCAAGTTAGCATTTATAGATGTATAAAATGAGAGTATAGCAAGTCCGCGCGGAAATTACAAAATTTTTGTTTAACATTTCACTTCTTCAATTTATGTACATTGGGTATTACGAATTACGATTATTGTTTACAATTGAAAGAATTGAAATATGCAATAATATACAGGGGGTTTCGTTTAAAAAAAAATAAAGTTTGATGTGACACAGCTTTATGACCGACTCTGTATACTTAAATTTATTACTCGCAAATAGATATTTAAGGTAATTATTGGGAAAAGTGGAAATCGTCCGATTTTCACCAAAATTGGTATACTCCCTATTTTGAGGTCGTAGATTACGAATCTGAACTTGTTTCCTGGCGGTCTCTCACCGTTTTTCAGAAAAACGGAAAATTATGTCAACATTGAATTTTTCTTAATTTCTCGTATTTTTAAGTTTTTTTCGCACATATTTTGTTAGGTATTCAATAAACAATCAGGTTTGTGCTATTTTCTGTTACTTTTTTTTACCAATTCTATGCATAATAGAGGAAAATTTGCTAAAATAAATTTGTAAACAATCTGAAAATGTTGGGTTATGCGTTTCTGACATTTAAAGCGACGTTGCCAATGCGTAATATAAACGTAAATTTAGCGCGTTTTTTTCGCCCTCTCTGGGATTACCAGATTCATAGAAAGGGAAATATTTTCCCCTACATTCCAAGGCAAAAACCGTTAGATTCTAACGATTTTTCCAACTGATTTTTATTGATTAATGTGCACGAGGTGCAGTTAGAACTTTTTTCTGCGACTGAAGACAAGTAAGTATTTAGCAATGGAGCCCTGCAATGGATGCACTTTGGACGTCGGAGGTATGTATAATATAGTCAATGATGAGGGTAAACTAAATAATTTTTTATTTTCTCATGGGGTATTTTCTATCGAACCTATAAATTGTCCAAGATGCCATGTACCCTGCAAATTTTACGCACGCGATAAATTTAGATTTCGTTGCACTAATACAGTGTATTTGTCTAAAAAAAGGGGGACTAAATATACGTTTAAAATTGGGGCAAAGAGGGGAACTTTTTTTGAGAAGGCGCATTTGGACATTCAGACAATTTGTAAGTTCGTGTTTTACTGGTTAGCCCATAATCACGGGCAGGAGGGGATGATAGTCGAGCTGCAATTGGCGTCCGATACTGTTGTCAACTGGACAAATTTCTGCAGGGAAGTTTGCTTAATTTGTCTGGTTGATAACTCCCAAAAGGTGGGGGGCCCAGGGGTTATTGTAGAGATCGACGAATGTAAGATGGGCAAACGAAAATATAATAGAGGTAGAGTAATCGACGGTCAATGGATTTTCGGAGGAATCGAACGGGAATCAAAAAAGCTCTTTTTGGTACCCGTTGAAGAACGGTCGAAGGAGCATCTGCTGGCGGTTATTCAAGAATGGGTACTACCGGGTACTACAATAATATCGGATTGTTGGAAATCGTACAACTGCTTGGCAGATGAAGGTTTCCAACATCTGACGGTAAACCACTCTCAAAATTTTGTCGATCCAGACACTATGACTTGTATGAAGCACACACTATGAAGTACACTTGTATGAACACTAGACTTGTATGGAGCACACACGCAAAATATTGAGAGAGCATGGATCTGCGCGGAAATGTTCCTAAATATGGCCGGGCAAAAGATAATTTTCCCGGTTATTTGGCGGAACATTTATTTCGGAGGAAATTTCGAACACCCAAACATCAAGAGATGTACCATGAATTTTTTAAATATATCTCAAATGTCTATCCCCCTCTGCCAGTATGGAGCAAAACGGTTAGGTGGATTACTGTGCCTCTATTTTATTGTAAGAGTGGACGATTGAATGATTTACAAAAACAAAACAAAAAAAAACTGTACCAAAACCCAAACCAACTTAACCTTAACCAAACCCAATTTATTATTCTATCCACAACTACTCTCATATATCCTAGAAAATGGCGAGCGAAATGATCCCACCCTCATCCCTTTCCTGGCAGAGATTTGTCCCGCCTCCACGTGGCCTCTGCTGGACTGCAACTTTTTTCTATTTGACATAATTACTATTAATTAATTAAGATATCTACTTAACAGACACCTCCTATTATAATGTTAAAATTAATGTAAGCTTGAATATTATATATTGATAAACTTCTTAGAAAAATGTTGTTGACGAAGTTGAACAAAACCTACATTGAATGTTGGATTATTATTGTAGTTTAATTAAATATATACTTATTTTATTAAAAAGTATATTAAATAAAACGTATTTTATTTAAACTCCCTAATCCCCCGAAAAAATACAAGACATGACAAGGTTGCAAATTTTCAGTTTCTAGATCAGGTCTAGATTATATTTGTCTCTCTCGTTGCATAGGAGAGAGAAAGAAGGATATATGAACGGTCAAGTGTCAATCTTGTCAGTTTTGGTGGAAATTTTCTTTGTTTATTTTATTAAGAAAAGTGTTTTTCAGTAAAATTTAGGGTATTTTTCTATCCACAATCAAGAACAGCTCTTAGATAAACTATAATATAATGAAAATATAGTGATATTACTACTTTATACAGCGGAAATTAAGAAAAATTCAATGTTGACATAATTTTCCGTTTTTCTGAAAAACGGTAAGAGACCGCCAGGAAACAAGTTCAGATTCGTAATCTACGACCTCAAAATAGGGTGTATACCAATTTTGGTGAAAATCGGACGATTTCCACTTTTCCCAATAGGTAATTACCATTACAGTTGAGGGTTGGAACCTTTGGTGTTACACAGCAAAATAAAAACACTAAATCACCACAATACACCAAAACACTTTTACTTTTACACTGGACGCGCGTTTCGCTAACATCATCAGCAGGTAATTACCATATTTAAAAATCCTATAACTTTTGTATTTAACTTTTTGCGGTACCTCCTATATTTTACCTAATAAACGACCGTTTCCATAGTAGAAAAGAAAAGAAGGGTTTTTAAAAAAATTAACCCACAATAAAGGTTTGGACATTATTATTAGTTCTATTTAAAATAAGTTAAACTGAAAATGTAAAAAATGATTTAAAAGAAAGTTTATCCCAAATATTCTTAACCTAAAAAAATAATATTTAAATCAAAATTACATTCTAAAATAACTTTGTAGAGTAAAGGCCACGAATGTTTGGGAGCGATTCATCGCTTGATGAAGTTAGAATCGACACGCGCGCTATCATTTTTACATTAAAAACGTAAATTTTTACCGCAGACGTAGGTTTTTAAAGGCCCGGTCTAATCATCTGCCTGCGCTCCTCCTACTTATTCTAAAATATTAGCGTAATTGACAAACACGATACTATATCGCGTTTCTTTGATTGATTCGTTTTTGTGCGTCAGTCCATTGGTGTGCTTGCAGTGCGACCAATGGGGCATTCCATTTTATATTTATAACCAAATATATGTATATGTTTTGACAAGACTTTGACAATTAAAACAACAAATTACAACAGATTATATATTGATTATTATATGACTTGAAAGACCACGGCACTGGAATTAAGTTTTATGTGACCTTGAACAGATTAGTTCACATGGTAGCGACCGATGAATCACTCCCAAACATTTGTGGCGTTTACTATAGAACGGGTTGTATTAAAAGCTATTATAACCACAATTTTAAAACTTACGTGAATGTATCTTATATTTCGTTTTGAAATAATCCTTGATAGTCTTCTGATGCCTCACTTCTTCCAATCTTCGAATAACTCGAGTTAGGATGTCTTCGCTTTTCAACCTGGTCCACCCGAATTTTTCCGCAGCGTAGTCGATCAACTCTATTGTGTTCGGTTTGCCCCAAGAAAACGGTTCCCTACTGTTATCAATGTTCGGTTCTAGATACGCTCGCACCACATGAACGCTAGGAAAATTTTCGGGAAAGGTAACATTTTTGATTTTGTTTTTTAGAGTTCTGCCCATACTAGGCGACTTCCTTTCCGTGTACCAGGCCCGAAATTCACGTAGACCTATAATAGAAAAACGTAACTCTAAATAAATTTCAGTTTCTGTATTAGTAAAAAATGTAGCAAAAAGTATAGTCGTCTAAAATACAATCTTTTTAAACGCAAACACAAAACATCCCCCTTTTTATTTTATGGCCATAAACGGGAATAAAAGACTAACCGTGCGGACAAACACTAGAGGCGCCACCGGTCATCAAATGGTGTAAAAATTGCGAAAATTTAATCATCTAATTTTGACACAAGGGGTCGCGCTTATTTTTTTTAATTTTAATTCAATTTTTATTGTTTTCAAACTACATTATTAGATTTTATTGTATTTAGTGACTGTATAAATATTTTCTTAGTATAAAGTTGCATTATATTAATTTAAATTATATTACACATTACACATACACATTTAAAATTAAAATATTATGACATATATGTCAGTTGCCATCTAAAATGTCATCTTGATAACAAAAAGTTAGTCATTGTCAGATATAGTTAAAATATCAAAATTCACAAGTTATTATTATTAGTAATTAGACAATTCTATTATATTTTATATTATTTCAAAGACAAAAACATAATGGTACAGCGTAATTTTGATATGCAGGTTCAAAACAAAAAGTGCTGTTTTCATTGTCAGTTTTCATTGTCAGATATTTTTATTTGTGAAAAAGAAATGTTGCGTTTGGATTGCAAAACTAAAAGTGGCAATTTTATTGCAATGTAAGTATACTCTGTTTTTTTTCTCAGGTAAGATTTCGACAGACGATGACAGAAAAAAAGCAGATGACGTCTATTATTTATTTTACTAAAAAAAGTTTCTAATATTTTTTAAGTTAACTATGGATGGGTTTGTATATAAATCCGTCATGCGTCATCTCTTGTTTTTTACCCAGTTTTATTGGTTTATTTCAAAAATGACAGATCATATTTCAATATTATAGGTTTGACGGAAAGATGAACGACACACGAACGCCGATGCGTGTGAACTCGTCTTAAGATTTTTAAGAGTTGTCAAACTCTTGCCAATTTATAGGTTATAATTTTGTGTCAAATTATATCAAATAGAAATGATAAATATTTTGCATTTTGGACTATGTTATTACTTGTATTTCGTGTTTTTTTTTTAAATTAAGTGGAGAAAAACTCGCGGGAAAAGTAAGTGTTGACCCAGACCATAGTTTACAGTTAATATTCATGCCCAGAGACCGCCAGAGATAGTTCGCCAGAGAGATGTATTAGCCACAAATAAAGCTTGTATACTATCTTGTATATGATACCAAAAACTGGAGTGTCTGTAAAATAGCAGCACACGATAGGTAAATAATATTCATATTGAATAATTATATTGATAAATTAACAATAAATGCAGGAAGTTGCTTGAGTTTGAAAGCCGGAAATCTTTTTTATATCTTTTTTGGTATTTGGTGCTTTTTTAAATAAACCCTTGCTTGTTTTGTATAACACATACTGTAATTGTTTTTAATAAAATAACTCGATTAGATTTTCTCAATTTTATACAGTTTTTTTCACAATATTTTGAAGTAATCACTTGTCACTCAAATTTTAAATAAATTTTCTGCTATGCGTTCCAATTGTACCAACTTAATTCTTTGAAAAACAAAATAAACTAATTTGAAAATAAAATGACAGACACATCTATCACTGTCAAGGATCTTGTCGTTGGACAGACTATAAGCGTTTGTCCATTTTATATTTTACTTTTTTCATACCTACGACAAATATACATATACTGAAGTTTTATAATTTGTTTTATTTAAAAAAAGAAACCAAGCTTATAATTGCCCTACCTAATTGTATTGTAATATATTCCATTTAAATGTAATATATTACTTTAGAATTAAAAAAATGTAAATTTCAAAAATATATTAAAGATATATACAGGCATTAATTGAAATTTTTAGTATGCGAACAAACACGAGAGGCGCTTTATTTTTACTTTCATTTCTTAATACGACAGATGAAGTTCTAAAGGGGGATGTTTTGTGAACGCAAATATCAAAAGTTGACACATGATATGTCATTCTATTCAGAGGGTCATTTTCTATCAATTAAAGTATAATAATACCGAGAGAACCGTTTATAAAAAGTTGTAGCCATTTCCGGTGAAACCGGAAGTGACCGAAACTAATTAACCTAACCAAATCAATCAATAAATTTACTTATTTGAGTTATTTCCACGTCCGATATTCAGATTGTCAAATTATAAAGGCGGCCTACTAGACACACTTAATTTGCATGTTTGGATTATTTATCCATAAAACAAAAGAAAAGGTTCCGTTGCTAGGCTATTTATTTATTTACAAGCTTTCCGTTTCTATCAGTGAAATGAAATTTAAAATAAATAACTAACAAATAATAAAAACCAAATTATACGGGATATACTGTGATAAAAAAACAGTTAAAAAGAAAAGTGAGTGATAGTGACAATCCAGCTGAAATTTATGAAGCCGCCAATGCAGCCACTCTAAATTTATTTTCTGAAAAATCCAGGCAAATTTACTTAAAACAGTATGACGTTTTTATGAAATGGTGCAACATACATATTACATATTAAAAAATTAAAAGAAGAAGTACTTCTCGTATTTTTTCTGGAAAAGACTAAGGTTTCAAAATCATCAACATTATGGTCCGTATACTCGATGTTAATATCAACAATTATGGTCAAAAATAACATTGATATCAGCAAGTTTTCAAAACTGAATGCTTTTTTGAATAAAAATTTGAATCTAATCTTCCAGTTTCGTCTTTATTTAGAAACAAAATTGTAAAAACATTGGCCCTATGATCATCTTTGTCCTCACCTGAAATTTGCGGCCCAGGCGTAGCCGAGGCTAAAAAAGATCAACTTTACGGCCTTGGTACACAAATAACTATTTTAGGTAAGTTCCCCATTATGGTAATTTTCTTAATGATTATTTAACTTTTATAATTATTTAATTTCTAATAATAATTACCAATTTAAAATTATTTAAAACAATTCTAAAACTACTGTATTAAAAAATAATTAAATGTTAAACAGAGCAAATCCAATCATGGTAAAAATTCGGGAGTTTTTTTTAAATGTAAACAATCTAAAGAATATTGCCAACTCACCTGATAAGAGTTCAGCATGAGACAATCTAAAATTCCCAAATATCCCTCTAGCTGGTGGAAAATTTGCCAGAATCTCCATAGCGGTCACAGGTCCCACTCCTTGCAATCCGTCCGTGTAATCACTACCCACCAGCAAAGCGAACAGGATCATCTGATCCCTAGACAGCTTGAAATGGTGCTCGATATCGCTCGCCCGAAATTCCTTCACGTACCTGTCCTTGTCGAAGAAGTTTTTGTACACGGTTTTGGCGCCAAACAGCCAGATGTCGCTATCGTCGGTGATGGTGCCGTCGGTCAGATTGATCTCTTCTAAAAAAGCGCACTGAGCTTCCGCTTCCATGGGGGCTACGACGTACGGGATACCAAATAGTTCTAACAGGTCCTAAAAACGAATACAAATACCGCTGAAGATACACGTATGATGCGGATTCGAACAAAAACGCCAAACAAAACCCATAGACAAAAAATGCTGCAATCAATAAGTTATTTACACAAAAAAATACAAAACATGTTTATATTAAGATAGCTATACAGGCAGCGATTTTCCTCATGATTTGCACTGTACAGGTTGTCCCATTTTTTGGTGTGTTTTATACTTAGATTATACAGGCTGTCCCAGAAATAAGTGCAAGTATTTTAACTGATAGTTTGACCCCAGAAATATGCTTTTTCCAAATATGCTAATAAGCCACCTTTGTTCCATTTGAAAAAAATAAGATATGATGAAAAATACGATTTGGACATCTTTTAACCGACAAGACACGAAAAAGACACTCCTTGATTAAAAATTAGTGTTTTTAAAACAGCCATGGCAAGCGAAAATGTCAAAAGTTGACATATGATATATCATTCTATTCATAATCTCATTTTCTATAGAATAAAGTAAAATCATATCGAGGGTGCCATTTAAAAATCAAAAGTTGTAGTCATTTCCGGTGAAACGGGAAGTGATCAAAACAACTGAATACGTCAATCAATCCTAATTTATGTCATATACTATAGGGCGAGCCAAAAAAATTAACCTATGGAATTTATGGGTTAAAATGAACCTAATAACCGAGAAAAAATATACCCGGAAGGCAGGTTTTATTGGTTTATTTCAAAAATGACAGATCATATTTCAATATTATTGGTTTGATGGAACGATGAACGACAAACGGACGCCGATGCGTATGAACTTGCCTTTAGATTTTTGAGAATTGTCAAAGTCTTGCCAAATATAGTTGTGTCAAATTATGTCAAATAACCTGCGTTTTGGAAGATTATAAACATTTGCGAATTGTTTTTGCATTTTAGTTCGTGTTATCACGTGTGTTTTGTGTCTTTTGAAGTTAAGCGGAGGAAAAATAAAGGGAAAATGAACTGTAGACCCAGAGCACAGTTTATTATAGTTAATATTCAGTGCCTAGACAGAGAATGTTATACACCAATAAAGTTACCATCAGTAAAGTTTGTATACCATCACGTATATGGTACTAAAAACAGAAGTAGCTGTAAAATAACATCACACGAAGGTAAATAATAGATTTTAGTACTGCCGAAAGATAATGTCATAAGGTACTGATTAAAAAAAAATTAAGATTAAAGTTAGTTAATCAACTTTTAAGGTATAAAATTCAGTAAGTGTTATTATTAATAAAATATTTTGTTTTGTTTATGTTGTTTTATTTATTCCTGTGCAATATTATTTTTTTTATTTGTAAGTAGGTATATAAGTCATATTCATAAATATAATAATAAATGCAGGAAGTTTCTTGACGCTTGAATGTAAGAAATAGTTCTTTTTTATATTTTTTTGGTATGTGGTGTTTTGTTTAAAATACAGTCTTGTTTATTTTGTAGTAACACCGAGGTTAACACATACTGTTTTTTTTTAAATCAAAAAACTCAACTAACTAAAGATTTTTCAGTTTTATATATTTTTTTCACAATATTTTGAAGTAATCATTTGTCACTGTCACTCAAATTTTAAATATATTTTTTTCTGCTATGCGTTCCAATTGTACCAACTTACTTCTTTGTAGAATAAAATAAACTACTTTGAAATTAAAACGAGAGACACATCTATCACTGTCAAGGATCTTGTCGTTGGACAGACCTTATTCTCTATCACATCCCACAAGTATCCTATTGATATTGTAACATTTCTGAAACATGGATAGACAATTAAATACTCGTTATTTAGGATAACAAATAATATTCAATAACAATTGCACTAGGATGTTTAACCATTTAGAATCACAAACTGTAAATTGGCAAAATACTGACCAAATTATATAAAATACTTACTCTTATTATAAACTTAACTCCGTTATCAGACATTCATCTTTTAAATAGTTAAGTAACTGCTTTAAGGATGTAATTCTGTTTTTCAATCGTCTTACTGTCATCTGTAAATTGTGAATTCTTTTTCGTTGACTCGCGCAACGTTTCTTAATAAATGCCAAATTTCTTCTGCGTTTTTCTGGAGTAGAAAAATCACTACTTCCCATGTCTCCTATGTATTTTCTCTTCCTAACAATAAAGAGAATGAAAAATTTGAAATTAGTACTGTATGATCGAAAAAAAAAACGGCGTCCAGTTTGCTGCGAAATGACGATCAATGACATTTCCCATATAAATATATTTATATTATATTTATATATTCCCTAATACTAATATATAAAATCCTTAAGTGACTGACTCACTGATTAATCACGATCTTGCTCAAACCAGTCAACGTAAGAAGCTCAATTTTGGCATATAGGTTGATTCTAGAGTGTAGAGGTTCGATAAGAAGGGATTTTTCAAAATTCCAGTTCCAAGGGGGTGAAACCACCCCTCAAATATTACAATATTTTTTATTTAAAAAACGGTCAAGTTTCCGAAAAAACGTTTAAACACGTATATTTTATTTGGTTTTTTACATATTTTAAGATTTTTTAAAAATGTATACAGGGTGTTTCGAAAAATCTGGTCATTGATTAATCACGATCCTGCTTAAAGCGCTTGACGTAAAAAGCTGATTTTTGGAAAATGGGTTGACTTTAGGGTGTAGAGGTTCGATAAGAAGGGATTTTTCGAAACTCGAATTCTAAGGGGGTGAAACCACCCCTCAAATATTAGAATATTTTTTATTTACAAAAACCGGTGAGTCCTTCGGAAAGAATCTTAAACACGTATATTTTATTTTGTTGTTTTAGATATTTTAAGATTTTTTAAAAACTTATACAGAGTGTTTCATAAAATATGACCATTGAATAATCACGATTCTGCTTACACTGCTTGGCGTTTAAAGCTGATTTTTTGGCAAACGGATTGACTGTGGGGTGTAGAGGTTCGATAAGGAGGGGTTTCGCGATTGTTTTTTCTCATGCTGACATAAATGTGAGAAAAGTTTATCCAGTTTGTATGTGAATGGAAATTCTTGCTTTGCTTTATCATTACCATTACAAATGATTACACGCTAGTTTATATATAAAATGACAGCGATCTTCATTTCATAGTCATCGCTGGCGCCGTTTTTTTTTCAACCATACAGTACTTAACAGTTCAAATATTAATGATAATTATAAACTAACTAAAATATAAATCATAAGAAGTTATAAGTACCTTCTAATAAAAGGTTGTTTTGGTAGGTTCTCAGTAGAATTTAAAACTGAAGATGGGGAAGAAGAAGCTTGCTTTTCAAACGATCTATAAATAAAAATTGTATATATGTAGTTATTATAACAAAACGCATTCAATAATAATAGCCAATTTTAAAAAATTATAGTTATTATTAATATTCAATCGATTCAATTACTGAATTGAATAAAAAATGGTTTATCAAGTTTTTTAGAATCTAATTTAGATACGAATTTGAATGTTAATTCACAGACTAACTTACAGTAGTGGCCAAAATTATAGCAACTTTTTATATTCGAATATAAAATTGCCTACAAATTAATAGCAATTTTCCTATTCACCCAAATAAAATGTTGAAGTCTAGATGTCTATTTTAAGGACATTAAAAGTTGATTAATCTATTAAAAAAACGTATAATAAAATAATATGTATATTCTTCTTCTTCTTCTTCTTTTAGAAGGCGTATCGCCTGTTTAGTTCCGGTTTCCTCCTCGTCTAAGCAACTCTTGCGAGGTTGACTGCCAACTGTCTTGCCAACGTTTAGGTGGTCGTCCAGTAGGTCTTCTGCCATGGAGTACGTTGTTGCGAATTATTATGGCCATTCTGTCGGGGCCCATTCTATTGACATGCTGGTTCCATTCTCTTCTTCTCTGCCTGATCCATCTGACAACGTCGTTTGTTTGGCACTTTTCTCTTATGTCTACATTTCTCTGTCTGCCCCTCAATGTGTATCCAGTTATCATTCTTAAGGTCTTCATTTCAGTAGTTCGTAGGATTCTCTTTGTTACTGATGTTTTAGCTCTGGTTTCCGCACCATATGTCATCACTGGTCGTATGCAGGTTTTGTATATTCTTGACTTACATTCTGTACTCAAATGTTTGTTTTTCCATATGGGATATTTAAGATGTCCTGATATTGCGGCAGCTTTATTGGCTTGTTTCCTTACTTCTTCTTCCAGGAACCCTGAGCTTGTAATTTTGCATCCGAGGTATTCGAATGACATTATCTGATCAATAGTTTTGTTTTTTATTACCAATTTGCACCGTAGAGGCTCCTTTGTAATGGTCATGCATTTGGTCTTATTTGTGGAAATTTGCATGTTAAGTTTTTCTGCCTGTCTGTTAAAAGCTTGTAGCATTCTTTGGAGGTCGTCCTCTGACTCTGCAATAAGTACTGCGTCATCGGCATAGCATAATATGTTTACTTTATGCATTCCCATTCGATATCCTAATCCAATATTCTTGACGGTTTTTATTACTTGATCCATGATTGTGTTGAATAACAGAGGGCTGTGGCTGTCGCCTTGGCGAATACCAGTTGTAGTTCGAAGATGCTGCGTTAAGGTAAAGTTTGTTCTTATTTGGGTTGTTGTGTTTGTGTTTAAGTCCTTGATAAGTTCTGTGAGTTCTTTCGAGACATTACTGCTTTCCAAGATGGTGATGATGTCTTTTAGTTGGACTCTATCAAAGGCCTTTGTTAAATCTATAAAACATAGATAGGCTGGAGAGTTATATTCTAAGGATTTTTCAACTAGTTGCCTGAGTATGAATAGTGCATCGGTAGTTGATCGGTTTCTTCGGAATCCTTGTTGTTCCTCGCTTATTGGCACTATTGAGGAGATTTTGTCCGCAATGATCTTAGTCAGAAGTTTTAGCGAGGTGCTCAGTAATGTTATTCCTCTATAGTTTGCTGGGTCTGTTTTATCTCCCTTTTTAAAAATGGGTATTGTTATACTTTGTTTCCATTCTTCTGGTATTTTCTTATGTTGTAATATAATGTTAAACAGTTTTGTGTATTCCTCTATGATAGCCGTGCCTGCGTTTTTTATTAGCTCGTTTGGTATTTTATCTTGATTAGGAGATTTTCTATTTTTAAGTTTCCTTATTGTCTCTTCTACTTGCTTGTAAGTGATTTGCGCATGATCTTCTGTATTATCTCTTTGGCTTGTCTCTTGTGCTTCCATTGGTTCATCTGTTTCTGCGTATAAGTCTCTGAAATATTTTTCCCACGTATCTTCTCAATTGTTCTTAGTTGTATTGTTTCATTTGTTTCTCGTTTCAAACCCCTCAACATCTTCCAAATACGTTTTTGTGCTCCGTACATATCCGCCTCCATTTCGCTACTAAATCGCTGCCAATATTCTTCTTTAATTTCTCGTACTCTATTATTAGTCCTGTTCCTTATTTCGGTATAGATATTTCGGTTCTCCGGTGTTGGAGATTTATTGTATTGTAAGTATTTTTCCTTCTTTTCCCTTGTAATGTTCTTGACTTCTAATGTAAACCAAGGTTTAATGTTCGGTCTTCTATTGTGTGATACAGTACGTGTTCCTAAAGCTTCTTTAGCACCTTTGCAGATGTTTTCTTTCAGCTTGTTCCAAGCTGTGTTAGGAATATCAAACTGTACTATGGGGTTAAGAGTGACATGTGTTTGGCATCTGTTTGAATAAAGTTGTTTAGTGCTTAAAATTATAGCAAACTTTACAAATTAATTTGAAAATAAATGGAAAACATGAAAATAATTAATATTTCGTATATCCTTTCTGTCTGATGACCTCTTCACACCTTCTGGGCATAGATTGCACCAAATTGGTTATATAATGTTCATCTATTGCTTTCCAGGCATTATGTAGTGCTTCAAAAAGTTGATCCAAGTTTCTGTAGTTTTGATTCCGGATTTTTGTGTCCACATAGTTCCACATGTTTTCAATCGGGTTAAGATCTGGAGACTGTAAAGGCCAAGGTAATAAATCGAGTATTTCATCTCTTAAATAAAAAAATTAAAAATAAAATTTGGATTTGTGCTTGGGGTCATTATCTTGTTGAAAAATAGCACCTACAGGCATTTTTTCTTCCAAATAAGGAATCATTAGATTTTGTAGAATGTCTTTATACAGAAACCGGTCCATTATTCCATTTATTATGAAGAGTGGACCCATGCCGTAGCTCGAAAAACACCCCCAACCCTGTATGGAACCACCCCCATATTTCACAGTAGCTGAAATATATTTTCTATTCAGCCTTTTTCCTACAGGGCGCCTCACGTAAGCAATTCCATCACTTCTGAATGGATTGAATTTGGATTCATCGCTAAAAACTACTTTTTTCCATTGTTGATGTGTCCGGTTACAATAATTTTTAGCAAACTCCAATCGAGCCTTCACATTTTTTTGGGAGAAGTGGTTTTTTTGCCGGCCAAAGAAATTTACATTGCCAGAATTGCTAATTTCGTTGAAAATTTGTGTGGAAGTCATAAATGGATTATCTCTTCTTATTATTATTGTTTTCTAGGCCTTCCTATATTTTTGTTTTTTTCGGCGATCCTGTTTCTTGATATTTTTTCACAATATGTGATATAACGGACTTGTTTAATAACAAACTTTAGGCAATCCGAACTTGTTTTTCGCCATTTAAAAATCGTCGAATAATAATATCCCTAACTTCGGGAGACACAGTTTTACCACGACCCATTTTTACCGATAAATATACTTTATTACTGCGTTTTCGTTTCGCCAAAATGTCTGAACCTGTTTAAATATTATCTCTACAAAAAATAGTTGCTATATTTTTGTCCAGCAAAAAAATTAAAATGTATTTCCAATTGACGATAGTGTGATGATAAGAAATTCTATACATAGTAAACAAATATTTGAGTGAAATACAATAATAATAAATTATAAACTACTCGCCAATTTTAAGTTTTCAATAAAATTTTCAAGAATATTAAAAGTTGCTATAATTTTGGCCACTACTGTAAACAGATGCAACAAACAATGCAAATGTAAAAATTACAATTTGGCGAATGCGCGGGGCTGATTTTTCAGTTAGTTATCATTTATTGTTAATCTAAGGTTATCATATAGGCGAATTTTACAGCGAACCAGCAAAGTAACCTCCATTCGTTTACTAAGACGCCTCCTTTGTGAAGAAATTAAAGAGGATTTTGTATTTCGGAATCAAACAGAGATGATTTTAATTTCGTTCCAATTCAATTTTTTTAGATTCACAATAATTAATAATAATTAAAAAAATATTAATACATTTTAAAAAATGTTTTTTTACTATTCGGTATTTTTATGTATTTTTTAATACGAACCAAAAATAATATATATTAACTATATTTTAACTATATAATTATTATAATTATCCCTAAATTTCATCTCCTAAGAAAGAAAAAGTCGGTACAAACATACCTTAAAAATTGGTTTGGTTTGGTTTAAGTTGGTTAGTACAAGTTGTTATTATCTACTGATCTTTAGGCATTGTTACATAAGAGTCTCATGAAAGTTCTGTCGAGGCACAACTGAAGTAAAATGTAATAACGATAAAATATTTGATTACCTTTCCAATTTTTCTGTTTCTGATTCTGATTCTGTTTCTGCACTCAACGAAGAAGAAGATGGCATCTTCTCCAAAATTGTATGTGATTCCCTGCAAAAACCAAAAATATATCTTTATATTAAATATACAAGGTCCGGCATCTGGAGATCCTATAAAAAAAAAAGTTAGAAATCTTGTTTAAGTGCAAACCTAAAGTATGTATTACGATGTATTTCAGGAAAATACTTTAACTTCTACAGGGTGGCTCAAAAAGTGTCAGTTGATCGAGATGATTTTTTTAAAATGTATGTATCATTGCATTTTTGGCTTCATTTTTAATCACATTAGATAATCCTAAAATATTATTAAATACGTTTAGACAGTTTCAAAGATATTAACAAGAATAAGTAAATAAAAAAATAATTCTTTTCAGCATTTTCTAAAAAAAAAATATTTAAAATACTATAGAAATGTCCTAAAATCGAAACTATATTACATATTTACTGTAGTGGGTCTGTACTTACTTTGACACAGACCACAATAGATCTGAGAAGGTCGCAGTCGATCAGGCCGAAAGCCACCTCTAAGAATCTACTTTGACACAAATATCGTAATCTTAAACCAAACAGGGTGTCCAAAATTCTGAAAAAAATATAAAATAGTTTTTCTTCGTTTTTTTTTAACCAAACACCTTGTATATTATTTCTTGCTTAGATGGAGAATTAAAAAATAAACAATTTTTGTATTTAAAGTATTTCAAAATTTTTAGCGATTTTGCAAATAATCGTTGTTTTATTACATATGGCTTTTTGAATCCATTGGGTGGCTTTGATAAAAATTTACTGTGGAAAGTGCCATAGGAAATATAAAACCGCGAATATCTGCGAAACCGTTAAAAATTTTGAAATACTTTATATTCAAAAAGTGTTCATTTTTTAATTCTCCATCTAGCAAATAAATAATGTATAGGATAGGGTGTTTCATTAAAAAAGACGAAGAAAAACTATATTATATTTTAGAAAGTTTGGCAAAGAATTTTGAACACCCTGTATGGTTTAAGATTACGATATTTGTCGCAAAATAAGTACAGACCCGCTACAGTAAATACCTAATACAGTTTTGATTCCAGGATATTTCTTGTATCTTTAATATTTTTTTAAAAAAGGCTGAAAAAATATTTTTTTTATTTATTTATTAATATCTTTGAAACCATTAAGGCATATTATATTTAAAGATTATATAAAGTGATCATAAAGGAAGCCAAAAATGCAATTTTATTCTTATTAATTTTATTGATCGAATCAATATTTCTTTCCCTAATCATTCATTTCAACTCACCTTGGAAGACCCGCATTGCTAGTCGATGGCAAAAGTTCATTTTCGTTCTCCATAAGATTTTCCATTAAACTATCCTGACCACTAAAATACATAACATTCTACTATAAAATAACTACATATACTCAAAATAACACACCTAAGTAACGAATTTTAAATAATTTTTTCTCTATTCTTGATAAAATGGCTATATCGAACTTACCAATATATTATGCTCGGAAAACCCTCAGTCATCGTAAGTACCTCAGTATTTTCAGAGCTACAATATGAATAAATATCAAATAAATAAATAACAAAACAACATGAAAAAAAAATTATATAAGTATGTACCTGGAAGAAGAGGAATCTTCAAAAATGGATGTATTAGTGGCTGGAATGGCATCAAGATCAATATGCCTTCTCCCATCAGCACGAGTAAGTACTTCACAAGGTGAAAAGTGATCTGAACATATATCAGGCTTTTTTGATATATGCGGACCATCTTCAATACCAAAAATGGAAAGCCAAATAAGCCTTTTTTCGGGATTTACAGGAAAACTAAAAACAGGAGATAACTTAGTATGATTTTGAATATAAATGTTTGATATAAGAGCCAATTTATTTAAATAAAAATTCCTCAAATTGTCTAGGTTCTACTTGCCACACATGAGTATAACTCTGACAATTTGTGAGTACTCACTCTCGACGACAAAAACCCTGACAAATTAACTACGTAGGTATAATTTATTAATTTAGTTAAATTTTCATCGTTAAAGTGGAGGCAATATGATTGCTTTACTTTAATCACTAAACAAACAATATACATTGTAAAATAATTTAAAAAAAAATAACCCAATCTTATACCATATGATAACAAAAACGGCGTCCAGTTGGCTTGGAAATGAACATCGATGACATTCCCCATATAATTTTGCCTCGAATTTTGCATATTGACTCATTTCATAGCCATCGCTGTAGCCGATTTTTTTTCGACCATATTGTGTAACATCTATTTTATAAAAATGAAAATAGATCATAGACCTTGCCCCAGTACATTTAGGACTTACTAAATAGGTACGTAGTGATCATTGATTTCATTAAACCTCGTAAAAAGTGATTTCAGTTTACCTTACCTAGCGAAAATATAAACTCCATAAATGGTGTTCATTTTACAACTATCTATTGAAACACTATTGTACGCAGATTTTTAATATTTCCGAATGTTTTTTCTACTAAATATTTAAATCTACAGCACTGTTATGACATAACCTTACATACCTTCGAAAACAAACTTCGGGGTCTAGATCGTCTCTTTTCTTACAAATTAAACAAGACCGCACCATTGTCTTAATGTTGCACAATAAAACCAATAAACACAACACCTCAAAACACTAAAATATCCGAAAAACACCTCGTAATCACTTGAGAAAAAATACAACACTGCAGAATAATTTATATGTGAATGAATCCAAAATTACGGAGTGAAGTGGGGTATGTGTGGAGCGGAGTAAGATGCGTACGTTTTCAGCAGCAGCTGGAATGTCGACATTGCCGATTCTTTTGTGTTCAATTTCTTAAAATCTAAATTTTATAATTAGAGAACATTTAAATAACGGTTATTGCTGATTGGGAGTAGTTAGTCATATAGTGATGATATGCGACCTTTAATTATTATCATTTTAAAGTATACTACGTCGTAATCTATATTTGGAATTCGTGGTTTAGCTATGTTTACGTAAGTACGAAAGAAACATTCCCTTTAAATACTGCCGAAATGGTAGTTTGGCAAACATGCAATTTTGTAGGCTAATGATGAATTTCAGCAAAATGTAAGTCGCCGGGTCTAATTCACTTAGATGTCATTGGGATGAGCCACTTTTGAGGTGCACCCTGTATATTATTAAAGTTTTAAATACTTTTTACAGTTGAGTAAACTCAAAAAAATAAATCTTAACAATTATTAAAACTTCTTTTTTAGTCACATTAGAAATTATTTTCAATCGTTTTAAACAGCAGTTTTAACTTTTAATTATTTAGTTAGTGCTTACCCTTTCGGATAAAAATTTGTCAGTATTTTTATCCAGCATATACGCAAACCACATACACCCACATATCTATTAAACTGAACAACACAAAATTATCACTTGCAAAATATTATCTTTCGCATCATAATAATTTACACAAATACAACAAAAAGTATTAAAAAAACTTGCTTTTATAAACTACTTAAAACATACCGGTGTTTTCTTCAACATTTCATCAAGACCCATACAGCTTACTTCACCCATTTAAAAAAAAATAACGCGCCTTCTCAAAACATTTTGGTGTGTTACCTTTAAGTCTTTCTAGTCGATGTGGCAACAGTGGGCGGCGAATAAGCTAAGATCCTGGAAATTGCCGATTTCTGCCGGCGCAGCGGTTCTTAAAATGTTGCAATTATTTTTTTAAATTTTCAAAGTTAAATAACTCGGTTATTTTCAATTAATTTTAAAAATAATACAGAGAAAATATGTTTCTTTTGACCAGATCTACCGCCCCTTAAAATACTTGCACTTATTTCTGGGACACCCTGTATAAAAATCTACTATAGGTGCATCAAACATTATATAAACTGTTAAAAAGCGTTTACAGTGTTCTCATCCGAATCATTCACTTTATTAGTCACATATGAATATCTTAAGAAAATTAAAAAATATGTACGCTCTGAAAAAAAAATAGATCAGGCTGCACAGAGTTCATTAATATCATAAAAGTGCAGAGTAATCAATGAAAAATGTTTCATCTTTTTCCTGTATTATTTTGTTATTAAAAACTGAGAGTGGTATTTTCAAAGAATAAATTTGACATACATATATACATTTTTTATTTGCCTACCTGAGCTTCCTGGTACATTTTTTCAGTTATATTACTGGCTATTCTCTCCTTTGAAGACTTCTCAATCAGCAAATTAACTTTTTCTTTGTGTAATTCGCTTCTAAGCTTCACTAGTTCTTGTTCTGTTAAAGCATCCTTTTTGGCAGTATTTGCAATCACTTTGGGTTCTATTTGTTCCACATCTTTATTGTGTTCTGCCTTATCATTTGCACTGACCACCACATTATTAATTTGTGTTTTGTTTTCATCAATAACTGCAGATGAGCTTGAATTATCTGCAATTATTGTATTGTCATCAGTATTTTCTGTGGGCTTTGCATTAATTGTTGTATCTTTAACTCCTACCACACTACCTTCACTATCAATTAATAAATCCTTATTTTTATTAACTTCAATGTTATCTTTAACAAATCCAATTTCAGTTTGTTTCAGGCTAACAACAGAAGGCTCTTTTTGTTCCACATTTGCTCCTGTTTGCATGTCCAATGATTTATGACCAATATTTATTTCTTTTTTAGTAAATATGTCACTAAATAGGTCTTCATCTTCTTTATATGTATCATCGGGATTAATATTTATTTCAATAGCTTTGCCTGAAACATCTCTCTTGATTGAATCTTCAACAAAGATTCCAGAATCTGACTTATCAGATATCTTATCATTTTTGCTTTCTTCTTTTTCTAATTTTGAACTGTTAAGTCCATCTTCAGATTCAGAATCACTCGAAGACATAAATTCTACGTCATCATTAATTGTTTCTTTGTTTTTATTTTTACTGTCTTTAGATCTATCCAAGTTAGTGTTATCATCAGAATCGTCTGACAATATTAGCTGCACATCTTTATTTACAGCTACATTATTTGATGTATTGGTATTCATTTCTAAATTATCTCTTAAATGTTCATCTTTTTCGGGTATCACTTCTAATATTTTACCACTAGATTTCTCCTTTAATTTCTTCCTTTTTTCCTCATTTACTCCCAAGATACGTTGAATCTCCATAGGCGTTAGACCACTGTTTTCCAACATATATCCATGTACTTGATTCAACTTAGCCCTACGATTTTTTATGGTTTCTTCTTCATCATCGCTGGAACTAGATGCAAAATCGGCATCATCAAAATTATCCAAAAACGAAAATTCAGCAATGTTAACTTTTTTAGTTTTATTTATACCAGAACTGCTGGGTTCATCACTGTTTGTAGATTCTTCCTGTAAAGATAAAGCAATAGCTTTCTGGAGATCTTCCTCATATTCTAAGTCAGCTTTATTTTTCTGTTTTTCTTCAGAGACCACGGATAGATCTTCATCGGTTTCAGGGATGTCTTCAAGCTTTTCTTTTTCGCTGTTTTTTTCCTCCTCTAAGGCTTTTTTCAAATCTTTTATATAGACGTATCTGGAAAAGAAATGGTTATTTATGTGAAACTTGAGACAAACCTTAGAAAAATAAGTAAATCTGAAAGATTTATAAAAATAAAGTATGAAAAGTCTGAAAACAATAATTCTCTTGCCTCTGCAAAGACTGCAGAGAATCGGTCTCGACTTATCTCGCGATTTTTATTACAACTAATGTGGAGATATTAAATGACATTGAATATGAACCAGAAGAAGACATGGAGAAGAATCAGAAAAGCAACAGTATTGTAAATTGCTGTTTTCTTTTCAAATACTTATTATTTAGGGTGTATTCCGTTGCTTACCTTGGTTATGGTTTTATGTTCCGTTTCTATCAGTTTCCTGAAAGTTTTCTTATTACAGAACACGGTTCCTGAAAAATTCGGTTATAACTGTTACCAAACTAACTAGCGCGAGAAGGCTGGGTTTTCTGGTTTTGTTTGTCAATCAGTGTCATTTATGTGACAGAAATCAAGCAAATATTCGAAGTTCCAGTGAAATTCTCATTTAATTTCTAAAATGTGTAATAATATTTTGTATTTACATCCAAAAGCAATGGAGGTAGGCAGTAAATGTAAATAAATTTCATTAACTAAATAGAATGACTTTTTAGGACCATTTAAACTAATCATGCAGCCATTGTTTGTTAAAGTCAGGAACCTTTAAAGAAAACATGAAAAACAAGACAACAAGTAATCGTAATGTTTTGTAAGCTATAAAAATATAAATATTGATTAGATTTGTTTATTTATTATTGATCTGTTTTAATATTGGACCTGCAAATCTTCCCTTGAGCTGTCTAACGAGTTTAACAGTTTATTAATAAAGTACTTTTCAATATTAAACTCCATTGAAAAGAAGAAACAAACGTAAAAGCAGAGAATAGGTACATTAAAAATGCATAAAAGATAAATTTTATAATATAGGTATTGAAATTCAGAAAACGTCAACATTTGACGTTTCCAGTATTTTACCAAACCATTCTGTATCAAACCAATGTTTTTCAGGAACCGCTCTTTACCGTAGTTTACCGGTCTGGTTCGCCTGGTTTAGCAACGGAATACAGCCTTAATAAGCCATACCTTGTAACATTGTCAGAGGCAATCCTTTTTCCAATATTCTCATTTTTTAGAATCCCTTCATCTTTTAATACCGACTCAAGTTCACTCAAACTCAAACTTTTACCACCCATCTCTTTTGTAGTTTCTTCTAGGGCTGTCTGAACGGCCTGCCTTTTGAGTAATCTTTTCATTTGATATGTGGAGAAACCATCACTTTCCTTAGGCAGTTCATGAATTCGACCTAAAATAATTGAAATTAAGCTGACAGTGTCCTGAAAAAGCTTCATACTAGATTTTGTAATGGAGATGTTCACTCCAATCTTTTTTTATAAAATATGAGAGCAATAATAGTATACCTATATTCGATACCGATTAAACTCTTAGGTTCGTAATGGGGCGCAAAAGACACATCAAAAGGACCAATGATTCAAACAGCTGTCAATTTTAAATTTAGTAGAGCTCCCATTGGTTGCTTGAAATGTCAAACTGTGTCGCCAGCGATACAATGTCGTTCTGAGAACGGGGCTTAAAGTTTGATTTTCATGCGTCCCTTATCCGACGATACATTGATACACTATTAATTTTATTGGTAGAATTTAAAGACTTCGATTGTTTAGAAAAGGTTAACCAATCGAAGCCTTTAAATTCAACCAATAAAATTAATATTGTATCATCGTATCGTCGGACAACAGATGCATGAAAATCAAGCTTTAGTCTCTCCAGGGAGAGGTTCTATGACAGCAACAGTTGCTGTTTGTCGTTTTAATTCACAGATTGTAGGCATTTTCTGTTGAATTCTTCCTTGACACATTGGACAGACTTTTTTTGGAACAATAAGAATAATCAATATTTACCCCATGATGACTGCTTCCTTGTTTCCTTTAAATCAGATAAAATTTCATGACGTACATCAGCTGGCAGCGATTTAAAATGTGCACTATTTACATCAATAGTATGTAAATCGTAGTTTTTAGTGGGACTAGAATCGCTGGTTTCTTCCCACTCAGACTCATCTTCCGAACTAGAAACTGTACTATCCAGTTCCGTGTTTTGTGGCAATACAAACAAATCATCTTGACCTTTATTGGAAGTGATTTTGGGAACAGAGGTAAGTGATGCTTCTATTTTATCTGTTAATACTTTACTAACAGCGGTGTGTTTTAACAGAACGCTCAAAAGCTGTCTTTGAAGTTTGCCAGCTTGAGCTTCATTCTTTAGTTTTGATTGGACTCGTCTTTCCTAAATACAGCAAAGTTAGGTGTTATTGTATTAAAATGAATATTAAAAGTATATTTTTGGTCTTACAATGGTTTGACGTTTTAATGCTGGTACTCCACCATCAAAAACAAAAATCGGTTTTATCCTAAAATACAAAAGCTTACATACTCGGTGGTATATACCGATTAAATGGGAATTTGGAACGGATTGTCCTTTTGAATCTTGATAGCCTTTCACGCACTGATGCAACCATATAGATATATCTAATTTAATTTTAAGTAAAATATATAGATTTTGGCATTAATTTTACATTAATACATCTTGATCGCGAAATTATTAATGTTCTAACTTCTAAAAAAGGTAGCTAAAGAAAATATCAGATTTGTTTATTTACATTTTGGGCTTTAAAAACATAACCTAAAAACGAAAACTCAAATAAAAAAAAGGATACCGACAGCTAATATTTTATTTTCCAATGTTTCCAGGGGCACCAGAGTTCCTGATGATTCAATGAGTCTCCAAAGACCCTCAACTCCCATGTTCCTATTCGAGGTAAATAAACGAAATAAATTTCATAAGTTTTTGAAACTTTTCACATTTTACAAAAACCAAAAACACAAACAAATAAGCACGGCAACTGACGGCAACCCTAAAATCTTGTATGTAATAAAAATGTTTTTCCGGCAACCACATATACACATATTTAAAGGTTTCTAAGCCGAAAAAAACTATCAAATTAAATAAGAAGAGATAATTTTTAACTCTATGGAAGAATGGAAGAGATGTACTATTTTTTATTAAATAAATTATATTTAGATTTAGGAACTATAGAGAAAATTATGAACTCTTTTAACTACGTTCTTAGAGAACACTGTTTTTTGCCAGATAATTCTATAAGGATAAGGACCGCTAAAGTTCTGATAAAATGCATTAACTTAAAAAATGTATTAAAAACATAAAATTACATTAATATTAATCATCTGCTGATGATGCTAATATGGATAGGGAAACAGGCATATAGTGTGCAGTGTGCAGCATGTGTGCAGTAAGTAAAGTGTTTTTGTGTGTAAAATATACTAGGTAATTCTTTTTTACTTTTCTATGAAAGAAATAGGTACCTATTTGTTTGATATTTTTTCAGTTTGTGTGTAAAATACTAATTCTTTTTTATTTTTCTATGAAAGAAATAGGTACCTATTTGTTTGATATTTTTTCAGTAATTTATATTTATAATCTTTTTTATAAAACCTTTTAGGTTTATAAATAGCTTTTTAAAATTTCTCTATGGGAATTTGTAAAAGTATACGGGGGATTAACCATTTTAGAACAAGCTAAAATTTTTTATGAAGAATGCATTTTTCCACATTTTCAAAATGTCAATAATAAAAAAGTTCTTCCCGGTATACTGGGGTATACCTACCGGGTGCGTCTCAAAAGTGGCTCACCCCTATAACTTTTTTTATTTTTTAGATAAAAAAACGACATTTGGTATGTTAGTATATGACATAAATTAGGATTGACTGCCGTATTCAATTCTTTTCGGTCACTTCATGGTTCACGGGAAATGACTACAACTTTTGATTTTTAAATGGCACCCTCGGTATTTTTTTACTTTATTCGATAGAAAAGCACACTCTGAATAGAATGACATATATCATGTGTCAACTTTTGACATATTCACATATGGTTTATTTGAAATTGTAATATGCGGTTCATAACGACAATTTGACTCGAAATACCAAGTGTGTGGTACCAATAAATTATTCGTAAAAACTGCTTTTTCCTTTTTCCAAATATGCTAATGAGTATATAAATGAGTCACCCTCGTTCCATTTAAAAAAATTGAGATATGATTAAAAATACGATTTGGCCATCTTTTAACCGGTCAGACATGGGTCAGACACTAAAAATATTAGAAGATCAAATCTATTACAATAGTTTACTACTATAAAAATTAGTGTTAACACAGCCAGGCATTCTAAATTGAAGTTTTTGTTAAGCGAACGATGTTTTTTTTAAGCGAATATGTCAAAAGGCGACATATAATATGTCATTCTATTCAGAATGTGATTTTCTATCGAATAAAGTAAAAAAATACCGAGGGTGCCATTTAAAAATAAAAAGTTGTAGTCATTTCCGGTGAAACAAGAAGTGACCGAAAACAATTGAATACGTCAAACAACCCTAATTTATGTCATATACTAACATAGCAAATCTCGTTTATTTATCTACAAAAATAAAAGTTATAGGCGAGTGAGCCACTTTTGAGACGCACCCGGTATATTTTCTGTATATTTGAAAGACTGGTTAAGAAAAACAGGCGCATATTATTTTTCTGTTTTATTTCTACCGATTTGTTTATAATATTTAGTTTTATGTTTCGTGTGATAAAATAAACAATTTGTTTACTTTTTTTTCAGATTCAGGTACAGTAGTTTTTCCAACATTCTTTCCAAGGGTAGGTATAAAAAACAAACACCCCAAAATAAGAGACCTGCTAGGTAAAAAAAAAACTAGTAAAAATCAAGAAAGCCGTATCACGGGCCGTATTTCGTCGATTCCGAGAGCTCGGCGGATGTCAAAAAATGAATTCTGGCCACCCACTCTTTCCCACATCGGATTTTCCCACGCCCCGGCCGTAACCCCGCACCGCGCGTTGGGTTTGTGGACGCGGATCGCGGGGGGCGCGGGGAGTAATCTCATTCGGACGGCCGCGCTAGTCGTCGGCGTCCTACAGTGGGCCAGACGTGTGAGTACGGAGGGGTGGAAAAAATATCCCTAAGTTTTTTGGACTGGAAGAAATTAGGGTCCAGTACCGGGAAATACCGGTCTCGAAAGTACCGCAAATTTCCTTGAAATGAATTCCCAGTACTTTCGAGACTCGGTAACAATAATTAAAAAATCTTGTTTTGTTACTGATGCCTGTATATGCCTGATGCGGCTTTTATTTAATTAAAGAATTATAAATTCATAAAAGACAGAATACAGGGTGGTCCGAACTCTATTCCGGAAACTTCGGCAACATGTTCTGCAGATAAAAATAAGTAAAAAAGTTTATATAAATGTATGTCCTAAAATGCTTAGTTTCGGAGATACAGGGTGTAGAAATTTCATTTTTATTTCGATTTTTTCCAAAGAATTTCTGAAGTAATGTCAATATTTGGATGAAAATTGGTGTCTGGGAGGTTTTTGACATGAGAAATTTGATTTTGATGTCAATATGACTCCTACTTGTAGAGGGCGCCACCTACGTATTTTTTAACTGGTTCGAAGAGTAATAACTTTTCGTCCGTACCTGTATAAAACTAGCTAGTTAAAAAATATACATTTACGACGTTTTTTACGTAAAAAAGGTCTCTTGGTAAAAATCGCTACGAGTAATGGTTCTCGAGATATTTGGAATCGAAATTACCAAAACCTGTCATCATTGACATAAATTAAACATGTTGACTAATTAGTTATTAGACTAAAATGATAAATTTAATATGTTTTTGTGTCAAAAGTTGAACAGAAACTGAAAACTGATTTTTTCATCATTTTTTCGAAGAAAAATTTATGATTAGTTTAAAAAAATAAAAAGTACCCAAATTTCTCATTTCAGTCAAATAACTATCTACCCAACATGTTTATTTTTAGTCAATAATGACATGTATTGACTATTTCCATTGTAAATATCTTTAGAACGGTTGCTCGTAGCGTTTTTTACAAAGAGATATTTTTTACGTAGAAAATCACGGAAATATATATTTTTTCACTCAGTAATTTTATACAGGTACGGACAAAAAGTTATTACTCTTCAAAACAGTTAAAACACTGTAGGTGGCGTCCCCTACAAATAGGAGTCATATTGACATCAAAATCAAATTTCTCATGTCAAAAAACTCCCAGACATCAATTTTCATCCAAATATTGACGTTACTTAAATTATTTGTAAAAATCGAAATAAAAATGAAACTTGTACACCCTGTATCTCCGAAACTAAGCATTTTAGGACATACATTTATATGAACTTTTTTACTTATTTTTATCAGTAAAATATGCTGCCAAAGTTTCCGGAATACAGTTCGGACCACCCTGTATAATGGATAACACGATATACCGTAAGATCGAAAAAAACCGGCGTTAGCGATGGCTTTGAAATGAAGATAGCTGTTATATTTTATATGCAAATTTATTAATTTATAAAAAAACAAGCTGGTTACAGGCTTGGTGCATTTCAGTTGATTTCAACAAATTCCGACCGCAGCGCACTCTACGGAGGAAATCGGATATGAACGATGTTCTCTATGGGTATCTCGGAAACTACTGGAGATAGAGAGTCGGTTAAATGGGGAAAGAATTGCAGTTTTGTAGGGTCATAAATATGCGCCTTTCAGATTTTTCAGATTTTGAAAAAGTTCATGGCTTACTGGATATTTCGAAATAAACAAATTGCGGCTATTTAAAAAATTGTCCCTAATTCTATTATAATCTATTTTAGACAAAAAGTTTTCAGATAAAAGTTGTAGATAATCACATCCTTAATGAGATTGTGTCCTCCGCTTTTTTATAAAGCCTGTTATTTTTGACATATGATACAAACATATGTTATTTTAAATGGAACCATAGTTGGCCATGACTTCATAAAAAGCGCCATTTTTTAAGCATTTTAGCGATATAAGCTGTAATATGTTTTTTTTCGAAAAATTACTAAGTTTAGCCAATCCTTATCATTTTTAAACAATTTCACTTAGTTAACCATGGAAAAAGTTTAATCGTTGTGGCTCTCAGAAATGTGAAACTGTCCCATCCAAACTTAATGGTAAATTAAAATAAACATAAATTGTAAATATGAATTTTTCAAGTGAAGAAAACATTAGTGGTTCCAACATGACTTTCATCATGATCCCCCCATAACGAAAGAAGCGTTAAAAATTATTTATATCATAATTATGCAAACTCGGAGATAGGAAGAGGTTTGGTTGGACCAATTGCGTGGGCTTCCTCGATCACCTGACCTATCCATTTTAGATTTTTTTTTATGCGGTACGGTTAACAATAAGGTTTACAAAAAAAACTTATGAATTAAGAGAGGTACTCGAAGTGGCGCGGCGGTACGAGAGTTTAATTAAGTCGACCGGTCATTTTGTGAGAATGGGTAGTACCGTAAAATGGGGGGAATAGAAACATAGTGGTGAAAAGAAACACAATTTCTGAAAAAAATCAAATCACGATTAAAAATATTCAAAGTGCAAAAAACTGCAATTCTTTCCCTATTTAACCGACTCTCTATCTTCAGTAGTTTCCGAGATACCCATAGAGAACATCGTAAGAAACTCAACCTGTATAGTTCACGTCGATCACATTAAAATAATATTGAAATCGCGGGGTTTTGTCATAACATTTAAATATTTTAGTTTTTTGCTAGGGCAGTTATTGAGACTATAAAACACTCAGATACGAGGTTTGTGTGATATAACGCTGTTTCGGGTAGTAAAAAATAAGTGAAAAAGAATTCGAACTACGCGTCTTGTTGTGTGGTGACAATTTCAAATGTTAATAAAATTCCCAAAAAAATGTTACGCGTAAAGGAGAGCGTAATTAAGGCGTTGTTGGGTGCAATAACATTCAATAACTCAACTTTCCCGGATATTCAAC